TGAGGGACGGTGCCCACGCCTCCTGTTCGTGGCTTCGCCGCGCAGAGCTCACCAACCGGGTCCGTTCTCCGCTCGTTCCGTGCGGCTTGTGAAGCCACATGCCCGAGGAGTGCGTCAGTTAGCACGCCCTAGCCCACACACACACACACACACAATACTCGTGGTCGTACACTACCACGAGCCCTTCACACCAGCGCCGGCTCAGAGGCACTTGCGTGATCTACCTGTGCCGCTTAAGGCAGATGACATGGCGACCACTGCACTGGACGAACTCGCACAACGTCGTGCTCCTCCGCGTGTGCGAGCATCGAGCACAGCGCTCGCGGATCCAGATCGTACGCATCCAGCTGTCGCTCCACCTCTTCCTTCGTGCTGTCGATTGTGGTCAGCGTGTACGTCTCACATGCCGCACCAGCGACGCTTGCGGTGTCCGTGCCGCTGCGCAAACGCTTGATCCAGCTGCACTGGCAGAAGCACACGCACAAGTCCTGCGCGCGCGTCAGCGCAACGTTCAGCCGATTCCAGTGTGCGAGGAATCCAGCATCAGCGCTGGAGTTTGTCAAGGTCCGCACGCAGCTCAGCAGAATGATGCGCTTCTCTTTCCCCTGGAATCTGTCCACCGTGGATACCTGCAGCCCACTCTCCAGTTCCTCAGGCGTCAGCAAGGAAAGGATAAGGTCCTTCTGTGCATTGTAGAAGGTGATGATGCCGAGCTGCGGCGCCATGTCCTCCTCAGACAGCTGCAGAAAGGTGCGCAGATCCCGCATGCACTGCACCACGGCAGCCGCCTCTTCCTTGTTAAACACGGAGCGAACACCACCCACCTGCATCTCACCGTGTGTAATGTCTCTCACGATGAAGCGCGGATACCGGCCGAGTCGCTGCGCGATGGCCAAGTTGGCCGGATCGTGCGCTGTAGCCACTGCGGACGCCGTGTCGTCGCTCATCAAGCCGGGGGCTTCGTTGTCGCTGCCGCGAGCACGCAGGTGTACGCTGCTGTGCGTCTCTAGCTTCGAGTCGTAGAAGTACGCATTTGGGAAGGCGCAGATGTCGGGGTGCATGCGGTACTGCGTGCGCAGCAGGAAGGACTTGTGCCCGCAGGCCAGCATGCGCATCAGCAGACTGCGGCGCAGGCCGCACCGACTCGCTTCCCTGGAGAGGATGGTGGGCTGCAGCTGCTTCGAGTCGCCGACCAACACAACGGCGCTGTGCTCACCTGCGACCCGCAAAGCCTTTAGCACCGCCGGCTCCGTGCACTGTGAGGCCTCATCGACAATGACGGCGTCGAAGGTGACCGACGGGTTTTTCTTCAGTACGCGGTGCAGCGAACCCAACGTCGTAAAAATGGCAGCGGCGTCTCTCACCAGCTCACTTTCCAATTTCTTGCACAGCCGCCAGTGCTGTGGCTGCTCCTCTCGCGATATTCCCATTTTCTCCATTTCTGCGCACACACGATCCTCCAGTAAGACACATGGGCGGAGTTGTAACACTGCCGGATCAACCTTGTCCCTCGAACCCATGCGAAGCAGCTCTAACCTTTGAATTGTCGCTCGTGATACTCCGTTGACGTCGTTGCTGTCGGTGTCGCTCAGAAGCTTACGCAGACGCAGCACCACCTCATCTACGGCGCAGTTGGACGGAGCACACACCAGCACCCTTCCAACACCTTTTCCTTCACGGAGGTTGCTGTGCCGTATGTTGAGGATAGAGGTGGCGATGGTCTGCGTCTTGCCGGTGCCAGGCGGCCCCTCAATCAGCACTATGCTTGGCGCACGAACCGCGTCCGTCTCCGCGGCCAGTGGAGGATGCGCAGCGAGCAGCACACCCCTCACGGCGCTCAGCTGCCACTCGTTCAGGCGACTCTGCAAGAGAACTGGCGCGGCGTTGGGCGAAGCATGTTGCACACTCCGCACATAGGCGGCGCTGCTCTCTGCCGAGCGCCGCGGGTCAAATAAGGTTTCAGCAAATCGTGTTTGGTGGATCCCCATCACCGCATCCAGTTCCATCTGCGTTGCCCCAATACCCGAAATCTTCTTCACGTAGAATGTGTCCCCCTCCGGTGCCACAGTGGAGCGGGGGAAGGACTGCAGAGACATGCCGTGGTAGTCGCGTGGCAACATGGGCGGATGCAGCGATAACTCTGCCACATTCTCTCCCCAGAAGACGTCCTCGACGAGCGCTAGCTGCGGCACGCACCCCAGCTGTCGCCACTCCGCGGGCAGCTTCCTCAACTCCTCCTGCACCTCCGCTTCAAAATCGTCAGTAGACGCAGGATTCTGTGTGTGCGTGACGCAGTGCTGACGCCATTCGCTGGAAAAGGAACTGAGCGGGACAAGCACCACCACGATGTCGCCCTTGTGCAACACAGACTTGATGCCGTCGTATGTCGCCAGCTCGACGTCTTCGTCCACAAGGAGGCTCCCCTCATACGGGAGAGGCCACGAGGTCGACGGTACCGCATCCCTTTTTTTTTCTGAGTCTGGTCGGGGGCGAGTCAGGGCAGTAATGAAGGTGCAGTTTGATGTCGGCGCATCAACCCCTGTCCAGCCCTTTCGCTGCACAAGCCGTGCCACCCTCGCCTGCACACACAAACGTAATACCTCAGGATTCAAAGGTGTGTTTACGCGCCACGCCTCTTCCATGGAATGTGACCGCTGCTGCACGCCGGCCAAACCGTGCACTGCCTCTTCAACCGAGAAGCCACCCTCGCCGCTCGCAGCCACCAGCTCCGCAAAACCGCTGGTGATATTGTACCGCAGCTCCACGCCGAGGTGAGGTGCAAAGCGGTCGACGTAGGCCAACTTTGATAAGTTTTTAGTGCTGTGCATGCGGTTGCCGTAGGAGTCATCGCTGGCGGCGGCATCGCAGTCGCTGTCACACAAGATATCCGATCGACTTGTCCTGCCTGATGTGACGTCACCGCTCCACACGAAGCTGTCAGGAATCGCCGGCAGCTGCGGGACAACGCCGTTTGGGCCAATAAAGTCGTCTAACTCAGGATTATCCGGAGAGAGCAACTCAGTATGGGCGACAATGTCCTGCAGAAATGTGTCATGGGGTTGAAAGAAGACGGTGCTGTGACGCGGCGCGGCAGGAGAGTGTGACCTTGACGACGCAATGGGTACGGCATCTGTGTCGAACGCACCTGTGATGGCAGGAGGTCCGTGATCGGTGGATCTGGCAGGCCTACGCCCCAAACACTCTTCTAATGCCACTGTGCACTCCTCCGCTATAGAAAGACACGTGCTCATTTTCCGGTGCACCTTTAGCGGGTTTTCTTTTACGAAGGGTGGAGGCGATGGGGTCAGATGAGGTGTCGCTGTCGAAATTCTGAAGGGAAAAGAGTTGGAAGAGGAAGAACGATTGCAAATGAAGAAGGTGCTTTCGGAGGAGAATGCGGTCGGACAGCTGCACGCGTGGCATCATCGTCGGACAGCACATCTGAGGTCTTCCCAACACTGTTGGTTTTTTCGATGGAGTTGTGGATAAACTCCTACGACGAAGTCAGAAAACAAAAGACCAGCTGTGCGCAATGCCATACGTCCGCTGCCGGCCGCGAGTATGCTACAAATTGGTCTGATCTTCGTTGAGCGGCTGAAGATGTGCTCAAGTCACCGAAACGTCATGTTTCGTTCGCATTTTATAGACCATCACACGTACCCTGCGGCCGTCATTGTAGCGTAACGGAGCATCCGGCGGCAAGACAGCCTCCTGGTACTTGCTCGGATTGGTTACGCGCCAACGGTAAACCCCCATAGGGCTCGATATACGTTACCTCTCCAAAGTCGAGAAACGTACGCAACGATTGCAGGAAATCAAAAGCCACTGGCCTCCCTTAATCGCCAAAGAAACGGTATGTGGGGGAGAAGAATTGTGTTAGGGGTTTGAAGATGAAAGGAGGGTTGACACAGAAAGGCTACTAAGATTAGTCCCTCCTATTCGCCTCTGGTTCCTCGTTTCATTGTACCTTCATTAGAGAATAAAAAGCTCATTCTTCACTTAGATCTCGACACGCACACGCGAGGTTGAGTGACGCTTAGCACGCTGCGTTAGAGGAACACGATTAGGAAGCACATACAAAAGCGTTCATTCTTTCAACTACAACACATACACCTGTCATTGGTTATCTTGGCGAGACAGTGAATCTTAGAAGATTGAGATCGTACAGTTGATAGTCACGGCGGCAGAGTTTGGCCTCGCCAATCAGCCAAATCGTGTTGCGTCGCTTGGAGTCGAGGACCCACATGTCCACCGGAATGGAACCGTTGAAGGGCAGCATTTTTCGTCCGTGGTCCACATCCAACACCGTACTGTCCGGGAACCATTTGGATCGGCGGTAGTATAGGCGAAAGGGCTGGTAATTCATTCGCCCGAACTTCAAACCTTGTATGGTGTACGCCGTGTACTTTGCGACGCCGCGTGTCTTCACGTCCGCGTTCACGTTTAGGTTGGCGTTTTCGAAGTGAATAAATTGCCCTTCTGGCGAGACGTACTGACCGAAGCCCAGCGCCTCCAGTCGCCACACGTAGTCGTGGTCCTCTCCGTAGGCGGGGTAGTAGTTTTCGTCGAAAAGCCCGACGGTCGCCAGCAAGAGGCGTGAAAGGACAAAAGTCGCCATGTGCGGCTTTGAGCTGGTGAAGAAGATGCCATAAGTGTCGGCGAACTGCTTTCGCATCTCTGTATACGGCATGACACGAATCCGGTACGGCAGCGATGTGGCGGTAATGATGGGCAGCGTGGAGCTGCGGTAGGTGAAGCGACGGTCCGGCACGTTGGAAGCCGTCACCGCCTCTTGTGCCACCTCCTCGTTCAGCTTCCGCAGCCGGTCTTCTTGGTCTTTGGTCTTCTCGTTCACGTTACGCACGAAATCAGGTACAAGTACTGTGCTAAAGCGGACATCTGCGTTGGTGATAAAGACCCACGGCACCTCCTTCACGGTGTACGACATCACGTACCGGAGCCCCTCGTTTACCGCAGATGCGTAGCCTATGTTCTCCGGGTGGTGAGTGATAAACAGGTTTTTATTCATATAGAGCTCCAGTTTTCGCTCCAGCCGATCGAGCAGCCCGCGGAGCGGCTTGAACTCGCCGTTGTTGATCAGCATAATGTACGTCATGGGGGCTGTGATGTTGCAGAAGAAGTTCTTGAGGTCCTGGTAATCCATCGTCACGGGCATGAGTACGAAGGGAATGCGACCCGGGTGATCGCTCTTACTCGCGAGCCGCTCGCCAACGCACGCATAAAACTCCTCATCGCTAATGAAGGTTTCCCCATTGCGCGGAGCGTCGAAGAACGTTTCCCTCAACGACCGTTCGTAGAAGAAAACAAGAGGAAATAAATATCCGACGACGAAGAGGGCGACAATCAGGCAACTGTACCGTCGCCGTGCTAAGGACAGCGACGAGCGGACCAGTGTGCGAAATTTCATGCCTTGTGTTTCTCGTCAACGTCGATTTCGAATCCTGCTGTGTAAAGCGAAGGGTGCATCGCATTACATCGAGCAGCGAAGAAGAACGCACAGCGACGCTAAATGTTTGCTGTCAGCTTGCTTGTCTGTTTAGCACCTGCAGTCTGCAGTATAATGAAGAATAGGGGCTACAATGAGCAGAACAGAAAGGATGTAACGCGCGTCTCAAAGCACCACCGTTCACGCACGTACTAAAAGTTTGGGAGAGGGTCGGAAAGACAAGAGGAGGCAGCGAAATGGTGAAAGTGAAGGAAAGAAGAGGAAAACGAAAGAACACCGTTGGGGAAGCGCCCGCAGACGGCAGAGCATCAACCGTCAATTGCTCATCCCAGCTCCACTCGGCTAAATGCACATAACGAAACTGCTTCATCAGATAATGTTGTTTGTTATTGGAGGGCGTTTGTAACTTTCATTTTAGGATGTTTATGTGTGGTCCGGGCGCTCCAGTTGAACACCGGCAAAAAATCAAGGCTGCTCCTCCTAAGCAGTTTTTTCTTCTTTTCCAGCTGCAAGGGCTTGCTCCCATACAGGATGCCAAGACCGCCTTGACCAAACTTCCCCGCCACGCCCTTTGCTTTACGACCACTCCAATTCCTCCGGTCTAATCGGCCGATCCAGTGGAATGACGCTGCTCTTCCGTCTCTCCTTATCGCGGGAAAGCGCCAGTCGCATATCTAATGCGTCCTCGTCACTCTTAAACGGACCTTTCGGGCCATCGCCACGGTAGTAGCCCAGGACGGTGCGATACACAATGTAGCCTAATCGGTGGTACATGTCCTGCGCCACCTGATTGCTCTTGCGAACGAAGAGATCGACAAAGTAAGCGTGGTGCACAAACTCGCTCATCTGCGCCAGCTCCACCATGAGCGTCTCGCCAAGCGCGACACGCCGAAACGTTGGTGCAACCGACACGGCAGACACGTGTCCGTGAAAGTCCTCGCCCTGCCCTTCTGCCTTTCCGAAAGTGTACGCCATTGGTATTCCAGTCGTGGGGTGAATGCACATTCGCTGGAACTCCGGCCAGTGGGTCACGTACTCGCCGTAAAACGACGTGGTGTACGTCTCCGTCAGCTGATCCAAATTAACGAAGTTGAAGGCGAGGGTGTCGCACAAAGTCATGCTGCGGTACGACGTCATCTTCGGAAAGCAAGACAATTAAGCCACAAGTTCTGTGCTTCGGTTGCCTTCGCTATTATTATTATTGACCTGCGGATTACGTCGAACGCAAGACACCGACACAAACAAAGAAAGCGAACATGAGAAACACAAGAAAGCGAAAGAGATACCCAAGCGACGCACAAGAAGAAAAAGAAGACGAGAGGCAGAAAAGGATCTTCTTGCGCGGAGTGGAATACTTACGCATGTGCTTGTTGACACCAAGGAGGGAGCAGTGAACCGTACCTGCCGGTTCAGGCTGAAACGCAAAAACCATTTTCATGCACGCTGATGGAGTTTGAAAGTTAGGTTGGATGTCGTAATGCTTCTGCCAACTTCACGTGAAGCGGTAATATAAATAAATCCTCATACTCCCAACTCGCAATTTCTTCTTGCTTGTTTTTTCTTTTCTTTAACGATTATGCGCTGAGGTGCTTAGAACTGCGGTGCTGCTCCAGACCTCGCCGATCTGTGAATTGTTTAGGTGGAACGCACAAGTCGCACGTGAGACAGGTCTCTACATCACCTGGAAGTGGCGAGAGATACAGCAGGTGCTCTTCGTAAGCCGCTGGCGTCTTGTACCGTAGCCCGCAAACGGAACAGTAGCCGCAGTTATCGCGGTCCTGCAGCGACATCGTTTCCAGTGCGGTTTCGAGTGCGTCAGGCGAGGCCGGCACGGCGGGCGCTTCAATTTGCTCATGAACCCTGGCGTAGAGGGTGGGGGCGAGCTGCACGGCGCCGGAGTGCTTCGACGACTGGTGCTGCTGCAAGTCCAGCTCCGTCTCAAAGGTGCGTGGTACGGTGCAGGCGGTGCACAGCCAGCTTCCCGTGTTGTGCGCCACCGATGCCTGCGCTTTTTGCTGAATTGCCTTTGCCTTCATCGCGGCACCGTAGCCGGTTAAGTAGCGCTCCAGCTTCTTTGCCTCTTTTGTATTTAGTGGGCGTCCCAGCTGTGCCGCGTCAAGGTGGGGTGGCACCGCAGCGCCTTGGTTCGTCGCTGTTGCCACGGTGGAGCGCCGCTCCTCCGCCCCCCGCTGTGCCCGGTAGAGCGACACCCACGCTGCACTCGGCAGGTACGGCGTGAAGAAGTCCTGGGCTGGCGGCAGCACAGCTGCACTCCGAGAGAAAAGGAGCGCCGGAAGTACGTCCGCGACTAAAGTTGGATGCAGCAGCGGCATCGGCAGTGTTGCGTAGCGCGAATCGTAGTTGAGGGAGAAGTCATCATTGTCGCTACGACTCTCTGAAGGTGGCGGCTCCGCCTTCACAACGGACGCAGTGGTCGAAGAGGGAGGCGCCGTCAGTAAAGCGTCCGCCACTTGAAGCCACGACGCGCAAGAGAAACTGCACGGCTGCTGCTTTTCCGCGTGTTGCCGCCGGACCCGTTCCCATGTGGCGATCTCACGGCGCAGCTCCCACAGCGTCGTCTGCAGCTCGGGGGAGGGCTGCACAAACCAGTACTGCGCCATTCGTCGAAACGGAAACGCGGCGTCGCTCTGGTGCCGACGATTGGTGTAGCCGGGGTAGTCAGCAGGGAGCAGTGGCTGAGCTGCGACGCAGAGGTAGCCGTTGCGCGCTGCACAACCCAGCAAGTCCCACCGCTGCGCCTGTTCATCGCAGAGAGCCACCACCACCTCTTGCGGCTGACAGAGAGCAGGGCCGTCTTTCTGGAGCTCCGCGGCGCTCGAAAAAAAGTGGGAAAGAAGAGAACGCTGCCGGTAGAGGTCCTCGAAGCCAATGTGGGGATTGTTGAAAACGACAAGGTGGAATGGCTGCTTTGTAATGTCCACGTGTGCGCTCGCCAGGGACGACGAGAGGGAGGTGGCGTTCACGGAGCCGAAGTAGCGTGCGGGAACGCGCTGCTTGGCCGAAAAGTAGGCACGGAAGGTGGCGGACTCCGGATACTTGGTGGCGAGTTCGGCCTCACTGTCAAAGGTGGTGGCCACCACCTCCGCCACGGAGCCGCGTGCGCCTGCTGCCGCGCCCTGCGTAGCACGCCGAAACGCACCACTGCGCGACAGCCGGCGCACGAGGGCGTACGCAAAACTCAAATTACCTTCGCCAACAAGAAGAATGGAGAGCGCTTCAGGGAGGACATGGGGCTCGCAGCACGGCGTAGACGCGGAGACGCTGCTCATCTTGGTTGACTCCAACGTGCCAGTGTAGGGGTGCACATAGGGGTCGGCAGCACTGAGGGTTGATCTTCCCTCGTGATTCCATCTTCATAACAAGGAAAGTGACGAATTGTGCGTCGATTGTGCGAGAAAGAACGTAGTGAAAAGAAAACGTGGTGGAGAGGACGAGAGAAAAGTAGCGTCCGCCTTTGCTTCAAGAAACCTTTGGTCGTGCATAACAGCCTTTACGGTTACAGCACGACTTTCTTTTTTAGGTATCAGTGAGTTTTCTTTGCCTATGCGCTTCTCCGCATGTCTACGGCAGGCTGCGTTTGCTTTCGCACGAGCGTTCCGCCAAAATATAACCGCCGTGTAATCTTCACGTCCCGGCAGCGATTACGGAACAGAAAGCATCGTGTTTCTTTCGTTTGTTTCGTTTGGTCAGGAAGAAAACACGGCGAAGTCAACGTCCGCCTGCTGGCAATGCACCGTTCGCTTCGACACAACACTCATACATTCCATATGGGCGCTAAGGCGCTGCGAAAGAAGAAAGAAAAAGGTGGAAAAAAAGGAAAATACAAAGCAGAAAATAATATACATGTACATCAAGACTTCGCGTTGAACTTGGCGTCGTCAAAGTGAAAGCTGGATTTGTCGAAAGCCCCGTACACTGCTCGCTTCGAGCTTCCTACACCAGGCTTTGTTTTGGGCAACGAAGGTAGGGGTGGAGGCGCTGGCCTGGTCAACGTGTCTGTCGGCGAGGCCGAAGTCCGCAGCTGAAGAAGGGAGAAGATTGCGTTTCGGTTTGCCTCCTGCGCTCGCTGCACGCGTTGCCGGTCACGTTCCAGCTTTGCGCGCCAGTTGCTGTAGAGAAGTCCTACGTAGGAGACAAACGCCTCGCCGTGGTAGACGTTGCGATGCAACAAGTGCCGAGTGCGGATGTTGTTTGCCACGCGCTCAAAGAGGAGCCGCACGCCTCTCTTGCGGCGCACGCGCTCCTTCAGCCGCAGGTCCTGCACGGCTGCCCGCATCGCGGGGCTCAACTGCCCGCCGGCAGAGATGCCGCTGGCGGCGGAGATGACCGGCACGATGTACTCCTGCACAAAGTCCTTGAACTCCGATCCGTACAGGAACGCCGTCTTCATGCGAATGTGCTCCGACGTGGCGCGTTGACGGGCTGCGTGTGCGCCATCAAAAACGTATCGCAGCACCGTCGGTCGAATGGACTGCACATTGGCCTCGGAGGAAAGAGGCAGCGAGGTCGCCGCGACGCGCCACGCTGCTGTGAACGTCGGCAGGAGACCGGTGGCGACCGCCTGTCGCGGCTCCGCAGCGGCGGTGTTGCGTGACGGGGTGCCAAAGTCGTGTGAATTGCGTGTGCGCCAGTACCACCGTGACGCTGGCGCCGGCCGGTTTCTGGAGCGAGCGTCAATGCCTCCGACGGCGCGGCCCTCCGGTCTTCCAGCTTTGCTGCCAGCCGCAGCGTCTGCGGCATCCCAATCATCCTCATCGTCCACGTTTGTCCGAAGTGCAGCGCCGGTGCGCATGTCCGTGTTCGCGTGGACACCACCATTGTATGCAAAATTCGGTTGGAGGCGGAAGGGGCGGAGAATCTCTGCTTCGAAAAAGTCGCGAGACGCTAGAGAAGCGAGGCGCTGCTGCTGCTGTGCATACTGTTGGGCATGCTGTTGCGCATTCTGCTGATTTTGTTTTGACACAGGCTTCTGTGATGGGTGAGATGACGGTGAAACACCAGGAATCAGTTGCGAGAGTTGGTCATGCAGGGTAGCACCTTCACCGGCACCTTCCACATCATGGTGCGGCGCAGGTGCATGGGGGTGCACGGACTCTTTGATCATTGCAGCAGCCGCGGTTCGCAACTCATTGACAAGCCACTCCTCGTCCGTGGCGCTCTCCGGCAAAACTACAGGAGTGAAGGCGCTCGCAGGCATCAAGGAACCAAAGCGCTCCTGCAAAATCTGTGCCGTACGCTGCAACGCCGCCTCCTCCAAGACCCGCCCCGCCGCGCCTTCCATAGCCTGCTCCGTGGCCTGCTGTTCCACAGCCTCCATCATTTGACCTTCGTGGTCGCCAAACAGTCTTCCCAGTATTGCGAAGGCGTCCTGCAGCTCCGTCCAGTACGTCACCGCACTCCTTCGCAGCGCTGCCACTTCGTCGTGTAGCGCCGCGGCACGCTGTCGCAGTGGCAACGGCAGCCGACTTGACGCAGTAGTGGTAGCGGGAGAACCACCAGTGGCGGCACAGTGCCCATCGGAGCGCCCATCGGAGTGCACACGACCGGCGTGCGGCCGTGACAGTGGCGGTGGTGTGGGTGTGCGCGTGGACAACACACGCCAGCTCCATTGCGTTGCTGCATCGTCCTCTCGAGAATTTCGCACAGCGCGGCTTTCAATCTCACCGCCGTCCGACTCGCTCACTTCACCCGTCACGACGTCAGGTAACGACATGCGACTGTCGCGCACTTGCTGACGCAGCCGCTGAGGGGACGGCGTTGTCGCAGACTCCAGCGCGGCATGCGCGCTCTCCACCGACTCGCTGTACAGCGGTGGCGTGGCCACAGCGTCGAGCGTGCTGCGCTTTTCTCGCTGCGGCGGTGGCTCCGCATCTGACATCGCGTGCTGTTGAGGCGCACCGGCGCGGTTCACCTCGGCCGCCACATGCGACGCTGCACGTGCCATCCTGTCCGCCAGCATTTGCCGAAGGTACGCGACGTGCAGCAGCTCCCGCCGCATCGCGTTGGCGCGAGACAGCTCGGTGCACCGTAGAATGGAGCTTTGCAGCGGTGCAAAAGCGGAGGTGGTGGATGCCGGGGCGGCCACCGCGCCATCTTGAGTCGTCACCTGAGTCGGAGCCTGCGTCGACGAGTGGGTCGGCTTCTTCGCCGCCACCGCAGCTGCAGCCGGTGCCTTGGAAATGTGACCCTTCCCGTGGGCCATGGAAGCAGTGGGTTTGTTGCGGCTTTTGGGAGTGTTGGAGGAGAGATCCGCACGTGCAGTAACAGGGTTGTCAGCCGAGACCGAGGGTTCTACCGTCTCTGCTGCCAGTGGCGCCGTCGCTGGGGCAGCGGGTGCTGCGGCAGTCTTTGCTGACATTGTCGTTGCTACCGCTGCCACTGCTCCGGCTGTCGCTTTTCCTGATGTTGTCGTGGCTAACGATGTCGCTGCCGCTGCTGCGCCGGCTATTGCAGTAACAGCCTTCGGGTTCGTCGCACGCGCTACCTTTGCAGTGGTTGCGACGGAAGCGGAAGAGGACACAAGAGGGACACCAGCAGCAGCGGAGGCAGGCGCCACAAGCATGGATATCGTGCTCTCCTCCCCACGCATCAATGGCGCGTTCTCGTAGGAGGCGTAGGAGATAAACACACCATTCTGCAGCTCCGACAAGCGGCCCTGCGAGGCCTCTCTCGCGAATTTTAGTGAAGGAGAAGAAGTCCTCGCCTCTACCTCGACGGCAGCATCAGAGTCCAGCATTTCCATTATACAACTGACCTCCGCCTCAAGACGCTTCTTCCAGTGCGCGGTTTCTCGCTTGGCCTTCACCACCGCACCGGAGAGGGGGACTTCCTTCTGCAGAAACTCGTGTCGGAAAGCGTCGTCTTCGAGACACCTGTCGAGCTCGTTGTCGTCCACGGTGCTCTGCGGCAGTGGCTGCAGGGGCACAAACACACTGAGGCTCTCCGTCGGCCGTGGGGTCGATGGGGCGGCTTGGGGGGCCGCTTGGGGAGCCGCCTGGGGGGCCACTTGCGGGGTTGCCTGCGGGGCCACTTGCGGGGCTGCGGTGCGGGGCTTCGGCTCACGGATGACACCCTCCACTACTTGTTGACGCCCCCGCAACAGCTGGTTCTCTGCCTCCAACTTTTTGTTTGCCTCGATGAGGTAGTTGAAGTCTTGCTTGAGCAGTGACGCCTCATTCTGGTTGCGCAGCCCGCGCAATGCGGCGCACTCTCGCTGGACGTAGTGGAGCTGAAGCGTTGCCGTGTGGTGCTGGTGGCTGAGTGTTTTTATTTCGTTCTTCTTCATGTGCAGCAGCTTCAGTACGCCTCCTAATTCCTGCTGCGTTTCCTTGCACGTCTGCGTAAGGGCCTGAATCGTCGCATTTTTTTCGCTGACAACTTCGTTCAGCGCGTCGATGCGACTGCGCATGGCCGCGTCTTCTTCTTTCTCCTGTGCGGTGTGTCGCCGCCGTCCGTAGGCGTAGCGCTTCATCACCGCCTCGACCTTCTCCCACGTGTCCCAGTCGCCGAGTGCGCCGTCGGCGGCCTCGACGTTGGCGAAGAGCACATCGTGTATTTCCTGCTGGTTGCTCTCAAACAGGTCGAAGTCCATCTGGTTCTTGCGGTCGTGAATTTCGACCTGTTGGGCGTGCAGGTCGCTGTAATCGGAGTACAGATGCTCGATGAAGGCCTGACGCTGGTCGGCGGTGCTGCGGTGCTCCGAGGCCGGCAACGGACGGGTTGCGGCTACTAAGACCGCATCGGCCTTTCGACAGACGCGCTGACTTGCGCCGTCTCCATCAGCCGCATTCGAAGACATCGTGCAGCGGTGCGTCAGCAGCGGATCAGAAATGATAGAGGAAAAGAAGAGCGTAGTTGTATCTCCTCCCGTTGTTTGATGCTCGTATGAACAGAGGAGGAAAAGCCGCTTCGTACGGAATAAACAAGGTTACACAAGAGAGAGCAACGGAAGGGAAAATGGAGAAAAACAGTGGCCGTCAAGTTAGAGGATTAGAGCAAAAGCCGCTCTCTGCCACCAAAATTCCGTGGCATAAGAAGCCAGAAAAGGCACGACGGATCATGCTGTCTCCGCATTCCGTTGATGAGGAGATATCAGCGGAGTAGGTGGGAGAGAGCTCACAGGTCTGTCTTCCTTTTCTTTGGCGGGTACAGGTTCATTTTCTCTGTTGATGTTGCTTTCTTTGGTGTGTGCTAGGCGACGACGCCAAGAGTGGTGAATCTATCCGACGCTCTATCAATCTAGGTAGTGCGGCCCCCCGACACAAGAAAGAGACGGATCATGATCGAGAAACAGAATTGAGCTCGCTTCTCCGCTCATTGATTCTAAGGCGACCGTTAGGGGTCCGACTTGGAGAGCAGTAAGGCGCGATCTCCTCGCGTGTCGCAGCAGCCTTCAGCCCTTGGTATGTCAAACAACCCGTAGCAACAGGAGCTGATGACGTGGCACGAAGCGAGCGGAGGAGCCGCAGCAGGCTGTGGCACATGTTGATCTTTATCATGGCGTACTTGCACTGACCAAACTGGGCAGCGGAAATCAAATTGGTTTCGTGAGCGGCAGTGGACAGCAGGCGCAACGTGGAAGCCCCCACCTTCGCATCGTCAGCTTCCACGAGAAACCAGTCGTAGCGGCGCAACAGCGTTGCCGTCGCGGCAGGAAAGCGCCGGTACAGGAAGCGCAGAAAGACGGCGAACGTGTGCGGGCTGCCAGTCATGACGTCGCCTTCGTTAACAGAGGCCCAATCGCTGAAGCCCAATTTGGACAGCTTTGCGTGTAGGAGGCAGAAATTGGACGCTATCTCCATGCTTTTCAATTCAATAGATCTTTGGTTGCGTGTAGATGTGTGTGTGTGTGCGTGTGTACCTATCAAGCTGCAAATACAAGCATTTCCTTCAACAAAACGCGAGAGGGAAAGAGATTTCAATAGATGGAGGCAAGACAGGTAGCACGGTAGCTGAGGTGGGCGATGACGCCGGGCTTAACTCGATGCTGCAGATTGGCTTCAACCGTGGAAGAGGCGCACAACTTTGGTGAAGCAGCATAAGTGAGACAGCGGCTCCCCGCTAAACCACTGAGAAAAATACCGCACCTTCTCAACTCATGGCTGCGTGAAAGAGTGATGAGGCAGCTTCAACAAGAAGGACACACGGAAGAAAGAAGAAGGGAGAGCACCACTGCATTTCCTATTTTCCGTTTTCTTTTCTCGATGCGCAGCGTTGCCCTCAAAGGAGAACGAGAAGAACAATCCAGCAAAAGGCAAGGTGCGGTGTTGAAGAGGGCCATGGCGGTACTCAGCAACATCGAAGGCATCAGAAGCACGCACGACAACGACAATTCTATGTATACAGCATCGGCTTTCCATACGACAGCAGTCGCACCTTCGCTTCACTTACACTCTCACCGGCGGAAGACAATGCTCACCAGCGTCTCTCTGCCGTAAGGAACGTAGGACAGCGAGTACCACACGAGTGCCGCATACTGAAGAAGGCCACACAGCACACACAACAGGACTGACTGGAAGATGATGGCTACAAAAAAGGCGAGTAGGAGAGATCCAACGTACATCACCGTGGCGTTGAAGCGATACTCATCGAACATGTATGCCAACTGGGTGGAAGGCCCCATGAGAATTATGGTGCTCAGCATAGAGAGGAGACTACCCAAGCTAGAAAGTAAGCTGTATTTCCAATAGCTTGCCATTCCCAGTGCAAACCAGCTCATCAGCGTTGTGAAGAGCGCCATGGAGAGAAGCACGAGAAAGCCCTGCATGCGCTGTGTCCACGTTAAATCCTTGAAGAGCTGCCCACTCTCGCCGGTGGAAAGGTTATCCGCCTCGTTGATCTCAACTGCCGACATTGCAAAGAAAACAGAATGTTAAACACAAGCAACTTCTGCTACACGAAAGAGTGAACGTGTTGTATGTACGAGAAACACAAGCGCGTTGCTTGCCACAGTGACTCGTCGGCTGAGGGGAAGGGGGGGGGGGGAACAGAATACACGGGAGACTGGTGAAGGAAGCCACGAAGCTGATGTGAAAGCTTCCGTTAACGTGAGGAGAATATCGAGGTGAAGAAAAGAAAGGGTGCGTTGTGAAAACGAGAAGTGTAGGACATCAGAAAAGGAGAATAAAGTCAAAGAGACGATACATCTGCCACCTTGCTCATCATACTTTTTGTTCCTCTTCTTCGGCTCTCTCTTGACCCCACAACGCCTAAATACGCCGAAAACGCTGCGTAGATGTGATGACACATGGGGAGGGGGGGGGGAGGCAGTACAGACGGCATAGAGAAGGGATGTTCAACCGGAAACTTGAGAACAACAGCATAGAAACTGTGGTAGAGCGCACCTGCCGTCGGCGAGCATTTTGTCTTTCAAACGACAGCTCCAACGTAGTTTACATGATTGATTAGTTTCATTTCCGTTTTTAACCGAAAAATCCAGCTCCCGCCCTCCCGTTCCGCGTGCAGGGAGCTGAAAAGGAATAGGCGCTACTTTACATCGGGAGATTAGCAGCGGTTGTTGGTCACCGTGCCGCCGCACTGTACGTTGTCCACAGAGGAGTGCGACTCACGCTCCGCTTGTGTTCCCACGCGACGTCGATGCTGTCGTGCGGGAAGCGCCCCAACACACCACTGCGATCAATGGTGAAGGGAATGGGCCATTTTTGGTTTTCTACGAAGCCTTCGAAGTGCCGCTCGCCGTCGTTGGAGGGGCGCTCCGTGAGAGTCAGCTTCACAAACGACGGTGACTCGGGTGCCTTCGCCGTGGGACGCGAGAAAAGAATATCGTAGGTGTCCGGCCGTGTTGGGTGGGGGGAGACCGTGACGCTGTACTTCGTGGGGCTGGACGCAAAGGCTCGTGCAAGGAGCTGCAACGTTGCTGCCGTCTGCGCGTCCATCCTGGTACACTAAAGATAAGAACAGTTTAGGAACAGCTTTCCACCCGCCGTTGAAAGCGTGATGCGGAGGTGAAAGGCAAGCTGCAAGTCGGTGTTTCGGGCTGGGACCGCAGAGTGTAGCGAAGACGAGGTATTCGCTCGATCGAGAAGGGTGAAGAAGGGGTTGAAGATGGAAAAGAGAAGACACGGCACAGGCGGGGAAGCATATGAAGAGGGGCTACCAAGTCAACAACATGCACTGCAGAGTCGACAACGGAAAAAAAAGAAAATGACATGCAACGCTTTCCACAGGCGCAAAATGAAAGCAGAGGGAGCGACACACTGCCGCAATAGCGTTGCCTAAGTGTCGTCTTTTGTTGAATGCGTATGTGTGTGTGTGTGTGTGGCGTGGAAAAGTCGTTTCCGTACGGCGGAGGGGAATCTCTGAAGGTAAAAAGAGAAAGATGTAGCTGAGTAAGAGCAGTAGATGGCGAAACCATCGAATGAGCAGAAGTGAAAAGCATTTCCTGAGGCGTTATCGTATGTTATGTGTCCACCCTCGCCGTGCACTCAAGTCGTGGCGCGGTTTGCCACGCGTCTTCAGAGCCCAGTCCAGGTTTCGCTTGTCTTCCTTCGCTAAAGCGCGGCACACAGCGCGCGACACCGTATACGCGTTAGCTGCCTCGTGCTGTTGCGTCATCAGCTCCAACGCCGTGTACAAGACCACGGTGCTCCCAAACTCTTCTGCGCTGGAGAGGAGAAGTAGCGCGAGGAGACGGTGTCGCTGTTCGTAGGTGCCGTCGAGATAGAGATACGGCGAGGCAAAGCCATTCGTCTGGAGCTCCGCCAAGACGTAGGCCACCTGCGGCGTGAGGGGATGCTTCACCTCCGCAGAAAGACACACCCCGCGCAGAAAAGGCACGAGTTGGGGACATGACACCTGCTGTTGCTGGGCGGCGTACGTGAGAGACCGCGGCGACGCCTCGTGCTCGTGAAGGAGAGCGTCGAGCACCTCGGCGAGTTGCGCCAGCCGCTCAGGACCAAAGCGATTCCCTGAAGACGGACTTCGCACCAGCATGCGTGGCGGGCACAACAGCGAAGTAGGGGAGGCGAGAAGGTCATCTGCCCCCAACTGACGAGCTTCGTGCAAGATGAGGGCAGCATCAAACACGCAGTAGCTGAAGACAAAGGGGTCAAAGGTAGCCACAAAGAAGTTCACCATCTGCTCCGGCTTCGCAACCGGCGGTGGGGTCTGAGAAGAGAGGAGAAGCGTGGGAACGACAGGTGATGCCCTGAACGCCTCAAGGCTTCGGTTGACTGCGTCCATCCTAGAGAGCATTCCGTCAAACATCACACGTGTCGGATGAAAAAGGAGACGCAGCTGCGGCGTGATGCGTTGCATGTGTGTGCACTGTGCGCTCAGTATATGGGTGCGGGAGGAAGCGACATATGAGAGAGCCGAAGCGCGACAAAATGCGGCGCCCACTGTGGAAAGAGTGCCGTCTCTACTTGGATCTAAAAGCAATGAAAATAGAAATGGTGAAGGAACACAAGAAGGAACAGCAGTGAAGAGAAAAAAAAAAGGGCTCTGATGAGCAACACACAGCGGCGCACGCACAGTGCATTTCGTTTCGGCAATTTGTGCTGCATTACTTTGCTGTGTGTGTGTGTGTGTGTGTACCTGTGTGATCGAGGGCCACAAATCAGCTGTGATTGCTCGTCTATTGAATTCGCATTTGCTGCAAACTTGTCGTGGTGAGGACACGCCGAGGGGTGCTGAGTCAAGGCAATTTCGACAGCTCCGACTCAACGTGCACTTGTCGTGTGGCGCATACGTGAAACCGTACGCTACAGGCGCGCCTTCACGTGCAACAGTCAAGTAGCACGAGACAGTTGTTGTCGTCCACAACACCGCATCAAGTTTTCATCCATACACGTATTATACACATACATATATATTCGCGAGTTACGGAGGGGTCCGGGTGCATGCATGATCTGTGGCTGCAACGGCGTGAGAGAGAACACGATGGAGCATCAAAGTTTGTGCCCTTGTTACAGAAGAACATGGATTAGGATTAGTCAATACTTACAGGAGAAACCAAATGGAAATAAACGTTAGACAACCGTTTAAAAGAAACAAACAGAAAAAAGACCATCAAACCCTCACCCCCCGCAGCTGCTCTTTCCTTCAAACAAACCCACGGAAGATACGTCGGGTACAGCGTGCGGGGTCAGTTAGGGTCAACAACAAAAACAAGCAAATAAATAGAAGAAACTCAAGACACAATAACTGACCAAAATGACAACCTGCTGAATACGCCAAGACGAAGTTGAACGGATGAAAGAACCTTTCAGATACCCTTCCGACGTACACACACAAGGACCGGCCTTTCACCTACAACGGTCGTTCATTACGGGACGCTGCTGCTGCTGCTGCTACATCGTGCTTTCCTTTCGATAAGTCGCATTTGTTCTCAAAGCGGAGAGTTCAAGGGCAACTTGCCGTGCCACTTCCACGGAGGATGTGATCATCCAAGAGGTTCTGGACCTACGTCAAAAACAACATAAGTATGGAGCAAGCCGCCTTCATCTCTTGCACACCGTGGAAAAACGAAAAAGGTAGACGCCTCGGTAACGATGTCTTAGCTGCTGGCATGCTGCTGGAGTACCGCGTTGGCCTCCTGGATCTTGGCCATGAGAGAGTTTGGATCCGCCAGCACCTCAAAGATCTCCTCGCGGCTCATCTCAAGCAGCATGCCGGTGATCTTGGCCGCGTTGGCCGACTCCACGGGCATGATCTTGCCGTAGAGCAGCTCACCCAGATAGTTCTTCTGCTGCTCCGGGGCAAGGGTGCCCAAGTAGTTCACATCGACACCCTCATGACGTACGGGCTGGTACTGCTCGCGCGGCTGGGTGTAGCGGTTCGGCACGCGCATCGGCTGCCCAGGCATGCCATGCTGCATCATCGGGCGGCGCATCATCGGGCCGGACATGAATTGCGGCATGCCCATGTTTGGCGGTGGCGGCGGCGGCATCATGGGCGGCGCCATCTGCGGGAAGGGTTGGCGTGGCCACTGCTGCGGAAACATGGCCATCGGGGGTGCCATGCGACTTTGGTGGCGCATCGCCGCACGCCGCTGCTGCAGCAGGCGAATACGCATGTCCTTCTGCTCCGCCTGACTGACGTAGAGAGGCTTCTTCGAATTCTCTATGGACTGCCCATTCAGCGTCCGCATCGCCGTCGTGGCACACTCGCGGTCCTCGAAGCAGACAAAGGCAAACCCCTTAAAGATGCCGTTCCCGTCTTTCATGAGCGCGCAGGACGTGATTTTGCCGTACGGCTCGAAGAGCTCGTGCAGCTTTTCCTCAGTGATGTCCTCCGGCAGGTGCTTCACGTAGAGGTTGCGACCGTGGTTTTGGTAGAGCGACGCCGCCTTCTTCTTTTCGCGGTCACGTTCACTCTTCGAGAGGGCGCGGCAGACCACCAGCTTCACACTCTCCTCCGTCAGTCCGCTGTCTATCTTTTCGTTGAGCTCCGCGATCGCCTTCACGGCCGCCTCGTGCTGCTCGAAGGCGGCGAGGGCAAATTTAGTCGCGAAGGGCGGGTGCTCCGCCAGAAAGAGGGACTGCAGCTTGCCGAACTTCTCCAAGGCGGCTGTCAGTTCCGCCTCCGTCGCGGACCCCTTGATGTTCTTGATGTAGACAGAGGTGAAGGACTTGGAAGCCAGCGCGTCACGGTCTGCGCGGCGCACAAACGTTGCCACCTCGACCTCGTTCGCACCGATCTTCGCCCCGTTCATCTCCAGAGCTGCCTTGGCGCCCTCGGCGTTCTCGAACTGCACGAAGCCGTACCCCTTTGACTTGCCCTCCGCATCCAGCGCCACCTTGCACGAGAGAACACGCCCACACTTGCTGAAGGCGGTCTGCAGCGCCTTGGCGTTGATGGAAGGCTCCAGCTTCTTGACAAAGACGTTGTTCATGCCGCTCTTGCGCTGCAGGGGATCGCGGATGGAGAACATCACACGGATCTGACGGCCAGGGACGATGTCGGTGTAATTGAGGGCATCGATCACCTTCTCTGCATCCGCGGTCGTTTGGAAGTTTACGTAGGCGTAGCCCAAGGAACGCTGCGTGGCCATGTCGCGGCACACTTTCACCGACATGACCGGGGCTACGCTGCTGAAGAGGTTGTTCACCGCCTCCTCGGGCCGTGGCAGGTCCGTCGGCAGATCGCCGATGTAGACGGACGTGCGCTGGACAGGAGCGGTCATGTTGTGTGGACAGTAAGACGACTCTTTTCTTTTGTGAAAGCCAAATCCCGAGTTCAGCTACACCGCACACAGAAATACGAGACGAAAGGAAACAGAGCGAAAGTCGGTTGCTGCGGTACGCTCAAATTGGCGTGTTCAGCTGTACGCGGCGGGGGAGAAGAGCAGCTACGAATGAAGATGCTTAGTATTCCCAACGATAAGCGGGAACTTGCGCAGAGATGCGGACAACAATGTGGGCCTAAGAAACCACTTAGGTACACAGCAGCTGGTGCGGGTAAGGACGTTATCTTTCACAAAACGAAAAGGAAAAGGAAAAGGAAAGATGAAGTTCTTGACGATTTCTTCGTCTTCTTTTTGCAGCGCGTCAGGAGAGATGTGCTTTTGAGCACGCAGATATCCGCCAGCTCGAAACCGCCATTGTTTACCAGATTGGTGGGGTTTCAGCCGGGTGCAACAGAGAGAGGAAGAAGGGAGACAAGTGAAAGAAACAGGTGTCAGCAAAGGTGCGCAGCGCACACTGCGTGAAGCACACCACGTGTAGGCCGCTAAACTGACATCCGTCGACAACAAACCAGTCGCGCTATCCACAGACAAAGGTGCAAACAGAAAGCCGAGGCCTAGACCGTTTAGTTTTATCATTCAGGTGGTGCTCTTCTCCCGGGCAATGTCGCACGCAGACGAAACGGCGCGGAACAGATCGCTCTCAAACAACGTATTCTTCTCGCCATCACCGCATCACTTGCATATGGATCTCTTCATTTATTCATTTACTTACGAAGGTGAGCATATTCTGTCTCTGCTTACCACACCGGCGTCAGAGATCACGGATGTATGCAAAAAACAACAACACCTGACGAAAGCATCCAATACGCACTCCAAAAATATATAAACTGTGGCACCACCATCAGCAATCACAAATCTATCACGTTTCCATTAGCATTCACAAACTCCCCACGCGCACATCTGTAAACAAAGTACTTGTGCACCCTTCCCTTTCCTTTTAAGAAAAAGGTAAGGGGACTAAGATAGAGAAATTTCGATACGCAGAGGCAGCGTGGTGCTGTTTACTTGGGTGTGGCCTGGTCGTTACCGAGAAGGTTTGCGTCCGCCTCGGGAATGTACGAGAACAAATCCCCCGCGCTTTCGTCGAACATTTCATCGAGGAACCACAAATCGTCTTCGAAGAATTCGAATTCCGCATCGTCCGCAGGCGCCTCGTTTTTGGTGGCGCACCACCGCGGCATGGAGGCACGCGAGGAGGCGCCGATGCTCGAGGCGGCCGTGGCGGCCCACCGCGCCGGCATAGCAGTCAGTCGGCGGATCATGCTTCGATCTCACTCGAGGAGGAGAGATGAATGTAGTCTCGCGGTGAAGAGCGTCCTCGTGCCTCCTTGCAATCGACAAAGCAGAAAAAAGTGTGAAGAGCGCTTCACTGAGTGCGACTTCGTAGCGCTGACTGAGAATTAAGCTGTCCCGCGGAGAAAGGGTGCGGTTGAAGTGACACGCGTTGAAGCAACGGCAGAAAAGAAGAGGAGGATAAAGAACAGAAATACGCCGCAGAAAACTCTCAAAAGCAATCGAAAGGAGTTTTCCATATCAATGTTCGTGTGAATTCGAATTAACTTCGCGTCGAGCAACGAACAGTGACACAGTGCGGTACTCAAGCCACACGCCACAGCATAAACCGCAGTGGCAGCAGTGGCCACACAACAGAGCTTCTCATCCAGGTGAGAGCGGTAGCGAATAACAGCGGCGTTTCCTCGCTGGAAAAATATTACAGAAACGGTAGTTTTTCGTGTCTCAATCGCGCTGCACAAACGCATAAAAATGTCCTTCTTTTTCTTCTCTTTCCCTGTTGAGTAGTGCACTACGCACGCTCATTGCGCAGGTAAGCAACGCATAAACGGAGGCGAAGCACGCAAGCCCAGATAAAGCAGCTCCGCGAAGAAGCGGAAAGAAACGACACTTCCATATCGTGCGGTGGCCTCCACATCTCATGAAAAAAACTCGCGTCTACAACAACAGCGTGTGAGCACACCTCTACCCATACCCAATCAAGCACAGCCCTCCGCAGTCATTTATGCGGCTTTGGCGGAACGAAAGATGATGTAGTACAGCACGTAGATCACAAAAAAGCCCACCACACCAAACGCCAAGGTGTGCTTCCACCCGTACCGGTCCATCACATTCTTGACGGAGGATACCGCAGTGTGGACGCCGCCACGCGCGGTTTGAAAGGCCTTGTCGAGAGTCTTGAGCAGCTCGTTTTGCTCCTCCGCCTCGCGGTTGAGGTGACCAGCCATTGTCTTCATCTGAGACACGCTGTTGCCCAATGCGTGCAGCATCGCCTCATTCTCGCGGTGCATCTCCTCCTCCATGTGCTCGTAGCGGTTGGGTCCCGTCGGTGACGCCTTCGCCGCCCGCGCATTTCCGTAGAGGGAAGACTGCATAGCTGCTAAAAGCAAAGAAAGAAAACAAAAAAGCCAAAGTGAAGCTACTCCTTTTCCTCAATGGGAGAAAGCTGAGCTACGACTGTGAGGAGTGCGGAGAAACGGGAGAGAAGACGCACGCGACGAAGAGAGAAATACAAGACCAATGGAGAGCGTCTTAGCAACGACCGCGAACACCGCTCTTCTCGATCCACCGCGATGGAAATGGCGAGAAAGCAGAGTGCTCCATGAAGCGATGATAGACACGCACGCAGGACAACGATTACATGATGCTGCACACTTGAATGGTGCCAGCGCAGCTCAGAGCCGTGGACTCAGCTTAAGAGAGAGCCAACACGACGGAAACACTATGATTTGTGTATACATATGCATTCTTCATCTAATGCGAAGTGTAGAACGATCAAACAACTCACGCCCACAACAGCCCGACCATCCTCAACACATATCGCCAATCCCGTAAGCCAGCATGAAGAGGGCCTGCTCCGTACCGTGTCAAACCGGGCTGGCAGTGCCACAACGCTGGGGACCAACCAACAGGGGCCATAAGAGTCTTTGTGAGAGTAACGGCAAAGAAATACGTTCACGGAGGCCCACCATAAAAGCAATGCCGGCCTCCACACTCAACGCCCTTCGCCGGACCCCCCCCCCCCCCCACCCCACCACACACACTCTCACAAAAGGTGCATTTATGACTTCATCATGCGACGCGTGCCGATGTTGCGGCGACGCATGCGACGCTTCTTGTCGTGCTCCATGCGGATGTCGATGCGGTATGGACGCTTCACATTCGTGCCCATGCCACCTTGAAAGGTGCGAGCGAAGAAGTTCCTATAGAGCGCGCAGCAACGGCTGAACATGATAGTTGGCGAGATTGATTACCTTCCCCTGACGTACGATGCGAAACCCGACGTGGTGGAGTTCGGCGATCTTGGTAAAGTTGACTTCTGTGAATGCGTCACTGCACGTTTAAACCGTTTATTTTTGAGGTTGTTGCACGCGTACACTCCGACGAAGAACGATGAGGACGGAGTGAAACCAGAGACGAGAGGAAGAACAAGGAGGTCCATGAAAGAAGGGGAAGAGTCAGCCGTTCGCGATGGTGCTGCACCTGTCGCTCACGCCTTCGCCCACGCGACATCGGAGGCACATTACACAGACCAGAGCGAGCAGGAAGGCGAGGAACCTCACCGCTTTCCCTCACCTCATGTGTGTTCTCTGCGAAAGGAGCAAGATATGTGCTAGCGAGCAATAACAGGAAATTCCATCGTGTCCATTCATTCGGATTTTTGAGGCCGGACAGCGAGCACCGACGCCACAGCAAACGGTACGACGCAACACCCACGGAGACGTTCACTCTACAAACAAACAAACAAAAAGAAAACAAGGCATTGACAATCGGTTGCAGTGCAACTCAGCAAGACAGCAAACTCCTTATGCTGCACACAATGTGTGTAATGATTAGCCCAGCACACATGTATGCCTCGACAAAGAAAGATGCAATACGCCCTGTGAGTTGGGAGACATGAAATACAAAGAACACGGCAGCGCCAAACACATCCATCCGTGCACCAACGCGGTTTCCATTGCCCCCGACACCTTCACTTCGTCCTCCAATCGTCATTAAAACTACAACAAAACATTAAAAACGCCTTTCGAGGGGGTGCCGCGGTCGTGGCTCACCGCTTGAGGTCGGCCACCCTCCACTGCAGAAGAAAAACAAAGACGAATGCATCTTATCTTGAGCGTATTTTTCTTCTTCTGGTTTCAAGTATAACAGCCCCTCAGAAAACGCGAGCACCCATCCAGAGCGCAGCCGCATTTCAGATCCCTGGAAGTACCCACCACGTCGCACCTTACCCACTCATCTTGGGAGACGTCACCACCGCGAAGTAAATGTTCACTACGACGGAGCCAAACATGATCACCGCCATCGACCACACAAGCCACGTCGGAATGGCGGACTTCTTCGCCTCGCGCTCTTCGCGGCGCTTCAGTTTTTCTTCCTCTGAGAGACGCTGAGGGCTTGCGTTGGCGCGTGCACGCATCTTGGCGATGTTCTTGTTGGGCATGATGAACGAGCACGGAAGGGGCAAATAATAGTAAGAATTAAAAAAATGAGAGACGAAAAGCGGCGCGTAGAAAGATATTTACCGTTGCATGATAATGAATACGCTGGAAAACAGCTCTTGTTAGTGGTCGTCGCAGAACCGCATGAAGCAGAAAAGAAGAAGGGCACGAGTGGTAAAGATGGAGAATAACAACGAGGGGACAGCATTCGAGTTGCACTACGGCGTCGGAGAGTCAAGCAGTCACATTGCTTGCAACGGCTCCAACGGAAAACCGCAGAGATTGTGCGGTGTCAGCTCTTTCATCGCGGAAACTGTCTTTGGTGCAGAACGCAAAGTGGAGGCGGCACTGGTTTCTTTCGGCTCCGTTGGCCTCTGCAAGTCAGCCGCTCCATCATTCCGCTGGAAGAAAGCATCGGTGCGTGTCCTCACAGATTAAAACGCGGTCATGAACTGTGAAGAGAAATCCACTACAGCAGTTGGCAAACAAGGAGAGAAAAGAATCGTCATCGCACATCAGGAAGCCTTTTGAGCAGTGCGGAAGTGGCGCATGTCAAAATAGCTCGCCTTGGCGCTGAGCAGGTGCTCGCGCTCCTCCGCCTGTTCGGGGTGGGCACGCAGAAACTTCGCCGGGTCGACGCGGAAGTACAAATTGAAAGGGAGAGCAAACGGCATGCGCCGTGCGTAGTCCAAAATGAGCTGCGTCGACTTCTCCTCGTCCTCGGCGCTCCACCAGAAGCACGCGCTGGGGTGCACGAAACACGCAATGTCCACCACCGGCTGCATCAACCGCCGGCTCACGTCGACGGAACTCACGTCCCGCTCGATGTGCCGGTAACTGCTGTGAAGAATAATGGTCGGCGCAAACGGCAGCACCTGCGGGACGCCGTCGGTGAAGCGCTGTGGGAGTGGGGCCTGAAACCACGACCGCTCCTGCCCATTAGCGTCCATCATTCGGTGCTCGACGACGGTGCTGTTGGGGGTGCCGCCGGCGAAGCTTCGGGAGTGGAAAGCGCTGCTCTGCACCTCCGGGAGGTCCGGCTCGCCCATCTCACCCGGCACGAGATGCAGCGGCTGCGGCTCCCGCTCCACCGCGTAAAGTTCCAACACCTCCGCAATGACCTGCTGCATCACCGCAAGGTGCAACTCCCACTCCCCGGCCGCCTCCTCGATTTGCTGCTGCGCCCGCGGATCGTCTGGGTGGACACGGAATTCAAACCCAATAGGCGTCACGACGTACGACGTGTTCGCCGGTGCGTTCCAGATGCGCGGGTGCAGCTCTGCGGTGTTGCGGCCCACAATGGAGAAGTCGGGCTGGTGGCGCACCTCCACATCGATCCCGTCCCGCCGTGCGACGCGAGCGGCGGAGCGGTGCGCCAGCTGCAGCACGGCGGGGTTTGCCTGCTGTTTGCCTTCGAAGTAGACGTCGTTCGTGTGTCCGTGCTGCCCGCACCGCCAGCCGTGCTCGGCGAGGCCGGGGTTCATGCAGAGCCGAGTGGAGTGTCGCGTCGTGTCGCGGCACAGCACCCCGCACAGTTTTCTGTCCAGTGCAGTCAAGAGAATGGCCTTCTCGGCGTGCGTGAGCCGCAGCTGGTCATTCAGCAATTCCATCAGCTCCTCACGCTGCAAGAACTTCAGTTCGTGCAAGTCAACGCCGAGCTCCTTGAAGCGTTCCATGTGCGAGCTCAAGTCGCAGCTCATCTTGTACTGCCGTCGCCCCACGTAACCGCTCAGTTTTTGGAGGAGAATATCGAGGGACAGAAAGCGGTTCTTATCGTTCACGCTGTCAAACGAGGAGCTCAGGGTCATGCGCCGGGGCGGCGCGTAGCGCGGGTAGTACGTCAGCGCAGATGTCGCGACCCCATCCCGTACCGGCACCTGCGATATCCGGGCAAGCTTCAGAGTGAGGCGCATCGCTCCTTCGATGTGAGGTGCGGGGGCGTCTCGGTGTGGGTAAACGCGAAGAAGACGGCGCCTGTTTGCAAAACGTAGCCTTTGCACCGGCCGTGCACCGGCCCAAGAGAAAGAAGTTGAAGAGACAGCAAAAGCAGCAGCAAAGTCTGCTGTGGAAAAGTGCTTCTGCGGTGCGGTGCAGTAGAAACAAAACCTATAGTAGGAGGGAAGAAAATAAAGAATGAAGAATGTATGGAAAGCGCAGGTTGAAAGGAGAACAACGCCGAGTAAAATCGGCAATTTGCGGTAGCAAGACGGACTGAGGAGAAGATACAAAAGCGACGCCGCTTCTGTCGGGAAGCTGCACAGGCTAGGTTTGGGTTCAGTCGGGTTTGCCAGTTCAAATATGAATTGCCCATGGCAATGAACTCTGTCACGGGTAAAGGCGGAAGACGGTAGCAAAGCACATCCGCTGCGCAACGAAACCGTCCATTGCGAACATGAGCACCACACGTTTCTTCGATTTCCGTTTTCTGCATTGTACGAAGCACAAACGCAGTTACGCACGCTCACATATTCGATTCACGCACCTTCGTCTCCTTTCACGGCAGTGGAGAGGAATCTGCATTGCGATCCACCGCGCAATTTTCAACTTGCACGTTTGGGTTCGTCTCCACCGCATGAAATAACACTTGTACGAAAGAAGAAGAAAAAAATAATTTAGCGCGAAGCAAAACGAAACGACTAATGCATATAAACAGAAAAGAACTACGTGACCACCCACTCTCTAAAAAAGATAGCTGAGTAGGTCTCGTGAAGAGCGATAAAACAATGTATTGATACCTTCCTTTTTATTTTCCTGTGGAAACGAACACATGAAGAGGGCGAAGCGAGTGCCTCTTCTCTGGTGTTTTTCCTTCTCGTTCTCTCGATCTCTCCGCTTGCTCAAAGCACCTTCGCCTCGTTGCACAGCTTGTCGTAGAACTCGTCCACCGACTTCACCTTCACACCAGCCTTACGGGTCTCTGGCTCCGTCACCACCTCCGTCGACAGATGCGGTGCGATGTCCACGCCGAACGCCGCCACGTCGCGCGTGTCGATCGGCTTCTTGCGCGCCTTCATAATGTTCGGCAGCTTCGGGAAGCGGGGTGTGTTGAGGCGCAGGTCCGCGGCCAGCACGCACGGCGTCGTCAGCTCCACCACCTGGTGCCCGGCATCCACCTCGCGCGTGACGGTGACAGCGTTGCCCTTCACCTCCACCTTGGACGCGAAGGTGCCCTGTGGCACGTTCAAGAGGCCGGCGAGCAGCTGCGCCGTGCAGCCGCAGTCGTCGTCGACGGCCTGCTTGCCGAGGATCCAAATGTCCGGCTTCAGGTCTTCGTGCAGCTTCTGCAGAATCTGCGCCACCGCCAGCGGCTCCACCGTCTCGGCCGCCGCGTCTGGCACCACCACGTGGACCGCCGTGTCGCACCCGAGCGCCATGGCGGTGCGGAGGACCTCCTCCGCCTTCTTGCTGCCAATGGTGACCGCGACGACCTCCGTTGCCAACTTCTTCTCCTTCAGCTGAATCGCCTCTTCGATGGCGATCTCGTCGAAGGGGTTCACGCTCATCTTGGAGTTGGCCGTCTGCACCTTGTTGTCCTTGACGCGGACCTTCACCGTATAGTCCACCACGCGCTTCACGCACACGGCGACCTTCAGATAATTAGGGAGAGTGCGGAACATCAGGGCAACTACGTTTCGTGCGTGCGTATGCGCTGGTTAATAATGAAAACACTTCCGATAGCGGTGGAGGCGCCAGCGACGGACGAAATGAAAAAAAAGAAGATGTATGTTTCAAGACAATAGTATCCGTGGATATAAAAGGACGCCGAGAAGCGCACTACTAGTGATTCCTCACAGCAACTATTAAGAGAAAAAATATTTATACGCTGTCGCAACGTTGATAAAGCAGATTCGAATAGCTGAGCAGCCATAACACGCGTTTGAGCCGGTCAGACGGAATTGCAAGAGACGAGAGAAAGGTATAAAAGAAGGACGAGTATTCCCTCCACACCACCCCTTCCTTCCTCCACACAAGAGAGTCACTGTAACCACGCAACCGCAAGCAAGTACTCGGTTCAACTAATCGTAATAAAAGAATGCAACGGGTCAATCTTTCCTAAAGTTGATCAGCGCTTGCATCTCCCCACTTCGTGACGCTGATATACACGAGACAGCCGTAGCGCGTACACAGAGGCACCTTCGTTCTTCATATCATCACTGAAATCTCTTGCACCGCAGGCGGCGTGTTCACCTGCCACTCCACAGTGCCGCTCTCCTGTGCGCTGTAGACGAGTACTGACACCCCTAAGAGCAACTTCATTGCGCGATGTGTTTACGATCGTGAATATCTCGCTGAATATGTGACGTGAGTGAAGAGTTAGTTATAAAAGAAAAGTGAGAGCTCGAGAAGAGAAAACGGCGAGGCGAGACGGAGTCGACAGCCACCGCGGCAGTAGTGCGATTTACAGAAACAGAAGTGTACGACTTCGGCAAAACACGAAGAGGGCTCCACGGAATGACTCTCCAAAACAATAAAGAAAAACGTTAAAGAAGAGATCTTTTATGTGAGAAGAGGAGAATACTCCTGTGAAACCAGCAATCGACATCGTCACCAAAACCACCACGGCACCAATGCGTACAGAAGGGACAGAACAACAACAACAAGAGCAATAAAACACGTCCTCGATCACGAACGTGCGGGCGACGACAACCGGGTCAGACGTCAATAAAAAGAAAGATCGAGAAACACGGCAACCAAACGCATAGGAAATGGAAGCTAATCACAGAACCTGCGCGTACCACAACAGACAAGAAAGGGGAAATAAATTATTCCATGCACGCACACAATGTATCACACACCCACACACGCCATTACTTCTTCTTGAGAGAGCGCATGCTCGTCTTTCCGTTGAAGTTCGGCTTGCGCATGCGGATGCTCTTCGGCGTCACCGTCACCAGTTCGTCGTCAGTCACCCACGCAACGCAGTCCTCAAAGGTGTAGCGCATAGCCTTGGAGGCGCCTCGTTTGCTGTTCGCCTTGTCGTTCGCGTTCGATCGCATTCCGCCCAGCTGCTCATTGCGCTTGCACACGTTGACGCCGAGGTTCTGCAGCGGCGTTTTCAGGTTTTCACCTACTATTTGCCCGTAGAACACCGGATCTCCCGGCAGCACGAAGAAGCGACCCTGCGTGCTAAAGCCGGAGAGGGACCAATCCGTCACCTCACCCGAGTCGACGGAGATGAGGGCGCCGGTGTCGCGCTCCGTGTCCATAGCCGCCATCGGTCGATAGGAGTCGAACTGGTGATTCAAAACGCCGTCGCCGCCCGTCAAGGTGTGGAACTTCAGCGGCACGTTCGACATGAGACGCACCGGCATCACGCACTCCATCATCACCCGCCCGTTCGAGACCTGCTCAACCTCGCCAATTTCGCCCATCTTGGAACTGAGGAAGGAGACGACCTCGGACACCAAGTTCTCCTTGAACTCCAACGAAAGCCGCTCGAAGGGCTCGCACTCCTCGCCGTTGACTACGCGGGTCAGCACCTTCGGCGCCTGTATCTCAAACTCGTAGCCCTCGCGACGCATGTCCTCAATAATCACGGAGAGGTGCAGCGGCCCGCGGCCTTGCATCGTCACCTGCTTCGTGTCCATCCCGCTAAGGTGCAGCGCCGTATTCACCATCGCCTCCCGCTCCAGCCGCCTGCGGATGGCCGTCAGAGTACCCAGCTGATCACTCGTCTCTTTGCCTTTCCAACTCGCCTCGCTCTCCTGAAGGATGAGACTATAGGTCGGGGCGTCCGGCTTCTTGTAGGGGAACAGCTTCACGTCGCCCTGTTTGCCAATGGTGCCGCCAATCTTCAGCGGCACCTTCTGCCCAATCGGCTCCTGCAGCTCCAAGATGCAGATGTCACCGTAGCTGGCGGACTGCACCGGCATCTTCTGTACACCGCAGTAGAGATGAATGGACTTGACAAGCGCATCCATCCGCTTGTCTTCCAGTCCGACCGTGACGACGTCGCCGACGCGCACCGTGCCGTTGTATATGCGGCCAATCGCCAGCTTCGTGTTGTTCTTCTCATTCTCGTCGACCTGTGCGACGAGCATCTGCAGTGTCTCTGCGTCCTCCGTGGCGGGGGCGGGGACGCGATCGAAGATGGTGTCGAACAGCGGCTGCAGCGTGCCCTCCTTCTTCGGCTCGCTGTTCATGTACCCGCTGCGGCCGGAGCCGTAGAGGAACTTGATGTCCAGCTGGCCATCATCATGGGCCGTCTCGAGAAACAAGTCCTCGACGGCCTGCTCTGTCTTGTCGATGTTCAGGTCGTCCTTATCTATCTTGTTCAGACACACAATGGGGCGCAGGTTGAGGGAGAGCGCCTTGCGCAGCACGTAGCGCGTGCCAGGCCGCACCCCCTCCTTCGCGTCCACCAGCAAAATGATGCCCTCTACCATCTGCAGCGCGCGCTCCACCTCACCTGAGAAGTCCAAGTGGCCAGGTGTGTCGACGATGTTGATGCGCCGCTTGCCGTCGTCGAGGAGAATGGCGGTGTTCTTCGCCAGAATGGTGATGCCGCGCTCCCTCTCCTGGTCCTTGCTGTCCATGACTCGGTTGTGAGCGTTGACGATGGTGCCGGACTGACTCAGCATGCTGTCCACGAGCGTCGTCTTGCCGTGATCGACGTGGGCGATGACGGCGATGTTCCGCACGTCATCACGCGCGTGCAGCCACCGCGCCAGTGGGGCAGACACGCACACCGACGACACAAAGAAGCGGCGCATTCCCAAAAAAAAATATTAATAGAAAAGGCAAAAAGAGTTGTGTGGAGATCAATACAGACGAATGCGAGGAGAGAGTTCACTCCTTGTGCGTTGCGAATGCTGTTGCGGAGTACGGGTGGCGCCACGTGCACCCAAGGCCACAACTGTGAAGAGTGTTTGAACGTAGAAAACGAAAAGAAATGTGAGGAGAGACAGCGAGACAGCTGACAGTGACAGTTGACGGTTGCCGTTTAACAACAACAAAAATGTGTAGGGACGGTTTCGAGCTTAAAACGGTGAGAAACCCAAAAGCGTTTGTTGACGTTTTTGTGATGCAGTGAACGAGAGGAAGAGGAAGGCGATCGAGGAAAAGCGGAGAGGTGGGCGAGCTGTCGTGGAAGGGTCGCCCTTCTATAAAAGAACAATATGAATTCGGCACATTTCTCGGTTTACAGCAGCATCAGCAACGCATACAGCGAGGAAAGAAACAAAAGAAGCAGCGCTCTTTCTTTTTCATTTATCCCCTGCTGGTCGGTAGGACACCCCGGGGCGCGTGAGCGAAGCGGTGCGCACATCACCCGGCATAACCTCCTTGACAGCGGTAGTGCCACATTGACTACACGGCGGTGGCGTTGCAGAGCATAGCTTTAAAACTAGAATCTAATACGAATTACGCGGTTAAAGATTTACTTGACGACATCACAGAGACTCACCCCTCCTACTCCCACCAGTTTTGTTAGCGTACGAGTCACGCAAGCACATCAGCAGAGACAGCGCGCCAAGAGCAGCCGGCGTCCTTTCTTTCGCTGTCAACGGCGAATAGCTCTCTCCCCCTTCCCCCGAAAACAAGGAGCACCTGAAGCATCGCTAAAACTGTAGGTCAAGCGTCGTTGCATCCACCATGAGCTCCCTCACCGGAATCGTTTCCGTCATGCCATCCGGCCACGTCCGGCGAACCAGCATGGGAATTTTGCGTTGAATGAGGTCGTACTTCGCCATCATTACGGGGTCCACCGCGAGGGAACGCGCGTCGCTGCAGCGCTCCGCGGTTTCGACGGCGTCGCGGCCCGAGGTGGTCGCGGGCAGGGAGATCGCAGTGCCGTTTACGATCTGCTTGGCCCGCTCCCCGACAATGCGAGCCACCTCGAACTTGGTGAGGTAGAGACCACTGCGGCGCTCGGCAAAGGGCGTAATGGTACTCGTGTACGCCGAGACGTTTTTGGCGACTTCGGCATCCAGAACTTCCGAGCGCAGCATTTCTGCTTTTACGTTTACAACAGCGGTTCTTTCTTTCGTGATTGTGTGTTTGTGTAACGCGATCCGCAGATGGCAAACTCGTGCCACAACAACTCACACTCGTGGCAATGACAGCGCACGTTGCAGAGCCTTACAGACACGCCAACAGCGGAAAGGAGAGACACGAGGGGAGAGAGAAGGAAAAGAAAAGAAAGAGAAGAGTAAATGAGTTGAATGCATTGTAGGTTAATCCCACCTACCTGCGGTTTGTCCAGTCAGCATGTCACACTTCACACGCTGATCGCGCTTCGATCGTCTTCGCCGAGTCTAAGAGGAAAACACATGCAAAAACGTTTCCTTTCAATCCCTCTGCCGTGGAAACGCCGAACGCAGCGTTGTGCCGCCGCACAACCAGAAGGTACCGATGTTAGCTTGTGTGTGTGCGTTATTTTGTGTTGGCGTTTGTGCAGCCGTGCGCCACCACCACTCTCTCGCGCCGTGTCGAGAGCCCTGATGCACCTGCACAAAGAAATCGTCACGGTGGCCTCCCCTTGTCCGTTCCGCGTCACGACAAGGCGGTCTTCACACCGTCCACAGCGCAACGGAGCGAAAAGGCGTCGAGAGGGGACAACGGAGGCGCTGAAAACGGCGAAGACGCAGGGGCATCCGGCACATTCATGAGCTCCTCGCACCGCGGTAGAACATCTCGCGTTACAACGTCGAACAGCTGAGCCCAGCCGCGGTGGGCAGAAGGCTCGTGGTCGTTATTCTGCTGCTGCTGCTGCTGCCCCAGTGGCGCCGACCGCCTCGCTGCGTTCTGCCCAATATCGCGAATCCACCGCTGCCGACTCGCCGCCACGCGCACGAAGTTGAGCGCCACAACGAGCGGGTCGAGGAACCCCTGCGTGCCTCCCACGACGTGCTGGAGAAACGCCACCATGCACCCGCCTAAGCCCATCGGCGCCATAGACGACAGCGGGGAGGACAGCGCCGACGCTGCCGGGGAAGCACCCGCAACAGCAGCGGCGGTGTCCGCTGTGCGCACACGGTTTTGTGGCTCCTGCGCCCACCAGTCCTCCAGCAGTCGCTCCAGGAAGAAGCGTGCGATGGACGGATACGGGCAGAGCGTCAGCAGAGAAAGATGCATTCGCACCCGTGGCTCCTCAGTCAATCTCTCCAGCAGCTCCAACGCAATGACGCGGGCAGCGCGGCGATGCTCATCGGAGGGGCACAGCGCTGACACCGAGAGGAGCTCCTTTTCTATTGCAAAGAGCGCCTCGTAGCGCCTCGTGAGGCACGCGTCGAAGGCTTGCGTGTTGTTCAGTGTAAACACCGATCCCATTGACGGCGTCGGCTGCGCACCGTGGGCATGCTGCTCCCCAACACAGTCAACGCTGTACTTCGGGATGGCGGCGACGATGTCGTGCAGCAGCAGCAGGTAGCGCATGAGTGCTGCACGGCACGTGCACGTCAACGCCACCGGGAGGGCGTCAGCGACGCAAAGAAGCAACGAGGTGGCGGACATGGAGTACAGCGCGGCCGGACACACACGTGCGTCACGCAGCACATCCACGATGAGCAGCAGCGCACCTTGACGAGACAATGGAGAAGGCAGCCCAAGCTCGAAGGAGGAACTCATCTCAACATCAATATTACCTCTGCCCAGCTCATCCACGTCGTCAGTTTCGACGAGGGTGTAGGCATCCATCTCCTCCTCACGCTCTCGTGCAAGCAGCGCGGCGGTCGTGTCGGGTGGCGCCACGCCGCGCTCAAGATCCGTCGAGAACATCGTCGCATCACTGATGCTGGGAAAGACGGGTCCGTGCAGATGGACGATCGCAAACGACCACATGTCATCGACGTCCTCCACAAGCAGGGTATGGACCAACTCACCGATCAAAGAACGAAGCTCCACCACAGCGGCATCCAACGAAGACGCGGCATTGGCTGGACGTGTTGGCTTCGCTTCTGCTGACGCGTCCATTTTCTTCTCCTTCTTTTCCCGGGGGGCACCGTCGACCTCACGAAGAAAGCGAAGTCGCCATTCTCGCAGCGACGCCCCCGTCGACAGGGCGGTGCCCACGGTGTTGTCAGCACGTTCGATATAGGACTCCATCTGGTAGAGGGCGGCGTACGTAGAGAGGAGCAGCGGACACACCGTGTTGTCTCGAGTGGTGCGATAAACGGCGTTAACGAGGTGCGCTAATGCGTGAGGGACGTTGTAGTCAGCGAGTGCTTCAAGGAGGAGCAGGTGCTGCCTCTCTGCGTTGTCTGTCCCTCCATCGGGATTGACTTCTTCGCATATTCCTTCCGAAAAGGGGGAAAGAGGGACGCCATTGCGAAGGTGCTGCGATGTGGAAAGCGTGTGCGTTTGAGCGTCTCGCAGGCACAGCTGAGGCAGTATGGAGCGGATCATCACGGCAATCAGGTCTCGCGACCACGAACGCATCGTCGGAAGTGCTAAACCTACCACAGAGCTGACGGGGTCCGAATTACCTTCGGCGACAGTTGAGCGCCCGTCGGTGATCGAAACTGCGTTGGCATCCGCAAGACGCCTCCTGCGTGTCACCGTCTCCGCGAACAGGGCCACGTAAACACGTGCAGCAATCACCACGTACAGCGCCAGTTGCGCAGGGGAGGTGAAGGACGGCGTGGTAGACACCAACGACGTCATCAGCTCTCGCGCATCCACGTTCGAACTTGTGAGGGTCGTTTCAATATGGGAGACATCGTGAAGAGACACCTCGTCGAGCGAGGCGATTTGCGCCGCTATTTTTTCCAACGCGGGAACTCCCTCGGCGGGGGGTGCGCTGAATGCCCACGACAGCGCATGAGCGTCTTCTTCGGTGATCTCCATGGCGGGCAACTGCACTCTTTCGTTTCGAAGGCGGCAAAGCAGTACGGCAGGAAAAGAAAACGAAAGAGAATGGAAAAGGAAGATGCGGAAATCGTGCATGCGAGAAAGGGAACAGAATGAAGCTAACACACTCGGCAAGGGGCGAGTCATGTAGGGAGTAGGGCGCCGTGTCGAAGTGCGGTCTCTGTCGTCCCATTCTCTTCATGAAAACCACACGTATGCAAACGCGCTCCGAGCGCACTGTTGAAGGCAGTGACTGTCTTTCCTCTGTCTTTCTTCTTTGGCGGCCTCATTGCAGACGACCTCACGTGGGAGGAGAACCAGCCATAGCAGAAACAGCAAAAAAAAAACGCCAGTTGAGGTACACTTCTACTGAAAAAGACGGTGCTAAGGCGGGCCGCCAGCGCCGGCATCGCCACGCTGCTCATGCTTCTCATTGTGCACGGCAGGAGATTGAATGACACGATTCAATACCTTTTCGCCCTGTTTCGCAAGGACATCGTCACACTGCCGCTGCAGATCATCGCAGCGACGCTCTAGCATTGCACGCTGCACGGCGAAGTGCGCCTGTTGACGCTCATTCGCTGCGATTTGGTCCCCGAGTGCGCGCCGCAACTCCATAATTTGCACATTGGTGCTCTGCTGAGAAACCAAGAGCGCCTCTTTTAATTTCTTTACCTCCGCGACGCAACGCAACGCACGCGCGGTCACCGTCGTGTCGGGGTCGAAGGTACGCGAAGTCAGGTCCACGTAGGTGGTGGACAGCAGGTGCGAGCGGATGTCGGCCACCTCGAAAAGGAGGTCGTCGAGGGCGAGAAACACCTCACGCGGTTCATCGACCGGTGGCGGCGTTGGCCTGACAGGCGCTGAAGGGATGTTGCTCACCGTTTGCTTGGGAGAGGAAGTGACAGAGGGGAGGGACCGCCCACGCAGTTGCTGTACCTCCTCTTGCAGGGCCTCTACGGTGCAGCTCAACTCTGCGTTGCGCGCCGCTGCCGCCTCCACCTCCAGCGTGAGTAGGAGACTGTCCGCAGCGTCCGCCATGAAGCCCGCAAGCCGATCTTGCCGAGCTAAGAACGGACGAAAAAATAATTGAAGAGGAATATCTATGTATGGACCTCGTCGCTAGTGTGAAGAAAAGGATGCAGTAGCGAGCGTCAGCGGCCTATGTGAGTGTTCTGAGCACGGAACAGGATAGTTGAAAAAAAAAAGAAGAAGCGGAGAGAGATACCAAAAGTAAGTAAGGCAAGAGAGCCATTATCGTATCCCCTTGAAATTCCTTGAGAACAACAACGGAGATCAGCGCGTCCGTGAGGCGTAGTCAACGTAGTTTACGTGCTCGACGGACTCGGTGACGACTACCGACGCAGCGTCCATTTTCTGCACCGAGCTATTTCCTCACTCCTCCTTTGTGCCGTTAATACTATTGTTCATCCTGCTTCAAGTACCTCCACTTTTTGTTGACTCTTTCACAGCCAACGCGTACCAGCACAGCCAAAAAAAAAAGTCCGCCTGTGGAGACATATCCATAGAGAGATACTCATTCAAGCACCATCTCAAACACGCACGACTGCAGTGACTGAGCGCCCATCCTCACACGTACATTGCAGGTCGCACGTTGACCGCAAAGCAATGCAAATTATGAGAAAAAATAGTACCCCCAGCGAAAGTCATGAGAGAGCCGTTCCGCTGCTCCTCCACGCTAGAGCGTTTGCGAGTACTGCCGATACACCGCCCGGCGGAGATCAAAAAGCGCTGGGGTGGCAATGGAGGAGATGGTCACGGTGCCGTCGCCACCCTTGCGTACACATACGCCTTCGTCAAACACAAGCAGCGGGGCCTTCTTGTGGAATTCACTGTAGAGACCGTTGTCCAGCCGGGACGACTCTCGCAGCCGCTGCAGGTCCACGTCGCCTACGAAGAAGGAGCCACTCTGCAACCCCTTCAGCTCCCGCTGCGTCGCGCACGCCTGCGTCTTCTCCGGCGCGACGGTGGTGAGAGAGTACGACGACAATTCCAACCGACTCCGCTGCGCCGCAGGCTCGTTGAAGTCGGCCTCCGTCAGCACCCCGCTGAGCTCCCCGTCCACCCAGCCGACCTCCCACGTGCTGTCCGACTTCGACTCGCGCACCGGCCGTAGCCCGCGCACCAAGTTGCTCGCCAGACTCGCCTCGAGCTGCACGGCGTAAGAGTACACGTGCGTCGCTAGCTCGAGCGCCGTCCGCGGCACGCTGGGGGTAAAGACGCTTGAGCCGCACTTCATCGCCTTTTCGGCGCGGCAGAAGTGCAAGAAGGCGCGGCCGTCGTCCGCACCGCCGCGCAGGCCAACCATCTTCTTCGCAAACGTCCACTTCGTCTTCAATATACTCTTCATCGTCAGCGCGTCCGGGTAGCCCGTGAGGTCCGACAGCACCACGCGGCATCGCCGGTTGACCTGCACGGCGACTTGTGATATCTTTGACGGGATGTTCGCGAGTCGCTGCGCGTCGTTCTCCACCAGAAGGGCCTCCGGTCCGGCGTCGCTCTGCAGCCGCGTGGGGGCGCGCTTCTGCAGCACCAACTGCTCCTCGTCGCTGACTGGCAGACCGTAGGCGACGTCGACGTGCTTGAGCGCCGCCGCGCTGAGCGTGCCGGTGGTCTCGAGAACGGGAAAGCAGAGGTGCCTGGAGAAGTAGTGAAGCGGAGAGGGCAACACGAGGCCGACGGTGGTGGCGCTGACAGCAGCAGGCTTCGACTTCGGCTGCAGAGCAGCGCCCTGGGCCGAAGTAGGTAGCTTGCCACCGGTGGTGGCACCGGTGCTGGTGCCGGACGCAGAAGCCGCGGGTGCCGGCGTGTTGCCCACGGCATCGCCTCGTGCGTTCACATCTGTCTCGTCCTCCTCGTCGTCCGCCTCGCGCGCGCCGGCTGCGTCGTCGTCCTGCACGACGTTAAACGCGCTCTGCGCCTCCAACTCGCGCCGTCGTTGCTCCATATCGTGCTCTAATTCAATGTAGTATTCCTCCAACTCCTCGCCATTCAACCTGCTGCGACGCGTGATGTGCACGTCCAGTCGCTCGCCGTCTTCCGCCGCGGCGATGGCGGCCGCGTTAGTGCCCGGCAGCGGCGGTTCCACGAAGACAATTAGATGGTCTGCGCCGTCACGGTTGCCCTTCACGAAGTACTCCAGCAGCTCCGCGGAGGGACCAAAGTCGAGGGCGGCACCATCAGCCACGCAGATCTTCGGGCTCGGCAGCGCCATTACCTCCTCCGCGCTGCGGCAGGCAACCACGTTGGCGAAGAGGCGCTGGTCGCCCAAAATGAGATCGTCCTGCAGCGACTCCGTCATGGTGGCCGCCTTGTCGATGAGCTCCTGTGCCTGCGAGGCCACCATCGCCACCTTGTACTTGTCACCGCCTTGCTCGGCGAGGAGGTGGATGATGGTGTTGAGCACTTCCAGCCCGCGCCCCGCCACGTCGACCGGCACGAGCACGTCACTGCCACCACGCAGGGTGTGCTGCATCTCCTTAAAGAGGGCTTGCAGCTGCTCCTCATACTTCTTGGTGCTGCTGGCGCCGGAGAGATGGAAGGGGAAGCTGCAGAGAAACATAATGTTCGCCGTGGTCGGCATGTTGAAGCGCTTCAGCGCGTACGACGGCTTGACCGAGAAGTCAGGGCAGTAGAAGAGCTCGTCGATTTGGTACTTGATCGTCCAGCCGTAGCCGCCCAGCATGCGGCCCGCGAACACCGCAAAGCAGCTCACCTCCATGTCATCGTGCTTGATCGTCACCTTTCCTCCGTAGGGCTCGCGGATCATGCGGAAGCTGTTGTAGATGGAATCCACCGTCATGTTGAAGTGACTTCCGTCGTCCAGTGCAAAGGTGTGCGAGTTGGGGTACTGATACAGGAAAGGGTGCAGAACGCTGTGGACGGCAATCTTGGAGGTTGCACCCGCGGCCGCCACGAGCGTACCGGGGGCGATGTGCTCCAGTACGAAGGGCAGCGCACCGCAGGCATTGATGTGGGGGCTGGATATGAGCACCGCGTGCACCGAGGCGAGGTGCGGCTTCAGCTGCGTTAGGTACATCGGGTCGAAGGCGTCATTCCACCCGCAGTCAAACAGGATGCGCACGCCATCGATCTCGATTAGGTAGGCGTACGGCGCCGACGGCGACGTGCACTCGTACACCGGCGTGAAAAGGATGCTGCCAGCCGACGCGCGCAGCATGACGACCTCAACAATGGAAAAATAGATAAACGACTTGTAAGCTGCAGATGAAGATTGGAACGAAGAAACGAAGCAGGTAAGAGAGAGAGCCAGAGAAACAATAAAAAAGAGGCGATAAAGCAATGGAGGAGGGGAGTACAAAAGCTTCATAAAGGCATCACCAAAACGCAGTGGAATTTCCTTCCCAGATCGCGCCCTGCTCTCATTGGTCGACGGCACTGCCCTCTCCAACAGCGACGTTGCCCCAACTCATTCCGGCGTAAGAGATGCGTCGTAGCGCAACAATACATACATATATATATATATTCTTGTTGTCGCCTCAACGGACGTGCGTTCCTTCGGTGTTACTTTGCACAAGGAAAAAACGTGCGCCACCGAGAAAACGCACACGCTGGCGGTTTCCTTCCTTTTCTTTTCTTTCCCGTTTTCGGTAGCGCGCTGCGAGCGGACGTGCACTTCCCCACGAGAGCCACCGTACGAAGAAACTCCTCAAAACAACAACGCCATCTGCTACACATGTGTGAAGAAGAAACTATCTGTGTGTCTGTTATCTCGCCTGCTCACCGTCAAACGGCAGCGTCGACCATATCTGAATAGAACGACAGAAACAACAAAAGCAAGCCCGCGATGTTGCGCCTCACAAAACACGATTTCCCTGTGGGAACGTGAAAGACAAGAAACTCTCCTGCAGCCCACGCACGCACCGCGACAAAGGTTAGAGAACTACGTCGAGGGAGGCGCGTCCTCGACCGCATTTGACATTTGAAACGTGTAGTTGTCCATGCTTGTCGGGACCGCGTCCACATCCGCTTCGCCACTCTGCGAAGGGGGAAGAGCGGCAAACGAAGGAATGTGCGGCACCGCATCCGCAAAGTAACGCTTCAGCGCCCCCATCGCCGCGGCGTCCACCGCCTCCTTCTTCCGACTCGCCGACGACTCCGCCACACAGCAGGCAAGTTCCTCGGTGACGGGGACGCTTAGGCGGCAGTGCCAGATCTTGTGCACCTGCTGGACTTCTACTCGAAGGTCGAGTCCGTAGGCAAGTTGGCACAGCAGCCGCAGCAGCTGCTCCGGTGTGTGGAACTCCATGGTCGCCAGCTTTGGCGCCGGGAGGAACTCCACGCCTGTCTCCACGCTCACGCGAGTGCAGAAGTCGTGCAGGCAACCGAGGAGCTGTCGGCTCACGGTCTCCTCCAGCACAATGGACTGCGTACCGGATGCCACGGAGAAGGCAAGCTGGTACAGCTCCCCGTGATGGAAGCGCAGGATCAGCGTGCTGCCCGTCAAAGCCTTCCCACTGGTCGCTTTGATTTCGCACACCACGGCATCAAGCAGCCGGGCGAGGCAGCCGTTTTCAGCGGGGTGGAGGTGCAAGCGTCCCTCGTGCACCACCGTTTCGTGGAAGGCGCGCTGGCGCACGCGCACGTGGCGTTCGAAGACGTTCTGCGCCGCCCGCACGACGGACATGAACGGGGACTCCGCGTGTCCGCGGCCCAGGAAAAAGTTGCGGTCCAGGAAGAAGACAGTGGAGGCAACTTTCTCGTGGTGCTTCAACACAGCGCTTTCGACCGGGTAATTCCCCCACAGCTCGCCGGTGTACTGCGCACCCTCCTGTGTAATGCGAACCGAGCAGCGCAGTCCGTACAGTCGGCCAATTGCGTCGATGCAGGTTTGGAGGGGTGTGGACGTGGGCAGCGACGTTGGCACACCCGCTAAAAACTCCATCGTGCTCCTCGGCTGGAGATCAGCGCTCCCCGCGCTGCTCCCCTCTTGTTTGTTTGTGTTGTCGGTGGTGCTCGTCGTCCCTTTCTCACGACGAATCACCTTCCGTGTCGACTCCAACAGCGCAAAAAGCGCGCCAATTTCTGTACCTGACGTCGCCTCGCACACCACTCGCTCCATCCCACCTGCACTCTCAGCGCCACCAGCCACGCATGCAGCCGTATAGCCACCATTACCGCCCGATGTGCTCTCATCACCCCCTCGCCGCACACGCACCGTCAGCTGCTCCGCGGCGTTGCCGGTGATAAAGTTCCAGAAGGACTCCAACGCGGAGTCACGCACGTCGCACGCGGGCAGCGGCTGCAGCACCGACGAGCGCGTCGGTACGAGAGTGGAGAGGCAGGTGTCGGAGGAGAGCGCTGACGCAAAGCGCTCCGCATCGGAGTCCTGCATCGGTACCACGCCCTCAAACGGCGTCGGCGCCCCATCGCGATCGATCAGGTTTTTCTCCTGAGCGTCCTTCACGCAAGCCCTGCACAGGTCAGGGAAGCACTTGGCGAGCGCGGCGGCTACGACTTTGTTCTCACTGCGCGACTTGCGGTTGTCGAAGGCGTGGACGCACAACTCCCGCACGACGTCAGGCGTCGAAGCAGCCGCAGCAGCGGTCGTGGAAGATGCGGACGGCTTCAATAGAAACAGCTGCGACAGCCACGCGACGGAGGAGCCGGTGGACACACCCCACAGCGGGTACGGCGTGTTCTGCCTCAACAAGACACTCTCAACCACAAAGTCAGCGTTGATTGTTTGCGTTGCCCACCTCAACTGCGCTTCGAGGCCACGCGACACGCGCGGTGGCACATTGGCGGACGCGGAGGCCCTGTCGCTTTGCTGGATCGCACGCACATCGGCGTGGTAGGCGATTTGCTTTTCAAAGATCTCGGGGAAAAGGGTCTGGATCGCCTGCACCGCCGCCAGCTCCAACACCTTCCCTCGCGCCGTGCCGTTTGTCTTGGCGAGAACAAAGAATGGAGTGGGCACGGTGTCGAGGAGGGTCACGCAAGGCGGCGAAAAGCGCAACGTTATCTCACCAGCAAAAACGCCCTCCGATTTCTCATGCGCAGCGAAGGTGATGTCGCTGTCGACGCAGCCGTAGTGGTAGTGCAGGAGTTTCCGCAGAAGACGCTTCACGCGAAGGCGGGACGTGGGCAGCACAAGATGTAAGGGGGAGCTGCGTATGCGCTGCTGCACCGACGCGTACCGCTCCGGATTGTAGGAAGCAGCCACCTTGTCGCAAAACGTTAATAGATCCCTCAGACCGACGGCGGTCGTGGACAGTGTCGTGGTGCCGAGGACCTGCCCGTGCGTGGGGTGCCGCACCGTGCACTCCACGCAGTCGGTTGGAAGCGACGAGGAGAACGCCGATGCACCCATCAAAAGTTGAAAGCCCTCGTTCACCCACGTTTTCGCGTAGAGGGCCAGCAACGTCGACGATGCCGCGTCACTGTCGGGTAAACTGGGCCACGGTAGCTGTGCGGAGGCGAAAGCGTCACGAAGCGCCCGACGGAGGCAGCTGTGGTAGCCTTCCCCCACGCTCTCCCCTTTGAAGGTGTCGACCAGATGCTGCACATCCGTTGGCAGCTGCGCGGTATTTGCTTGACGGGCCCGAGGCACCAACTCGACGTGAATGGTGTGCAGCTTCGTGCCCTGCAGGTCTTGCCCGCTCGTGTGGCGCATCAACAGCTTAAGAGCGGGGTAGGTGTTCTCTATGTGGAGCACAAGTCTGCGCACCTCGTCCGCGGTAACGCGGCTCAGATCCACCACCGTAGGGCGCACCGTTAAGGCGGGCCGGCCACGTTCGAAGAAGGAGCGCGAAGACGACACGGTAGATGCGCCGCGTGACGCTGCCGCCGTGGTTCCGTTTGACTGGAGGGACCGCAATGCCTCCGCCACGGTGGTGGCCGCGTCTCCGCGCTGCACCTTCTGGTACGGTACAATCCGCCGCTGCTCTCTTCCGAGCGAGGACACCGTGTGCTCGGCGAAGACGCGCATGTCCTCCGTAATGCACAGTTGCACGGCTCCGCCGATTAGCTTTTCCCTCTCGCGCAGCGCAACGATGAAGGCTTGGATGTCGCCGAGGGTGCTACACGGACGGCACGGCATCGCAAGGGCGCCGAAATGTTTGGGTGGGCATTTCAGCGAGGAGAGCGACAGCCGTGGACGTAGCATGTGGAATGCTGAGCTACGAGGAAAAGGAACGGAAGAGTTACAAGTGGGAGAGGACGGACAACCCGTGACACCGTACGCCGCCGTTGTATCCCGTATGGGTGCTGATTCTGTTTCGTCACATCAACACCAACCACAACAGAAAGAACGTTGAAGATCACAGGGCAGCACACCAAACACCAGAGAAGAAAGAGAGACAAAAAAGAGGAGGTTGATAGTGGAAGCCACTAGAAAAGAATAGGAAGGAACATATCAAAAAGGAAGGAGAGGTCCATTCACCAACCTCTTCACTCCACCGGGCACGCCGCTGCGGAGGAGGGAGTCCTTCTAGCACGAGCTTTCTTCAATGCAACGAATGAGCCGTTTGCTCAGCTGTTTCTCTTCCCGTCACATTTCCGCCGTGCTTCTCTTCAACGAAAAGTCGCTGAGATACTTTAAAAGTAGAGAATTCGCCTTGGCGGTCCAGAAAGGGAGTCAGGAAAACAACGCGAGGAGGAATAAAGAAAAAAAATGATGAAACCAAAAGGGAATATAGCGATGAAAGAATGTATATATATATATACTTTTGGTTTGCTACACGGCAGTTTCACGGATGCACTCCGCGGTGGAACTGTGTAGCACGAAAGAGAACGATAGGTATAGATATATGCGACCGTAGAGGACGACCTTTAGCAACGAAGGAGCGGCTTTGCGCTGAAAGGCGCCTCTTGAGCGCCTAACCACAAATTGGGGAAAAACTCTAGTCGACTACTCTCAGATCAGGAAGGAAGGAAGAAGAAAGGAGAAAGGAGAAAGATCAATTAAGTGCAAAACAGTGTCGCTACATCCCTGTATCGTTTTCATTTTCCTTTACGGGTAGCTGGCGTTATTTTCTTTTTATATTTATTTTTGAACCAATGAGAACTTTACGAAAGGGAGTTTCTTGCAGACTCAGATCGTCTGCATTTCCACCTCGTGGGGTTGGAAAAGAGGCGGGACGGTGGGAAAAAAGAAAACAGCCTTTCCTGGAGAGAGGTCGACTGGAGAGGAGAGAAGAGAAAGGGATAGTAGTACAACGTGAAGCTTTCGATTCATCTCCCGGCGATTTTTTCCTGGCGCAAGCTCTCAGAAAACGCTAACACCAACAGAGGAAGGAAGGAAAACAAACAAAAGAGAAGACAAGAGCAACAAAAATACGAGGAGTACTACAAGACTCTACGTTTTGCGTGGCACGAGAAGTCCAAGAGGCGGCCGGCCAGCAGGTGGACTCTTCTTTCTTTCTTTATTCGCCTACAGAGGGAATACGTTTTTCGCTTGTGTGAGCGGCGTCTGCAGAAACCGTGTTGGACGCCCGCATCAGCGCTACCGTTTGTCAACTAAGGCGGTGATAGCAAACTCGTACGAGTCGGGGTTCAAGTTCATCTTCTCCCGAATCGCCACCGCTGCCGCCTTAAGGAAGGAGGCGCTGTCGTTGCATGCACCGTGCAAGAGTGGATGATCCTTGCGGCCATCCAGCTCAAGGCACCGGCCGCCCGCACAGATGAAGCACACAAAGTGGAGGTTGATGTTCGCCTCGACCGGCTGATTCTGTGTCACGCCTTCGACCGCCGCAGACTGGTGTGCCTGCTCAAGATTTTCCTGTCTGGCAACCTTAACCCCCAACTCCATGGAGTCAGATGTGAGGTCCTTCGCCTCCGTCAAGGCGAACAGCGGGCTGTCTGGGGTGATGTCCCCGATAACTGCCAAATTGTTCATGACGGCGTGCAAGATGGCAATCGTGCCACAGGCGTTGCCGATGAGCTGCCGAGTAAAGAACACGTGCTGGCGCTCGAGGAAGGAGTCGATCTCGTCCTTCTGCGCGTCTTCCAACTCCTGTGTTCGGTTCTCCGTCGCCTTGCAGATCGGGTAGACTAGCATCACGGCGTGGACGGGCGCAGGTACCATGGCAAGAAGGTCGGGCGTCACTCCGAAGACATCCACGAATTGCAACTTCGGTTCTGGGATGCCGAGAGTGACGAGGTATTTGTTCATCACATCCGGGTTGTTCTCGAGTGGGAGCCACATGACTGCGCGAATGCTGCGTTTTTGGTGCGGTGAATATAAATTTTCTGTGAAACTATTTCAACTCTTACTTCTGCGCCTTCGCATTTCCGTTTATCTTCGTGCTTTTCTTCTTCTTTTGGCGTGGGAGCGATTCAGGCAAAAAGGGTATTGTGCTGCTTGCGTCGACGTGTGGCGGCTGCAGGTTCGCTTGCGCACAACGAAGACAACACCCGGTGCGATACGCATCGGCAGTGCGGCGCGTTGGCGAGAGAAGAGAGAAGAGAGAAGAGATGGGTGCGTGTAAAGGTCAGAGGCAGCTTTGTTTGTTTTCGTCGCTTTCCGCCGCACGCGTGCCCCGACCGCGAGGTGAGCACGACAACTGAGACAACAACGTGCGTGAAAGCCACCACCGCCACCTTCACTGTCACACCGTGAGACAGAGTCGTGCATCCGCACTTCTCCTCTCCGGCTGCTTTTCATGAAGGAACAGAAACACGTGCGAACGCTGAAAGCTTTCCGCGTTTGAGAATTCTGGCATAACGCCCAAGTCAGGTGCGGCGCTTCTGCCGTCCTCCTCCACACGCAACAGAAGCGTCGGTGTCGATCATGTCCGCGATGTTCGTGGTTCGTGTGCCCAAACACGAATACGCGGGTTCCTACTTGTTTGGTCACCTGTACGTAACAGCAAAAATCATGAGAAAAAGAAGAAGAAAACACCATAAGAACGACGTCGTTGTCTACAGTACACAGAAAGAGCCAGTGGCAGCAATATATATTGAAGGGTAGTCATTGCCCACGCATCCCTCCCTCTACAGCACCGCCTCGTGCATCTCTGAGAGGCTCGAAGCAAGTATGACATCTAGGGAGAACAGGAATTGCGGTTTGACCCTCGCGAAAAGACAAAAGACAAAGAATGGAGAGAAGCCTGCAGGTGCGGCAGGCCACCAAGAAGCCACAACGCAGACCGCGGGTCAAAATCAACAGCTGCGGTGCATGTACCACAACACACAACGCAGAAAAAAAAAGGACCGAAACGAATTCCCTCGACTTACATCATCCATCAAAGCGACAAACATCAACGCGACGGCGAAACAAACTACAAGTGTTATGTACATGCTATCTATGCGTCCTCTATCCCCCTAGCCTGCTGCGGGGCTCAAGAACGAGAACCGTTTAAAACAACCCAACACATCACAGATGGCCAAACCTTCGCCGAAGAACGACCTCACAAGAACGACTTGAGGTCGGGCTCCGTTTCACGGTCCACCTTGTTCACATCGATCGCTGCCTCGCACATCGGGCACACCGTCGTCTCCTTCAGCCGCTTCATGAGGGCGGAGTAGCTCGCAGGGAAGCCGCAGCACGGCGTGACGGTGTAGTCGCTCTTCACCACGTGCTTCCCCGTCACCGCGCAGAACGGGATCGCGTTCTTGCACGCCGCGCAGTCCAGATCCGTCTCTTGCACCGGCGCACCGCAGAACGGGCACGGCGTCGCCGCTTCCGGCGGGTCCTCCTCGCTCTCCTTGCCGCGTCGTCGCACGATGCCTTCGATCTTCTTGCGCGTCTTCTCACCCATCTCCATGCGGTAGCGCTCGTTCTGGATTAAGTAGCGCGCAAACTCGAAGGCTGATTTCTTGAAGTTGGACTTGACACACTGCAGCACCGTGGAGGTGAGAATGGCGACGATGTGCTTCGGGAACTTCTGGATGTTGCGCGCCACACGCAGCAGCATTCGGCACGCTGTCTCCTTATCATTCATGATCTTCAGCAGATCCTTCACCACCATGTAGGAGTGCAGCAGCATCAGCGTACGCCGCAGGTCATTTGGCACCCGCATATTTTTCTGCCGCAGAATGCGGTAGGCCTCGACGAGGGTCTTGTGCGAAGTCTTGTAGTTGCCCATTTCCTGCTCCTTTGCCGCGATGATGACGGACGTCTTGGCAGCCTTCTCGTAGCTGCCCATGGCCAGGTACAGCTTGAAGATGTACGACGGGTCCTTCGGCTCCCCGTCCGTCTCGCCCATGAGGTAGTCAATAAACCTGTTCGTTAGGCTGTCGCTGTGCGCCTTGCCGACGACCTCCACCGCCTTCTCCACATCCTCGGGCTGCCCCGACTCCATGTACTTCTTCAGCGCCTTGGCGTAGTTACCGGCGATGTGGTAGTACATGCCGGCCTGAGAGGGCTTGCCCTCCTTGTCGTAGTACTCGGCCACCATCGTGAAGTCTGCCTGCCTCGCCAGCGGAGCCACGCCGTCCTTCAGCTGCACCTGGCTCAGCAGCGCGCTCTCAAAGTTGAAGACACAGTTGTGCTCCTTCGCCAGCTCAAAAGCCTCCGGCAGCGACTTCGCCAGCACGAGGAACTCCACCGCGGTGCCGAACTCGTTTTGCTGCTGGCACTTGCGTGCGACCAAAGCGGCGGCGTTGGCGGAGTGCGTCTGCCGCACAATCACGTAGGCGCCGTGGAGGTCGTTCAACTTGTCAAGCTTCAGCCGCACCGCGTTGTCCCAGTCCTCGGCCTGCATGAAGGCCTTCTCCGCCTCCGCGAAGGAGCCCTCCGCCTCCTTTCCTTGTGCGTAGAGGCCGATGATGTTGCGCGACTTCACCTGCGGCAGCAGCCGGGCCGCCGCCTTCAGGTTACGGCAGCGCTCAATGAAGAGCGTCGCAGCTCGCTCCAGGTCGCCGGCCTTCTCGTACAGCTGGGCCGCCTCGTCGAACTTTTGGTTGTCCTCGCAGAGCTTCGCGCACTCCGCCACGAACGCAACGTCCGTCGACTCCTTCACGATGGCGAGCGCGTCCTTCAAGTTGCCTGTTCGAATTTGGCAGCGTGCGGTGCCCTGCCGGCACTGTTCGTTGTGCCGCTCCACCTCCTGCACACTTACTGCCAGCTCAGTGCTCGCGTGCCCCGTCGGCACCTGCCGCGTGCCCTGCTGAAACATTTCTAGCGCCTTCACGTACTCACCACGGTACTCCAGCTGTTGTGCGAACTCGCGCGAGAGAATCGGCACCTCCTCCGGCGCCAGCTGCTCGGCCAAGGCGATCGCGCGTGCCCACTGCATCATGTCGCGGCGCATCTCCAGCGCGCAGAGCGGCTGCGAGGAGCGCAAGAAAAAGTTCTGGGCGTCCTTCATGTACCCCATGATCATCGACACGTGCCCGAGCAGCAAATTCTTCTCGTGAATGTGGCGAATCTTTTCTAAGCAGAGCACCAGACTCGGCTGCGAGAGCTGCCGGTACACACGGATGGCCAGCTCGATGTCCAGCATGTGCAGCGCCTTCACCGCGAGGTCCTCCGCCTCCTGCGGCGTCGAGATGTTATTCGACGACCACCGCAGGCGGTTCAGCGAGAAGTTGTTGTAGAAGGCCTCCGGGTTGGGGGTACGCAGAAAGACACCGTTGTGCGTGCGCAGTGGGATGGACTCGAGGGTGCCGTTCGGCATCTGGCACACCACCGCCCCACGAAACAGCGTGACGGGCTTGCAGTCCGGCGGCAACGGCGTGTATAGGTTCGTGTTGCTCGTCTCCTTCACCAGCACCGACTCGCAGGTGGCGCCGTGGCGGCTGTGCGGCGTGCTCACAAAGGTGATGCCGTTGCGGCTGTCGTGCGTCATGAAGACCGTCGCGTCGGCCTGGTCCCACAAGATCGTCTTATGGTCCGGCTCCGCGCCCTCCGCCTGGTTCGCCACCTCCGTCACGGGGTTCAAGTTGAAGAGCTCGTTGTTGTCGTCGATGTAGGCGACGCGGGTGCACGCGGGGTTCGCAAAGGCGCGCTTCAGCCCCGTGTTGCACGCGAAGCCGGCCACCTGCTGCAGGTTGTGAATGGCGTAGACGCTGACGCGGGTCGTAGTGGCGTACAGCAGCAGCACCTCCGAGATGCCGATGGCGACGATGCGGGTGTCGCCGCTCTGGGGGAAAAACACCGGCGGCGCTGCTTGCGGGCTGTCGCGAACCGGATGCAGCTGCACCTTACCATCGTAAAGCACCGCGGCGAGCTGCGAGCTGACCTTGACGTCGCTCACCGCCGCCGGGTACTCCACCGTGCGCAGAAACTTCGAGTGCGGCTGCTGTTGCTGCGGCTGAGGCGACGCGGTGTCGTTCGGGCCGCCGCTCTTCGTCGGGTCGAGCGCGGCGTACGGCAGGCTGTTCGAGATGAAGTATTCGTAGTAGGAAACGTGATTGCCGCCGCCGACGGCGAGCATGGCCATGCCGGCGCTCATAAAACTGGGATCGCTGTTGATGGGCACGGTGCACACGATGCAGCCGTCCTGCAGGTTTTTTACGCCGATGGTGCGTGTGGAGACGAACGAGAAGACCAGCGCACCGTACGCAGCGCTCACGTTCAGCACGTTCAGCGAGTACACCGCCACGTTGCCGAGGTTGGTGGAGAGCAGAAGCTGCTGGCCGTCTTTGGACCACGACAGCTGCTCCGGCTTGCCCAATTCCGTCTCCACCGTTGCCTCATCGCCTGTGGCGTCGATGGAGCTATCCGTGATGCGCAGCAGTCGCACTCGATTGCCGCTGTTGAGTGCCGCCAGACCGCAGCCCTCACCAAATTTTAACACGTTGATGAAGTCACCCGATGACTTGAACGATGTCTGCATGCGCACTTCGTTGCCGCTCACCACGAGTAGGCCCACAGCCCCCGTGCCGAAGCCCGCCACAAAGGTGTTGCCCACCGTTGCGGTGAGGGCAGTGATAGGTCCGAGCTCCGTGCTAAACTGGCCGACAGAGACGGCGAAGCTGCGCACGTCGACGACCTGCACCGCCGTCTCGACGTTCACGGCGACGAGGGTGCGGTGCTTCGGCGTGCCGGCGGTGCGCGAGACGCAGAGCGACTTCGGCTCGCCGGCGAGCGTGATCACTTTCTGCAGATTGCCGTCACCGTCAGAGATGGAGAGTGTCTTGTCGGCGGACACGAGCACGAGGTTGTTGAGCGGCGGGGAGGTCCACTCCCCCGCTACGATCTCCTGCGTGTGTGTCCCAGTGATGGGGTTGAGGCGCAGCGTGTTTCGGTTGTACATGACGTACTGGCCAGATTTGGAGCCGACGACAAACTGCGGCTGCATCCGGGACCACGCAATAAGGCATAAGTTGCTGATTTTCGTGTCTATCGTGTCTACCTGCCGAGTGCGGTGCGTGTAGAGCTGCACAAGGGAGGACGACTCGGTCACCATGGCCAGGGTGTCACTGCGGAGGTCCCAGGCCATGTCCACCACACCGGGCATCACGAGTTGGTGCTCCGCCTTGCCTTGTTTGTTGGAAATGATGACGCGGCCCTTTTGCCCGGCCACGGCGATAAAAGGCAGCGTGGAGTGCATCGCCGCCACCACCGGTCCGCGGCCGACGTCCGCATTGGGGATGACAAACTGCCTGGTAAGCCCCATCCCTTCTAATTCTACTGGTGGTTGTCTGTTTGCGCTCACCGTCACCTTTGCGGTAATGGAGAAATGAGCGTGGAATGAAAGAACGCGAGAAAACGGAAACGAACACGAACGTTGAAAAGTCGCAAAGCATTTTAGTTAATTTCTTATTTCATCATCGTCGAGTGGAGTTGATGTGAATGCACGCCGATGGAAAGGGACAGAGCTGCGAGGGCCCAACGATTTCCCCTCGTGTTACCCGTGGAGGCGCCAGGACTGCGCTCGTATTTCGTGCTTCCATCACTCTTACCACCAACAGCAGCGAAAAGGCTTACGCGATACTATTGCACACGAACTGCCGTTCTACGCAAACTGGCTCCTCCCTCACTGGCCTGAAAATGCCTGAAGAGCGAGACAATGCGGAAGGAATCCGCGGAGACACCGTTCTGCGTGCTGTACTTGCTTGTGATTAAATGCCATTCGCAAGTAAGCTAGTAGTAATAGTAGGAATAAAGCGTAGCAACAACTAAGGGACCACCAATATAAAAGGAAAAACAAGACCAAGTGCACTGCAACCACTAAAAACTTAGACACAGAAGAAAACAAACGGTTCTCTCTTCCCTTCATCGAGTGTTTGCGGGCACAACGATTGCGTTACGCTGTCCACGCAAGGAGCCATCCGCCAGACGAGCGAGAAGCGGCGCCGCATTCAGTCGTGTTGGTTGTGAGTAAACGATGCCCAAGTACGTAGCGCACAGCAGCGCACAGCGGCGTACACACCCCGCCTTCCCGCAACCATTCTCCAATAGATCATCGTTCGTTGCCTTTTATTGGATCAACGCGTCATTTCACGTGGGCTGGTGGCGGTGGCCGCCGCGTCAAATCTCCCATAGCGCATTCACCTGCTCGTACACGGCGATCAGCACGGCATTGCCAGGAAAGGCGCGAATCGCCGTCACACTGTAACCACGAAACAGCCCTCGCATTCCTTCGGTCTTGTAAAGCCTCACACACGCCTGGCGGAAATTGAGCTTCAAGAAGTCCGACTTCATCGTTTGCTGCTTCGTCTTCACGGCATCCACGGGATAGGTGGAGGTCCAGAAGGCTACGCCGGCACAGCCGCCTCCTAGAAAGTGCACCCACGGCGACGCCTCGTGAAAGCTCTTGCCTTCCGGCAAAAAGCAGCGAATAACCGACTGAAACGCTAAGAAATAGAAACCGCAGCCCACGCCCTCGCGGATCATCATCGCGGTGTGACCGCGGAAGAGGCCCCGCACACCGCGGCGGCGATACGTGGCCGCTGCACAGTCTAGCGAGTTTTTGTAGATTCGCTCCTCAACAGGCAACGTATTCTGAATCTGCATCTTGCACTTGATCAGCTCCGCCGGCGTGAGCACTTGCGAGACGACAATGCCACCCGCAGCCCCTGCGACACCGACGGCGAGATACGGCTCCTGATCGGAGGGGTAGCACTTGCTGTACGCCACTTTCTGAAACTCCTCCAGAACGGAACGGTAGGAAATGAACAAAATGGCGTTTTCGCACGCCGCACCAATCACTGGCGCGGGCAGTCCGCGGAAGAAGCCGTTTACGACGCCCTCGTCTTTGGCGATGGTGCGAATGCAGTTCACCACACCACCGTAGCGCTTGCCATCGTCTTGCAGCCGCACCTTGATGGTGTCCATAGGGTACTCGATCACCGTGGCACTGGCACCACCCAGCGATCCCGCGAGCATCTCCCGCGCATCGTCCGAATTCATTTGCCGTCTCCTGCTGTTTCTCTACGAGATGCGCAAACCGAAGCGGGGACGAGCAGGGAAGAGAGACAACAACAAATACGTGGCAGCAACTCAAAGACAGAAAAACAAAAAAAACCAGCGCCCGAGAAAAAGGCCGCGTAGCGAACAACAAGAATCAATCAATATCGAAGGTGATTAGTGACTTAACTTAGGTTACTGCACAGAAACATACAGGACAATCAGCGTTGAAGAGAGCAGGTCAGCTGCAGACGAGGCAGGCGTGAGTCGGTTAGCAAAAAAGAGAAGGCACTTCAGAAGGTTGTAAAAGAGAATCAAAATCGTGTCAGAGATGCGTAGGAAATCGGTAAGGTGGAAGCAACAGGCGCCGAAAGAACGGACCAGGAGGCGTTAATTCCTCTTAACGTCACAACAACATACACACACGCACAAACACACAGACAAACAAAGAATAGATGTACGCTGACTTCTCTGCTAAGCTACGCCTAAAGGCTAACACAAAGACGTCTGATCGACGACAGTCGTGAAATGCCCTCTGTATCAAGCGGACACTAACAACAGCCGGGTAGCACCTCTGCGGAGATAAACTACAGCTGCGGAGAGGCACACCAGATCCGCTTGATCAACGGCTAGAGAGGGGAAAGGATAGAAATTGTACACGACCGCGGATGTATTGCAAGCAGAAATACGACAGTCGTACTCGATAGATGCTCCGCGGACACGAGAAAAGGGAGCGGCGTCTCCCTGTAGAAAATATAAATATATATTATGATGACCTACAACTTTTACTTCTAGCTTACAGGCAATATAGAGAGAGATGTAGATGGTACGATGGAAGCAAAAGAAAAGGCCGTACGTGGTGGCGGCAGTGTGTTGATGCGCAGTAGCAACCACCGTCCAACACGCACTACACGAACATATAGAGTATCTGTGGGGTGATGAATGTGCGCAGGAATTAATGCGAAAAAAGGAAAGAAAACAGGCGAAAAGAGGAGAGAGAGGAGAAGAGAGAGAAGAGGGGAATACACCACAGAAGTCACCGATTTCACGGCTGAGTCTCTCACCGGCGAATTAAAAAAAAAAACGTTTCCGCAGAGCATCAACCAAAAGCAGCAAAGAAGAAAAGAAACGCGTCTCCAGCGACAGAGCTCACGCTTAAAGGGAGGCGGTCATTTTCGTGGAGGGCGTTGAGGAGAATTGTTCTACCAGCAGTAGCACTCCCAACAGTGGCGCAAGTCAAAAGCACAGCAGCGCAACCTCCATCTAGCAATAGACATACTAATTTTTTGTTCTCGTCTTTTCACACTTGTCCATTTACGTTTCCGTTCCTTTCTCTCCACTATTCACGTGTCTGCGGCTGCATAACAACATCCAGCCGGGACCCTTTCACAACATCACAGTCAACCCTCTTCCACCGCACGTGGAATCACATCACCACCAAATTATCTGAATAGAGAAGACGGCTGGGTTTCGCGTCGCTGTTCCCATGCGCGCGCCAGGGGCCGCTGCAGCTGCTTTAATGGGAACGGTTTCGAGAGAAGTTTCGGCCTTGGTAGGCGCCTCCACCACCTCGGCCACCACCGCCACCGCCGCCGCCACCGCGGAAGCGACGGTTTCGCTGGTCGTTGAACTGCCCTCTACTAAAGTTCCTACGGTCGCTGCGCGCGAACTCCGTGTACATCTCCGACTGCGTCCGGCTGCCGTCGGTTTGAAGCACGCGTTGAAGCACCATGGGCGGGGCGGTGCGCATGCGGTGCTGCAGCCGCTTCGTGTCGCGCTCAAAGCCCGCCGTGAAGAGCGACTCCGCGACGTCGACCGGGGGCGCAAACGTGAACGCGGGCGCCTCGTCGTCGGAGAACTCGTCCTCGTTGTCGCTAGGTGCGTCCTCGTCGTCCACCTCACTCTCGCAGAAGAGAAAACCCGGGTACTCGTTTTGCAGGCTGATGCGCGGGTCCGCGGGACGCGGTGGCGGGTTGAATGGCGGCTTCACATGATCCGTAAAGCGGCAGCACATGTCGATGACGTCGCCCATCTCAATCCACGCAATGGGCAGACGGTGAATGTTTTCGCCAAAGACGCGGAATAGGTTGCCCACCGACACATCCGCCGGCGTCACCTCCGCGTCCGCCACCTCTTCCACGCCTTTCCTAGCCAGCCAGCCGTCGCGCACCACCCGCATCGCTTTGATGACCGGCGCGAACTGACGCGTGGAAGCGAGGCGGAAGCGGCGGATTTCGGCGGAGCGCTGCAGGCAGTCCGCCATCGCGTCGAAATCGCCGTCATCGCAGCTCTCGCGCTTCGCGAGGATGCGCTTTGCGGTGTACGCCAGCTCTGCGATGGGCCCGCGGCCCTCCGCATCGTCCTGCAGTCCCAGCGCGATCTGCGCCGTGATGCACTGGCGGCAGTTCAGGTGCCGTGCAAAGTTGCGGCCCCGAACCACCTTCGAGCACGCCGGGCACCGCAGCGACTTCCACGTCGCCTCGTCAGTGTTTTTGTCCCCGACTAGCCGCACCACCCACTGCCCGCCCTCATTCACCACGTTGAAGGTCGGCGAGTGAATCAGCAGGAACTCGCGCACGTTGCCGAACTCGGCGACGGCCTCGCGGTTCGCTAAGGTGGAGATGCGATTCGTCAGCACGTCCAACTCGATGGCGCCTCCGCAGGCAGCGATGGCGTCGCGGATAAAGCGGACACCCATCGGGAAGTTCCCTCGCTTCACCCCGAACTCATCGCGCGGGAACTCCAGCGGCATCTGAATGTCGGAGTAGTCCGGGTAAGAGTTGCCAGCGCCATCCGTGCCGTTCACTTTACTGCTGCTGCTGCCGGGCGTTGCAGTTGCCGCCTCCCCGCTGATTTCGCCCACCGCGTCTTGTCGCACACGCTGCAGCATCTCCTGCTCTTGCTTTCGGTCCTGCTCGTCGCGGCTCTTCTCCATCATCTCGCGCAGGCGCTTGCGACGCGTCTCCTGGTAATTCTCCATGTACCCCTCCGGCAGAGCCTGCATGAACCCGCGTGGGGCATCCGCGTCTGGCCGCACCTCCGGCACCACAATCTCCACCGGGCGCGCAGGGGCGTAGCTGCTCGCCACGTTCATCGCCATCTGGCTGTCCATCGTCTTCACCTGCAGGGCGTGCTTGTTCTCCACACTTCGTTCCACGGCGATGGCCTTCGTCATGAAGGCGCCGGCCGTGCGCAGGGCCTTGGAGTGCACCGTCAGGGCGGTGCTGCCGGTTTTGTTGCGCTGCGCATTGGCGTGGTGCCCGCCACCCCCGCCGCGACCCGGTAGCGACGACTTCGCATCTTCGCCGAGTTGCAGCAGGATGAGGGAAACGATCGTCTGCCCAAACGTGACGGACAGCGAGCTCTTCAACAGGGTGATGAAGTCGGACCACTCGGCCGAGCTGCGGGCGAGTCCGTAATGCGTGCACAGATGGGTCAGCTTCGGCCGCAGCGCGTCGCAGAAGAGCGTGTGCTGCTTGGCGAGGCGGTCCACGAGGAACCACAGCATCAGCCGCTGCGTCCCGGTGGAGGTGGAGAGGGTGTTCTCCAGTGCGTCGAGGATCTCGTTGGCGTTGCCGAGGTGCGGCTCGCACTGCTTGGCGATGGCGATCACTTCGGCGTGCGTCGTGGCATCGGAGATGCCTGCAATGGCGTCACACGCCTCAGCGAGAGACATTTTGGTCCTAATATTTATGTGTATGTGGGGGCGCGTGTTTGCTTACGTGGGTGTGCGTCGCGCCAACAAGGGAGTTTATAATGCGGATCGCGCCTTCAGCTGGGACGCGGTTCACCCCTAGGATCACTGTGCGCAGCCACTTTCACACCAACGAGCGTTGCAGCGTAAAGAGAACGGTCAAAGAAAAGGAAGGGAAAGAGAAAGAGAGAAGGTTGCCGCCACGAAGTCGAATATTTGCCTTCCGTAGGGTGGAATCGTCGCATTGGGCTCTCGCGGAAGAAAGGAACTCAATACAAAGCGGAAAGCACTACGAGTGTTGGGCTGCGCGTGACAAGCGCTAACGTGGGTTTCCTTTCACTGAGCGTCACGGAAGACGCGAAAGCGACTGCAGCCTTTTGCTTAACGTCATGTCTGGCACACTGGGGCGGGAGTGGGGAGGGGGGAGGGGGAACACACGCCAAACGCCTAGGATAAATTGAACCTTTTGGGGGGAGAGGGGGAGGGGGGGGGGGGACAAACGAATCCCACCTATTCCGCCTCGAAATGTATGGCGTATAGTCGTTGAAGCTGCTGTATGCGCTGGCGATGGTGCGCCGTCACCGCACGTATTGTGTGAGCGCCTCGTGGAGGAAAACAGAGAAAAGGAAAGAGAAGAAAGCAACGGGGCTCGTGGAAGGGCGAAGGCGCAAAAGCTCAACAGGCACAACACAAAGAAAGCAGTGAAGCAAATGAAAGTAAAAAAACCCCAGCTGATCTTGAACACAGCGCAGGAAGCGGAGCCGCGACACACACACACACACACATCGCGTCCTTCCTTTAGCGAGGCAGTAAGAGCCGCACGAGTTGAGAGAAATGACCGACACGGTGGCGCCGATATATATATGAGAAAACGGGCAGCACCCCATACGTTTCAAAAACGGCGTGAGGGCAGACAACCCTCCGCTGACGATCTCACAAGCTGGAGCCACCGATATGTGTAACGTAGAGAGAGCACACCACCGCAAGAAGTAGGAAGGGGGAGACAAATGCCCATCCGTACTCACAGCAACGACAAGGCGAAGTCGCTCACCAGAACGGCCAGCCGTTGTCATCCTTCCGACAGCAACAACACCAACAAAAGAAGAGGGGAGTTCGATATGCAAAACTTAAAAAAAGATACAGAGGCGCATTGAAAGATGTGCAGAGAATCACAAGAGCGCTATTTATCATAGAGAGACTTCCACTGCGCAAAGCGGAAAGGGAATTGCTCCGCAAACTGCTTCTGTACCGCGGAGGGGTTCACCTGCACCCGCTTCTCCTGAATGACCTCCGCCGCCTCCGCAAACGCCATGCCACCATACGTGGTTAAGTAGCACATCACCACCATCCAGCTCCGACCTTTACCCGCCTTGCAGTGCACGTACACGGTTTGGCCCCGCTGCCTGATGCACTCCTCCATCTTCATCACCGCCTTCGCCACCGCCGGCAGCGGCGTACTCGCCGTGGTGTCAGTCATCGGTAGGTGCACAAACTCGACATCTGCGTTGATGTTCTTGCGCCAGTCCGCCTCTTTCGCGAATTGAATCACGTTCATGCCGTAGCCGTCCAGCTCCTCCTCCTCTAAGCAGGCGACCACTAGCCCTAGCGTTTCGTGTCGCTGCTCGAGCTGCTCTTTCAGCTGTAAAAGATGGTTGCCGCTGCTGCCGACCTGCGTCACCACCGGGATGGCGCCCAGCACCACCTTATCGGCGACCCAGTTCCAATGCAGAAAGTCTGTCGTAACGCCCGCCATGCGGCCAACGTAGCCGGGGACCGCGGTGGCCACGAGGGAGCCCCAAAAGTACGCCGCCCGGCCGGCCCGTGCGAAGGCGGCCGTCACCCCCGCATCATCCAGCTCGCCATCACTGGTTGGGGAAGCAACGCTGCTGGGTTTCGGTGGGGGCAGCACGGCGCCCTCGCGGAGACGGCGCTCGCCCTCCTCGATGAAGGAGTGATAGCGTCGTTTCAAGTGCGCCAGTTCAAGGGCTTCGGCCTCCGTCAGGGGCTCGTTGTGCTCCGCACGGTACTGGAGGAGGTGCAGACGAACCTCTTCCGTCCTCGTGAAGGGTCTCGCGTCTTCCTGTAACGACTGCATGAGGCGTGCGCAACAAAACGAGATACTTTACACTGTCTTCTGGGGGAGGAGGGAATACGATAACACAGAGGAGATGCTGAGGATGAGGACCGCTTCGGTAATAGCAGCCAAATTATGTTCGTGCAATGCAAAGCGCAGGTGTCAGCAGAAGAAAACAAAGACGAAGTAAGCAGTCATAATAGTTGATGCTGATCGGTAGACGGGAATCATGCGCCAAGATATTGAAGTGGAAAATATCGTTCTGTTGGGGTTGTTGGTTTTGCCGCGTGCGGTTTACAACAACAACAAAAAACATCACGACGGCATCAACGTAACAGACGCGATGAAAACGTATGCGTGAAGAAACGAAAGGAGGACGGGAGAGAGTAGATGGAATTAAAGTGCGTAAGTTTCCTCTAAGATCGCTTTCCACCTTGGCCTGTCGGCCTGCACATCGCAGGGCGCTCGGAAGCGTGTGAATGCGAGAAAGAGAGAAGAAAAAAAAACTTAAAGACCTTATTCGGTCCAGTAAGCCGAGGAAAGCGAAAGCAACAGAGTTAAAGATGTGTCACTTAACGGTACTCTTGTGCATTATTGTCTTACGCTAATTCAAGCAGCTCTCTCTCCTTTACCTGCGGAATTACCACTATTTTTGTCCTTTTGAATCGGAACTTGCTACTGTACAGAAAACAAGAGCACCTTCAAAAAGTTCTTCAATGCCATTCCCACGGGCTCGCATCGCAACGGTGCGCGTCGGCAGCACATCCACCTCCCTCACCGCTCCCATAATCCAGTGCTTCACTCCACCGGACCGCGTCCACGAACCACGCCATCCCAGCGAAACCCCGGTGCAATTCCGTACGCGTTGTGATAGGTCTTGTCATCTGACGTGCCATGATGACCGCCATCCGCTGACCGTGGGGGCAGGTACTGCGCCAGCAGCTTGTCCGTGGTCATCTTTTGCTTGCAGATGTACTCGAAAGGCACGAGAAAAACATTCATGAGCTCCGTCGAAAGCAGGCCCCTGTACTCCGCAGGAATGTCATCGTCCTCGTCGAAAACGACAGGCATACCCGGAGAAACCGCCGCACCTGCCGTGCCCATCGTTCGTGTGTCAGCCCCTTCACCACCATCTTCCACAGCGGCAGCTAGGTGACTGCCTTCCGAAGAGGCACCGTGCGGAACGCCGTTGTGCACCCGTCGTTCAGCCGTTCCGTCGCTTTCGGCGGTGTCGAGATCCGCATACCCAGTCAGGGGCACCTCATCCGTGGGCAGGGCGGCCGTGACGGCGTACTGCAGCAGCGGCGAAGTGCGGCGGGGCTGCGCGAACTCGTCGTCGTCATCGTCGCTGTCGAGACGTCGGCGTTTCGCAGGCTGCTGGCTCATGACAACAACAAACTACAGGATCTGACTGTTCTTGTTATTGGCAGCGAAGATCCCAAGTGTACGCGGACGTGGAATAAACGAGGTGGTGTGAGCGTCGTAGAAGGATGGCGAAAGAGAGAGGTGTTGGACAGGAAACATCGCAGAACAGCCCACATGACAGGAAATCCGTTTCGCCTCTTCACCCTCGTATCTCCACTATACGAAGAATACAGGCTGTGGCAAAGTCACTGTTGCACATCAGAAGGCATTCATCGCCCAGAGGTCAACAAGCTCTTGCGGTCCGCGCACACTACGAGATGAGGTGAATTAGTGAAAAAAAAAACCTTTGCAACACGATTTTGTCGATGTTGCTCCGCTTTCCGCTTTCATTTGTGCTCTCGTTCCTTTCAGTGTAGGTAAAGGCGAAATGTCCAGGTACAGGAACACGTGTGAAGGGACGTCAACATAATCTACGCTCTAGGTGGACCCAACGGGTACCACGGGGTAGCGAAACAAAGAAAACACGAATTACGGATTGCCATGCGGCGACGTGTTTGCCGCGTTCACTTGGAGGGTCGCAGCCGTGGCCGCAGGAAGGAGGCGCGCTGCAGCTCATAATGCGGCTCCTCTTGCATGTACTCCTCAAAGGATTGCGTGCGCCGATGCTGCTTAGAGGGCGAGGGTTTGGCGGAGCTGCGCTGGCTCGGAACGGAGGCGGCGTCGTTACCCCCACGTGAGTGACTGCGGACGGCGTCTTCTGGCATGGGGGACATCCGCTGCGGTGTCGGCGGGCGATGCGGTGGCTGCTGCTGCTGCGCACTCCGCTCCGTCAGCCCGGTGCGCGACGCCAACGTGGACGTCTGCATCGACGAGTCGTTGCTGACCGACAGCGTCACCGCAGCGGGCGACGTCGGCTGGGCTTGCGACGGCAACGCCACCTGCGCTGGTGAGGAGGGACGTGCCCTCTGCTGCTGCGCCAGTTCAGCGCGAAAACCCGTCATTTCCGTCCGCAGCGCTCGCAGTTGGTTTTCGAAGGTCTGCCGCAGCGTCCGCACCGCCGTCTCCGCCTGCTGCGCCGCCGTGTACGCCACCTCCTCCTCTTCGCGTTTCTTCATCAAATTCTCCAGCTGGAGCCGTCGCGTGCGCTCGCGCTGAAGTTCATCGAGGGCGGAGCGCAGGTGCAACTCCACCTCCGCCGCACGATCCTCCACATCGCGCATGTCCTCGCGCAGGACGGTGCTGCTGGTGCGCGAGTGGGACGCCGCCGCCACCGCGTCGGCCGGTGTCGCTTTGGATGTTGCGTGTGCCACCGCCACCGCGTCCGCGGCCCGCCGCGCCTCCTGTGCGGCTGCTCGGCTCGAAATAACCTCGCGCTCCTTCTCGCGAAGCGCCGTCTCTAAATCCAGAATGCGCTGTCGGTACAGGCTCTCTTTCGCTACGTGTTCTTTGATCTCGGACTGGTGGAAGGCGACGAGCTCCGTCAGCTCCGCGACGCGCACCTCTAGCAGCTCCACCTCGTCTTGCAGCGCACGCGTTGCGTCAGCCTCCTCATGTTTCGTCAACTGCCCAGACGGGGAGGGCGATGGGCTGGCCGGCACAGATGAAGACACCTGCGAGAGTTCCTGTAGCTTCTGTTTGTGGAGCTGCTGCCGATGCGCAAGCTCCTGCCGCAGCTCCGAGTTTTCCAGCACCATCGCGTGTCGTGACTCGCTCGCCAGCTCCAGTTCTCCGCGGAGCTCGCGGGTCTGCTTGCGCTGTGCTCGCATCTCCTCCTTCGCCTCCGCCAGTTGCTCGGCGGAGTGCCGCATGTCGGCGCGCAGCTTCGTCATGGCACGCTCCATCACAGTGCGATAGGTGTCGAACTCATATCGCACCGCAGATGGCTCCTCGGAGAGACCCCGTTGAATAGACTCGCGTTGGTATCCGGGGAGAGGGGAGGAAGCGAAGGAAGGCTGCGAAGGCGCGGCATCGGTCTGCACGGCCACCGTGGCACCCGTCGCGTGCCGCTGCGGTGGTGATGGTAGTGCTGGCTGCGAAGACGCGGGTGCCGGTGGCATCGGCGTACCAATCTCACTCGGCGCTGTTGGTGCGCCGGCAGGAGTCTGCACGAGATGAGCAGCGGACGGACGGACGTCTGGCGCGTCTGCGGTGTCGTCGTCGGGCGAGTCGGCAGGATCAGTTTGTGCGCCACGCGTCGCTTTACGCACCGCCGGACGAGAAGGAGCGTCGGGCGTGAACAGCGAAGCATCGCCGCCGTGGTCGGTGCTCTCCGCCACGTCCTCAACGGCCACCGGTGCACTCCGCACAGATGACGCGGACGTGGGCAGAGGCGGATGCGGTGGCAGCAACGCCGTCGACGCGTTCAGCAGCGCAATCCGTGAGCTGTACAGCCGCGACGCCGTCTGCGCCACTGCAAACGCCTCTTGAAATGTCTCCCGCTCAGCTGCCTCCACGACGCTGATCGGGGAGAAGCATGCGACCCATGCCCCCGGCTGTTGGCCCAGCAGCGACGGCTTCATGAGGTACAACAACTTCGTCGAGGTGAACGTTAGCGTAGGCGAGCTGCACTCGATCAGACCCGCTGCGGAGGACACGGCGTGTCGTGACGACTTCATCCCGCGCGCCACCTCATTCACCGTGAAGGAGATGAACTGCATCGTCGTGTTCGGCCGCCCTGTCGACGCGTGAAAGGAGAAGATAAAGCTAAAGATTTGGTGCTTGTAGGCGGTAAACGCGTTGGATACACGCTGCCGCACGGCCTCCCAGATGCTCGCCGACTCCAGGGAAACGTAATGGGCGTCCTCGACGGACGTGAACTGCTCCTGCGTGTCCTCTAACACTGTCACCTCCTCCGCATCTCGGCTCCGATCGGGTAGGAGGGTGTCTGTCAAGGTGTTGTTGTCCTCCAAGGTCACCGCGCTGAACGACAGCGACGCAACGTCGGGGTGGGCGGCGGCGATGCGGGCAGTGTTGCCCAGCACGCCGTCCACCGCATCTATGAGGGTGCTAAAGCGGCTCCCCGCAAGCCCATCCACGACCACCACTGCCTGCGCAGCGCGATCGGGCGTTAGGACGGTCATCAGCAACGGTTCCACCACCTGCTCCTGCAACTCTCGCGAAGAGTGGATGCCGACATCGTAGTTAAAGGTTTTGCGGGCGCGATTATCGACGACGTCCACGAGGGTGACGCTCGTCTCGTTCGGGTAGAGGTGGTAGTAGCGCTCGAAATGCGGCGTAGGGATGTCGGAGCGGTGGCGCCTCGCCAGCTCAGCCTTATCCACCTCTCTCACGCACACAAGCATCTCAATAAGCGGGAGAGGGGGGAGGGGGAGTCAACAACGCACCGGAAATGCCAGTTATACGCTTTCCCGCGTGGTTGCAACGGTGATAAAAAGGAAGGCAACGGAGCAGCGCGAAACAATGGTGAACAGAGAATACAAGAGGAGGTGTTGAAGGTGAAGAGTTCTGCTATTATTATTATTTATGTTTGAGATCAGGGGCGGAGCAGAAATGCACGAGTCTCTACGCGGCGCGTGGTAGCGTGGCACTACCTCCGCATTACCTTCCTCTCCAATTATCCAGAGCGAAACGCACACACGCTCGGAGAAAGAGAGTGTCACACAAGTCAGATCAGCCAATCAGTGGACGGCCGTAACCGACCAACTGCGATGAGGGGGAAAGACGCATTTCTACCTGCAGCTTCTTTTTTTACTTACAAATATTTTTTTTGTCCTCGGCACAGGTCATACATTGCAAAGAGGGAAACACCGGCGACGCTTGCGTCAACGCTCGTCGGCCGCTATGTACATGAGAACTTAGCTTTCTTCTAAAGTCCTTCAACCCTTTCAAACTCTGCATCCAAACTCAAAAGAAAAAAGAACTTGATTGCTACGCCAGCAAACAACATACGCCACCCGCTCCGCAGCGAGTCCGTGGGAAGGGGCTCCCGTGTGACAGAAGAGCAAAACATCGTTTTTTCTCTAACGAGACATGCACCGCAAAAAGATGATGCGCAGGGCACTCTGCTCTTCTCACAGCGTCAACACAGCGCCTAGCCGGTTTTCCACAGTAGCACGGAGAGCTGGCCTACGTAGAAATAGATGAAGTTCTTGTTCTCGTGCACCACGTCCGCGCCAAAGCTGCGTCCTACGATGCAGTGCCACGTTGGGAAGTAACGCTTGTCGAACTCGCGCTTAATGTGCGCGGCCATGTCTTTCTCCATCTGGTGCTCTTTGATGGCCTTGGTGGCTACTTCTACCGCATCCGTCTGCATCTCCGGGCTGATGTCCGCCACCTTTATGTTGGGCCTGCGCTCGCTCATCTTTCCCTTACCTTCTTTAATGAGTGAAGGTGCGAGGTAGTGTCAGACGTAATATATATAGATATAGTTGTGTTTTCTTTCCGCTCGTACTGCGGGGCGTGTAGGTGGGTAGGATCTCGATGCACCGGCTCTTTGGGGTTCCTTTAACGCGTAGACGAAAGGGCGGTGTGAAAACGCGGGGTGATAAAGCTCTAAAAAGAGGACGTGGATGCAGTGAGACAACATGGCGCCGGTGTTCTACTCAAAACGAGGTCTGTACTAACAACAGGCACGAAGCAACACGAACGGGTGGGAGGTTGAAAAGGGCGCAAACGATGAACACACCGACAATTGCGATTCCCGTGCTCCTCACCCCCCCCCCCCTTCCTCCTCCCCACTTTCTCCAGCCGCCTTCTTTTGTGGATCTACGATGGAAACGAGGAAAACCCAAAGCGACTCCGTTGCGTCAGACCGAACGCAGACACTCACCACGACAACGAAGAGACCTCATAGCGCGGTCCATAAATAATAATAATAAATTTCATTTGGTGATCGTTTCTTTTTCCTTAGCAATTTGCTTTGTCAGCGATTCGCGCAACACATTGTCGACCGGACTACAGGAGACACTCCACAAGGTGTCTTACAGTACACAGCACCGCGAAAGCACTCCTCAGCGCGAGACATGAGCAACGGCAACGGAGACAGCCACCCACGGTTAGAGCCATCTAACACAACTGATCACTTAAGACATTGGTACGTCATCCTCGTTCTCGGGCGGTTGCGGAGCCGCTTGGTCCACCGGCGCTTCCTCGTTCTTCTCCTCTGCAGCAACAACGGCGGCGTCCGATACCTCCACAGTAGACTCCGCGACGCTGGCTTGCTCCGGCGTGCTCTCAACGTCTTCAGCGAGACTTTGATGCCCCGGCACCTCAACAGATGTCGTGGGAGCGGCTGCGTGCTCCCCCACCTCTTCCTCCTCATCCGCAAGGGTGTCATCAGTCGAAGTGCGATCGGCGATGTCACCGGGCAGCGCAGTCGGAGCCGTGTCCGTCGGGACATGCGGAGAGGCCTTCGACGCGCTGTCCCCCTGCACCACCCCTTCGCCAGCAGCAACGTCTGATGGCGCAGGTGGCGCCGTCAGTTCTCGCACCCGCGCACGAAGCCGTTCGTTTTCTGTGCTCAGTGCGTTCTGCTTCGCCAGGACAGACTTCGAAATGGCCAGCAAACGCTGATTGGCCGCCTCCATCTCGCTAGCTTTTTGCTCCGCCCGCTGCAGGCGCTCCCGCATCTGCTGACGCTCCGCGGTGTACTGCGCCAGCTTCGCCGCGTGCTGCGCTGCCGTGTACGCCTGCGCTTGTCGCTGCGTTGCCAAGGATGGTGGCGGAATCACGGATGCACTGCCCAAAGCGTCCTCCGCCTCCACCGGGGCAGCGGCGCCACACAACGCAACCGCTTGAGCACCAACGGTGCCTGCCAGCGAGGCCTTCAGCAGACCCGCCTTCTGCAGCGCTTCCTTCAGCACGCGGACCACGCTCATCATACCCGAACGACTCAGCGACTCCAGCAGAGCCGCGTCGCCGCCCTCTTCGTCCTTCTTCGTTTTCTTCTCCTCATCATCGACGGAGGTTGTCGCACCGTCGCGCGCGGAATGCAGCGCACGCACCTCTTCCTCTAACTTTTGAACGGTCTCGGAGAGCGTGGTGAAGAGCGCAGAAAGTTGGTTCGGCGGCGTGTGTGCAGTCCCAGCGGATTCAGTTTCGCCATCCTCTGTAGCGGAGGCGGACGCGGTCGATTGCTGCACGAGGTAGGCAATTTGGCTTTGAAGCCCCACCGTCTGTTCAACGAGCGCCGCTTCGTTCTCCATGCTCGCCCTCAACTTGTCGGCCAGACGGGCCGCGTGCGTCTGCAGCACTTCGTGGGTACGTGTCAGCTCCACCAGTTTCACCTCCACCGCGTCCTTTTCGTTCGTCACCTGCTTCGCCTCATTCAGCGACCGATCGCACAGCTGCTTCGCCGCGGCGAGTTGATCGCGCAGCACGGTGATTCGCTCTGCCGCCTCCGCCACGTTCAGCGAGTCCTCCACCGGCACATCGTGCATCAGCGCCCGCTCCACCACCGTCACGTGGTTCTTCTCCAGCAGATCGCGGCACACCGCCACCTGCGCCCGCAGGCGATCGCGCTCGTTCGTGACTGCGCTGACTTCCTTAACCAGCTCCGTCACGTACTGTGCATCGGAGAGCGAGGCGTCGAGCAGGTTCGACCGCTCCACGTCGGTGCTCTGCAGCGATGCCACGAGCAGCAGGAGTGCCTCGCGAAGAGCCGTCTTCGACGAGTTCATCACGCTGGCCATCTTCGTGACGGACTCCTCAGTGAGCGCAGTGGAGGAGACGAGGGTGTGCGACGCACTCTGAGGACCGCTAGATGCAGTGCGGTCGACAGCAGCCGCGCTCTTCGACTTCTCTGCCACCTCGTTACGCATACGCAACCACTGCTCCATCAGCTTTTCTATTTGCGCCTCATACAGCTCGCCGTGCTGCAACTCAAACGTCTTGATGTCGGTGCTCAGGGACACCAACTTTTCGGCCTGCGCCTCCACTTTCAGCACCTCCTGCTGCCATCCAGAGGGTTGCCAGGAGTTTCCTCCACGCGCAACCGCCGGCGGCACTGCGCTGAGCTCGGCATTTGTCTGCGCAGCCCGCTGCAGAGCGTCCGTTGCCTCGGCGGCCACACTGCCGTACTGACGCGAGACCTGTTGTGCCAAGGTGAGCTGCAGCTGCGCCCGCACGGACACCTCCTCCAGCCCACGAACCCGCTCCGCGTACTCGCCGCGTAGCTCCTGTATCGTCAGCGCTACCTGGTCCGTCTCGGCATCCTGTTTCAGCTGACGTACCTGCGCCGCCAGCCGCGTCCCCTCCGCCTGCGCCGCCTGCAGCTCCTCGCGGCACACCTTCAAGTTCACGGCGAGCTGCGCCGCGTCATCGACAACTTCTGTGTAGGCCCATCGCAGGCGTTGCATTTCCTGAAATACGCTGTCGTTCTTCTGCGGGTAGAGGCGCTCACGCACCATGTCCGTAATTCGCCTGTCCGCAATTTCGCGTCGCTCCTTCTCCTCCAGGTAGCGTTGGTGCACGACGAGGGCATCGTGCTGGACTTGCTTCACGACACCCTCCATCTGGGTGTAGCGGTGCTCCGCTTCGTGAAGGCGCTGCTCTTGGCCTTGCCAGGAGTCCACCAGCTCTGTCAGTGTCATTTCCTTGTGCTCCAACAGCTTTAACGCAAAGTAGTGCGGAGCGCTCTGCCGCAGCGCGGGATTTGGCGAGGGAGGAGGGGCGCCTCGACTACCGCGGCTTCCTGCCTCTGAAGTATCAGGCTGAGCCGCGGCGATGATGCCGTTCAAGTCCAAGTACTGCTCCAGCCAGCGCACGTGTCGCTTCGCCTGCACCAGCTCCGTGCGCGCAGACTCCACAAAACGGCTCTTCTCCGCCAATTGCGCCACCACGCGCATTAAAGCGTCCACCTCGTGCTCGTGACGCAGCAGCTGATTCTGTTCGAACAAGTGCGCAGAGCGGAGCTTGGCGATCAGCACGTCCTTGTGCATCGCCTCGACCTCTGCCCTGAAGGCGCGCTGATTTGCTGCCTTCGTCGTCTCCAACAGCGTCTGAGCGTAGGTGCGCAGCTGCTCGACCAGCGTGGCGCTCAACTGGCGCTCTGCAGACAGCTGCGCGTCGGCCACCGTCAATGACCCTTGCAAGACATCGTCGAGGTGCGTGGCGAGCGCGTCGAGCACCTCCGACTGTCCCTGATCCACCTGTGAGCGAAGCCGGTCGATAAAGCGGTCTTTTACGTTGCGGCTGACAGCACCGCGGAGTGACTTCAGATTATGGTAGACGAGCTGTGTTGTCGTCTCGCTCTGCCGCAGCTGGTCGGAGGTGTGCAGCGCCTGCAGTTGCTCCACGCGGTCCGCCAAGTGTGCGCGCTCATCGCTGAGGGTGCGGAGGTAGTTTGTGTTCACACCCGCAATGGCGTCGACGATGTGAGTCGTGTGCGCCAACACATCCTCGACTCGTTTATCTTGACGTTTGTCGTCCAAATCGCGTTCGCGCTGGCGTTTGACGCCGCCGTGCACCGCTGCGCTGCCGTCCGCGTCACTCATATTCCAAAAGAAAACACGAAGACTTTACGAACGTGTATCCAACCTTCAGGCGGCAAACGCACACCGAATTCTGTTGTTTGCTTATTTATGAAAATGTATGTGTGGGTGCGTGGGAGAAGATGTGGAGTGACACGCACCCGCCCCAATGCTCACTGCACTGTACCAGAAGGGGAAATCTGCAGTTGCGACGCACAACAGGAGAGTAGAAAGGAAAAGGAGATGGAAGAGATGCAACGTGAAATCACCGCTTGAAACGGCAGCGGGAGCGTTTCGTTTCCGCAATCACGCGCACGGGCCTAACTCTCTTCCGCCGGTAAGAGAAAAGTGAGTTGATACGCGTAGACGACTTGGCGGCTTCACCGCAGAGGTGAGTCAACGGCGTTGTTGCGGCTGTTCTCAAGCAGAATGCCTCTTTTTTCATTTTTACAGCCAATATCATTGTTGAAGAATTGCTAACAAAGCACTGGAGGAGAGACCGGCAGATCGATTTCCAAGAAAAATGGTTGAGGAGAAGGAAGAGACTTGCTTCTATGATAGTGTGCGCGTGCGTGTGCAAGAAGAAAAGGAACAAATATAATGTATCTATTGAGTTCAACAGCAACGACAAAAAGAAAAGGCGTTGGGTTAAACGCAACTTCGCCTGCGGACTAACCGCTATACTTCCAACAGCAAATTAAATAATAATAATAAGAGCTTCTATGAATAGGCAGCATTGATGTCGCTATTTCAGCATGTAGGAAGAGGAGGTGTGTCACACACACATCCCTCACCTCAATCTAGAAAAAGGAAAAAAGGACGGATAAAGCAGTGACGGTAGTCGGAGACGTTGGTGGCGAACACGTGCAGAAAGAAAGTTCAGGCACTCGAAAGAGAAGGGGGAACACAACTCAGTACTCATCGTATGGAGAAAGGCAGTCGCTCTCGGCATCGCTCAACGACCCCTCGCTCAGCAACGCGGATATCTGCTCCGCGGCAGCGCTCGCGTCGACGTGAATGTGCTGCGGGTCAAATAGTGCCTCCTCTGGAACGATAAATCGCGAGTCGGAGGTGCACGACTTCCGTTGCAAAAGGGATGCGTCTTGCTCTACGGTGGATTCGGAGACGGTTGTCATGGTGCTCAGTTGATCGTCACAGGAATGACAGGCAGTAGCTGAGGGCGGCTGTTGCCTGGGTTGGTTGTCAGAACTCACGGGAACAGCTGCAGGAATGTGCTCTGCGGGAGCCATCATGTCGGCGGCAGGATCGCGATGCTTTGCCTTTTTCCGCGGGGTCACCATACCCAATGGGTTTCCGCCGAGTCTCCCGGTTGATTCCGACGCCCGGTGATGGGAGGATGGCCTGAGAGACGTGGATGTTCTTTCCTTGCTGCTGCTTTCACTCTCCGCCGCAGTTGCCCCGGCAGAGACGGTGGTGTGGGATGCCCGCTGCAGCATCTCACACAACCTTTCGCTCAGTTCGCGCTGCGGCTCGAGCTCCTTCCGAAGCTGCTCCAGCAGCAGCGCCGGTGCTTCGTTCCGCTGCGCCGGGCTGCACGAGGTGGTGACCATAAAAGCCTCCTGCCGGCATTGCCGCTCGCCCACCTCGTCGAAGTGCTCTTTCATTTCGGTCCGTAAGGCATCGCCATCCACCCGCGCCTGCGCAGATGCGTCCAGCAATGCGGCGAGGTGTTCTTTAATCTCAGCGGCCTCCTCACGCACACAGTCTATCACTTCCTTGTTCCGTGCACTTTCCAGGTTCATTCTGGATGGCGGCGCAGCACACAACAGCTGGTACAGCTGCTGCTGCACGTTGCTCATTGCTTCACTCATCTCCGTGCGCCACGCTGCGTTCTCGCTCTCTTCCACCAAATCCAGCACATCCGCGTGCGTAGACTCCGTCGCCGTTGCCGTTGCTGCTGCTGCTGCTGTTTGCATAGCGGTCGCTGTGATGCTCGCCGCCTCCTGTTGATGCTGCCGTACGAAGATCGAAATGTGATGTGTGAAGAGTGCCGTGCGGGCTTCTGCGGCGTCCTTTTCAATGGTACGGCGGCCCTCCGACTCCAACAGCATGAGTTCACTTTCAATGAGATCGTCCATCTCCGCCTGCATGTCCGCCGTCAGCGCCCGCTCATCCGCCAGCTGCATCTCAAAGCTGCTGCGCTGCTGCTCCATTCGCCACTCCATCTTCCTTACCTTTTCCTCCGCCTCCTCGGCGGTGTGCGACAGGGCGAGAGCGCGAGAGACGTCGGTGGCGCTTTCCAAACCGATGCGTGACGCGTCGCCACACGTCGAAGGGCGCTGCGTGTGGTGCGGCGCGGCAACTTCGCGTCGTTGCGACGGCCGCGGTGAACACGACCGCCGCTCGCGCCCGCCATCGGACAGCCCTGGTGATGAGGTGCCGGTTGGGGAGAAGGTGCTTGAGAGGATGGTGGAGCCGTTCACTGCTGTCCCGCTCGCTGCGTTGCACCGGGGCGGCGTGGCGACGACGGTGCTGGGCCGCAGCATCTCCTTTATGGCTCTCGCCTCTGTGCTGCAAAGCTCGTGCAGCAGACGCCGCTCATTTTCCTCCGAGGCCCTGGAGTCTCGTCGAGCTGCTACTTCGGTCTCCTCCAGTAACGCAGAGCCCCACCGTACGTGCTGCTCCACGGTGCTTTGACACGACGTTTCGAGTTGCTGCACACGACGCTCGAGTTCATGTCGCTCCTGCACCGCCTGCATCACCTCCACCCGCAGCGACTGCGCCTCCTGCTCCACCATCGCCTGCTGCGTGGCGGCCGCATCGGCGTTCGTTAAGAGCTCATCGCGCTCCTGCAGCGCCAGCGCGCGTTGGGCCGTGACGTGCCGTAGTTGCTGCTGCAGGCTTTGAATTTGGGTTAAGTAGTCCAACTCAATCCGCTTCAGCGAGGTGCGCAGGCGCTGTGTTTGGCGACAGCTCCAACACGGCGTGCTGATACCCTCCCTCTGGTGCCGTGGCAGGGGTGAGTAGCTGGCGTACGCCGACTCGTCTGCCTCCTCCGAGCGCGCGGAGTCGGTGAAGGACACCTGCGGCAGGCGGTCATAGAGGGCGTCGACGCGGCTGGCGGATGCAAACGACGTCGGGCTGCGTGCTGGGCGCCGCGGTGGCGTGGACGCGTTGGATAATTGGGAGCTCATGGACATCGGGCGCGTGTGTGCGTAAGTGTGGTTGTGTAGCACGATGAAAGAGGTGGGTTGTGGTGCTGAGTAGGAAACAGCCTGGAAGAATAATAAAAATGTGGCCAGAGTTTCCTTTTACTTGGCTGCAGTGCTGGATTTCCTGTCACGCTGAGGTAACGAACACATGCATTGTGAGACATCACAACGCAAAGTGAGAGGCAAACGTAAACGAAGAGAAGTAGCTGATGCAGCGATGCGAGTGGTGCGAGGAGCACCAAGGGAAAGCAATCGCCTCCAACCGCGCGGGAACACTCATTTGTACAGCCAGGCATATAGGAACGCGCTAGTGCGACAAGTTCTGAGGTGCGCACGTCAATGGTGCGTCAGTACACAAGATCGTAGCGTCCGCCTACTATTACTAGTAAGAAGCTCTAACCACACCAGTTGTTATTCACTTCGCTTTTTATCTCTGCGACATCCACTGCGCATTTCGTTTGATTCCTTCTTTCCTTTTCCGAGAAACATATACTCAGTATCACCGTTCAGTTGTCGAAGGGCGAGTTGAAGTGCAGCGGCGACGTTGTGCGCGGGAGACAGAGGCAGACAGACAGACAGAGAGCGACACGTTCCACATCCGTTGCTTGGATGTGAACTCTTCTCTCTCTCTCTCTCTCTCTGTCGATCTCCTTTGCTGTTGCGCGTCGGTGGGTCTCTTGCGTTGTTGAGCACATGAGCGCGAAATAGGCGCGAGTAGAAACACACATACAAACACCAAGGGCCACGAAATTGCAGTGCCCCCCGTGAGGTGTAATGCCAACGCTGCTCGCCCAGTGCAGCCGTCATGGCCGTAATGCTTCGCTTCAACCATCTACACGCTCTTTTGCTTGCATGAGTGCAATAATATAACTTCAAAGCTCGCATTGTTGCTGTTACCCCGTGCGGCATTGCATGGCACACGGAAGACGTGCCCCCTGCAGACGCAAGGAGTGGGAGACGTACACAACATTCGCCCTTCACCACTCAGCGTGATAGAGAGGGGTGTTAATTAGGTTAAAACAGGTAAGAAATAATTGAAAACAGAAAACAAAATATCCTCCACGAATCGAAACAGACGTACGCGCTACAAATGAGAGAGGGAGAGAGCGTAGAAACAATTTGTGATGATACATAGAGCTAAACCGAGTGCAAGCAAGGGCTGTCGCTTTCACTATGATGTCGGCTGCGGCGTACGCGCGGCGGACGTCGAGCGGGGTGCCGGGATGGCTGGATTCACAGGGGCGCTCGCCTCTCCATTACTGGACGACCCGTGTGTCTTCGCTGCGGTACTCCCGGCAGCGGAAGCAGTGGCTTCTGGTTTCACAGAGGAAGGAGAAGCGGGCAAGGCCCTCAGCGAGGAGGAGGTGGACGTCGCGGCGCCGTTCCCGGCTGGACTGCCCTCTCCTGTCAATGCCGGGGCTGCCGTGGCAGACGGCGACGCCCCTGAGCCGCTGCTGTTGAGACCGGTCAGACTTGTCGGCGAGGACCCACCCGCAGACGCCGCCGCTGCAGCAGCCGCAGCGCGACGACTCGCTGGTATGGGGATGGCCAATCCGCTTTCGCTGGACGACGCTGGGGGCGGCGGCTGCGTCCCCATCAAACCGACCCCACGACCACGACCGATCGGCGGCGGCGGACCACCGAAGCTGCGACCACCTCTACCGACGCCGCCGCGGCCGCGTGGGAGGGGGATGCTCGGCCCGCTGGGCGGCGGCGGCGGCGGCGCAAAAGCCGTCTCCGCCTTGCCGGCTTGTGCGTCGATGAAGTCCCGCACGTGTTGCCCCACCTCCGGCTTCAGCTGCGACCCGTCGCGCTGCTTCATGAGGGCGACCCCGGCGAAGGGTCGGGTGGCGGCGTCGGCCAAAGAGCAGTGGTGCTGCACCCACTCCAACGGGCACGTCTTCGCCTCCCGCTGCCCGGCGCTCTCCTTTGCCAGCACCTTCGCATAGCCAAAGATGGTTGGCGGACTCGCTTTGAGAAACACGATAAATACCGCCGACGCACGACCGTCCAAGCACTCCTGTATCTCCGATGCAAGCACGGGGCTCGGCCAGAAGACGCTGTCCCGCACTGCGTCCTCCGCGTCCTTCTCACTCGCGTAGGTGACGAAGGTGACGCCGGGCAGGGGCTTCGACAAGCTGTTTGCGCTGCTGGCGGGCGTTAAGCTTGCCGAGCCAGATCCGCTGCCTGCCGTAGACACCGACTGCTGTCCGGTTGCGGGGACGCGTTGCAGCCGCTGCTGACTGCGCGGCGCCGGCAGGGCCGGTCCTTCGTAGTCCGGCGTGCTGCCAATCGGGGTCAGCGCAGCGGGAAGGGCACGGCGCTCCGCCAAGAGGCTGCTGCGCGGTGCGGGCACGTTTGGGTTGTGCGGCGGAGGCGGCGGCATCGGCGGCGGCGAGGCGTCCATCCGGTGCGGAAGGGAGTGCGTCCGCGGCAGCGGTGGCGGCGGTGGCGGCGGCGGCGGTGGCGGAGCCGTCTCTGGCACCATGGAGTACAGCTTCTCCCACGACGGCTCGCGATCGCTCAGCTCGGTGTAGATGAAGTGCTTCCCGTAGAATTGCAGCACGCGGGGAATGAGCAGCAGCTTGCTCGGGTCCTGCAGAATCACCCAGCCGCGGCCGTTGCAGCTGACCTTGGGACCCGGGAACACGTCCGCCGCCTTGACCATGTCGAACGTCTCGAAGTAACGCCCCAGCATCTCCGTCGTGGTGTTAAAGGGCAGGTGCGACACGTACAGACAAACGTACTTGGTGGCCGCGGCGTAGAGGGCACCGGTGCGGGGGTCCTTGAAGAAGGCGTGATACTGCGCGTTGGGCTGCAGCTTCAGCAGCGTCACGCCGGCCTCCTCGGTGGAGCTGGAGAGCGGGATTTCTCTCGGTGGGGTGTACGTCGGATCGAACAGCTTCGTGCCTTCGGGGAAGTACTGGTACAACGGCAGGCGATAGTCCTCCATCAGGTGCAGCTTGTCGCCGTTCACGTAGACGAACGGCGTCGACGCCGGTGCCGGCGTGGCCGAGCTACTTTCCGTGGACATGCGGAGTGCGGCACGGAGAGAGGCGAACCGACGAGGCAAAAAAGAAGTGAAAGGAGAAGAGAAGGGGGCTGCCGATGAAGTAGAAGGTGACCCACCGGGGAGACAGGAGAGGGAGAGAGACACGCGGTGTAAGCGCGAGCCTGCGTTGGCCGGCCGCAGCTCTCCGGGTAACGTTGACTTTATTTCTTGCGTTAGAGTTGAAGGACTTCGGGTGTCGTGGACGGTGTGCTGGAATATTTGAGTGAGTGTGCGGGTGTGTTTTTAAGTTAGTGATTAAGACGGAGCAGGTCCTGGTCGCTGAGGTCAAGCCGTTGCCGTGAACCCGCTGCTGAGCTGCGCACACTCGTCTATGAAGAGACTGTATAGTTAGTCAACAATCACAACAACAACGAAAAGAGAACACGAAGCTACGCAGAGGCAACTGCTGGTGAAATTGGCAGTCCGAAGAGGACGAATGCGTGAGCGCTGCTTGTGATGCGGCGTTATCTTCGCTTTTAAAGCTGCGTTCTCCAACGATATGCGCAAATTCAAGCAAAGAAAAGGAAAAAGAAGAGCCCCAATAGGATCAAGGAAAGTAAACAATTGATTGTCATTACTTGGTTGCGCACCGCCGAAGCGGAAGGAAGGAGAGCGGCACACAGCGTCGTTCATTCGGGGTTTGCTGTGCCAACTGATTTGAAACGGCTCAAAAGAGAAATGTCAGGTGCTTTTACCCGCTTAGAATGCACCCGGAAGTTGCCTGTCGATGCGAGACAGAAAAGACGCTGAACGTCCCCGCGGCGACCTCAGACGGCAGCACTTTATTTATTGTTTTACATACAGCCACTACGGCGCTCTGCATTGCTTTTTGTTGTTGTTATTAAAACGTTGTTCATGTGAGAACTTGGAGTGCGTGACAGCCGATATCAGCATGTCCAGCCGATTACTACAGCTGCAATAGTTCTCTCAGAGGTGCTCCTGCAAGAACACCACGTCAGCAGGCGTGATACCTTAGCTACTTAGTCCTTAAAGCTGCTGTTGACGGCACTGACGTGGACGAACACGGGGTCGAAGCTCTCTAGTCAGCTGCAATGTCCCTCCTCCACAGACTCCGTGCACTCTAGCAGGATGCGTACCTTCTCCCCAGCAGATAATCCGTCCACGCTTGCCACCGTACACACCTGCGCGAAAGGAGCCGCAGCGTCCCCCGCACACCAACGCCAGAGCGGTGGCAAGATCGGCTGTGGCACCTCTGCCGCTACCATCACCGTCGCGCGTGTGATGTCGTGCAGGGTATGATGGTAGAGAGCGAGGTAGCTTTGGCAGTTCGCCATCGCAAAAAGAAACTCTGCCGCGACATCCGCAACCGCTGCTCCTGCTTCCTCGGTCTTCGTCAGGAATGCCAGGAGGCGCTGCCGACAGCCCGCCGGTAAGTCATGGGCCGTCGCAACCTCGCGCGTCGCGGGCACACGGCCGGCCGTAGCGCTGACAAACACCAGCGCATCCCCACTGGGCAGTCCGACGCGGCGGCCTTGGGCGTAGGGCCCGGGTTCCCCCACAGCCCAACAGCTGCGGCTCTGCGCGTGGATCACACGCCTCTGGATAGTGTCGCTTGGAGCCGCCAGCACCTCCACCATCATCTCGTTGGACGCGTAGACGGACGCCTGCTCGCTGCCGCGGTGGGTACGAACCGTCACCAGCATTCCGGGAGGACACACGTGTGGCACCTTGGCGCTGTACGCCGCACGGCTCGCCGCTTCCCACGACGGAGACGGAAGGCGGACGTGGTAGTAAAATGGAGAAAGACTCCGTTGCGTCGCCCACGCCTGCGCCGCATCGAAGCACGCCTCGACCGCACTCTGGATCGCCGCTTCATTTCCTGCAGAGGAAGATGAGGCGTCCGCAACGTTGCCATAAAAGGTTTGGCTCTCGACTCCTGGCCGTGCGGCGCCGGCAGTCAGGAAGAAGGAACGCACCGAGGGGGACGTCGCTGCCGATGCGGTTGGCTCGCCGTCCTCCTGCGCCGTACTCAACGCGCGTGCAGAGGTAGAAAGCGTCTGCAGCAAGGGCAGGACGTCCGATGGAAAATGGATCTGACCACCACGCAGGCGACGTAGCAGCTGCACCTCGTCGGCTTGTTGCGCCGCAGACTTCACCTCCCGCTGCACCGTCAGCACGCCATGCCCAGAGGGCGAGATGTCGTTGTCGTCTTGCATCACGACGGCCACGGAGGTCACCGCGAGCTGCTCGTGGAGGAAGAGCGGGCAGTTGAGCACCGTCGTCTCGTACTCCCCGCCCTCCCCGGCGAGATGCGACTGGTAGAGCTCCGTCATCTTCTCCAACGTGGGCCGCGCCTCCTCCAGCGTTTTGCCGATCAACTTGCGCGGCAGCAAACCGATCGACGCCGTCTTTACCAAAATGGCACGCACCGACAAGGCGTGCGCCATGTCGAGAATTTCGTCCGGCTGCCGCATCCAGAGGTAGGCGAGCGACTCGAGGCCGAGGCGGTCGCAGATAAACTCTACTCGATTCCGCTGGTAGTTGGACAAGATGGCGCCGCTGGTTAACCCGCGCACCTCGGGGAACTCCTCCTTTACCTCCTTCACTAGGTGATAGAGCGACTCCACCTCATCGTCCTCGGGCGGGTGCTCTGCGTACAGCAGCGACTGATCCTTCGCGCGGCCCCGCTTCACACAGGCACGGCGCAGTGGCACGTTCAAGCACGCCGCAATGACTTCCATTACCTCAAAGCCGACGGTCTGGTACATGTAGGAGTCGATGTCGTGGCCGTGCGCCGCTTCCGCTTCCGCCTCGGCCGTCGTCGCGTCTGCAGGGAGGGATGGAGCGATGTTCACGATGACGGCGGGCTCGTGGCCGTAGCGGTAGGCCATGAGCACCGCGAGGATGCTGTCCTTCCCACCCGAGAGCAGCGCAATCGTTTTCATTCGGCGCGTGTGAATGTGTGCTTGTGTGTGTGTGTGTGTGTGTTCTAGCGGGGAACAAGGCAGCACGTGGGAAGACGGAGAAAGCGTAAAGGAAGTGAAGAGACTCACAGCGAGGGAGCTCGATGCAGGAGAAATAAACACTTACGGCTTCCTCAGTGTAGGGTGCTTCTCATCTTCCTTGAAAGAGAAATCATCGCTGCCCTTGGGTCACTTAGAGTGCGCAGCTGGTCCACCTCGAAGCGCGTCGCAGCCATCCACATCGAACTCCTCTCTCCACCGAGCCGTTGTTGAGCCAAACCAAAAAAAGGAACGGGTTTTTTTTTTTAAGGAAGGACAAGAGGGAAGTCCTGCGTTGTCGTCGCACGCGTAAATGCGCTGCTGAGAGGCGCAGCACTCCACCGCCAACGTGCGCGTCCTACAGAACAAAATGCGAAACGAAGAGAGGCACACACACGCGCAAAAAAACAACAACCTGTACCATCCACCATCCAACACCCCTTCCAAGGTTGGCTGAGCGAGACGCCGACCCACACACCTCGGAACACTACGACCGAAACGACAGCCATCCCCACACAGGCACTTGACGACTTACGCGCAGCTCACGCGCCGCTGCGTTGGCCGTACATCGCTGCAACCGCCGCTGCCCCCACGAGAACACCACGAAATACGTTGGAGTGCACCTCCTGAAAGAGTGCAACACCAAGCACAATCAGCAGCCCACGCCGCTCACTCGCTGTCAGCGAAAACGGCTTCACCACGTCCGTCTCCGCCTGCCCCGGCGCCCCGTCGTCGGCGTTAGACACGGGCGCGTTATCCACTGCCGTTGGGGATGACACAGGCATGGAAGGCGAGGACGGGGAGCCGGTGACGTCCTGCGGCGAAATATCTAGCGCGGACATGCACGAGCACGAAGTGGTGGACCTTGGGGGCAGCAAAGAGAGGGTATGTGTGTGTGTGTGTGTACAACGAACCACTTCGCAAAAATGAAAGCAAAAGCCGCGATGAATGCGCAGCGACAGTTGCGTAAAAAACAAAATATGCATAGAGGAAGAAAGGGGGAAAAAAGGAAAAGGGATTCTCGCAGACGCGAAGTGCACTACGATTGTATGCAGCACAGTAGAGAGGGGCCCGAGTGGGTGGGACTTCTACGTAAAGGGCGCTGCCTAGGAAGAAAACCGTGGCTGGCGCATCACGCCCGCCTCGCAAAATTGAACTTCACCTACGGCAAAAGAAAGAGTTGTTCGTAGCTATGCAACCGTCTGAGAGGGAGAGAGAAGCTCTTAACACTGTCGGGTTCAATTAGTTCTATCTTACGTGCTATGGCTTCTGTGTTTTCGTGCTCTCGGCGAGCAGACGAATTAAAAAAAAAACATATATTTAAGGAAAATGCTGCAGCGACACTTCTCACGTGTTCGTTTGAAAGACGGTTGCTTTTTCACTCGAGTTAACAAAGAAACAGTAGGCGGCCTGTACTCGATAGAGCACTGAAGAAAGGGCTCCGCATTCTTTGCCGCGTTGTGCGGTCGTCTCCCCTCTCAGTCCTCTCCGCTATCCGACAAGGACCGCCGCCGGCGCGACTCACGTTGGCCGCGACGGCTGCTATGATGGGTGCTGGACGGCCCGTCTGCGAAAGAGCGCACACGTTCGTCTCGGCGCTCGTCGCGGCGGCGACTTCGGCTCCCGCTGCTGCTGCTGTGGCGCTCATGTCGGTCGTCTCTGCGAGGCAGGGACTCGTCGTCGCGGTGCTGCCGCCGTCGGCGAGACTCCCCCTCCTCCAGCTTCGACGCGGACGACGACGACGCAAATAAGCGCTCGTCCTCTGCATCCGGCTCATCCCTTCGCCGGCGCCGCTTCTCTGGGCTTCGTCGATACGCCGTCGGCGACTCCTCGCGCGCGTGCTTGCGGGGCGGCGGGTCTGCGAAAGCGGCGTCGGACGGCTTCGTGAAGGCGCGGTACGGCGGTACCGTTGTGGTCGCACTTCCGTAGCGCCGTGCGTCCGCGCTGCCCCGTCCAACGGTGTCCGTCCCGTGGCCGTAGGACGGCGGCGTCGACTTCGCCCACCCGCGCCGCAGACTCTCCGGGGACGCCGTCTCCGGCGTGGTCCAGAGTGACTGCGCCTGCTGGGCGGTATTGGACGCTGACAGCGCGGACTGCAACGGCGAGTCTACCTCATGCGGGTGCTGCGACTGCTGAGGCGGTTGGAGAGGAGGTGGTGGTGGTGGCAGCAGCGACTCCTCTTGCCGGTCGGCGGCCTCGCCAAAGTAGGGGTAGATGGGCAGGTGGAGGGAGAGGAACTCGATGTAGTCAATGCGACGGAAGTCCTCTGCGGCTTTGTGGGAGGTAAACTCGCACTTGACGCCATCCGGCAGCCGCACGACGTTGTTGCCCAGCTCTCGCGAGGAAAAAATCGGATAGGAGCGGAGCTCCACGAAGAAGTCGGCCCTCTGGTCCTCCGTGAGGGAGGTTGTGGGGATGTAGCACGAGGTGTACAGCGACTCCGACGACAGCGGCATGGCGTTGAAGGGCCGCAACGGGTAGAGAGAGTGGGCGCCGCTCTCGAGGGGCGACGCAAAAAGCGGCGCCGCCTGAAAGATCGAGTTTGCACCCTGTGGGCGTGTCGGGGGTCGATGAAGCAGCGATGCACCCTGCGTTAAGGGGGAGGCCGTGCTTTGCTCTGCGCTGACCTCCTCGCCGCGTCTCCCCTCTCCGTCGTCCTGCACCGAACTCCCCGGCGCATCGTCCTTCTTGTCGGCCCTTTCCGCCTCCGTGTCAGCGGGCGAGCCCTCATGGCGGCTCAGCAGCTTCCCTTCCACGTTCTTCAGGTGGTGTCGCCATTCCTCCGCGTCAACGGAGCCGGCATCCTCAGCAGTGGACGTCAACGGGGCTGGAGAGGCCGCCGTGGCGGGTACCTCCTTCGCCTTCTCCACGTCCGCCACGTCCTCTGCGTCCGCCTCCGTCATGATGCCGACAGAGGCGTGCAGCGGGCCGCTAGTCTGCGAGCCGGCCTCGCGGTGCGTCTCCTGCATACGCTTTCGCTGGACAAACTCGTACGAGTACAGAAACTGAGAGGCGATCAGCTGCAGATGGGCAAAGACGGCCTCCTTGTCACGGCGGCGCTCGCACCGGTTCAGCGCAATGCGGCCCAGCTCGGCTGACGCAGCCGAGACCTTCAGCGTGCCCAAGGCAGCTCGGGTAACGACAACACCGCGTGAACGCGCCGACGACGGCGGTGCACCACCGCCGGCGGACTTCGCTGCCGGTGTGGCAGACAGCAGTCGCACCTCCACCACATCCCTCAGCGACGGGGCGGTGAGGGCTTCTAGAACGGAGGCCGCCGTCGGCAGGTGGAGAGCCTCGCTGAGGCTGGCGCTGGTACTGGTGTCATCACTGCTGGCGAACAAGAGACACGCCGTGTCGTAGTGGTGTTGGCGTGCGATGGACTGGAAAGTCGTCCAGATCAGCGGGCGGGCGTCGGATGGCGGCAACAGACAGCACAGCAGCAGCCGTGTCTTGTGTGCTGCGGCCGTGACCGCATTGATTTCATCGTTGTCGCCCTGCGTGTTGGTCGCTTCTTCGTCCGCGCGCACGTCGGTGCCAACGTCGCCAGAGTTGCCGGGGTCATCGATGTCGACGAGCGGAACCAGACGGAGCGCGCGAACGCAGCGATAGACCCACTGCGGCGTCACCACGAGCACCCACGCGGGCAGCGGCGCCGTACGTGTCTGCCCAGTGGCCGCAGCAGCGGGTGTGTTCACTGAACTTGTAGAGGGCTTCTCCTCCTGGGCAGTGGGGGAGGCAGAGGACGCCGGTGGCGGAGCGGTGGGGTCTTCCGTAAGGTTGACTTGTTGTGACGGTGGTGGTGGTGCGGTGGACGTGGTCTCTTCACCAGGCGGCTTCACACTGTCGTTGCCACTGCGCTTTCCTTCCTCCTCCTCCTCCTCGTCATCGTCATCGTCATCGCTGCTGCTGCCACTGCCGTCACTATCTCCCTCGTTGCTGTCCTCCGTCGACGAGCTCACGGAAGAGGACGACGCGGAAGATGGCTCCCGCTCAGGAGGGGGCAGCACCACAACGTATGTGGCTTCCTCCTCTGACTTCACTACACGTCCGCCGTGGAAGGAAACCAACAACATCAGCGCCGTATCAACGACGTCGCCCTTGAAAAAGAACCGACAGTAGGCAAAGAGCGCGGTGTTGCACAGCGCCACGCAGCTGGCGATGGACGACGACGGGTAGCGCAGGAGCCACTCCGAAAACAGAATGCAGCGGGAGAGGGCGTACAGGAGCTCCATGGAATGAAAGGCCTCCACGCCCTCTCGGTTGTGTTGTACTTCAATGAGCTGCAGCGCCGTCGCACTGCTCCAACGCGACGCATCGTCCACCACGAGCACCGTGCGCACATAGGCGTCGGGGTCAATGCCCAAACTGGCGAAGCTGTACTCCGTGGTCCCAGGCACCAGTGACACGCGACGGGCGTCCTTCAGAAAGCTGACCCACTCCGACGACTTCAGGATCGTCGTCGTGTCCTCCTTGGACCACGGTGTCATGAGATGCACCCGGTTGCCGGAGGAGCACACGACCTGCAGGAACAACGTGGCGTTGGGGTAGACGAACATCGGAGTCAGCCGCCGCTCCTCTGAGAACTCGAGACGGCGAATTGTCGGGTTGCCTGGGAAGTGAGCCGACTTCGCCTCCGGCGGTTGCTTGACAGAACTGCCCGTGGACGCTGCCGGCGGGAACGCTGGAGGAATCGAGGCGGACATGAGCACCTCCAGCGACACAAAAAAATCGATGCCACCCCACATGTTCTCTTCTTCACTCTTCGTATCGTTTCTATCTGTTGTGATGAGTAGTTGTTCCGCCGTTAGGGTGCTGCAACGCAAAGTGTTTCTGCGCTCCTTCTCTGCTGCTGAGAACCGCGGAAGACAGCGGTTAAACGAACCCTTTTTTGTTGATCGGATGTTTGGTGGTCTCTCTCCTTCTCTCTCCCTGTGCAATTCCTATCGTTAGGTCCGCGAGGTGTCTCCGGCGCACGCGGAGCAACACGCAGCACGATTACCTCGAAAGCACTTTCGAGTTTTCTGACTCTGTGACCACCGCGTTAGAAGAATTGTTCAGAATAGATGAAAGAAAGAAAAAAGAATAAGAAGGAGAAGGTCACGTAAAAAGCGTTGCGTCCGTCGTCATCATCATCAGCTTCACGAGATGTGGAAGACTGCCTCAACGATCGCTTCGTTTTGAAGGAAAGCACCCCTTTGGCGGAAGTGTACTCCACACCAGATGTGCAACGAGGCAGCACGCACTCACAAATTTGTTCTTTTCGCCACCGTTGGTTACGCATCGGTGCCGCCGGGCAGTTTCAGCGAAGGGGCAACGACTAAACATGATAGTAAGAAGAATAAGACGTGTGTGTGTGTGTGTGTGTGTTGAATTGCGAGACAGAGATCAGCCAATAAGGCAGCAAGAATAAATATCAAAAAAAGAAGAAAACAGCGAGCAGCGTCGTTCATGCACACCGAGCAAAAACCAAAGAGAAGAAAGCGCCCCTCTTTTTGTGAGGAAGAGAACAAGTTGGGAGGAGAAAGAAAAAATCTATGAATAGATGAGCCCTGCGCGCCGCATTCCACGCCCAAAGACGGTGAACGTCATCTTCACCGTACCGCTAGTGACGGTGTGCAGCTTGAATCGCTGCTCATTGTCCGCAATAAGAGAGTTGTCGCGCAACACGGGGTAGCCGCCCATGATGAAGAGCCGCATCGTCTGCCACAGCCGCTTCAGCGCGCTCGGGCTCCACAGATTCGGCCGCCACGTCGACACCTGCATCGTCTGCGGCCCACCGCCGGGCATGGGCAGGTAGGCCGTCCCGTAGCCTCCAATGTCCTTGCAGCCGTAGTCGTCCAACTGCCACACCTGAATCGCAATCTTTGGCCAGCCCTGCACACTGTTAAAGCAGTAATGCACGTCGATCGGGAAGTTCCACGCGATGCCTTCGCTGCCGTTTCGCATGACGTGGGTAGAGCCGGAGGTGCGGCCCTCAATCACCGTCCACTGCGTGCCGGTGACGATCTCGTAGGTGCAGAAGTACGCACTGCCACCGAAGTTGTGGCCAGTCTGAATCTCCCCGATAATGTGTAGCTCAGACATGCTGACGAAGCACCGCCGGCTTCCAACGCCAGTGGTGTGAAGGGTGAAGAGCGGTGAGTACACAACGAAAGAAATCCACCGTCTGGGTGCTCTATCCGTGTGTGTGTGGTAGGGGGAGGGGGGTGCGTGGTGTAGCCCCTCTTTCCAATCCGGCTTTGATGGACCTACAACTTCAATGTACACAATCTATCGGCGGCTTCTTCTTCTGAGTGAAACACGCAATCCAACACGGCAACAAACACGTTGCAGTCTTTCTTTTCCTTCGTTGTACGGTGGGCTCGCTGCTCGAGAAGATGTCACGCGGCCATCTTCGTTGTCGTGGACCACCGCAAGCGCGAATTCAAAAATCCCCAAACAAAAAAGAAGGTTGGAAGTATAAAAAAAAGGCAGGCGTGGAGAACAACAACGACGGCGACGACACCAACAAACATGTGGTGGCGCTGTTGCCACGTCATCTACAAACGAAGCTGACAACAAGGTCCATTAAGCGCACTCGTGGGAGACGACCTGTTATCATGTTCATTGAAGCAGAATAAAAAAGTGCACTCTACGTTGAGTTCTTCGCGGATGCTAAGTGATTTGTTGGGTCATTTTCTTTTCGTGTTTGCGTGTGCGTGTTGACGCGAGCACCGTTCGACGTATCTAGATGGCTTCCGTCAAGGAAAAAAACAAAGTGCTTAAACCAGAAGGAGAGAGGTCGAAGCTCAGCCACTGCATCCGTGGTGATGGACCAGAGGGTAAAAGACGCACTTCAAAGTGCGGCGCAGCGCGTTCGACAATCTAAAAAAGAAAAACGGCTTTTTTGTATTTCTAAGCGAAGGTCCGACAAACTCAAATAATAATAATAATAAGTGAAGATGACTGTGCAACGTGCGTGTGTGTAGCAGCCCAGCGACCGCTTCGGCTACGCGGAGTACAGCAGCTCCGCGCCGTCACTTTCAGCGGAGAAGACCACCACGGGAAACAGCGGCGCCGGGTGCAGCGCAGGACAGAACCGAAACGCCACACCCATCGGCACCGACTCCACAAAAAACTCCAGCTCTCCCACCCGCATGTCCAGCCGAGCCGCCAGTTCGAGCCCAGGCCTGTACGGGGCCCCGTAAGAGCGCGCCGCCGCTGCTGCGCTAGAGTCCCCTGGCGCACGCAGGCCCTGCGCAATTTCTCCTGTCGAGAGGTAGAGGAACGCAGGGGCTTCGGTGCCGACGCCGGTGAAGGCGCGCGTGGCGAAGCCGAAGGCGAGCGCCGGCACACGAGGCGCCGACGTGGAGGTTGTTGTCGACGGAGAGCCCTGCCTTGGCCCTCGCGCCTTCCCTGGCGTCGGTGCGATCCAGCGAAACGAAAACAACAGCGAGCCGTGCGTGGTGCCGAGGTCGCCAACGGCGTAAAACGGAATCAGGAGCCGCGGCAGCACCTCCGCCAAGCGATCCGCGTACTCCTCCTCGATGAGGTGAATGGCGTCGGTGGCGTCGGTGCGACATACATTGCCGTCAGGGGACACGACGATGTTGCCGCTGTGCGCGAGGTCCCAGCGAAGTTGGCGCGGTGGGCTGCCAGGGAGGGGCGCAACGGAGTTGAATCCGAGTGATGGGGCACGACGAATAAGCGGCCGGCGAGCGGCGGCAGCGGCTGCGTCGGACAGCTCCTCCACGCTTCTATGGGAATGCGGCGTCATGACGAGTGCGAGGGGTGGCGACGTCGCGCGTGAGAAGTCCGCCCTGTATTGCCTGTTGGGTTCCCCAAGATGTGGTGTACGCAGGGCAGGTCGTTGCTGATGGGCAAGTTGTGCTTCCAGTGACGCGAAACCGTCCGCGGTGGAGCACAGGCCAGACATGCGCAGGGCGTTTTGTATGCGCGCCAGCTTGCGCCGATACGCCGCGTACAGCCGCTCCTCCTCTTCCTCCTCCGCTGTGCTCATCACTTCTGCTTGACCGTGACGTCCGTGGAAGGTAGAAGATGGGCTCCTTGATGGAGATGCGACCTTTCTTGAAGGTGATTCGAGAGTGGATGATGGCACGTGTGGTGGACTTCGCCTCTTAAAAGTTTGCTGCTGTTGCCGCCCTGGTGATCGCCGCACCGTCTTGTTGTGTGCGGATGCAGAGCGTGGAGAGCGCTTCTCCGATGTAGCGCGTGCAACCGGCAACGTCATCATATTCTCCTCTGCGTTTGCACGCGACGGGGATGGCGACGGCGCTGTCTCGGGCATCCGGTCATTCTCCCAGTCGGCTGCCTCTTTGGCAGGAGAGCCCGTCACCTCGGGAGATCGAGCGAATGCATTCTGCGGTGCTCGCGGCGGTGTTACTGATGCTCTTGGTTTACTCCGCAGGTCTTGTTCAAGTAACAAAGCAGCATCTTTCGCCGCATGTGCAGAGGGCGGCGATGGCGAGCACGGTGGAGGCGCCTCCGCAGAGAACTCGCGTGATGGCGTGTCATCGCTTGACGTCATCGTTTCTTCTTCTTCCATTTGCTCCTCCTCTTTCTTCACTGTCCCGCTGTCACAGCCTTCCGGTGATGCATGCGCTGCCGAGCTCCCCACCCTTACCTCATCCTCCAACCCAGAACGGACAGGTACACTCCCTGTGTCGGTAGGTGGAGTTACGTTCCGCCGTGCGGACGCCATACGCGCCGCCAGCCGCCGTCGCTGCTCCTCCGCGAGGTCCATCTCCATCTGCAGCACCTGTCGCTGCTTCTCCGCGGCTGACACCGCAGCCGCTGCTCTGGCGCTACTCGTCCCGTCTTCTGTCTCTTGACGGCACGACTGTGACCTCCAGGTCCCTGTAGCCGTACGAAGACGCAGACCACGCACCTGCCTCGGCAAACTGGATGTCATCTGGTGCTGCGTTGCAGCTGTAAAACGCCGACGGGTAGGCAGACGATGAGAGAGCGCCATCGCTCACGGTGTTACAGAGGATGGGCGATGATGGAGAAGTCCCGCGTATGGTGGAGGGGCTTTCGGCTCGACGAACGTCGAAAGGGGCGTGCGACGGCGCAACATCTTGAAAGGAGAGAGCCGAGAGAAACTCGTCGTCAGCGCGCATGGGTGGCACAACAAAGCAGCGATAAACTAAAGGCGAAGAAGAAGAAGTCTCACACGAGGGGGTGGCAAAGGCTCCTCTCAGTGCTATCGGTGCGTGTGTGTGTTGCTGCGAGTTCGGCGCACACGTTCAGCGCAAGGTGCCCGTGCGTGCGTCGTGAGTGGGGAGGGGGGGGGGTAGGTATTCGTGCTTCTTACATCTAATCAAGGGTCACGAAGTGCCTCACAACCCTCTGCGATGCTGGGATGCTGCAAGGCAAAAATGGGACTAGCAGAGTTTTCGTGCTTGCCATCGGCAAAAGGTGAAGGATCAGAAATAAAAAAAAAGAGAGGAGAGAAGAGAAATCGTGGTGAGGTCAACACCCTGCCACTCGACAGAGAATCCTGTCATCACCCAGACTATCGTAGAACTGATGAAGGCACAGGAAGTACTCCAGAATGCCACCAACGAAACACGAAAGATGAAGCCGGGTCATTGGTGGGACTTCAAGGAGAATACGGAGACTCCACGATGGCGCCTCAGTGCGGTGATGGCAGTCGGAGAGGAAAGAAAGATCCAATAATACTAAAAAAGAAGGCCGCAACACGACAAGGATCCATGCGTCAGAAAAGTTCACGTTTCAACTTTCCTTACAAACCGTAGCGCACGACTCTTTCTTTATTCACCGCTTGTTGTGTTTTGGAAGACAGTAAAGCGATAACCTCGAGAGGTGAGGAACCCAACAACAGCCCAAAGAAGAGGAAGAAGAACTCACCAACGCGACTCGTCTAGCCAGTATGAAGGAATGGAAGTCATCTTAATCACTAATGGTGATATCAACAAAGAAAAAAAAAGAATACATATATATACACGTGTGTTCCCTACGACGCGACCAAGACAGCGCGTGGAGCTGCGCCATTGTGGATTGCTTACTTCAGAAACTAAAAGTGTCAACATATATATATATATATGTACACTGGGAGAGAGAAAGAAAGAGATTCACATCACTCGAGAGGAGCGAACTACTCGTAACCACAACGGCATCAGAACGGTTTTTGTATTCTTATTTTTAAAGAAAGACGGGGGGGGGTGGGCCTCGGAACGTCCCTTAGAAAAACAGGGGTGAAAAAAGGAAAGGCACAGAAAGGCCACGCCAAAGGGAAACGGCTCGCTATTACTTATCACGCGAAGTTCGGTGCAACACCTCAAAATGAAAAGCGCAAGGAAAAGACAAAAGGTCAGAAAAATAAAATACGTTGTGAAACGCAAAGAAACAGTTTTATTCTCACTGACAAGAGAACCAAAGAAAAACAACGATTTTAACGTCAGTGACAAGAAGCATCGATGACCGCGCAACGGTCACCGGCGCGTGCAAATGACACGGACAAGTGAAATGGAAGAGGGAGAAAGAAGCAGCTGCATTCTCACGAGCACGACAACAATACCAGACACGACACAGCGCACCTCGCCACTGAAGCGGTATTTGTCTGCGCTGCAGGCATCTCAGATTCCATTCCTTTTTCTTCATCACTTGCGGCGGCAAGCCTGACTATATATATGTATATATATGAACGCTCATATAATTTCATACTTTTGTTGAGTACCGGTCGTACGAAGATGTCTGCGACACTCAGACGGTGTGGGCATGGGGGCAACACCAGACACGGCAACAACAAAAGTAGCATCCAATGTGGTAAACTAAGAAGGAAAAGAAAAGGAAAAAAATAGAACGTATGCGTCAACATGCCTGTCTTCACAGGAGGAGGATACATGGGCGTTGAGGCGCATCCGCTGAAACCGACCGACAAGGAACAGGCGAGGAAACAAAAACCACTCCAGGCTGGGAGGACACGCCGTCGTACGTCTCGTTGGAGAAACGACGAGAAGGCGCACGGGGAGCAGGGGTGGAAACGAGGCACCCTCCACTATCAAAACGTCATCACACACGGTAGGAGAAACGAATGGCACATAAGAAAAAATTATAAAAGCAAGATACACGACCTAATTTAGTAAACTCAGAGGATTTTAGAAAATATATATTTACGGGGGATGGAGACGCACAGCTCCAGAAGGACGAGCCAAAAGACGATGTTGAGAGCGCCAAACCGAAATGGGGAACACATGAAGTACAAGAAACACTTGAAGGCAACACAACGAATGCACACCTCGTTCTACGTGCTAAGGAAACATAAAGTCAGCAAAAGAAAAAAAGAGAAGAGGGCTTATTTCTTCTTCTTTAGCCCATGCGAGTGACGTCAAGTCTCATGCGTATAGTTATTTTAGGCAGTATCACTTCCGCAAAGGAAGAGGCCAAAAGACGAAGAACTCACACGCACACACACGCAAAGAGAATAGGTGGGTAGGGGGAGAATAAGAGTTCATTCACCACGAATTATGTACACGTAAGAGGGGACGACACCTCACGCTTTTAGCACCCAAGACAAAGCGAATAGGAGGAAAGAGAAACCAAAAAAAGGAAGGAAGAAAGGAAGAAAGAAAGCGCGGAGGTAAAAGAACGCGATGTGAAAAGGAAGTGCATTTTGCCGAGCACCAAGAACGCGGGGCTGCAACGATAGGCATCAAGGGAGCATGAACGACGCTCACCACGAACTCCAACGACACCTATCGAAAAACGCTAAAGAAGGAGAAGAGAAAACACACGTCAATATGTCAAAGAAATGGACGAAGGCCTCCCCAGCGTTCTCAGGAAGTCCAGCAAAACAAAACAAAAAACGTTCACGAAAATAGGTCTACGGATCGTTCGCTCCCCAAGCAACAGCGACACCAAAATCAGTAGTGGTAGCCGCCGTAAAGCTGGATATCGAAACGGGGAGAGAGAGAGAGAGAGCGTGGTACCGAAAACGAAAGTGAAGTAAAACACGTGTGGTCGGGTGTGAACGTCCTTTACAGAGTTCAAACAAAAGAGACAATAAAAAAAGTGCATTGAAATTAAAGCGAAAGAGCAATATATCTATACACACCGCGTAGGAAAGGAAGGGAAATCTACGTTTCCGTGGCAGGGCGCGTCGTCTCTGTTTTGTGGGGCGACTCCGTTTGATAGCCGCGCAGCTGATTCTGAAACACCCGCACGCACTGCGCCGCGGCGATGCTCGTGGCGTTGCGGTAGTTGCCGTCGCGAGTGACCACCGCGCCAACGCAGACATCCACATACGGCATCTGCTGCTGCGCCTCCGTCAACTCCATCTCAATCGTGAAGGCGTTGCTCTTCAAGGCGGTAGCGCGGCTCATGTCAGGCAACACGTGCTCGGCGCGGCACAGCGGGCACACGTCCTCGGCCATGCGAAAGTACTCCTCAATGCAGGTGACGTGAAACCAGTGGTGACACTTCGTTTCGATCACCGGCTCCTCGCCCTCGAAGGGGCAGAGGCAAATGGCGCACAGCTCATCCTCTGCATCGGCGGCAGTGCTGCTGCTGCGGCTCGAAATACCGTCGTGGTGGCGTTGGCCTTCCTGTCCCAGCGGCGGCGTCTGCGTCGCCATCAAATCTCGCGGGGAGTCTTCCAAGCACGGGGTGGGGGCAGAGAAGGAAAACCCCCGGGCGGGAGCCGCCGGCGCCTGGAAGGACGACGCACCGGCCCGCGCTGAGGGGGGACTCCGCGCCGCACTTACCTGTCGCCGGCGCCGTGCTGTCGCGCTCTCCATCTTCACGAAGGAGCGCCACTGCGACGCCGGGCCGAGCCGTTTGAGCAGCACGTCCTCCATCGTGTTGAGGTGCACGAACTTCTCCGCGCGGCTGAGGACCCAGGCGATGGGGCGGGCCCCGTACGGGGCGATCGTCACGCTCAGCGTGATGCAGACGACGTCCTGTGTCGTACACCGCGTGGACGGTAGAGGCGGCGCACTGTGGCAGCTGTGGCCGCTGCTCACCCGCCGACTCGGTGGACGCACTGGCGGCTTCGGCGTCACCGCCGCGCTGCCCGCCGAGGAGGCGGAGCTGACGGACGAGATGTTGTAGGGCGCCACCTGGATGCCAGGGTTGGCCAGCGACTGCCGCGGTGGCGAGTCGGAGGGCGAGGTGGACTGCCCTGACTGCCGACGCTGTTCCGGCGTGTAAGCGAGCGAGAGCGACGGTGGTCGCTGCCTCGCCTCCGTCACGGAATGCTCGCGACTCAGCGAGAAGGCGAGGGAGGAGCTGCAGGAACTGACGGCGCGGCGGCGAGGTTGGTAGCGCGCCTGCAAAATGTTGACCCCTGCGGCGTGGCCAAAGCTGTAAGGTGCGTGCGGGGAGCGCAGCAGGGCAAAGAGACACTCGCGCTGCTGGGCGTAAAACGTAACCGCACACGCCATGCAAATGTCAAACCCGTATGTCGACTTTCGGCTGATCTGCGCGTCACTCCGCACGCTGGTCGAGGCGCCTGCGCCGCTGCTGCTGCCGCTGCCCTCCTCCTCATCGTACAGCATCGCTTGAAACCCCACTCGGATGCCGCGCAGGTGACAGGTATCACAACAGTAGCCCGTCGAGACGTACGCACAGGCGGGAATCGGTAATGGGTTGCACAGCTTCAGGTGCATGATGGCGTGCCGATGCGCAAACGTGAGCTGGCTCGGCAGCTTGTCCAGTATTCTCATTGCCTCTGACACCGGCTTTGCCTCGATGCACGCCACAAAGTTGTCGTCGTACTCGAGATCGGGCTGCCGCTCCAGCTGCGGGGGCTCACCGCTGGGGTGTTTGGCCAGGTAGATCGCCAGCTCCGCATTGCGCTGCGTGCTCTGAGAGACGGCGCAGTTCAGATACTCCCGCAACGGCGGCTGTGAGACGGACGGGAAGCCCAACACGGCGGTCAGCAGCCGCTCGATGATGCGCAGGTAGGACTTCATGTCATCCGTGCCGTAGGCCACAATAGCCTGCGTGAAGAAGTCCGTGTACGACCTCCACGTCTCGGCGTTGAAGCCAGCCTCTTCGATTTTCACGAGGATGCGGCGAGCGGTGTAACACAGCAGTTCCACGTACTTACTCTGCGGTAGCACATCCTCCGGTGGCAGACTCTTCAGCCGCGACCACCGCTGCGGCGTGAGTTCGACTGCCTGCTCCGCCGTGATCCTGCGGATGATCACATCAATTCCCTGGTTCGTGGACGCCATTGGAAAAGAAGACGTTGGCTCTGTGTTACCTGTTTGATTGATTGTTTGCTGTTCCGCGGCAGATGATTCCACGTACCGCTGGTAGGTAGGGCCGGCTTGATTGGCCTCCGTTCGTGCCTCTGCGCGGGTCTTGAATGCGCGCCCTCCGGCACAGCTAAAAAACAGAAGAGACGAGAGAAGAGAAGCAAAACAGAAAAACAAGCTCTCGCTGCGTGTGTGTATGTGTGTATCTTAACAGCACAGCACTTCGAGCAGTGGACAGGGTAGCAGCGAAATAATTTAGCGTCCACGCCTCTTTTTTCTTTCGTTGGTTCGTTTGAACAGAACAGCGGTGCAAGGAATGCGACAGAAATGGAACGCACGCAAAAGAACAGAAGCGGGAACAAAAGACCTCAACAGCCACAACCCGCACGTTATTCGGGCTCTGCGCGGTCGAACGGCGGGGAGACGAGCTCGAGTCCACGGTGCTTCTCTGTGTGCGGCTGTGTAGGTGTGTGAGGAAGAAATAGGTATCGGGGATGCGTGTTGGAACACCAGTGCAAGGTGATGCAACACCAAGAGGAAAAAAAAAAGAAGAAACGGTCAATATAAGAGCACTTAACGAATGGCAGTGAGGCCGATGAGCCAGCAAAACAACTTCGTCGGCTGAGAGAGAGAGAAAAAAAAAAAGAGAAAACAAAAAAATAGTTAATATGAAGAAAATAAGGAGCAGAGAAAACAAAACAAAGAAGAAAGAATTCGTGGGGTTGCGGGTGATCGCTACAACTTTCGAGTCCTCGCGTCGAATGTGGGCTCGCGCCTTCAATCACCACCACCACCACCACACAGGATATAAATCAAAAACTAGCCACAAGACACACAAACAAAAGTAATTAAGAAAACGTATTTTGACTTTCCCACCTTTTCTTTAAGATTTGGATGACAAATATATATATATATAGAGAGAGAGAGAGAGAGAAGGAAGGCAACGCCTGTGCGTTAGAGGTCACTAATAATCTTGTTTCAGCCTTCCGCGCTGAGAAGGAGAGAAGAGAAAACGGGACAGGAATTACCACGACAACGACGAGCGCGCGCGCGAGAGAGAGAGAGACACCGATAACGTGCGGCGGCGAAGGGGCGCGGCAGCTGCGCGTGAAGAACAGAGAAGGAAACGAAGGGGGAGGGGGAAGCGGGGAAGGGAATCGTCGCGCAGAGCAACGCTCCGGCGTGCCCTATGTTAAGCAAAGGAGAAGAAAAAAAAACAAAAGAAAATAACAGCAAGAGCAATAATAGAAGATGTACGTGTTTTTTGAGTGTTTCCGCTTCGGGTGAAGCACATGCGTTTCTAAGCCGATGACTTGAAGTAGAAGAAGAAATGAGTGGTCTAAGCGGGTGAGTTAAAACCAAAAAAAACTAATATGTGTTATGCTGCAACGATATACGCCTGTATCACACCGGTGTCCCGCGTGGTTGTGTGGGGAGGGGAGGGGAGAGGGGGAAATATGCGATGGTGTCCACAGCCGTTGTCTGTGTTCCGTGAGATAATCGTTTCTTCGCGTCTGCTCGGTCAAAACGAAAGGGTCGGGGGGAGGAGGGGGGAATGCAAGCGGCGAATGAGCCCAGTCGCAGCAGCAGAACGGCCAGCCACGTGCGGTTGAGAAGCCCCACGGAGAAAACAAAAAAAAAACGACAGCAGGAAACAGAACAAGAGAGCACACGTCCACAAAATTGATTTTTTCACGCCAATGCAAAAAAAAAAACCCCTGCGTCTGCGGCAACCACAAAACAAAAGTATTTTATTTGCTTCGCGTGTACCCAAGAAGTGTGCATACACACCATCCGCGAGAAGGGAGAGTAGATAAATATATAAAACAAAAGAAGTGAGGAGTGAGGAGTGGGGAGAGGACATGTAAATGCAAGTGGTTCGATGTCGCGTCCCAGGTAAAACGAGCAGGTGAGACCCACGGTGGAAACAGGCTTCATAACTCCATCGCAGAGTTTACGCATAGTAATTGCAGCACAACCCTCATGGAAAGAAAAGCCGTTTGCTACGCTGCTACTACGCGCTTGCGAGAGATGCATTCGCCATCTTTTCATTTTTCAGTAACGTGTTCCGATTCTTATCATCGCAGGTTTGATGAGCACGTTCATGTTTGAGATCTCCTGTTAATCGAAGGAGGCAATTAAAAGGAAAACAACAACGACGATGAAACGCCTCTCTTTGCGTCACCCGCAGTGACGCTGGGAAGACGTTCGGCGTGCTCGGGGTTGCCACCACACCAGGCACTTCCCTGTGGGTGCGCCTGTGGTTTGTGTTTAGTTAAGCGAGGCGGAGCAACGCGCACCGCAAGGAGTCCTTCCTCCTCCCCCGTCTCTGCAGGGATGTCTTCAGATGATGGCGGGCGGCTTGCCAGGTCCGGGTCGGCGCCGCAGCCGATACACCTTCTGCTCCGTCAGCGACCGAGACGGGTGGAAGCACGCCTCGATGCAGACGCCCTGTGCCCGTGCGGCGTGACACAGCTGCTCATTGGAGGTCAAGATAATCGCCTCCACGGCATCCGCAAAGCCAAATACGATCTTGTTGCGCAGCGACACCTTGCCGCTGAGCCGCAGATACTCCACATTGCTGAAAAGAGGAGGCGGAGAAGAAGAAGCAGAGGGGCTGAATAACGCTTGCGCAGCGACTTCTGCTGCAGCCGCACCGCCAGCACAATCGCGGTTCTTCTTTTGAGGCTCCCGCGCCTCCTTCTTTGGCGGGTGAACCACGTCTCCGGTCTTCTCGGCAGCGGAGAGCCCAGCACCTTCCTGCTCTGTCAGCATGCATGCACGCAAGAAGCCGGTGCTCACCACCGTGACAAGCGTCAGCAGTCGAGTGGCGCGGGCGATCTCGGCCGGTCCCGCGATCGTCTCCAAAATCCACCGAAATTCTTCATAGGTGATATCGGCAATGAGCCAGTTCGGCCGCCGTTCCTTTTCACGTGCCTGCTGCTCGCTGAGCTCGATCAGCAACGTGGACTCGTCCAGCAAGGTGTTCGATGGTTCATGGTGGTCTGCGTCTGCCGCTTCTCGAAGGGGTGGCAGCCACGATAAGTCCACGGTGTGCAGCAGCGAGGGGGGCACACGGGCCTCCCTCGTCCTTGACTCGAGGTTGGAGTCGTCTGCACCGGGCGGAACGCTGCGTTGCACCTCGTCCTCGCGCAGCAACGCACCACGCATGTCCTCGTTCAGCGCATGCGGGGTGCACCACCGCGTGTACGTGCGCAGCGCTGGTTCCATGACGGCGGTCACCGCCGCACACCCGGCCGCCTCTTTGCGCTGCTGCTCCTGCAGCACGGAGAAAGGAGAGAGTCGCTGCAGCCGCACAGCCAGCGGCATGGCATCGACAAAGCAGCTCTGCGAGCACAGGGTGACGAGCGCCGTGGTGTCCAGGCAGACGAACCTCGGCGCGAACGACGACGGGGGCAGCCACGCAGTAACGGGTGAATGGTGCGCGTGAAGGCGCGGGGCTCGCGCTGGTTTCGACGTCAGAACAGCCCACGCGATTCGGTGGGCTTCAAAAAAGGCCTTGAGAGGCACAGGAGGCGGGTGCAGGAGCACCACGGCGACGTGTGCCACACGCCGGTGCGGGAGACACGCCCGCCCAGCCCGCTCGCAAAGAGCCAGTAGCATGTCGGTAAATGGTATGCTTCCGTTCGCCTCTAACGCGGCCGCCTCCAATTCAAGGTTGCGCGCCGTCGCCGTCTTCACCTTGATCCAGCGATGTTCGCTGCACGACACGACGTCCACTTCGATCGACACATCGTCGGCAAAAACAGGCGTGACGGTGCCACGCGTATCGTGAGCAACAGCAGCAGCGCCAGCGGGAGAAGAGATTGGGACGGACAACACGGATGTTGATGCGCGGCGCTGAGGGCACCCCACGCAGGCGCTCATCGGAACGTAGACGCCCGTCACGCCGTGCTCGCGCTCCACACACGTCACGACCCCTTCAAAGTGGGCAATAGAGTTGCACTGCGCACACGCGGCGGCGGCGCTGAAGGCCGCAGGCGAGACGATCGGCTCACCAGTCGAGCTCCCTCTGTTCCCTGTGCATCCAGCCGCGCGAAGGCCATCGACCGCGCGCCGCAGGTTCTCCGTCTCTTTGCGCAGACGACTGCGCAGCTTCGCAGCTCCGTGGCACGGCGCAGCTCTGACAAAAGCGTGATCGCGTCTGCCCTCACTCGCTGAAGGCGATGTCGTTTGTGCGGTGCTGTCCTGGCCTGCGCTTTTCGTCTTTTCTCCTGCGTAAAAGGCGCTGTTACCTCTGTTGCTCGCTTGCCACTCCGCTGGCGGTGGCGATGTCGCTGAGCGAGGGCGTGACGGAGAAGGCCCAGCGGGGATCACCGTGCACAGGCGTACCTGCAGCTGTTCCGCCAACTGTAACAGATCAGCGAGAAAGAGGTAAAGCTCCTCCGGGGAGCTGGAAGTGGTGAAGACGCGATGATGCGAGTTGTGCTGCGCCGCGCTGCTCTTTTTACTCGTTCTTGCTTCCCCTTCGCCGTCACTGCGGCGCCCAGAGCAGTCTGAAAACGAGGAGCTGAGCGAGCCTTCCGAAAAGCTGCCATGTGCACTTATATCAAGGCCCGAGACAACGTCGTGGCTGTCGTGCTGTTCGAGCTCCTCGTCGCTGAACGACGGGATGGGCATTGCCTCGTATAGCTGGTCCATGGCCACGTATGAATGCGCTATAAAGTCAAAAAGAGTGACATCTGCAATGTACAGCAGAATACGAGTGGCAAAAAACGCGATGCTCTGCCGAGTGACACCTTACAGAACCAACACAACACATAAATAGCAATCGAAAAGTTATGCGGAGAGATACATTGGCAGTTGGATCACGCAGGGTGCAGATGCAGAAGAGGAAGTGACGTTCAGGGAGCACGAAGTGATTCGCGCAGCCTATAAAAGGCCTTTTTTTTGAAGTTGACGTTGTGGAACGTGCACTTCTGTACATCAATAAAGAAAAGGGAAAAAAATGAGACTTTGCATTCGCACGGCTGTACGCGGAAGAGTTTACTTGGCATTTTTGTCTTTCTTTTTAAGTAGAATGAAGCATCGCTTACGTCGCCATGTGCACATACGCACCCACGAGAGAACCGGCAGCCTGCCCGTGTGAGGAAATAGAACAGCGAAGAAGAGGAGCATCTGTGAAAAGGAAAAGTCCAGTAACAACCGGCGGCCCGCCACCTAATCGCCGCTTTCAAACCTCCACCAATTAAGGCGCTTCTCTACGGGCCAGTCACGCACTTGCTCATACTCGCGCTGTGAAAGTTCCATAAAACGGTGGTGGGTGTAGTCCTTGTCGTCCACGCAGCGTCCCCACAGGCCCACGCGGGCTGACGGCACCTTGTCGAAGTTCACGGTGACGGAGGTGATGCCGCAGCGTGTGCAGAGGCGATAGCGCCGCTCCCGATCCAGATCCTGGCGCATGTACTTTTGATTCTCCAGCCGAAACGCGTCCTTCATGCGCTTGTTGAGGACGACGCCGTTGCTGCGGTTCAGCGCACCGAACTTGGTGAAAGAATGGAGGGAGTTGGGCCCAAACACGTTCGCACGGGACATCGCAGCGACAACGCAAATAGAGAAAAAAAAGAGAAAAATGTGGAGAAGAGGCCTTCTTTGGAATCACACGAAATAATATAAATGTGTGTGTATAGTCACCACACGCTGCCCAGACAACGACAGTAGCTCGCCGCTACGTTCGGCGTGCTGAGAGGGGAAAAAAAAGAAAGGAAATGTCAAAGGTATCTCCTTCCCTACACTGCTCTGTTCGTTGTGCTTCCGTATCTTGCCGATTGGTGTGGTGGCGGTTGAGAGCCAGAGGTGAAGCGGTGGTGAAAAGAGAGAGATGGTAGTCTTTCAATACAGGCTAGCAACGCTGCGTTGAAAGCAAAAAAAAAGCTGAAGCTGTGAAACAGGATCGCGCTTGCCAGCAGCCACACTCCTGACAACAGACGTGTGGATCGCTGTTAAGCGCAGCGGTGATGGATGAAACCAGGCCCGTTTACTCGAATGCTTGAGACGACTGGCGCTCGCGATTTTGCGACACCAAGCGAGACGGCGGAACGATCTAAATCGCCTCTCTTCCTTGGCCACGAAGCGCAGCCTTCATCTGACAGCTTTTCCTCCCCTTTCGGTTATGTTTTTTTCTTTTCTTTTCTTATTACATGCAATTCAGCGGAGCTTTAACCGGTGACCAGCAAGAATCGAATGCGAGTTCGTGGAGGAGGAAAACGAACAGGCTGTTTTTGGTTTCGCCTACACAAACTACACTCTGGTCTCTGGAGTCCCTTACAAGAACAACAATTGAAAAAAAAACTTCGCTTAATCGGGTTAATACAGGAAAACATCGCGTTGTTCAGATCGACTTCAAACGTCGACCGAGAAGAGAAGAATCACCGTCACGCGCCCTCTTGAAAAACAAAAAGCAGGTCTCAGGACGCACTGGAAGGCGATTGTTTGGCAGATTGCCACCGAACCGCGAGCATCGCTCACCGTCGTCGTCGCACGTCCTCCGCCACTCACCCGCTCACGTCATTCGCAGAACCTCAAAATTGATCGTGCTTCGACTTTCGCTTCGACGTGCGTTTCTCCTTTGCCTTTGCCGCCGCCGTGGCCGCCTTCTTCGCCGCTACCGTTTTTGCCTTCTGGTTCGCCTTCGTGTTGCGCTTAATGCGAGTGTTCACGACGTCCGCAAACTGTGGGTTTTCCTCGATCCACTCATCCGCGAACGACTTGTAGCGGCGGCGCTTGTTGCGGCCGACATCGGCGAAGTAGCCAAACTCTATAAACGCGTTGTCGCCCACGTCGCCCGTCTTCTTGGGGGCGTGGTGTTGGTGCTCCGGGGTAACAAAGTTGCGGTACTTCAGCAGCTCCACCTCCTGCTGCTCATCCGCGCTTAGCGGCCGTTTCTTCATGCCGTACCATTGCGACAGCGTGTTCTTCTGCTCCTGCCGCTTCGCCCGGAGCGCGTCTTTGCGGTCTTGGATGCCCTGCACACCGCTGCGGCTGCTGTAGAAGTCAGCAGAGTTGGTGACCGCCTTCGCCATCATCTCCTCTACGCCGCTACTCGACATATTTACTGCCACAAAGGAAAAAAAAAGCAAGTTGGTTCCAAAAAGGAAAACAATAACTGAAGTGTACAACGATCTGTGCTGCGTCGGCAGACGGTTGATAACGATCTGCAGCGACCACTTCAGCGATGAAGAGGCACCGGAGCGTCAGCGTACGAATGAGCGACGTTGACGCAGGTGGTGAAGAAGACAAAAAAAAGGATAGAAGAAGAGTGGATTGACAAGATATGAGGAGGTATGAAGAGGACAACAAAAGACACGCACCACAGCCCCGCATCACGGCAGGTGTGTCCTTCTTTCCACTGCACCCCTCCGCTGAGGCAGTCAGACAAACGGCCAAGTCATCCGTCGCCGTGCTTCCTCGTACCGACACGAATTTACACCCACAGAGAAAAAAAACTTCATTAGTATTACAATTGTTTTCTCCCGCCCTCTCCTCTTTGCGACTGAGTGCGCCGTTCCTTCCTCCTCCCACTGCTTCACTTCCTACGTCTGTATTGTTGATCTTTTTTTTCCTTTCTTCAGTGTTGCACTCATCACAGCAGGAACTCGTACTCTTCATCTCGTTAGTTGGCGTTGAGTCCTCGCAGCTTCTCCTCTAAGGTGAACTTCTCTTGCAACGTCTCCTGTAGGAGACACTGCAGAGCGCGCAGGCTGCCCTCCGCGCTGCCACGCGACACCGCCGCCGGCGTCAGAACCCCCGCCGCCAGCAGCTGGTTCATCGTTGATGCGTTGCGCCTCAGCTCCTCCTTCAGCGTGTTGCTCTGCCGCTGCAAGTCCTCGACGTACGACGTCAACTTCCATTTCTCCTCCTGCATGGTGGTCAGGCGGTCCAGCAGGGCCTCGTTCTCCACTTGCACCGCCTCCCAGGTGGACATGTGCTCCGGATCGTAGCGACGCTCCACCTCCGTCACGCGCCGCGGGGAGACCGTGAGGGGTGTGTGCGCTGTGGAGTACACACCGCCCGCACCGTCGCTCCAGTCGTCCATCGACGCACCCGGGGGGCTGCCCTCGATGTCGGTGCGGCACACCCACGCCGCCGCCGTATCACGCCGCTCCGATATCGACGATGACGAACGCGCAGGGACGACGGGCGTGATGACAGCGGTCGCGGAGGAGGCGCTAGCATACTTGCCGGGGGTCTGCGACAATCGCTGCTGCTGCTGTTGCTGCGCCGTGTCGAACAGTCGCTTTTGCTGCGTCAACTCCTCCTGCGAGGTGGTGAGGGCCGCACGGAGTTCCTTGTTCAGGGCGTGAAGCTGCTGCACCTCCGCTTTGCGCTGCGCCTCGACGAGGGCAACGCGTCGGTCGAACGTGTGTTTCAGCTCCTCCAGCTGTCGCTCGCGGTTGACAAGGGTTGCCGTGTCCGCCGCACTCCCTACTGGACTGGAGGAGGGAGAGGTGACGGATGGGCCGTCGTTCGTCGGAGTCGCAGAGGCGGAGGCGTTGGTGGGGCGGAAGAAAAACTCGGCGCGTCTCGTCCCTATGCCCGAGGGCGTTTCGCTGGTGTCTGCGGCTCCTTTCAAACGAGAGACAGCTTGCTTTGCTGGCAGGGCTGTCGGAGACCCGTGTAGCGACGCAGAGGACGACTTCGCCTCCTTTTGCCGGGCCGATGCCGCGTACTCGCACTGTCGAAGCGTCACCTCCCGCACTTGATAGGCCAGCATGCGCCGCAGGAGCTGACACGTGGCCCGCTCCTGTACCCGTGCGCGGGCCTCAAGCACGTCCCTCTCGCGCTCCCATTCCGTCTTCTCCCGCAGGAAGTGCTCGGTGCGCTCGCGCAGGGCGGTGCGCAGGCAGTTGCCATCCCGTTCCAGCTGCCGCAGCCGCTCGTCGTCCTCCTTGCGCGACACCGTCCGCTCCAGCTCCAACTCGCTCTCGTTGATCTGCCGCCGGAACTGCAGCGCGGACGCCTTCAGGTCCGCCACTTCCTTCTGCAGGGCCTGCACCGTCTCCTCTGCCTTGGCACGCCGTGCGGTTTGCTTGCGCAGGTCCCGCGTCAGCTTGTCCGTCATGGACTGCAGCTCCGTAATCTGCTTTTCCAAGGCACTCTTCTGATAACTCTCGCTGGCCGACAGGCGTGGCGCGGCAGGCGGCGCTGGCGCAGACTTGGTCGATGCAGTAGCGTTCGCCGCCGTCGCTGTTGAGGCGGCAGTGCTCCGTTGCGTCGGTGCTGGCGCGGTGGGCGAGCCGGTCACCATTGAACTCATCAACAACCGCTGCAGCTGGCCCTCCAGGTGCGTGTTCTTCTCCTCCAGGAACGCCTTCTCGCGTGCGTTGGTGGCCAACTGTTCGGTTAGTTGAGCCAACGCGTACAGCACACTCTGGTACTTCAATTTGGTATCGCTGAGGACTGCCTCGTTGAGCTCCAGCGCAATCTGCTGCTGGGCAAAGAGAGACTGCTGCGCATGCGCGTCATTCGGCGACGGCGCCGACGTGTCCGCGTCCTTCGCCGTCATCGCAGCGCGCAGCTCCGCCAGGCGACTCTGTGCCCTTACCAAGTTTTCCTTTTCACGCGTCAGATTGCGCTCGGACGTCCTCAGCTCCTCTTGCGTGTTTTCAAGGAGCTGCTCGGTCGCCTCGACAGTGATGGCTTTTGCGCGCAGCACCTGCAGTTCGTCGGGCGAGATCTGCGGAGTGGCACCCGACGCCGCAGCAGTGGCAACAGTAGCGGTAGCAGACGGTGGCTGCGCGGGTGTGGCGACGACAGCCGCAGAGGCAACAACGGCGCGTGGAGGCGGGGATTGGCTACCGTCTGCGCTTCCACCTGCGACAACGGCAGTCCCCGTTGCGCTCACCACTTTTCCCGTGATGACCGTCCCTCGCACCACCGTGCCCGCCACCGCGGCGCCGCTCGACGTCGCTGGCTTGCCATCCGCGACGACACCACGAGCCACGACACCGCCAGATGGGGACTGGATCGTCGCACCGTTGTTCGATGGAGGAGGAGGCAGCGGCGGAGGTGTGGACGCTGCGCCAGGACCCGCCACACTCAGCGCGGCCGCCTTCGGCGTTGACAGGGCCTCCGCCACGACGGCGCTGAGAGGGGCTGCTGCCATCTTTGCCGTCTCCGCACGCACACGTTCGATGAAGCGAGTCATCTGCGCGCACCGCTCGTGTTGCCGCTCCCAGCATTGAATGAGCTCTGGAATGCTCGGCGGAAGCGGCACAACGGTGCTGGTGTACGGTGCGAGATCCTTCTCGCTCACCATGACGAACGGTGGTGCGGTGCACGTCGTGGGGCTCGGCACGAGGAGCGGCCTCGGCGCTGTCGGTGCGCTTTGCATGATGGGTGTCGTTGAATGAGAGAACAGAACCCTTCGCAAAAAAAAAAAGGGGGAAAGACGTGAAAGGAAGAACAGAGCCTGAGGTGGGCGGCACCGGTGGTTTACCGCGGCTTCAAGGAAAACAGCGGCAGCGGCTTGGCTTGGACAGCACAGACAGAAGACCGCCACACAGTTCGAGACGGAGACGTCAGTCCAACCGCCGCACTTTACACGATAGCGCCAAAAGAGAAAAGAATGGCTGTATGGAAGAAGACTGTAATAGAGAGTTGCAACACAAAAATAGTAATAATGATAAACGAAAACGGTACACAAAACGCTTCGCTGAAACGGGCAGCTTCAAGAGGGAGGGGGGAAGTAATAATAAACACTATGAATAGGATTTTTGAGAGTACACCAAAATAAAACCGGGAGAGCAAACGCCAAAGGCTTTTTTTTCAAAGCGGCTGCTGCGCCAATCGTAGCGGTGCGTTCTTCGGAGTAGCAGGTGAAGGCCCAAATGCGGACAATGCTTGTAGGGCGTGGAAGTTACAAAAAGGTCAGCGTACGGCGGTGACGATCGTTGCTGTTGTTGTTTTCTTTTGGCACGCCTGTTTGTCTGCCATGCGACTGCGCGACCCAGCTGTACGCGAGCTAGCAGTTTCTGTGGCAGTGTAAGACGTGTATACGTATGTGTGTGTGTGTGTGTGTGTGTGTAGAGGCAGGGAGAGAAGTTGGAAATAATAATAAAACAAGAAGGTGGGTCGGATGCGTCTACCGTTTTGCTGCCGGATAAGGTTGTGCACTCAAAAAACCGTCCTCCGCAAATAAACTCGAGCTGAGAGAAAGAAAACCTGAAGTGCTCGCAAGCGTTGGAGGTGCCGAATTTGTTTCATCATCGTCGTCGCAACAACAGCAGTAGCTGCACCAAACGAAAAGATTTTTCTTTGTTTTAGTTTTAAGCATCCAGTACTTCCAGAAGCAGACGGCGAATAAAACAAACCAAACACATGTGTATCCTTCTTTATTATTTTTTTCCTTTTCTTCTCCTCTTGCCGCTGCGTGCGTACGCCTGCGTTTCTCACCACGCGACTGTGATGATACAATGCACGGCACCAAAAGATAACACTTGAACAAAAACCTATCGCAACCAAAAAACATCATTATCCGAAACGCTAGCTGGCACGTACAAGGAGAGAACGAGAAAAAAAAAATAAAAGGAGAGGAGATGTAAACTTCCTTCACCGCATCTACTGAACTATGGAAGCGCACGCAGCTGCCGTTCTGCGTACTCTCTCCACTTCGCCACGCGTTGCTGCAGTGCGGCCACCTCGCCGTCCTCCACGCAGCGGCTTTCGTAGGCGCAAATTCGAACCGTCGTTGTCCTTTCATTCAAGCGGGCCACACAGAGCCGGTGCTGCACCGCAGCGAGCACTACCTTCTGCACTTCAATGGCACCGCTTACCCCGACCGCCTGCTCCACCCTTGCGTAGGGCACCGAGATGCCATGTGTTGACATCGTGTGTTGGCTGCACAGCGTGAGAAGGGTGAGCACACGCAGCTTCTCGGTGATGAGAGGGTGCTCGGTAACAAGGGCCTTCACGCCAGCCGATGCCGCGTCAACATCCGCGACGGTCTTGTAGGTGAGCAGCTCCACAACTCCAGTCCAATTCTCCAGACTCTTATCCGATGTCTTGTGCTGCTGCTGCTGGGTATACGATAGCAATGCGCTGAGTAATGTGCCATAGAAGAAGATCGCAGGGTCTTCGACAGCCTGCTGGGCGGCTGCGACGGCGTCCGCAGTGGTCGCAGCGCGGCTTACTTCCTCAACGAAGCGTTCAGAAGACAAGGAGCTCATTTCCCTCCCTTTTTAGTGAGACAGATTGAGTGGTTTGAGAAGAGGTGTTTCAAGGAGGAGAAGAGGAATGCGTTTCATTGTTTTTCGGGTGAGTTGACTACTCGAGCGGAGAGAAGAAAAAGGGAAAGAAACCACCCGAGCACCGCAGAAAAGAAAAAGAGTGGGGGAGGGGGGGGGGAAGGGGGAGAGCGAAATGGGCGACAGAGCTTGGAGGCACGCGAGGGGCCTCTCTCCCCCGTAACAGAGCGCAACCTTTAGCAATGAGCATACCACCGAGTTACTCACCGCTCACCAGAGTGAATGGAGCCCGTAGAAGCTTTTCCTTCCTTCCACAAACCACGCAGCACCTAAAACATAAGAAACAAAGGATCGGGAATACGATTACGAGCAGATCGAAAAAAGGCTCCTTTTCATTACAGTTCATTGAACGAGGAGGTCGCCTTTGGACACAACGCGAAAGTTGGGAATGGAATTCAACACCAAGGGCTCAGCGTTTAAGCCAAAACAGAAGACACCGACAAACACGGCGCAATAGCAGGGACGACGAGGCGAGCATCCGGCAAGCAATAAAGAGACAAGAGAAACCTGTAAGTAATTAAAAAAATAGCGATGCGATGATGATCCTACAAAGCGGAGGGGGGGGGGAGGCCCCGATCAGCTTTAAGAAGGCCGAACGAGGAATAACACACACACAGTGGGGGCGAGCGAGTAAACGCACATGCAGGTAGATGCGCTCGTCATGTCACTGAAAAGGCCGCTGCTGCCGGGGTTTTTCTCCCGACGCCGCCGAGGAGTCCGCGGTGGTCGACGCACGCTTGTGAAGCTCCTCCTCCCTCGCGCTCGCCTCGGTGGGGGGGCTCTTGCTTTTGAGGTAGTTGGCCGCCGCCTTGAGGTCTAAGTACACCTCTTTCGCCGCAGCGCCGAGCCACACGCCGGCCTTTTCACTCGCAGGGGTCAACGTGTCACGAGAGAAGTTGTGCTGCGCCCGTGCCGCCTGCTGCGCCGCGCGTTGAATGACGGCGGAGTCGGAGCCCAACTTCGTGAGCACCCCAAGCAGAATGCGCTGAATTGAACCGCTCATGCTGACTAGAACACGCAATGACGGTGAAAGAAGAATACTCCTTTCAGGGGAGGAAGTGCTGCACGGTATTGGTGTGGGGAGCGAAAACGCAAAAGAAGGCAAACGTGTTTCGATCAAAAACTAATGAAAAGGCTTTTTGGCTAAGCTATTCCGTTTTGAACTGTGTGAGTGATACAAGACGAGGAAACAGATGCCGGCGCGGTTACCCCGTCCATGACGCGTCACATAAGAAAGAAGAGATGAGGCAACAAGAGACGACGTAGATGAGCCTTCTTCGGTGACCTGCGGTGATCGCGTGATCGAGTGTTGATACACGCACTTCTTGGGTACGCGGGTTTGTGGGTAGAAGGCGGCAGAAAAAGGCTGCGTAGGCGTCGCTGCAAAGACAGCCAGCCACAACCACGTGCTCTTCTTCTTCCTCCTCGCACCGTGACGGTGCTCCATTGAGGCACAACAGCAGATACACAACACAAAAATGGTGTTCAAATTTAAAACAAAGACCACAAATGTTACATGTGCTTTCCAAATTCAGCGTGCTTGTCTTTCCGCGTTTTCTTTAAACTTTCAAGTCTTTTTAAGACGGCCCGCATTCAAGCCAAAACTGGCGCTTTCACCCGTTCACACTTTCACAGTGAGGCATCAACATCGCTCAACGCACAAATGTTTGGGAGGGAGCGAGAGAGACGGAAAGAGTGAAAAGGGGAAAGGCGATCCATCTGAGTCACTTGGCCCTTCTCTTTGACACTCCCTCCATCTCTTGAAGCAAGCAAGCAAACAGAAGTGCGGCGTCACCTTTTTAATACGGATACGGCACCTTCTTCTTCCCTTCCATGATAAACACCGCCGTCTTGGGAATCGAGTACTTCGACACAAGCATCTCCGCAACCTCGTCCTGCACGTTGCCTTGGATGTCAATGCAGTCCTGATGCATGCCCTCCTCCGCCGAACGCACACCACCGCCGCACGAGAAGCGCTTGCGCCAATCCCGCGACAAATCCTTCAAGTTGAAGCCGAACAGGTCCATGCCGAAGACGGCGGTGTTCATGTGCTTGCCGGAGCGCTTCCCGACATCAATCACGACAACGCGCTCCAGCGCCTTCTTAATACCGCGACCCTCTAACAGAGCCTCGAGGCGGTCCTTCTCGGTCAAGATACGTCGCTTGCGACCGCGGTCTTCGGCATCCGCGAGCTCGGCGGCGTGCTCGAGCAGCCACGGCCGGCACTTCTCCATCATTCCGCCAAACTCGCAGTACTCGGCGGGGAAGCTGCAGTTCGGGCAGTAGAGCACCTCGATCGGGGGCACGCGACCGTCTGCCAGCGCGCCCTCGGCCTCCTCCTTGTCTCCTGCGCCTTCTCCACGCGTCTCTTCCGCGGCTGACGCAGCCGCAGCAGCACCTTTTCCTTTGGTTTTGATCTTTTTCTCCTGCTTCTTGAGGCGGTTACCCTTGTACTCCTTCTTCTTCGCCTTCGCAGTGCCGTCGCCATCGCTGTCACTGTCTGCATGATCCGAGTTGTGCCCACTGTGTTGTCCGGCAGTCGCCGGTGCTGTCGCCTCCTTTGCGCCGCCGCCGTCCTCACGCGGTGTCGTCGCAGCGGCGGCCGCCTTGTGCGTTTCTTCGAGTTCCTCGTCGCTCTCCGACGCGGCGTGGGCGGCCGCCTTCGATCTGTTCTTGTTGCGGCCCATGTCTCTTGATATACGCCTCTCAGCTATGTATATATAGGTGCGTGTGCGTGAGAGAGGAGGGTGAGTGTGTGGATGTGTGTGTTGAACTACGTTGGGTAAAGGAAGGACGCAATCGGGTCGGGGAGTAAGCAGGTGACAGGGACGGAGAGAGAGAGAGAGAACGTTTCGGTGGGCTGATCGCCACACGAACTCGGAGTCGTGGCGCTTATTGGGAAAGTAAATGAGGTAGTCCAACAGACTCTGAGCGGCAACTGGACGCTTTCTAGAACAGGAAAGACCAGAGAGGTGGAGGAACACGCACCACGACGCTCGCCTAGCTGCAAACAATGGGCTGCGAGAGGCCACACACCCACACCCACACATACGCGAGGCACATCGTTGTCGCTCCTTGGGCTACTTTCTTTGTTTTTTTTAAGCACGAAATCACCTTACGACAGTTGAGTAGGAAGGATTTCGTCAGTTGCAAAGAAGAAAACGGCAAGCAAGTTTTTTGAAGAATTCTCAGCTCTAAGAAAAGAAGTTTAAGCATATATATATATATATATGTGAGCAGTCATCGCATACTTTTTCTCATGTTTCTACTCTATCGGCGTGCTCAACGGCAGTTTTCTGTGTACATCGAGGCCGTACAACACAGCCACCAGCAAGCTCGCCTTCGCCACCACGTTCATCTTTGCCGGCGTCACAACTCTTCCGCCTCCTCCCGGTAAGGGTGAATGCGGATCGTCGCCGACGAGGTGGGTTTTGTGGCATTACCGGTCGACACATTCGCAGGAGCGTCTAAGATCCGCATCGGTACCATCGGAGAGGCGGCAGAGCGGCGGGACGACGCAGAGGCGCGGCCACGGCTGCCGCCACCCGGCGACGACGACGACGTTACCGCCAGCGACTGCGACGTGCTGTACACATCCCACTCTCGCCCACTGATCGGGGCGTAGACGTGCGGATTGTGATCGGCGTGGTGCTGCAGCGAGGACGGCGAGGAAAGGCGACTCGGCCGGCGCGTGTTCGGCCCTGCCCTTCGATCTTCGTCCGGTTGCTGTTGCCGCTGCGGGAGTGGCTCCTCGAGCCGTGGTGGGTTGTAGGGGCCGAGGTGGATTGGGCCTTTCGACGGCAGCACGTGCACCGAGGGACGGCGGAGTGTGGGGGGCGTGTCGGTACGCGTTGCCTCCGTCGCTGGGCCGCGGGTTGGGGTGCGGTCACGGCGCGGTTGCTGCGGCTCCCGTGGACGCGGCGGCGACTCGTCGTCGTCGTCGTGCCCGGACTGCGGCGCGGTCACAGAGGCATGTCGCTGGTACAAGTGCTCCGGTGGCAGCGTCCGCCGCACCACGCCGGCGTCGCTTGCGCGGCGTGTAGGAGTGTTGTCGGCCGCGGCTGAAGAGCGGCGCAGCGACCGGCGGCGCGTCGGGCGCTGGTCCTCGACTGACGCGTAATAAATCTCGCTGCCATCCTGGATGGACATGGGTTGGTACTTGTCGGGTGAGGTGTCGGTGAGCGGGGGAGGGGGGAGGTCGACTAGGCTCGCTTTCGGCACCGCAGGCAGAGGCGGCGGGTGGAGGGGAAGAAGATCGTAGCGCGGCGGTCGGGACTCGTGCGGCTTTGGCTCTTCTTCGAGCATCCTTCGATTCGACTCCTGCGGGTCCTCGCGGATGTTGGGCGGCTCGCCTGGTTCGCGCCGCGGCAGGGACGTCTGCGCGTTGCTGCCCCGGCTCCCCGGGCCCTCTAACGGGCTGAGATGAAAGGCGTTACCGACCGAGTTGCGCGGCGACTTCCCCTCAACCAACAACCGCGTCAACGCAAGCAACCCGTCCCCGCCGTCCTGCGATTGCTTCGCGTACGACAGCGGGCCCGACGACGGCACACCGGCGGAAACGTACGGAGAGCCGACTTGCTGCGCGGCTGCGGCGTCTGCGGCACTTGGCGGCAGTAAGGAAAGCCGCCGCGCCGCCTCCACCTTTCCGGACGACGGTCGCGACTCTTTCGTGGGGGAAGCCTTCGTCGCGGGAGGCTGAAGTCCCGTTGGGCGGTACTGCGGGGTCGCGCTGTCCGGCTCGACCGGTCGCGCGACGGGGGACACAGTGGAAGGATCTACCGGAGCAGCCACAACGTAGTGGTGGGCCTGCTGTGGTCCGCTTAGCGTTGCAGTAGGGAGCTGAGGGGAGGTGGACTGGCTGCGCTGTGGCTGGCTGATGAGGTGCTGCGGGTGGGAGTGGTCGCTCTCTGTGAAAAACACTTCGGTGGGCTCGGCTTTGCTGGGGAGGCTTGTGCGGTTGTGCACGACCTTCGGAATGATCTGCGGTGTCAGCGGGGAAGCCGAGCGGGCACTCGACAGCGTCGTGTCCGCCTCCCTCTCCGGAGACAGCAACATCGGTGCCGAGGAGCGCGTGACGCGTTCGTTGCTGCTCGCCGTGCGCCACGGCGACGTGCGCCTTTCCGGTGCGGAAGACGGTGCCTGGCGCGGCGCTGACGTCGACGGTGGACGAGTCGCACGTGTCACGAGATCGGTGGAGTGCCGCGGGGTGTCGGCGCTGATGGCTCGCATGAACTCCTCCAGGTGCTTGCTGCCCTCAATCGGGAACACCTTCACCTCCCGCGTCGCTGCCTGGTCGCTGCGTAAGTCCAGCAGCTGCGTCTGAATGCTGCTCAACATCTCGAGTGTTTCCTTTTCCTGCCGCTGCACAATCTGCAGCACGGTGCTGAGGAGCTTCTCCTTGCTCTGGCTCAGCTCCAGCAGCACCGCCTCCTTCGGCATACCCTGGCTGCGGCGCAGGTTCAGCAGCTCCACCCAAAGGGCGTCAACCTCTTGCTTCGTGAAGTCTTTGAAGTTGTTGTACTCCCGCTTGCGCACGAACTGGTGGGTCGGCAACAGCACTTCCGTCAGTCCCGAGCCGCGGCGCACCGCCGGGAGAAAGAGGTCGCTCTCAGACGGGGTCGCCGGCTTTGTGGCCGCGGTCGCTGTCGACTCCTTCAGCGGTGTGGGGGCCAGTGGTGGCGCACCCTTAAGGCTGAGCCTTTGCCGAAGTGAGGCGGGCGATGGTCGGTTGGAGGTTTCTTGTCGCACGATGAAGACCTCCCCTTTCGAAAGACCAGGCACCTCCATCAGCTTTTCCGCAGCGGAGGGCGACGTGGACGACGGTGCCTGCTCCGGAGCAGACGCCGGCCGCGTGTCGATCTTCGGCAAGTCGGTCACCTGTCCAACCGCGACGGTGCTCATCGGACGGGCCTTCGGCGGTCTCCCTTCCGTGTTGCTCCGCCGCTGCCGCGCCTCCTCTTCTGTCGTCTTTCCATGTTCGCCCTGTCCTTCGTCCACAGCAGCGCCGGTCGGCAGCGAAGAGGGGCTCGACACGAACTCCGTCGTGGCCGACGTACGGGAAAGGTGCGCTGTGCGATCGACGCTGCCAGACTCGAATGGCACATCGCTCGCACGCTCCACCGCGCGCAGCTCCGTCAGCCGCTGCTGAAGCGTCGCCTCCGTCTTCTCCACGCGCTTCAGCGCCAGCCGCAGTTCGTTCGCCACCTTCAGCGCGTCGTCCTGCATGGCCTTCGCGGCCTGGAGGCTCTCAGCGGCGGCGGCGGCGGCACCGCGCGCCTCCCTCGATGCGTGTTCCGCATGTGCGGCCGCACCTTTTGCCTCTCGCGAGGACTCCCCGGCTTCCGACGCGGCACTCCTGGCGTCTTGCAGGGCCCCGTGCGGGCGTGGGGACTCCGTGTCCGCCGCCTCCCCCTCTGCGGCTCTGTCCTCCATGCGCCGCAGCGCGTCTACAGACGCCTTGTCCGACGCCTGCAGCTGAGTTTGCCGCAGACGGTTCAGCGAGGCACGAAGGCCGTCGATGGCCTTCTCGTGTTGCCGCCACCGCACGTCGGGTCTGATGTGCTCCTGCTCCTCCTCTTCGTTGTCTCGCTCGATCTCCTCCACCTTCGGATGGGGCGGGGCCGGCACATCGTGTGTCGGCTCCACGGCGAAGGCCTGGATCGGGGGCTGCGGTGGCGGCAGCGGCTCGTCCACCTGGGACTCAGGAGAATTACGGCCCGGGGCGGTGTCCGCCTGCGCTGCAGAGGTAAACCGGAGAGGACTGCGCGGTTGTGGTGGTGGTGACTTCGACAACACTGGCGACGGGGTAGAAGCTTTCTGAGAACCTGCCGTGGTTGCCGTCGTGTCTTTCGGGGAAAGCAGCGGGGAGACCGTCTTCGCCGTCGTCGTCGTCGTCGTCGTCGGAGGAGGAGGAGGAGGAGGGGAGGGAGGGGACTCCACTTTCGCAGCAGTTTCCTTGCGCCCCGCCTCACTCCCCGCACGTTGCTGGGCGAGCCGAACACCTTCAACGTTTTGCTGCACGGCGTTGTTGCGCTCCGCCAGCGCGCACAGCTCCACCCGCACCGCGTTCTCCAGCGCCGCCAGCTGCGCCTGCATGTCGCCCAAGCTGCGCTGCGTCAGGAAAACGCCCTTCGCGTCGTCCCACAGTTTTTTCAGGGCCCGATTTACCTCGACGCGGAAGGCCTCGGGGTCCTGCTGCATGGTGATCGCAGCAGAGGCGAAGTTGATGCGCTCCAGCAAGTCCGCATGTGAGGCCCGCACCGCGGCCTCCACGACTTGCTTGAACTGGCTCGCATCTTGATCCACGCGTGAGGCGAAGGTTTTCATGGAGTCCTGCACCGCGGCGTACTCGTCCGCCACGCGAGAAAGCCTTTGCTCCTGCGCACTCAGCGCACGCTGCATCTCATTGATCGGCTGCACACAGTTTTCCTGAACCGTGTGGCCCAGCTCGTTCACGTTACGTGTGAAGCTCTCCGTGGCGGCGGTGAGGCGGCTCTCTAGCGCGGTGCACTGCCGCTGCAACGCTTGATCGCCCGCTGCGGCCTGCTGCTGGGCCGCGGCCATGCTCTCTCGCATCATCGCCCCCAGGTCTGTCACGCTGGCGCGCCAGTTCAGGTCCACCGACTCTAGTTGTCCATCGTGCTTCGCTAGCTCCTGCAGCAGCGTCTGGTGAGCCGCCGCCTGTCGTCGATCCAAGTTTTGGCTGTGCTGCGCCACCTGCGCCACCTCGCTCGCCAAACCGTTTGTGCTGGCCTGTAGCATCTCCCGCTGATTACGCTCCGCGTCCTCAATGCGGCGGCCCAACTCGCTCACGTCTCCCTGTTCGACGGAGTGCAGTTGATTCATGTCTGCACGTGTGCGCTGGTCGAGCGCTTCGAGAGATTTGTTGACCCGCTGTACCGCCCCATCCAGCTCTGTGCGGTGCTGCGTATCGGCACTGCGGAGTTCGCCCATCAGCGACCCGTGCACATCCCGCAGGGCATCGCGGATGGCATTCTCTAAATTGTCGGCTCGCTGCCGCTGCGCCGCGAGTTCGACCGTCAACTGCTGCTGAACAGCGAGCAGGTCATCGCGGCAGCGGGCATCCACGGCCTGCGTGGCGTTCGAAACGCCCTGCAGCTGCGCCTGTAAGTTGCGCATCGCCTCCATCGAGGCCGTCTCGCCCGTTTGGGCACGTTGCTGCACGCCGCCGACGTCCGACTGCATGCGCTGCTCCAACCCATGTAGTGCGGCACTGTACTTGTCGTCTAGTCCACGGAGGGCCGCCGCCTGCCCCTGCACGTCCGCCTGCACGGCGCTAAGGCGTTCGTTTTGGTTCTGCAAAATGGCCTGCATTTGCTGCGCCGCCTCCGCCGAGCTCCCGCCGCGTTCGCCAAGGAGTTGATACAGCTGCTGCTGCGTCTGCTGGCGGTTGCGCGCCTCCGACGCCGCGTATTGCTCCACATCACGCAAGCGTTGCAAGACGGTGCCGATGGTCTGCTCCTGCTGGCGGATAATGTCCTCGAGAGACACCACTCGATTTGAGATGGAGGTGTAGGCTTCGTTGCTCATGACGGCTGCCGCAGCGGAAAGCAAGGAGCACTAGAAGCCGTGTAAAAAGAAAGAAAAAAATGAAGAGGTTACGACACAGGGAGCAGGTAAACAATGCCTCTGTGCTTGGGGTGCGCCAGCTGTACAGATGCGCAGGACACTCACACACACTCCAATAAAGAGAGCAAAAGTAGCCGACGAAGGCGCCTCTACAAGTAAGGCCGCCCGAAGACACAAAGCGGCAAACCCACTAGAGCAGGCTTGTTGTGCTACGTCGGCACCGTAGACAAGGGATTGGTCTTTTACTGCTGAAGTCTATCTAAGAGAACTATACATGCATATAAATATATTATCTCACCTGCGTACAGGCAGCGACGTCAGCTGTGTTGGTGGCTGCGTCGCACAAGCACAACAGCAGAAAGCGTTGCCCGATTGCGCCTTGCCTGCTCCGTATACCGCTTCATGGAATCCCAAATAAAAAGAAAGGGGAAAAACACAGAATTGCATGAGAGGAGAGAGATTTGAAGACGCGTTTTTCTTTTGGGGGCGAGCTTGTGAGATTCTTTTGATTCACCCAAGGCACAGCTGCGGCGGAAACGTGTAACGCACGTACGCCCCAGCAAAACGGTAGAGAGAAAAGCCGCATTCACGCGCGGCAACAGCGGCGGCTTAGGAACACACTCACAGAAGACTAGTAATACGTGACCCCCCCCCCCCCCCTCGTGATGTGCTCCGGCACCAAAGGCCAAGGAGGAGTTCACCAAAAGAGTCCGCCCTTCTTCGCTGCGTCACTCGCAATCCCTCCTGCTGCGTCGGTGGAAGCGGTGCCTCGGGACCAACGTCGACGCTTTCCTGCTTTTATATGTGATATATGGTAAATGATACGTTAGCCGACAAATGAAGAAACATATATATATATATATATATGTTATTACTCGCGGTCCTGCTCTTAGGAGACAAAGACCTATTACATTATCCACACTTTAATGCGGGGGAAACCAACAACCACGGAAAACCCGGGAAAATATATATCAACCGCCCGATGCAACAACAGGCGACACCGACGTGCACCGTCGCACGTCGTCTCCAACGCAATCGCATTCTCAAATTGAATTCTTTGTGTCGCTGTTGAAACCGTCATTTAGCAGCAGAGCCTTTCATCACACAGCGGACAAGCTCACTCCGCACGAACGCGCTTTGCAAGCGGCTCCCCCTCCCCTCCCCCTCCTTCTCCACCGCATGCTCAATAAACGGAGGCAGGGACGTCAGTGTATTCGGTGTCAGACCGCGAATCACGTAGTCGATGTAGTAGGTTCGGCGCAGCAGGTCGTGCTGCCGTTGACTGTGCTTCCGCGTGTAGGCCAGCAGCGGCTCCACCAGCGACGCCATCGACGGCACCGTCGCGACATCTTCGAAGTGACGGGAGGAGATGAGCACGTACAACACCAACGTAGCCACCATGCAGTGCCGACTGTTTGTGATCCACTCACGCGTGTACTGCAGCAGCAGCGTCATTTGATCGCCGTCCAGCGAGGGCATCAACTCACCACGAAGGCTGTTTTCGCACTCCCTCGCGTCCTTCGCACACCAGCGCACCAACACCTGTCGAAGATGGCGAGGATGGTTCAGGCGCAACGCTAGCATGAACGCATCGGAGAAGGCACCCTTGCGTAGCGCGTTCGCCAGCGCCTGCTCCTGGAGAATCATCTCGTGGCGGGCCTCGCGCGTCCGCTGCACCTCCGCCGCCGTGTAGTCCTCCGTCGCCATCAGCACCCCGTCTGCAGCGCCAGAGTAGAAGACGGTCTCACTGCCCTCGCTGCGCTCCTCCACCGCCAAGGCCCAAATCTTCTCCGTGTGCGCCTCCGCGGACCACACCGACTCGGATGACGCGATGGCCCACACCCGCAGCACGCCCTCCGCGTTGCCGGTGACGAGTTGCGTGCCGTTGTTGAAGAAGCTCAGCTGCAGCACCGAGGTGCGGTCCACCTGCAGCGCCTTAAGGCAGGTGAGAGAGACGAGCGACCACAGCCGCACGGAGCCATCGTTCGAGGCGGAGGCCAACACGCGGTCCACCGGCGAGAACGCCAGCGAGGAAATACCACGACGATGGCCTTTTAACGAGGCCGCACGGAACATCTTCTTTCCAGTGATGTTCCACACGTTCACTGCCTTGTCCTTGCCACCGGTGGCCACGTACTGATCGTTCGGGGCGACGGCGACGGTGTAGATCGGGCCGCTGTGGGCGGCGTTGATACCGCTGCGGTGTTGGATCTCCGCCACGGCGGACTGCTTTTCTCTCTGCGCCTTTTGCTGCTCCGCCAGCTCGGCCAGCGGCACGCCAATATCCCACAGCCGCAAGTTCTCATCGCTCGAGACAGAGAAGAGCAACAGGTAGGTGTCCGTCTGCTTGCCGTTGAAGCTGAGCGACGTGATCTCCGCCGCGTGGCCCCCTACTCCGCGCACGACCGTCGCGCACGTCTCAGTCGACCACACACGCACCTCCTTGTCTTTGGCACCCGTCGCGATCCACGCACCGTCGCTGCTCACGGCGCAGCTTAGCACGATGTCGCCGTGTCCGCGGAGGGTCCGTGTGGAGACGCAGCCGTCCGAGGCGTAGAGCCGGACATCCTTGCTGTTGGTCACCACCGCCCGCTGCAGCGGCGACGACGCCGGGAATAGCTTCACATCAAGGATTTGATCCAGAAAGCCGACCAGGGTGCGTTGGGCGACGTACACGCTGCGGTCTGTCGGCGACGGCGCGAGTAGCTGAATGTGAAAGCCGGCGTCCCCCACATAGAGGAGAGACTGCGCCGGCGCACGCGGCGTCTCGTGGACGTGAAACCCGCGAAGCTTTCTGTTGCTCGCGCCTTTGGGAGAGCCGGCGACGAGGAGGGCGCGCACAAAGGCTTCCTCGGCGCCGTCCTCGGCATCGGAGGCTGGCGGCTTCGGCAGGCGGCGCACCACCTGCACCGCGTCCGTTTCACTCACCTGGTACGTGCTCACTACACCGTCCATCGACCCCACGTGCAGCAGCGCCGTGCCCTCGAAGAGCGCGGTGGAGACGTGCTCCTTGACCACAATCGCACGCACCTCCCTCAGCTCTGTGGAATGGCGCTGCTCGAGGCTCATCAGCTTACTCACGGCAAGCCGGCGATCGCGCGCGATGGAGTAAACGTGGCTGAGGTGCTCGCTGAAGGCCATCGACTCCACCGCCTGCACGTGCGGCCGCCCGGCAGCAATCATCTTCTTCGTCACAAAGTCGAACACCGTCACGTGGCCCTCAAAGGAGCCGATAGCGAGGTACGACTCGCTCGCGTCGAGGCAGACGCACTGCACGAGGGAGGTGTGGGGACAGGTCAGATTGTGTGTCAGGTGGTGATGGAAAACGTTCCACACCTTCACGCTGCCATCCGTGGCTCCCGAAATGAGATACGTGCCGGCTGGGGAGAAGTGCACGACGGAGATGGCGTGCTGCGCCGCCGTCCAGCTCCGCAGCAGCTCCACCGAGTAGCGCACGACAGGCGGCAGTGCCGCATCCTCCGTGGCGGACGCCTCCGCCATCACCGCAGATTCTTCTTGGCCTGCATTGGCATTGCCGTCGTTGTCCTTCTCCGCCGGGTCATTCGTTTCGTTGTCAGTGGAAGGGATGTGTGCTGCCTCGACATGTGCATCCACGCGCAGCACACAGATCTGCAGACCACGCGTGCCAATAGCGATGTAGTTCCCTTCAGGCGCCTGCAGCTCCGCCGCAGCACCGCCAGCAGCCTCGGATGTCTCAAGTGCCACACCCGCTCCTACCGTGGCCTTCACGTCGTCACCCCCCTCCTCCTCTGCCGCCTCTGTCTTCACCACCGTCTTGGCGCCCTTCGACTTCTGATGCGACAACTCTGATTTCTTGCCGCTGTCCGCAGCAGCGGCAGCGGTGGTTTTCGCCCCTTCTTCCACGGCGGCCGCCGCCGGCACTGTCACGGCATCCACGTGCAGGATCACGTCCTCCATTGGTAGTGAGTAGCTGCAGAGCACTTCGCCAGTGGAGGCGCGTACGACATTGACGGTGTCACCACAGGCCATCACCAGACACTCCTCAACCGCGTCGGACGGTGAGGTTGAGGGAGAAGAAGAAGAGGCGGCGGCGGCAATGCGAGTCGTCGCTACTGGGAGGGCGAGGGAGGCGATGGCGCCGCCACTGAAGATCGGCTCCTGCGTCCACCGCGTGCGGAAGCAATTCTTGCCTTCCATGTAGCTGTGCGTTCCTCTAGCAAGGTGAAGCAGAAGCTTTAGGGCGAAAGGGATTCAGACACAAATACCGATGAAGCTTCTCTCGTGGCAAGTAGACACCGTCCCAGCTGATACCAACTTTCGTTTCTTAGAATACGACTCTGTAGTAATACGCATAGATAATGAAACAAGAAACGGTGCATAAAAAACACAGGGAGAGAAGAAGAGTGAATGAAGCTGCAAGCCAACACGTTTCGCATGCAGGAGATTCGCCCTCACGTGCAGAGAAGAAACCAATTCGAAGTTTGAAAATTCGTATCACGTAGGATGTTGCGTGGCACGCGGTTTGCTTCCATTATCGTACGATGCGCCACAACAATCGAGCTATCGATTTTTTTTTCAGGCGAAAAGCATGTACTACGCTCCGCGACAGAATAACTGCTTCATGATGCCCTTCACTGTTTCGTCGACGTGCTGCAATCCTTTCACATCCGTATTACTTTGACACGCACCGGCAGCAGAACTGGTAACCAAATTGCAGGGGGAAAACGATCGCAACGCAGGAAACTGCATGCGCTTCTCCCTCTTGCAATGAAAGAAAATTAAGAGAGAAGAAGCAAAAAGGTCTCTTTCACTAAAACCAAAAACGGCTTGCTCAAGACGAACAACAACCCGACAATGCAACCGTCAGCGCTATGCTGCGGCGCCGTCCTCCTCAGCTTTCAATCCCACTCCGCGTTCACCTCGTCTTCGCCGCCCTCCAACATACCAGGCAGCAGCTCTTCAATTTGCGAGATGTTCACGGTGCCGGCACCACGGCCACGTAAGGCACGCTCCATCGCAGACGGCACATCCGCCGCCGGTCCCGCCACGGAGCCGCGTCGTCGCCGCTTCGTCTCCCGGGCCTCCTCGAGGCGATCGATCTCGTCCTGCGTGCGGGCGCGGCCGCGCATCCACTTTTCGCGGTACAGCTCCAGCCCAATGCGCTCCCGTCGCAGCCGCTCCTCGTTGTCGAGGACGAGGTACGGCAGGATGTCGGTGCAGTCTTCGTCCTTCACTCGCGGTAGTACCAGGAACTCCCACGGCAGGGCGTGGCGGCGCTCTCGGTCGTAGAGCAAGTCGGCCAACGCAAGGCGCATGCTTTCATCATCTCGGTTAAACAACGCCTCCTCGCCCGGGGCGTCGTTGTTTGGTTGGTCCGGCGGCGGGCTCGTGCCCCGCACCGCTGACACACGCGCGCCATACTCGTTCTGCGTAGCCTTGATGTTCGTCGTTGCGCTGCGGTGGCGTCCATCGTTCGTCTGCCCTTCCTCTCCCGTATCCTCGTCCTCGTCTTCCATAAAATCGAAGTCGTTACGCAGCTGCATCACCTCCGCGTTGCTGTTCAGCAGACGCGTGTACTCGTCCGTCATCCACTGCAGCTGCTCCGGCGCGTCTAACACGGCCGCCGTCGCGGGGTCGATGAGTCCGTACGGCTCCGATGACGGCGGTGCTGCTCCATCGCCCATGTGCGGCGTGGCGTTGGCTAACGATGACGCGAGGGTGTCGCCGTCGGGCACCGCGTGCGGCGCAAAGCCAGATGGGTGGAGCCCTTGCAGCACACTGAAGCCGCTTGGCAAGCGCCCGCCCAGCAGCAAGCCGGCGTCCCCCTCACTGCTGCGCTGCAGCGAGTCTTCTCGCTTCACCAGCAGCTTGTGCTCCTCCTCCTTCACGCTGCGTTCCACCTCCTCCTGTGGGATAGGCTTCGTGTGCGGCAGGCCTAAGATGTGAAGCTGCTGCTCCGGTGTCAGCCCGGTCAGGTCGAGGTTCTCCTCCAGCGGGGTAATGCCCTCCAGCTCACAGTGCTTAAAGATGAAGCGGCGCCACTTGTCGCACCGCTCCGGCGTCGCTGGCTGCGACGTCTTCGCCTCCGTCACGAGTTCGTAGAAGATGGCGGAGAGCTCTCGCATGCTTGCGTGCACGTCCTCTTCGGTCGACTTGCGGCTCGAGTCGTTGAAGGCCGGCGGCAGCGTTTGACTCGACGGCTGGTAGTCGTCGATGCTCTCCAGCGCCGCGGTCGGCGTGGCGGCGAACTCGTTAAGGCGCTTTGAGATAGTGTTCGACGTCAGCCGCACCATCCCACACACCTGCTCGGGGGTGCGGAGGATGCCGAAGACGTAGCAGGCCACGAGAAGTGCGGCCGCGCACACGCCCATCGGGCGCCGCCCGCAGCTGATCCAGTCGTCCTGCATCGCACGCAGCACCTTCAGCGCACACACGATCACCTCCGCCGTCTTCTCCCGCAGGTCCATCTCCTCTGCGAAGCGCTGCACGTAGCAGGACGGGTCCACCACGGGCACCTCCGTGTGCGTCGCATGGCAAATGAGCTTCATCTGGGTCAGAATCGCATGCGGATCTTCGTTGCAGCCGTTCGAGAAGTCGTAAATGACGTGCGACGTCCGCTCCCGCCGGCATGCGGCGTAGAGGCAGGCGCACAGCACACTCGGCCGCGTGCCGGAGACGGCGTTCATGTTGAGGGCCACCTTGTAAACTCCGAGCGCCCGCTCTACCGTCTCGTCGCTAATGTCCAAGAGGCGAGCGATGTTCAGCATCTCACGGCGTGCCTTGTCGATGGTGGGGCGAGCGTGTGAGCGGCTCAAACCGGAGTTAGCGGCCTTCGCCGAGGAGGCAGGACGGAAGCTGCCAGGAAGGGGGCGCTGGCCACCACCACCGCTGCCGCTCTGCGCAAACACCGGATCTAACTCAAACTGATCCTCCATCACGACGTCACCGCAGATGGTGCAGATCGTTTTGCCCTGTTGTCGGTCGACGTACAGGGCAGACGTGGGGTGCGTGCAGGCTGACATGGTGTGCAACGCAGCTCTAATAGAGAGATAGAAAGAAAGATAGATGTATGTGTGTGTATTAGTGGGTACGATGAACGAATCGTCACAGATTTTATTGCAGCGGTCGTGTTGTTATCTCAGCACTATCGCCACTACTGTCGCCTCGGCAGAAAGAAGGAGAGGAGTAACCGCTGAAGTGAGGATCGGGGCAGTGTACACGTGCGGGAGTCGATAAGAACAAGCAGACGGGAGGCGGCGATGGCAGGAGGAAAGTTGTGCCGGACCTTCGCATATTTTGAAGGCGCTGCACTCTCACTGTACAACTGAGAGAGAGGGACAGAGAAAACACTTCTGTCGCCGCTGCACTTCCCAAATATATATATATTTGATGAGTGTTTGAGAGAATGGTTCTTTAAAGCACGCTGTTACTCTCCGCAGCTGCTTGACGTCGACTGGCTTTGTTACTTTTCATAAGCCAGTCGTTGTGATATATATATGTTTTTGCTTTTACAGTTGCACGTGAGAGCATTTGCGTCTTCCGCAAAAACACAAGAAGGACGCGCGTGCTTTAGTTAGGGCAGATGTGATCATCTCGAAAACGGCTCCCCCAAAAAAGGAAAAAGGAAGAGCGGCGTCGTGTCTCCTTCGCGAACAGCCTACAAAGACACACAACACACAACAGACGATGTGACGCATGCCAGCAGCATCAGGGCCAACGCACCGATATGCATTTCCCCGTTCCTTTTTGCGTTCTCTCGGGGTCTCCCCCCTCAGGAGGTGGAGATGCCGCCAGGAGCAATGAAAGCCTGGAAGACAAAGCGAAATCGCCGCGGCGCCAACTCCCGCTCCGTGACCTGCTGCGCGCGTAGGCAAATGGCCTCCAACTTCGCGTAAAAGGTGAACATGTACGCCGGACGGTCGAAAAATATCTCAACCACCACCTCTGTCGTGCCGGACTCTTTGCGGGTCCACCCGAGTACGCGGTGCCGCATGCAGTGCGGGATCTCGTGGGGCAGCAGCTCCATGAACGTCTGCCGAAGCATCTCCGACACACGTTGCGGAGGCAGCAAATCCGTTGCCTCGCGCCGGTAGTGCTCCCACGGCCCGGGCTTCGCGTACTGGCACAAGCAGTCCTTCAACTCCACCAGTCCCGTCCCACCCTTCACGCTCACCTCGTGCGTGGCCGCCATGGGCAGTCCAAGCGACTCTAGATCCGTCCGCAGTGCAAAGTAAAGCTCACGGTGGCGGGGCGTCTGCACCTTATCCATCATCGTCATGGCGAGAACGACGGGGAGGTCGCGGCCGGCAGCACGGCGCACCACCTCCGCTGCAATTACTTTATGCTCCTTCTCCACAAAGCCCACCCCTACTGGCAACGTTAGCACGACGAGGTCCGACACAAAGACGGAGTCGTACGCCTTCGCGGTGCCGGAGGCAAACTTCGGCCGCGTGCGCTTCGTGTCTCGCGGTACGATGCCCGGCGTGTCGAGCAGCAGCAGCTGCGTGTCGTGCACGGTGGCCACCGCCTTCGTCCAGTCCTTTGTGCTGCCGTAGCGGTTACTCACCGCGCCGACGTTGCTGAGAGCCAGCGCGTTGACCAAGGACGTTTTTCCCGCGTTCTGAGGCCCCAAGAAGGTGGCGTGGAGCACCAGCGGAGTGGCCGGCTGCTGCGCTGGAACAGCGGGTGTGGAAGAGGCAGTTGCCGCCGTGCCGGGAGGGGCGGAGAGGGGTGGAAACGCCTCCTCCACTGGCGTGTAGCGGCGCTCCTTGTAGACGCGTTGAAAGCGCCTCGCCACGGCGTCGACGCTCTCCTCCTTGTTCTCCGACAGCACCGAGACAATGCGCTGCTCCCACCGTCGCCGGCTGTGCAGCGAGACACGGCGCACACACGAGAGCGACAGCATCACAGCAGCGGAGCGTGTCCCCGTGACTGAAGGATGGAGGAGAACAACAATACGTACGACGTGGAAAACCGAAGAAAGTCAGGCGCTGTTCTCGCGCGCGGATTGCATCACAACGAATCGGCGCGATCAATGCAAAAGACGGGGACGGCGGCAGCACAACCACGTACCCACGTACAAACACGCTCTCTCCAGAAGAGCAGAGGGAGTCGGGCAAGAATCGGAAAGAGGGGAAAGAAAGCGAAGAAGTTGAAGAAAAAATAAACGATCGCAAGTGAAACGCCTCCGTCCTTCCCACCTCCGCCGTGGACGACGCAAGCGCGAGCAGTGCAAAGGAAGAAAACATAAAATCCCGAGAAAGAGAGAAAAGGAGGTAGACGGGGACGCGATAGAACTAACCGTGGCAGTCGAAACAAGGCCCCTCAGTCCAATTTTCCACCGGACAAGCGAGCCGCAAAAGAAGTAAGAAGGTGATGTTCTATACGCATTTTGTTGTTGTAAGTGTTTGTGTTACTTCATAGCAGACAACTACGTTCGCAGCGCTCGTCAGAGGCGAGAAGACGCAACAACAAGGAGTCCAGCTCACGTAGTTTCAATAATAGCGAGCAGTTCATCCTTTACAGATGCACAGCACGCTCCAAACTTCGCCCCACTTCCGCAAACGCACGCGGCCGAGTCGTCGAGAGCTGCGTTAACGAGCGTTCGACGAAAACCGGCGTCCATGGCGCACCGTGTAGCACCGGGAGTACCAAGCCGCTGCATGGCAAGGAGCACCGAGCGCTGCTGCGCCTGGGTAAGAACGCCGTCGAACAGCGGTGTGGCGCTACCCGAGATTGACGCTGGGTTCGGCAAGGGCTTCGAGTCTGCGGGGGGAACTTGCCCAGAAGAAAATGCAGCCGTTTGTGTGTGGTTTTCCGCCGTCTTTTTCGCACGACGACGCACGGCGCGATCTAACTGCGGCTGTGGCACGCGGCCAACACCATCATCACCCTCCTGTGCTTCATCCTGGCCTATGTCGCCAGCAGCGTCGTTGCTGCCTTCGACGGCGACTGGCGCGGCTCCTGTGTCGACGCGCGGCTCTCTGCGCGTCGCCGTCGCGTCCTCCGCAGCGGCGTCTTCGCCGTATGCGACAACGACAGCCAACAGAACAATCGAAAGCACCAGATAGAAAGGCACGGCACGAGAACTCCACTGCTGTACCACATACACGCTGAGCAGCCAAATTGCCGTGCGGATCACAACGCGGGCAAGTAGCCGATATTGATACTGGCGTTGACGGTAGTGCCGCCATTGCCGCCGCATCTCCTGGTCGTTGAACGTGGACCGTGCCGGCTCCATCGATGCTTTCTCTCTCTCTCTCTGTGTGTGTGTGTGTGTGTGTGTGTGTTCAAGAACCCAAAAGCGACAGCGGAACACGCCGCTAATTGCTCTACGATGCGCCGTCACGGAAAGTCCTCGAGCGTACCTTTCAAAATTCCCTTATTTATTTATAATCGGCTTGTAATGCATAGAACGCAATTCATGGATCTTTTACTGGGACGAGTGGATGACGGCGGATATGCGTATTACCGGATAAAGAGACCGTGGGGGCTCGTCCGCATTGTATTCGTTGAAGGTGGAAGGGTAGAACGATGACAAGAAAGGTCCAGGTAATAGAAACGGAAGCACCGAGGCAACTCGTCGCTTCAAATTCACGGCTCATGCAGGCATCGCAGTGCTGAGTAGCGTCACGGCGACCACAATGCTTTGGAGAGAGACATGTGTCCGCGTGCCATACGTTCTGCGTGTTCGTTTGCTACGCGTAGTCTGGCGTGTCAGGCCGCGCATGTACAACGCGCCAAATAAACGCGTGCGCGTAGGCCGACAACTACCCATACTTGCGCGAAGCACAACGGAGGTAACGGCATTAGCGAGAAAAAAAAGTTGGTTATCCGGCAAGCATGCACAACAGGTCAATGCAAAAAGCGAGCAAAGGGTAAGAGGAAGAGAATGTCCCTCGAACGGGCTTCTCTCTATACCGAGAACAGAAAAAAGGCTCAATAGATATTTATGGCTCGCGTACCGTTTCAGCGTTTTCGTAGGCGGCACCGCAGAACTAAAAGATGCCGTCAGAGAAGAAGAGCGCTACGAAAGCGACGCAGGCACGCTGGGCACACGGTGGTCAGCAGTGCAATGAGAGAACGCCACAAATGTGAAGGGGAAAAAACGCAAAAGAAGGAGGCACCAGAGGGGGAGGGGGCACAGCCTTCGTCGGAGTTTTCGTCCAGCACACAAGTAAACACATCAGATCGAAACAGCAAAGGAGGTCTGCACAACTGGAAGAAGAGGAGGAGAAGGAAGGAAAGAAAAGGCAAGACGAGAAATTAAGATAAGTGCTGCGAATGCATTGTAAGTGAATTAAGCAGAGGAAAACACCTGACCAGCAGAAATACCAAGAAAAAAGGGAAAATAGAGGTACAGTGTACAAACAAAACTTTTTAAAAAGACATAGAAACCAAGACAAAAGCAAAGGGAGAGAAGCATATGGGTGCCGCACTACGCATTCACAATTCACGAACCGAAACGGTTACCCCCTGATCAACTTCGGGCGTTCACAATAGTCGGTGAGTACTTGGCTACTAAGAGTGCGACGTCAACTTAAAAAAAGCAGAAGAAAAGAAGAGATGACAAAAACACAAGCCATCGACACGCAGCTACCGAAACGACATTGACGCTGCCAGGGTTGGCACAGCAATGAAAAACAGCTGATTTGTACATCTAATGGTTTGTCTTTGTTCACCCTTGCGTTCGCATTGAGCCACAATCGCCTTTTCCCTCGTCCTTGCATACGTATTGAAAAAAAAAAACAGATATACTTGACCTTTCTCTTTGCTTACGCTTTTCTTCTTCAAAGCGTACTCGAAAAAGCAAACAAAAAGAAAGGCACGACTTCCTTCCGACATGTATTTGCCCGTCAGAATAGGCACGAAAGGAAAAAAAAACATTGACCGCCCGCCCTGAGCCACTTTTGCCTAAACCGATTAGTGTGTGTGTGTGTGTGAAGACCGCTTTACCCTCTGCCGGTCCACTCAACCCCAACCAGCAAAGAGGAACCGAGGTTAATAGAAAAAACAACCAACAAGAGAGAAGGAAAGAACACAGCTCCTCCTGTTCATGAACAGAGAAAGAGAAAGAGAGAGAGAGCCTGTTTTCACTCCCGTGGCCGCCGTTGCGGGTGAGACGCAGACAAAAGAAATACAGATTTCTCCGCTGTTCTTCAACTTTTCTGTGTATACTTTCTGTGAGGAACAGGTTGTATGGACTCATCCACGTGGTACATGCGCTTGATCTCTTCTAACTCGGTCTTGGTGTCCGTCTGGAACGAAGCGGCGATGAAGAGCAGAATAACAAGCACCAATATTATCAGAATGTAGCGCTCCTGCAGAACGCCTTGGTAGCGCTTTGGCAGTCCACTTGACCGGCTGGTGCGCGACGGCGTCTCTGGCCGTTCCAGCTCCGACCACGCACGGAGCTCCTCCTCCGAGGCAATCACGTCATCATCGACGTACGGGGTAACAGGCGCGTCGGCCGGGTTCCACGACGGCGACGCCAGTGCGACGATGACGTGGATCGGCTGCTCCTTGCGCTTCGCCAGCGAGCACGTTACCTGAGCGCACATTTCCTCAGGTAGCAGAAGGAAGGAAAACAAAAGGCCGCTGGATTACATGCAAATGTAAAAAGACAGGTGCTGTGGGAAAGAAGAAGACGGTTTGCGGTCGATTTAGGTGAGAGCTTGAGAGGTCCCTCCGTGTCGAGCTGACAAAGCAACGAAGTGAAGTTTGCCGGGAGGGGGGGGGGGAGGGGGCTGGTGTCGCGTAGATCGTTGGTTGCAATACTAAACTGTGGTGAGTCGCGTGTTTGCGAAACTTTTAGAAGAGCAGTTTGCGGACGGGAAAGGAGAGAAGGGCGATGCGGCGGAAGCACCTACGCGCATTAAGACTGGTGAAGGAGCACCAAAAGAAATCGTCACGGCCATGTGTGTGTGCGTGTGTGGCGGTTGAAGCTCACCAAACACGACCACGAAGGAGAAGAAACCGCCAAAACAAAAGTGACAGTTATTCTTGCGCTTTTCCTTTGTTGTTTGCGGACGTACAAAAGCGAAGAGAAACCTCCCCCAGCTTTCCACCTCGCCCAAACGCACGCCTTGAACGCCCCTCCGCACAGCACGATGTGAACAATACGTATCGCAGCGCAGAAGACAAGCGAAAATTTTTGTGGATTATCGGACCTCCGTGAGGTACCGCGCAGGTTTTCCTCTCCCACCTCGTCCAGCGACGTCTTCCGATACGCCGGAGTGGACGAGCAACTTATGCTGAGTGTATACGTGGGGGTGTATGTATTGCTGGTTCCTCTTGCGTTTGCCACTACGGCGACACCACAGAGAGAGATGTGCAAGAGAAGAGAACTTTTTTTCTTTTAAGCGACCAAACATCACTGCTACAACCAAACGATCAACAATTCAAGACAGTCCAAGCTAGACGGATACGATTCCTCTCACCTTCGCGGCACGTCGATAGATATTACAACAAGGAAAAAAAAAGAAACGAAAAGCAAGCATATTTTGATCCTCTTCACATCCTCGGACTGTTACATCAGAATAAAGAGAAGAGTGTCTCCCCCTTCCTCCCGATGCTTGGTTCGCGTGCCATCGGACCCCCTCACAAGTTTCATTAAGCGAATCTTTGTCGTTTCTCCTTACCAGAATACACGGCAACCTCCCTCAGGTGCGGTTCTACGCGGGCTCCACGGTGATCATTTCCGCCTGCACTGCGTTCACTCGACGAGCGCTGCTGCGCCGGATCGAGATCAAGATATACCCCGCGACTGCACCGAGTAGACCCAAGTAGATGAGTAAGAATCCAAGACGCTCCCCCACGCTGGCGGGCTGCAAGTCGTCGTCCGGAGCGGACGTCGTGGTGGTCGTAGTGGTTTCCACCGAGGGGACGCTGCTGCTGCTGTCCGAGTCCCCGCTGCCCTCGCCGTCGCCGCACAGGTGCACCACCTTCGTCTTCCTGTTTTTGCACACACAGGCACCGTTGTAGCACAGCCCCGAGGCGCAGGTGGTGCAGCTCGTCATGGCCAGCGACAGTGGCGAGAGGGCCACGGTGGAGGGGACGGCGGTCACCTGCACGCCGTCCAGCGTCGCGTGAATCACAAACGGGATCGCGCGGGCACCAGCGGGGAGGCCGAGGACGGCGTCGGGCAGGGCGAAGGTGTATGCCGTGGCCGCCGACGCACGAGCCGTCACTCGACGAATGCGCTCTAGCAAGGAAGACGGCGGCGTGACGGCACGTGATGACGCTGACCGTGGTGTCCGCACGTCGTACACATCGATAACGATGAGCTCGCTGGGCTGGAAGACGCCCTGCAGCAGCAGCATCACCCCCGTCGATCCGGCCGGCACGGCGGTGGTGTTCACCGTGTAAAAGACGTAGGTCACCGCCGTGGCGCGTGTCACCGGACTGGCAGCCGATACAAAAAACACGCACGTGTGCGACGCGCCTGTTGTGGGCCCCAGAGTGGTATCGAGCACCTGCACGGGGCGCGCAGGAGCGCTCAGTGGACCCACCGCGACGGCCACCGCGCCCGTCGCCTTTGTCGCGGCATCGACCGGCAGCGTCGCCGTCGCCCACCCGCCGTTGTCGTGCGAGTACGACAGCGCACTGAAGGCACCGGAGGGGAAGGCGGCGAAGGAGACGGCGAGTGGGGTGTGCTCCATCGGGGGTGGGATGAGTCCCCCACAGTCCGCGGCGGGCAGGGCCGCCACATCGGGGAAGGGCTGCACCAGCACGTCCAGGTATGCCGTGTCCGACGGCGCCCACGCTTCGGAGAGGACGCCAGACGGAGAGGCGCTGAAGGGGACGGTGTAGAGGGCATCCCCGACGTACGCGCACAGCTTGTAGGCGCCGGCGACGGGGAAGCGGAAGATGATCCACGCCGAGCCGTCGTCGACGGGAGCTGCCGCGGCGGCAGCGTACGGTGATCCGGGCAAGAACGCCTCCGGGACAACGCCGATGTCCTCGCAGTTGTACGTGCTACGGACCATGTGATAGGACCCGGCCCGCGCGTGGAAGCCCTCGATGTGGGCGGTGACCGGCAAACCGGTGAAGACGTGTGTGGCCTTGCGGACCGGCGTTGCCACGTGCCACGAGGCCGCCAGGACGAGGTCGTTGCTCGTCTCGTTGTGCAGCTCGAAGAGGACCTGCTGCTCCTGCATCGCCGCGAGACACCAGCCCATGCGAAAGTACATGTCCGGCCGTACCGCATCCGCTAAGCCCGTCATGCGCATCGCCACAAAAGGGCCAACCGGAGTCACGGAGAGCAACTCCGCCGAGTAGAAGTGGAGGCAACCGGCGAGCTGCACCTGCAGGGCGGTGATGCATGCAGCGCTGACGGGCGCCGTCGTCGTCGCGCAGGCCGGACGTGCGGAGAAGTACGGGGTTGCAGCACTGCCGAGCGGGTAGAGGGTGTAAGCGCAGGTGGCGACGGGGCTGTTCGACTCCAGCGGGTCCTGCGAGTGGGCCGTCATGGACACCGTCACCACGGTCGGCTGCTTGGCCGGAAGGGAGCCCGGGAAGAGATCATAGGTGAAAAGGCCTTCGCTCTCGCTGGAGCGGGTGATCATCGGAATGCGCGACCCGTGTGTGGCGGAGCCGTACACCGACCACGCGCTCGCCTGCGCGCCAGGCAGCAGCAGCGACAGGTCCAACTGCGTCTGCAGCGACAAGGGAACAGCGGGGAACTTCGCGCCACACTCTGGACGGAAGGAGGGCGACTGCATCGGCGCGGCGACCATCTCCAGCGCCGCGGTCGCCGTGTGGGTCGCGCCTAGGTCGTCAACGTAGCCGCACGTCACCGTGAAAGTGCCGGGAGTCCGCAGCACGACGGAGTACACACCTTCTGCCACGGTCTGCGTCATGGTAGCATCGCGGTAGACGTACAGCAGCACCGGTGCGCTGACGGGAGACGCACATGTGACGTTCACGGGGCGGCTGTAGGCGACAGAGGGGTCGGGGGAGATGGTCGGAGGACGGGCTTCGACCACCTCATACACGACACGCGCACGCGACTCCAGCCCGTGTACGTGCAAGGCGCGGATGTCCAGCGAGCTGGTCCCAGGTGCCGTCCACGTAAAGAGCAGGTCCGTTAACGCCTCCCACGCTGTGGTGTCGTTGACGTAGATGTAGTAGTTCGACGGGGGCTGCGGGTCGCGCACGAGAACCGACACCCCACCGACGTAGCGGCCGGACCTGGGGTAGACGTACAACGGCGGGGCCGTGACGTTCAGCCGGTAGCTGGCGGACACGAAGTAGGTGCCGTTCACCACGGCCTGAATCAACGTCGAGGACTTCAGCCAGAAGGAGCCGTTGTACAGGGTGGGGTTCATGAAGTCGTCGTTCCAGTACATCAAGACGTGATCGTAGGCCGTCGCGCCCTGCAGCTCCACGAGAATCGGCTGTTCGTACAGAGCAGCATCGGTCGGAACAAACTGCAGAGGAGCCGGCGGGGCTGGTGTGGTGGTGGGCGTTACGGTGTAGGAGGCCTGCACCCGCATCGCCTCCGCATTTTGAAATACCGCGTAGACCTTCACTGTGGTGCTGGACGGCAGCAGCAGCGGCGTGGCGAGCAGCGGCGACGACGTTGACGCCAGACTCTCCGCCCCGAGCGCGTAGTGCACGCTGCACGGACGTGGGTAGCAGGAGACGCTCACGTAATTCTGGCTCCCATCTTTCACCAACGTAGTGCCGCTGGGAGGGGAGAAGAGCACCGTCGCCTTCGCCACCGGGTAGTCGGTGCAGACGTCGCCGACGTTGCACAGCTGGTAGGCCCCACCGGGCTGCGTGGTGAAGCAGCCAGGTCGCTCCAATCCGTTGGGGTTGCGGCAGTAGTTGTGGTCACCGATTCCGCGAGCAGGGTCCAGCTCAATCTCGTGCGCGTTGGGCGACTGCGCGGACCACTTCTGGCACGGCAGGCCCGTCTCCGTGACGTTGACGTGGCCGCGGTAGTCTTCACCGTTGGCGAGGTAGTAGGCCTCGGTGTGGTCCTTGCAGTTGGAGGCAGCGTGGGTCGGCAGCTGGCCAAGAAGCAGCAGCGCCACCACGCACCGCGTGACGAGTGTTGTGGTCGAGCTTCGCGCCATCTTTTTGAGCTTCGTGCGCTGCAACGCCCTGGCTTTTCTCTTCGACAGTATTCTTTTTTATTTCGTCTTTTTCTTTTATTTCTAGGAATGCACGTTCGATGAGAGGTGCGCTACCAGCATCTTATTCGAACGTCACGGAGAAACAAAGGACACCTACAACAATACAGACACGATCGCCAAACAACAGCGCGATACGCCAGCATAAAAGAAAAGAAAGAGGCGCAGCAAAAACACCGTCCAGCGTGAAATTAGGAAAAGAGAAAAATAAGAATTGCTTGAGAAAGGACAAGCTCGAAGCGACAACAGGACGCACGGAAAGTAGTAGTACGTACCCCTTTCGTTTTTGCTATGTACGTCTTCTCCGTTTCCTCTTCTTTCTCTACTGCGATCGGTGAGGTCAGCAGACAAGGAGAACAACTCGTTTACTCCAGCGTTTCTGTTCGGCACGCACAGACTCACAGAACACAACACAAAAGTACGCGAGCTCCAAAAAGTTTCTTCTGCTAACAATGCTTTTCAAGGGAAAAAAGACGATAACGCGCTGCAAATTCTTTTCTTACTGTTACTTTTAGCTTTCTCTTAGGAATTGCAGTTGGCAGTGGTGGTCCCAAACAAAGCCACCGGTTTTTCAATCAGATCGGCGCACGCCCGCTGTTGCCGAATGGCGTTTCGCAGCTCAAGGAGTGCTGCCGTTGTGTCGCAAAGGGCAACACAATAAAGCAAAATACAAAACAAATCACCGTTCTCTCTCTATGCAGATCTCCGTTTCTCTCATGTAAGTCCGCGCACCTGCTTACTTAATAATTAGAGTGCCGGCCTAATGCTTCCGTGACTAATTTCACCCACCCAAAAGAGCTGAGCCGTCTTTTTATGATTACTGTTGTTACTCTCGCAGGCTCACGTGCCGGTAGAGAAGGGGAGATGTGCTTCGTTGCACGGCGCCACGCAAAAAAAAAAAAGAAGCTTCAAACAAATGCTTCTCGTAGCGTAAGATACATAATGAAAATAAACCCTTGTGAGAGCTACTGTGTGTGATAATAGCACTAATCAAACGAATCGTGTACAGAGGCAGTGTGATGCAGAAGGTTGATGTTCCTGCGAGAAGTGCGTTGAAAGAAAGGCGAGAGAAGGAAGAAGGTGGTTGTGGAAAGTCAGTGGATCGCACCATCGGACGTTGATGACCAAAGCGCAAAATACAGTTCACAAACTCCTGGAGGAAGCGTGAACGGAAGCAATCAAGTCTGCGCGACACGGAGTGAGAGATACAAAAAAAGGGGGCGTGCCATTTGTATTGGTCGTCTCCGCGTCCATGCGGCGCATGTGTCGTCACCGTCGCTTCCGCTTTGGCCGTTGGATTGGTTAGGAGCGTACCTGTTCATAGCGCTTCTTTTCTATGTAATTTCCTTTTCTTATTTTACGTTCGTACGATCTTAACGTAATCGGCTGCGCTATAACAACCTAAAAATTCGGAGCCACGCACGCCAACGCCCTACGTCGTGAGTCGAGAGGACTCCCACAGCGACATCAAGTCCCGCTGCACAGCCCACTCCTCGTCTTCGCCGGCGGCGCTTCTCGTCAAGTTTTGGAGCACCGTACGGTCGATGGACGCGACGGACACGCCATCTACGCTTTTTTCCTCCTCCGTGCCGTTCCTCGGTGCACCTGCGTGGATCGGATCAAGCCGCTGCGGTGCGGGGCGTCGCACCGCCTCCCGAGCGATCGGTCGTGGCCGGGTGAAGACGAGCCCGCGAGCGTCGCTGTACTGCAGCGATGTCGAAGCATCACGTCCTCTATTGGAAGAGCGTTCAGGGGTGGCGGTGGGGACCGCCGTGTCGATTGAAGTGTGTGCCTTGTTTGCACGACCTCCGACATGCTGCCATGACTGCTGCTGCTGCTGCAGCTGCTCTTCACGTAACTCCGCCTCTCGCGTCAGACGTTGCTCCTGCCGGCGTACGTGCCGGGCCAGCCACGCGGCATCGCTGTCTTGGCTCTTCGCGACGGCACGAGCCAGCAAAGCAGCCTCCGCCCTCTGCGTGGCGGTGCGACGGAGCCGCGAAAGGTGGCGCGTGGTGATGCGTGCCAGCCGTTCCTCCTCCTGCACACGGGCGGCGCTGTCCGGCTCCTTCGGTGAGACGCACGGGCGATGCCGCAGGCGGGCCAACTGCTGTGCTGTCCGTCGGTGGTGCTGCTCACGTGCTTCTTCCTCCTCCCACGCCTCTGCCCACGCTTCTGCCGTCACGCGAGCCTGTGTGCGTGCCTCTTGCCGTGCTGCGTCCTCCGCCGCGCGTCTCTGTGTCTCAAAGCTGTTGATCTCCGTGGTGGCCCCGACCAGCTCCGACTCCAACAACTCGAGCGTGGCGATCCAGCTGCGCTGAAGCGTGCGGACGGCGGTGCCAAAGTTCGCCGCGGCGGCGTCAAGGGTGCACGCGCGCTGCTGCGATGTCTGTCGCAAAACGACCTCGCGTTGCTGCTCCAACTCTTCTCGGCTGCGCAGCTCCGCCGGCGTCAGCACCCGAGGAGAAGAGCCGGCAATGCCCGTGGCAGACATGGATGCCTGTCTTGCCCGTTGCGACGCGTCCACGAACCTTCGTCGCGCCAGGAAGGCCCGGCCCACACGCTGCACACGACGCGCCGCCGCGGCACGCAGCTCCGCACGCCACCGCGTCATCTCCTCCGCGGTCGCGGCCGGGAGAAAGACGCGACTTACGCCGAGCACGGCGGATCGGCAAAAAGGGAGGGTGGAGAGGGCGAGCAGCGCCAACTCACGATATCGCGCCTGCTCGTGCAGCGCGCGTACACGACGGCGAAGGTGGGCATCTGCGCCGTTGGTTGGGGTGTCAGAGAAAGAAAGCAGTCGACGTTCCCGTGACGGGGACGGCGTTTCCTCTCGTGCCTGCTGTGGGGAGGTCGAAGAGCTGCTTATCCACGACGAGCCCGACGGCCTGACAGGGGTACGCGGAGCAGCGGCAGCGGAGGCCACGGCGTACGCGGTGAGGAGTGGCACTGCCCAATCTCTGCCAAACGGAACGACAGGACACACATGCGTGTGGCACAGACGTGACCAGTAAAACAGCGCCAACCAGAGCGGCTGTGACACCCACAAGTAAGAGAAAACGGCATCATCCACCGTCTGTGGTGTCGAAGCTGCGGACGGCGACAGCGGCGGGACCACCGGCTCAAGGAAAGGATGGCGAGGAGGTGTCACCGCCTGTCTTGCCTGTGCACTAGAAACTGGAATGGCATGCACGAGCGTCAACGCGTGGCAGTTGTGTGTGCCGTCTTCCTGCACGGCGTTAACGGCGGCGCTGCCTTCATCTGGCCTGTGCAGCGTCAGTGTCTCGCAGAGCGCCTGTGTAACGGAAAGAGAAGCGCTAGCCGCTGACATGGGTTCTCTCTCTTGCGGCAATCCTTTATCAGCTCTCTTACCAGACTCCACCCTATTGGAACTGCTTGCGGCTGCATCGTGCCTACTGAGAAGAGAAGCACTCCGCGTAGCCGCGGCTCCGACTACACGTTGCACCGCAGCGGTGGCCCCTATTTTGCTGAGTCGGACAGAAGCAAGAACCTCCACCGCCATCCGTGCCAGGGAAAGCCGCAAGGGCGGGTGCAGGCCACTCGGCCATGACAGACAAAGGCACGCTTGTGCGGATGAGTTCGATGCTGACGCGGCTTCGCGGTTTCCGCCGTCCTCCGATGGATGCGTTGGAGATGCCCAGACGAGTTTCACGTCGGTTGCTGGATGCGCGAGGCGACGGGCCATGTGCCCTTGCTGATGTCTACCGTTCTCGGGAGAGGTGGGTGTCCTGTCCGCACCGCCGAGAAGGATACTTGCACCTTCGTTGCCTCCTTCCTCCGCCGCCTCCGCCACAAGTCCATGCAGGGCATCGCGCAGAAGCTGCTGCACCGCCGCCGGAGTCGACGGACAAGAAGCGGCGTCGCTGCCTCCACACCGCGCCACCACCGAGTCGATGACTTCCGCCAGGCGATGCATCAGCGACGGCGAAGACGATGTACGTGGAGCTGCCAACGCGCCAAAGGTGTGGTCCGGCAGCCGGACCCGCTTTGCTAGCTCTACCGCCTCGGCAACGGCCGGTGCGTAGCACGACGAAGCGCCGTCGGCGCCGCTGTTTATCTGATCAATCCACGTATCCACCTCCCTCTCCACACCCTCACAGCGGGCCTCCTGCCGCAGAGTGCCGATGAGGCGTGCGCAGACGGCGGACTGAACGTGCAACTCCGTGTAGGCGGCGTACCAGTCTTGCAGACCTCCGCCGACGTTGCTCGAATCTGCGCCCTCCTCATCGGCTTTCTCTGTCGAAGCGCTGGACGTGGCGTCGCCCGAGGCGTTCACCACCAGTGAAATCACCGAAAAAGGGGAAAGAGGCGCGCTCTTGTCACCGCTACCGGCCTCCCCGTCGCCCGCACAGCCGCCATCACGTTGCAACGCACCGTTCACTGCATGCAGCACCGTACGCACCAGTACGCCGCCCAGCTGCGCCACCAGCACCGACTGCAGCTGACACGCCCCCGCGCAGTTCAGCGCATGTCGTACAGCGCCGCCGTCAGTGCGTACCTCCACGGTGGTCAGCAGCTGCACCAATTCTAAAGGTGGCACATGAAGAAGCGAGCTCGCAGCGTCGCAGGCTGGGATGGACACTGCGGCGAGCAGCGCTGCTTCGCTCGTGGTGGTCACCGCCGCCGACACCGATGCGGCGGCGGCGGCGGTGGATGCCGTCCCGTGCCGTGGCGAAAAGGTAAGGGACGAAAGGTGAAGGATGGCGTGGGTGAGGTCGTGCACGTGTGTCAGCAGGTCTGCCGACACGTCCAGCTCGCGCATGCACGCATCGATGTCTGATGGAGTCACTCGTGACGGTACGGAACGCCTTCGCTGCACATCAGTCTCGGGAGGAAAGTTTTGAGCCGCTGCACTGGTGTCGGTGCCTGCGCTCCCACTCGAACGCGACGTAAACCACGGAAACGTCATCACATCCGGCTCTGGTACAACACCTCCATCTTTCGAATTCATTTTAAAGAGAGTAGATGCGTCGTACCGTCCGGCGCAGCTGTCTGCCGCTACCGCCGCCACCGCCCGTCTCACTTGTCCTCCGGCAACCCGCCGCAGAGGTTCTTTCATCGATGGCACTTCACGTTGCACGTAGAGGTCCAGCGCATTGGTGACCACCGAGTTGCGGCGCCTCCCCATGATTTCTTGCCCATCTGCTGAAGGCGTGAGAGCATCCAGCAGCCGCAGCGCAGCCTGCATTGTTGTGAGCATCCGTGATGAGGTGGTACACGCACGAGTTGTTTGCATGAGCTCGACCACCGCACCGCGACGGAGGTGCGCAGCGGCGGAGGGGCAGCCCTGAAACACAATTGTTTGCTGCTTCATCTGCCCACAGCGCATCACCACCCTTCGTGTCATCGACGACAACGGCGGCGGACATCCCGCATCGCCTCCCGCCGCATCCGACGGAAAAGAGGGGGCATCCCTCTCAGGTCCATCCGCTGCTGTCCTTTCGGCCGTCCACGCCGCAGAGGCGCCGCCAAGCGTCACGTACACTTCCACACCTACATCACCTGAGGGGCACACGCCGGCTTCTTCTTCTTCCGCTGTCTCACCGAAGTTGTCATGGCGGATGAGCTGCAGCAGCGGCAGGCAGAAACGGCGACGCTGCCGCAACGCGTAGACCAGCGCGGCCGACGACGGTGCGTGCTGCAGCAACGAATGCAACGCGGCATCGGCCTGCGCACCGCTCCACCCGGCGGTGCACTGCGACAGCTCTATCAGGGCACCCGGCAATGTGTTAAAGACGTCAACGTCGAGTTCCACGACGGCGGTTTTGTTTGTGCACACGTAAAGCGGCGTGACGAGGAGATCATGAAGACGAGGGTCAGCGCTTTCCGCGCTGCTGTCATGGTGGTGGTGGCGGTGATGGTGGGAATGTTGATGATGCTGCTCCGGAGTTTGGCGCGCAGTACGATGCGCAGGAGTAGGAGTGCGAGAAGGCTGCGAAGGTTGAGAAGGCGAGGTGTCCAACTGGGGCTGAAGAAGTGTACGGCACAGCTCCAGCTGCTCAGAGGGCAGCGGTTCTAGCGTGAAGCACCAGCACGTGTGCAAAGAAGATGCGTGGCGGCGGGCACCCACCTCTCTGGAGGAGCATACAGCGTAGCCAAGATGCCAGTACCCACCTGTCAACCTCCTCTCCGCTGCGCGTGTGCCGTTGTGTAGCAGCGGTGACGACGACGACGGTAGCACTCGCTGCTGCCGCTGCTGCTGCAGAAAGCCCGCAGCGCTGGACAGTGACACGAACTGATGGGCAGTGGACGGCGTCACGTACACCAGCACACACGGCCCGTGGCGGGTAGACTCCACATCGAGCGGTGCAACAAAACCGTTGCTCGAGACGTCGCACCGATCCCCGCCCGTATCGCGAGGGGACACCCGGGGGACATGACTGGATTGCTTGGCCGTGCCATTACCGCTGCGCGTGTAGGGGGCCCTCCAGCGAGGCGACGATGGCGCGGACAGCGATGCGGCAGAAGTGAAGGAGGACGCCGAGGACGACGATACGGAGATGGGGCTGCGTGAGGTGGAAGAGTACACGACCTGCCCTGCGGTCGACATCGTCCACCGAGCCGAAGAGGCGCCGAACCCACACCTTGCGGAATGGAAAAAGGATTGTAGATGAGAAAAAAAAAAGGTTCTACATATATATAAATAATCTAACGTGCTTGCGCGCGGTCTATTCGCTCATAAAAACCCAGAGGCTATATTTGTGACTTTCCAGCCGCACGGCCTTCTCAAAAAGAAGGAAGAGATCAACAGGCACAAGAATGGAAAAAAAGAATCTCTCTCAAGCGAAGGAAAAGACACGACCACGAGAAGTAAGAGAGCCGTATGATGAGTCAGAAATAACAACAAAAGAAAAGGCTCTGATATGAGGGGTGTGTGCGTGTCACGTAAACCACGTGCGTCTATACTTTAAAGAGGTAGTAGCAGAATAAAAAAGAAAGCGAAACCGAGTGAGTTTGTATTGCCGATGCTGTCGCGCGTTGGTTCGTCGAGCAATGCGCTGTGGAGGGTGGATACCTCAAAAGCGGCGGTGAGTGAGTCGCTGCCTTCAACCGGAAAGCAGCGTATGCCGCTTTGTTTTCAGAGTACTGCTACTATGATTTCAGAAGAGCAAGCAGGAAAGGGAAAGAGGAAAATAGGACCTGAACGATGAGCGTTGGTAGCAGCCTGCGGCTTTCGCTGACGCTCTTGGGCAAGCGCTCGGCAGAAGTAAAACTGTCACAGCCGCCTCTGCTGTTCGGCGCATTGGGGACGTTCACTCCCCTCCCTTCCCCTTCGAAAAAAAAAAAAGAAGAGAGATGTGCACGTGGCAGCAGCAAAGAAAACATCACATCTACTTTTCTTCGTTTTCAGATTTCCAACATCGAGAGAGCTGCCGCGTACAACGGAGAAGCGGGGGAGAGAGAACACTTCTCGATGAACTGGGGAAGGCGGGCAAGGCCAATGTAGTGTCTTTGACTGTCCCGTAAAGCGCACCTGCAGTCACGCCCTTCATCTCCATGTTGTTGCGTTGCATGTTTCTCCTTTATTGCGTTGCTTTTATTGCTCAATGAAATCAGGAGCCGCAGAGACAGACTATAAATAAAAATAATGTTTTTCTTTTCCTGGTAAACGTTAGCGAATCAAAAATCACAGTTCCGGTGTTTTTTTAGCCTTACGACAGCGTAGAACGCATTTTGACCGGTTTTTCAGGTTTCATTTTTTTTCTTTTGGCCGTTGGTCTGTGAAGCGCGCGTGATCCACTATCTTTTTCTTTTCTCATTTTCTGTCGTCACTGTTATCATCCGCGCGCGCTCGCGACGTAAAGCCGAGCCTCTCTTTTTTTCTCTTTTTTGTTGGTCAGCGGCTGGAAATCAAATTCCATCCGCGATCTCCTCCTTTGTTTGATTACGTTTCACAGACCTGCTTAACACCGTACTTCTATATTTGTACGGAAGAGGCGGTTGAGAGATGGAGAGAGACAAAAAAAAAAGAAAAGAAATGAAGGCGAAGATGGCGCCTCGGGGCATCCCAAACGAGTTCATACACCTCCGCGGTCGATGGTACTATTTTTGTACTTTTTACGGGAAACGAAAAAAGGAAAAGGGAAAAAGAAGTCTAATCGATCAGTGAGCACCGCTTCTTTCGATTCCGCGGGTTTGTCCTTTCTCATTTTTTCTTTGCTTTTCAACCACGGCGGAACCAATAATGATAAAACTAAAAATAGAGCACAAAATAATAGAAATCAAAACAGAAATTAAAAATAGAACTGAAAACAACGGGAAAACAACAAGTAAACCACAAACCAAAGAAACAAAAACGGAGCGGTCTTGCGCAGAGAGAGATGCGTCCTCGAGGAAGAAGCATCACCACTGCCGTGCCTCCACAGCAAAACCAGAAGAAGAAAAAAAGAGCGCACACACACACGCAGGCACGCTACGACGGCACTTCAAGAGCAGCAAAAATAAAAACAAGAAAAGCCACTACATTTCTATTTTGTGTCCTCGCCTTTACATAAATATGGAAATATATAAATATATAAATATATATATATATAATTCCGTCGAAAAAAGAGAAAAAGAGAGAAAGAGAAGTCTTCAACCGATGGGTAAAAGAAAAAAAGAAAAATCAACAGCGTGCCACGTAAGAGTTCGATCGCGAAACAACATAATAACAATAGAAACACTAACAAAAAGAAAAAGGAAAGAAGGGACAGGACAGGGTGGTTTGGCTCTTGCGAACCGCGATACCACGAAGAAAACCAAAAAAAAAATGGCAAGAGGAGCTTTCGGTCGCTACATTGGCATTGACACTCTCATGACGTAAGAGGTCTCATAGGCCTTCACGTCCGTTTGAGAGGCAGCCTATAAATCAGGATATTCACAAGACAGGGGGGGGGGAACAAAAACTAAGGTGAGTGCTGTCGGTAATTGGGACGCGCTACGACATAGGCAGGCAGAAGGACGTATTTTTTTTTATAAGAGCGTTAAGAAGAGTAGTGTGCGTGACAACGCATTCAGATCAAACGGCGCGGTCTGTGCATCTTCCTTTTCCTTCCTCGTGTGTGTGTTGTGTGTTTGGGGTGACTGCGCACGTGCGAACGTGAACAAGGTCTTCAATGTGTCTCTCACTTCCAGGTGTGGCTGCGTAAATAAGGAATCAGCTAAAAAGCATGAAAACACGACCAATCAATGAAGGGTTATTCTAAATCCAGAAGAAAGAGATGAGGCTTCTCGTGACGTACGCGAGCTTCGGCACGCCACCTCGGCATAAAACAAAACGAAATGAAAAGCATCGATTTCTTTCGCCGCCCCTCTTCACGCAACCCGCCAGTCAAGGAAAGAGAAAGAAAAAAAACGATGACCGCACTATGAACGCTAAAAGAGAGGTGGGTGAAGAGTCTGGGCGTGAGGGGGGAGGGAGAAGAACAGGCAACTTTCAAAGCACAAAGCACCAAGATATGACGTTAGGCTCGATTTTTTTTTTTTTTGAAGCTTGACCAAATATAAAAAAGAAAAAAACTGTGCAGTGTGCAGATGCCAGGCGAAGAAGGAGACGTCACCACGGAAGCTTCAGGATGATACACCGGAAACAAGTACTTCGCTACTCCCTTTTCTGTTGTTGTTTTTTCTCGTAACTCTAGAAGTGTTGACGCCTCGTAAGCACTCCGCAAAAAACGGCACGCAGCAGCGTTAGAAGACGAAAAGTGGAAAAGAAAGACGGGGGCTCCCTTCTTTAGCGGCGATACGTCCATCCCCAAAGAATAAACTGCAGAAAAGGATTTGAGAAACGAAACCGATAAATCGGAGCGAGGCACCAGTTTTAATTAAACAAGACACACGTAGGAAGCTTACACAGCAGGCAACCTGTCAAACCACACGCAGACACACAGACACACAAAGGAAAAGGAAAGAAAAAACACAGAAAAGAAAAACAGCATGCAGAGCTCTGAAAAAAAAAAACCCCACCATCAACACGCGCTACTCAAAACAGAGAACATAAAAAGGGAAGCTCCCCCGGTATGCGGCAGTCCCCAATGATAATAAAAAAATGCTCCAATGTACCCTCATCAAAATGACGTTAAAGGTTCTCCCTGGTATCTTCCTCTTCTTCTTAATATATTTTTTCATTCAATTCTCTTGATTCAGCGCTTCGAGGCAGCATCGCAGAAGGAGGCGCAACCTCGCAGCAACACACATCAGCGCTCCAGTACACCTAGAGCCGCGTATGCACAACGCGAAGAGAGCACCGCTACGGCGTGCACAGCACCTGAAGTGCAGCAGATGCCATCCCGATTCAGCGTCAATTTTCTTCTACGTTCTCTTGTCTCATTGGACGTAGGTTCGCTTTCAGACCTCCCGCTGTTCTTTTTTTGCTTGTTTTTCTTGGGCCGCTCATTTCAGTACAACATGAAGGTGTCGCTGTAAAACGACTGACGCTCGTACCGCTCTATCACACGGCGAAGGCTTGACTCAATCAGCGCCGCCGCCCACCCGCACGCCAGTTCGAGAACACCTCGTCCTCTCCTCACTGGCGGGGCTGCTGGCCGGGCTGCGGCATCATGTACTGCTGCGGCATCGCAGCCGCCATCATCTGCTGCTGCGCGTACGGGTTCGGCTGCGCGTAGCCGGCAGCCGCGAAGTTGCCAGCGTAGTAGTTCGCCTGCGGCACCGCGCCAGCCGCCATCTGCTGCTGGTTGTTGTTGTAGTTGTAGTTGTTCCGCGGCCGCTGGTTGCCAGACGAGGCGAGCGCCACCTTCAGGCGCTTGTTCAGGATGTTGAACCCGTTCAGCTCGTTCACCGCCTGCTGCGCGCTCGCAGCCGATTGGTACTTCACAAAGCCGTAGCCGCGGCTCTGGCGCGTGTCACGGTCACACACGATCTTCACGCTCTCCAGTGGGCCGAAGCGCTCGAACAGCTGGCGCAGCTGCATCTCGTCCACGGTGGTCGGGATGTAGTTCACCATCAAGTTGCGCAGCGCCTCCGGTTCAGGGTTGTAGGCCTGCTGCGGCTGCTGCTGCGGCTGCTGAGGGGGGCTCATCTGCTGGGACATGACGGAGTGAGGAAAGTGGGTTAATGTTGGAAAGAGGGGGAAAAAAGGAGAAGTAAAGATACTTTTGAAGACGAGAGAACGAGCTGGACTGGATGTAAATTCCACCACAATGCGTCGTGGAAAAGGTTGGTGTGGGGAAAAGATGTTGTTGATTCCCACCGATGCACAGGCAGCACCAGCAATAACACAAAGGTCGAATGCACCGAAGAGCGGAGGAGGAAAAGGAGGAAGGAGAAAAAAATGAAACGGATGAAAAGCGGATGAGGGATGGGAACCACGGAAGAGTCGCTCCGTGCCGAATGATGGCATCGAGGAGGAACATGGAAAGCGATGGCACGCCATAGAACACAGGTACACCCGACGAGTGAAGAAACACTTCAGTGTAGTCCGCTTCCTTCAGAAAGAAAAAAAAACATTGCTTGTATGCTACAGGTCCAACGTCTGCACCACTACTTGTGTAGCAGCGCTGAGAGCTGTCGACGTCCTCCGCAGTGGTCAGCGCACAATCTCGCACCGACGGTTCTTCTGCAAAAGACAATAACTCGGGAGGCAGGACGCCCGCATACGGAATGCATCCTACACACTGCCGCTCCACTGACCCCAGTAGAACAAATCGAGTTGACGTTTTCGTGTACGTGCTTTAATTTCCCTTTTCCTCATTTTTTTCCCTCGCGGGAGAAAACTGTTTTTAAAAACACAAAAAAAATGCAGCGTTGAGGTCATAGTAGGCGGTGTATATGCGAAGCGTGCGCGCACGTGTAGGTGGGGATCTGCCGCGTCGCCGCCTTTGGTAACGGAGGGGAGGCGCCATCGCCGAAGAGAGAAGCGCCGTGTAGCTGCACCCATGACGTCCCCCACCGTTTCAATGAAAAAACGAGATCTCTCCACACAGACTAAGCTTGAACACGACCAAGCGAGGACACAGCGCAGGCTGAAAAACAAAAAAAAGGTGGTTTGCTTTTTTTCAGCTACCTCTTGCGTCGCGGGGCAAAGCCTCACTCGTGCGGGCAATTCATCTCTTTCGAAACTGCTCCGGTATTTTACATATGGAGGTACGCGAAGGTTACGGAGACGAATTCTCTGAAGGAAACAGTAAAGAAAAAAAGGTGGTGGACGCGTTTCTTATTTCTATGAGGAAACCAAAATCGTTCCATGCAGTCACACGTCGCGGTGCCGTTAAACGACATAAGCTCTCCGGTTGCAGGTTTAGGTGTCCGGCTCGACAAAAAAAAGGAATCTTCATTTTTCTTTTTGCGAAATCCACGCTCTTCTCTTTGTATTATTATTGTTCTTTTCTCTTTTCCCGTACCGCAGAAACCTCTCAGCAGGAGCGGCGGAACTATGGCGACCACCAGCTTCACAAACAAAAGCCCAAAAGGGCGAGAACATTTCTATTTAGTAACACAAAAGAAGAAAGGAAAAAGAAGAGAAGGAAGACACAGGAATTGTAAAAAGAAAAGAAAAAGATTTAGTGATGTGAGCAAATAACCATTGCGAGTCGTAAATGAATAAAGAGAAACGCTTTCGCGCTCCTCTCTGCGCGTGCGTGGGTATGTGTGCTTCTGTGTGCGCTGCGTGCGTGCTCTCCGCCGCGTGTGCGGGTCTGTCCAGATGTGAAAACGCAAACAACGAAGTCCGTCGGAAAACACGAAAGCAGCGTAAATCAAAGAAACGTCATTCCAAAAATTCATTAAAAGAGAGTGCCACCTCCGCCGGCGCGCTCGAGTCCGCACCGCTGGCGCCGTCACGCACCGCCTCGCTCCCCTCGCCCTCCTCGCATCCGCTTCAGTCAACGTAGAGAAGCAGATCGCACTCCACAAACGCGGTAGGGGGGAGGGGGACAGAAGCAGCAAGAGCGCTTTCGCATCCGATTGCCCGTGTGGCGCCCCGCTCCATTCCAACACACGCGCTCGCACAGCAGCGGGACAACGGCAGCAGCGGTACAAACGAGTTGGTGCAGCACAGAGGCCTCGCTGTGCACCCGGTACTTCCGCGAGATAAATTCGCCAGTGAGGAGAGGACGAGGTGTTCTCGAACTGGCGGGCCGCTACGCTAGCCTAGGTAAACACACACCCTATGCTGTATTAGCGTGAGCGACTCTCTCCCGATCGAACGAAAAAGGAAAAGACAATCACTTTAATCCCAAAGAAATCACATTTCCCACTGGACGGACGGCAAATACGTATATAACTGGGTCAGTAAAGCGGTGCTGGGACACTGATGAGTAGCACTGGTGTGTGCACATAGGCGGCAGATGTTGTTCTTATTTCCTTCTGCATCGCACTGTCCGCGGATGCGCTGCAGTGTACAGGAACGTGTGGCGATCTCGTGGAAAACCAACTATTTTTTTTTTTACTGTTTATGCTGGCGAACGAAGGTAGAAGTGCAATGTGGCGGATCATAGACACGAGAGCGCAGTGTCACGAACGTTCGATGTGGAGGAGAAAAAACATCGACCTGCGCGACGCTTTGACTACATTTCTATCTGTTTTTTTTTTGTTCTGCGCACTCCAAGACGTTATAATGATGCGCTAGCGAAATTTGTTCTCTAAAATGTTTTTGTTTTGTTTTTAGTGATTCATGCGGCTTTTAAAACGTGTGTGTGCGTGTGCGTGTGTGTGTTTCTCTGTGTGTGTGTGTTACGTGTTTGGCCGCGAAGTGTACCTTCCGTTTTCTCGGTTATCAGTTACTACTATTCTTTATCGCGCCTGTGTATGTAAAGTTCTCCTCCTCGAGGGAAAAAGAAGAACGGCGCACCCGTTGGCCGGAATTTCACGTTTGCGAATGCGCTGACGCATAAATTTCACTTGAAACCAACGCGTGTTGTTCTCCTTTTTTTCCCGTCTTTTTCCAGAAGCAGGACGGCTGCTTCTTAACTGTGTTGCCTTGTGGCTGGCCGGGCTGCGGCATCATGTACTGCTGCGGCATCGCAGCCGCCATCATCTGCTGCTGCGCGTACGGGTTCGGCTGCGCGTAGCCGGCAGCCGCGAAGTTGCCAGCGTAGTAGTTCGCCTGCGGCACCGCGCCAGCCGCCATCTGCTGCTGGTTGTTGTTGTAGTTGTAGTTGTTCCGCGGCCGCTGGTTGCCAGACGAGGCGAGCGCCACCTTCAGGCGCTTGTTCAGGATGTTGAACCCGTTCAGCTCGTTCACCGCCTGCTGCGCGCTCGCAGCCGATTGGTACTTCACAAAGCCGTAGCCGCGGCTCTGGCGCGTGTCACGGTCACACACGATCTTCACGCTCTCCAGTGGGCCGAAGCGCTCGAACAGCTGGCGCAGCTGCATCTCGTCCACGGTGGTCGGGATGTAGTTCACCATCAAGTTGCGCAGCGCCTCCGGTTCAGGGTTGTAGGCCTGCTGCGGCTGCTGCTGCGGCTGCTGAGGGGGGCTCATCTGCTGGGACATGACGGAGTGAGGAAAGTGGGTTAATGTTGGAAAGAGGGGGAAAAAAGGAGAAGTAAAGATACTTTTGAAGACGAGAGAACGAGCTGGACTGGATGTAAATTCCACCACAATGCGTCGTGGAAAAGGTTGGTGTGGGGAAAAGATGTTGTTGATTCCCACCGATGCACAGGCAGCACCAGCAATAACACAAAGGTCGAATGCACCGAAGAGCGGAGGAGGAAAAGGAGGAAGGAGAAAAAAATGAAACGGATGAAAAGCGGATGAGGGATGGGAACCACGGAAGAGTCGCTCCGTGCCGAATGATGGCATCGAGGAGGAACATGGAAAGCGATGGCACGCCATAGAACACAGGTACACCCGACGAGTGAAGAAACACTTCAGTGTAGTCCGCTTCCTTCAGAAAGAAAAAAAAACATTGCTTGTATGCTACAGGTCCAACGTCTGCACCACTACTTGTGTAGCAGCGCTGAGAGCTGTCGACGTCCTCCGCAGTGGTCAGCGCACAATCTCGCACCGACGGTTCTTCTGCAAAAGACAATAACTCGGGAGGCAGGACGCCCGCATACGGAATGCATCCTACACACTGCCGCTCCACTGACCCCAGTAGAACAAATCGAGTTGACGTTTTCGTGTACGTGCTTTAATTTCCCTTTTCCTCATTTTTTTCCCTCGCGGGAGAAAACTGTTTTTAAAAACACAAAAAAAATGCAGCGTTGAGGTCATAGTAGGCGGTGTATATGCGAAGCGTGCGCGCACGTGTAGGTGGGGATCTGCCGCGTCGCCGCCTTTGGTAACGGAGGGGAGGCGCCATCGCCGAAGAGAGAAGCGCCGTGTAGCTGCACCCATGACGTCCCCCACCGTTTCAATGAAAAAACGAGATCTCTCCACACAGACTAAGCTTGAACACGACCAAGCGAGGACACAGCGCAGGCTGAAAAACAAAAAAAAGGTGGTTTGCTTTTTTTCAGCTACCTCTTGCGTCGCGGGGCAAAGCCTCACTCGTGCGGGCAATTCATCTCTTTCGAAACTGCTCCGGTATTTTACATATGGAGGTACGCGAAGGTTACGGAGACGAATTCTCTGAAGGAAACAGTAAAGAAAAAAAGGTGGTGGACGCGTTTCTTATTTCTATGAGGAAACCAAAATCGTTCCATGCAGTCACACGTCGCGGTGCCGTTAAACGACATAAGCTCTCCGGTTGCAGGTTTAGGTGTCCGGCTCGACAAAAAAAAGGAATCTTCATTTTTCTTTTTGCGAAATCCACGCTCTTCTCTTTGTATTATTATTGTTCTTTTCTCTTTTCCCGTACCGCAGAAACCTCTCAGCAGGAGCGGCGGAACTATGGCGACCACCAGCTTCACAAACAAAAGCCCAAAAGGGCGAGAACATTTCTATTTAGTAACACAAAAGAAGAAAGGAAAAAGAAGAGAAGGAAGACACAGGAATTGTAAAAAGAAAAGAAAAAGATTTAGTGATGTGAGCAAATAACCATTGCGAGTCGTAAATGAATAAAGAGAAACGCTTTCGCGCTCCTCTCTGCGCGTGCGTGGGTATGTGTGCTTCTGTGTGCGCTGCGTGCGTGCTCTCCGCCGCGTGTGCGGGTCTGTCCAGATGTGAAAACGCAAACAACGAAGTCCGTCGGAAAACACGAAAGCAGCGTAAATCAAAGAAACGTCATTCCAAAAATTCATTAAAAGAGAGTGCCACCTCCGCCGGCGCGCTCGAGTCCGCACCGCTGGCGCCGTCACGCACCGCCTCGCTCCCCTCGCCCTCCTCGCATCCGCTTCAGTCAACGTAGAGAAGCAGATCGCACTCCACAAACGCGGTAGGGGGGAGGGGGACAGAAGCAGCAAGAGCGCTTTCGCATCCGATTGCCCGTGTGGCGCCCCGCTCCATTCCAACACACGCGCTCGCACAGCAGCGGGACAACGGCAGCAGCGGTACAAACGAGTTGGTGCAGCACAGAGGCCTCGCTGTGCACCCGGTACTTCCGCGAGATAAAGAGGAGGAAGAAGCAATAACACAGAGGCGGAAGCTCTTTCGAATGAACAAGAAATCAACAACGAACACGACGGTATTTCTCGTTCAATAGAGTTCTACAATATGGAAATAAAAGCTTCAAGGGTAACGTAACGAGTGAGAGCTATACAAGAAAGAAAGAAAGCACATTACACATGCGGGTGTGATTATCGGATGAGTACTCTGGAACACACACACACACACACACACACACACACACATGAGGAGAAACGCAACGCTTGTTTGTTTGTTTTCCTTTGATAGGCACACCATATTTTTCTTCCCCTCCGCGAGTAAGGAAAGATCTCCGGAGCGAGTTAAGTCATCCCCGTGCAACGCGCAGATCGAAGAGGCAGCAAATCACGACTTTGGTTAAAGCACTTTTCCCTCCGTTATTCCTTGCATCCAAACAACAGCACGTGAGAAAACGTAAAGAAAGAAACGAGTCGACTGCAGCTCCAACTCATCCGCACGAGGAAGGAGAAAAACAACGACAACCACCTCCGTGCCCGTTTGCTCGAGTTTTTCTTTTCGGCGCAACTGCCGTAGGGACTCTTTGCTGTCTCGGCCGCGACAGACACAAATTTCTAGTTCTCCTTTTGGGCAATAACAGTGTGGGATAAACATCGAGTTGCGACTCGACGTTGCCCTCCTCTCACCCTCTTAAAACAAACAAAAACCACCAGAGAGAGAGGGGGAAGAAATACCATCAACAACGTGATAGTAGAACGCGCAGCCACAGACACACCCACACCCGCACGCAACGCCTACATCTCGCTGCGCATCGGTCGGGTCATCCTTTTCAGATATATATATATATATATGTATATATTTGATTTGCGAATTTAGCTTTCTGTTTTCTCCTTTCTACACCGCATGTTATTTCTTTCCCTTTCATGCGCGTGCATATACTTTTTACTTTTTGGGGAATGATTTTATTCGGAAGATAAAGCTAGATATGAGCGCTGCCGCCGTTATGGAATGCGGTGTCCATTTGGCCTACGTCACCGCACCCGCACCCCACTTCGAGAACACCTCGTCCTCTCCTCACTGGCGGGGCTGCTGGCCGGGCTGCGGCATCATGTACTGCTGCGGCATCGCAGCCGCCATCATCTGCTGCTGCGCGTACGGGTTCGGCTGCGCGTAGCCGGCAGCCGCGAAGTTGCCAGCGTAGTAGTTCGCCTGCGGCACCGCGCCAGCCGCCATCTGCTGCTGGTTGTTGTTGTTGTTGTAGTTGTTCCGCGGCCGCTGGTTGCCAGACGCGGCAAGTGCCACCTTCAGGCGCTTGTTCAGGATGTTGAACCCGTTCAGCTCGTTCACCGCCTGCTGCGCGCTCGCAGCCGTCTGGTACTTCACAAAGCCGTAGCCGCGGCTCTGGCGCGTGTCACGGTCGAACAAGATCTTCACGCTCTCGATCGGGCCGAAGCGCTCGAACAACTGGCGCAGCTGCATCTCGTCCACGGTGGTCGGGATGTAGTTCACCATCAAGTTGCGCAGCGCCTCCGGCTCAGGGTTGTAATCCTCTTGCTGCTGCGGCGACTGCTGCTGCTGCTGCGGCTGCTGTTGCTGGGGGCTCATCTGCTGGGACATGACGGAGTGAGGAGAGTTGGCTCGGGGTGGAAGGGAAGTGAGGAAAGAGTCTCGAAGCGGTAGAAGTAGAAAACCAAATACAAACAGGAAAAAAAAAAGAAGAAAGCGCGAGAACTATTGGTGTACCCCGGTAGAGGCGTGCACGCGTGGGAGTGGAGGTGATGATTTGAGGCAAACGTTGAAGCAACAAATGAGACGTGTTTCAGAATTAGAAGAGGGGAAAGAAGAAGAATAAATAAAAGATACGATGATGATGATGAAGAAGAGCGCAAAAGATTGTTGGGGCGACACCACACTGCTGCGGAGCTCGCGTGAGAAGCAGACAGAGCTATCGTACTCGTGCTGCTTTGCCCCGTTTGCTTGTTTGATTCCGCTGGCCGTCGATAGCAGCCGCGAACGCAAAAACAACAACAACAGAAAAAGATGTCGTGGTTGAATCGCCAATGAGAAAACCAGCAGGCACACGAAATGCATCTTTGCAGACTCTTTTTCACCCCTTGTAAGCGCAATCCGTTGCTCTTGAAGCGTGTGTGTGCTATCCGCCTCCCCTCCCCCCTCCTTCTCCTGCCCCAACGCAGCGCCCCATCGCGTCAGGAAACGCGAGTGGATCCGCACACCACCTTCTTGATTGGCCTTGCTCTTGAAGAAAACAAAGGATGGGCACCGTATCTACTCTCTTTGTTTCGAAGATTCGTTTTTGGGTTGATTGTTCATTTTCATTTTTCTAGTGCTTAAAGAACACAAAAACATCATAATATGTGTCAGTAACAGCCCTATTGGAAGCCAACCATGGCTCCTTTCTTCTTCTTCTATCTCAAAAGAAAAGGGGAAAACAGAAGAAAAAAAGCTGAGAAAGCACGGAAAACGCACACACACATATATATAGAGAGAGATAAAGAACGAACATGTGGAAATGACAAGGGAGAAAACTTCGCATAAAAACAAAAGCAAATCAAAAAGGACACACGTGTGGGGTGCTTAGTATTTCTGCCCACTTCACAACGAGGTAGAGAACCGCCCAGCAAACGAAAGAACCAAAAGCGTTGAGGAGTGCGAGAGAGCAAACGAACGAAGACGAAAAGAAGAAGAGAAATGTATAAAGAAATGAAAAGAAAGGTAAAGCACTTGCTTCCTTTGGGCGTACCTCTTTGTTTGTTGTTGTTGATTGCTTGGTGGTGGTGGTCGTGGTGGGACAGAGTCGTTTCCTCCATGCGGTCCTCGCGCACCTTCATTGATACTCACGTGTTTATATAGATGGAAAGAAGAGGCGAAATGAACAGATAAAAATGAGAAGAGAAAGAGAACGAGAAAAACAAAAACAATAATAGTAATAATAATAGTAATAGTAATAATAATAATAATAAAGAGGAGCGAATGCAGCTTCAAGATTGCCAAACAGAGAGAGAGAAAAACAAGAAAATTGAAAGAGACGACGTACAAGAAAAAAGACGAAGGTAAAACAGAAGAGAAGAGAAGAGAGAAATGAAAACACGAACGGATGAAGCGGAGCGGGTCGCTGTCAAGACAGTGCATCGCCATGGAACTGTGGCAGGAGAAGAAAAAAGGAAACGAAAAACAAACGCACAAGAGAGAGAAACCTCTGCATTTCTGCTTCTGTACTCTGTAGGACCCAAACAGAAGGGTCCTTTCTGTGGTGGGCACACTGAGGTGAGACAACACGGGAACGTCGACCAGCTGAGCTGGGGAGGAACGCCAACCACTCCCTTGAACAAGCGCTCCCCCCCCCCCGCAAACACAGAAGAAAAAAAAAGAGGAGCGAGTCACGTTAGGTGAGCGAACAGCTGGCAAACACGAAATGTACATTCGGCTGCTCCGAGACAAGAACGAAGCCGTCACCGAATCCTGCAAACAATACAAAAGTGGAGTAACGGGGAGTTGACGAAGAGAAATGCGCAGAGAAACGTGCGCCTCTTCACCGTCATTGAATTTGCCATCGCATCGGCACACTCTTACCGTAGGTGAGACCGTAGAGCCAGGTGGGATTCAAAGAGAAGCACAGAAGAATTGAACGAATCGCATTCGCGCCTGGCCCTGAAACGTAAGAAGAATAAACCAGGACGTTTAGAGAATGCAACAGAAAAAAAAAGTGGAACTTCCAAGCACGAAAAACGAACTCGCACATTCTTTTTCAGAGGCACAGCCACACGCACACATGCAGAGAGTGAAAAGAGAAAGACCCACCTTTTTTCTTCTGATTCAGCGCGCGGCAGAAAACGTCGATATGCAGAGGAGAGGAGAGGAGAAGTACGAGGTGAGCAACATCGAGAGGGGCGTGAGAGAGAGAGAGAGGGCGGGCACACGCTTGCAGGGGGCACATCGACGGTTGGAACGACTGTCGGACAAGCTTGTCCAACTTTTTTACTCAGCTACAAATAAAAAAACAAAAACAAAAACAAAATATGTTTTAAACCAATCGGGAGTGGCGAATTGAACTAAGACAGGAAAGCGTGTAACGGATAGTCTAAACTCCGGTTGTTGGGCACCTAAAGAAAACAAAAAAAAAAAATAAACGCAAAGGGGGGGGGAATTGGAGAAGGAATAGCGCGCGCGCACACACACACAGAAGCTAAAAGCAGAAACCAATATCCACAACAGAAGAAGAAGGAAATGGAACGGTGTGTTCAGCTTCGACCCGTACCGGCGGACGATGAAAAACGTGTAGTACGATCACAGGCGACAGATAGTAACATCGCTACCGGTGTGCCGCTCTCCCTCCCCTTCTGTGGGTGTGCATGTGTGAGAAGAAACCAAAGAAAGGTATTCAATAATCAAAAAGCAAAGCGGCAATCGAAGCGAAAACAAAAAAGATGGGGAAAAACTGTAAAGGCGGCTCCATAAAGACAAGAAAGACACAAAAACAAAAACAGCAAAGTCACAGCCCGAAAGAGAAAGAAAACGCGAAGCCTAACACAAATAATAGAAATAGTCGATACGGAAAGGGGGAATCATATTTTCTGTTGTTGTTGCTGTTCTTGGTTTTCAGAAGCGCAGCTGTCAACGATAACACAGCGGTTGAGTTCCCGCAGCAACTACCACTCAAAAGAAGCACTTTCCCCCTGCATGCAAACGCACGCGCACTGAACCGAAAAAATATATGCCCATGCAGGAAACCCTCAAAAAAAAAAATTGCCGCACCCGTCTCTCGCATACACGCATCGCTGCTCCCCCGTCTCTTCCTGATAAAAACTCCCGTGGCGAGCACGGACGGCACAGTCCCGCTGCTCGAACATCACGCATCGCGTTCGCGCTCCTCATCCGAACTACGTCTCACCCATCAACCGCTTCTGAACGCTAACGATACAAATCTGTTCCGCCAGGACTATCGACCTTTTTCTTTTCTTGCTGATCCACCTTGTTGCATTGTACGTGACGCTCCTTGTGCTTTTTCCAGGGCACCATAACTAACAGTAGTAGGCAGCAGATCGGTATGAACTGAAAAACGAAGGCAACTGCTTCACCTCGCCCCTTCACCCGTGAAGGTGCTGCCAAAAAAAAAAGGAGCCGTCGCACCTGTTAGGCACACCAGGCCCGAAGACCTGCGCTGTTCAATGGAGGCTGCCGTGTTTTTTTTGCCCTTCCTCGCACCCTGCCCCGCCGTGACGCCGTCGCTCATGCTGATGTACGCCCGCCAAAACTTCGCCGCAGAGTGTGTCGGTGGAGCCCAGTACGTCAGCCTGTGTAAAGCCCGCGTGCAAACTTCCTTACGCAACGAAGCGGTTTGTGGGCGTTGTTGTGCGGCGCCAACACCGTCCGCCTCGATATTCTACCAATTGCACAGTCTCCACCCGTCCATGTGAGATTCAATTCCTCCTACCCTCCCGCGGCAGAGAGAGGTGTCCTTTTGCTTCTTCTCAACCTCACTGGCGGGGCTGCTGGCCGGGCTGCGGCATCATGTACTGCTGCGGCATCGCAGCCGCCATCATCTGCTGCTGCGCGTACGGGTTCGGCTGCGCGTAGCCGGCAGCCGCGAAGTTGCCAGCGTAGTAGTTCGCCTGCGGCACCGCGCCAGCCGCCATCTGCTGCTGGTTGTTGTTGTAGTTGTAGTTGTTCCGCGGCCGCTGGTTGCCAGACGAGGCGAGCGCCACCTTCAGGCGCTTGTTCAGGATGTTGAACCCGTTCAGCTCGTTCACCGCCTGCTGCGCGCTCGCAGCCGATTGGTACTTCACAAAGCCGTAGCCGCGGCTCTGGCGCGTGTCACGGTCACACACGATCTTCACGCTCTCCAGTGGGCCGAAGCGCTCGAACAGCTGGCGCAGCTGCATCTCGTCCACGGTGGTCGGGATGTAGTTCACCATCAAGTTGCGCAGCGCCTCCGGTTCAGGGTTGTAGGCCTGCTGCGGCTGCTGCTGCGGCTGCTGCTGAGGGCTCATCTGCTGCGACATGATGGAGTGAGGAAAGTGGGTTAGGGTTAGAAAGAAGGCGGTGAGTGGGAAAACGACGGCGGAGCTGCGAGGAGAAAAGGAGCGGGTAAGCGAGGTAAACTTCGCCGCGCGAACGTGGCGAGAAAAAGTTTAGAAACAAGAAAAAAAAAGAACGAAGAGACGACAAAAAGACGGCGGATGAAGTAGGAAGGATGGGGGGGGGGGGGCTTCCGCTTCCGTTAGTGAAGCGCGTTGCGATCCAGGCGAAATGCTGCGCGGGGCAGCCAAAGCGTTGACACAGCGTGAGGGACGTACTCGCCTCCCTGCTCACCGCCTCTTTCTCTCTTCCAGTGGATATAGCGGTGACAAGGACGGCTATGGAACGTGAAAGAGAGAAATAGCTCGCAGCCACAAGCGCGAAAGTACCGCAGCCGTGCGTGAAACACACACACACACCCACACAAAAAGCTTTCGTTGCCTCGACGGTACTCACCTCAGCATCGGAGGATGCTGCGGCAGAAGTTGATGGGAAACAGCAACGAGGGTGTGACGAGGCGTCTTGCGGCCACTCATAAGCCCTTTACTTTCTCCCCGTTGTCGCTGACGATGCGGGACACAAAAATAAGGGACTGTTGAGCATTTTCGCTGTGCTGAACGGCGGCAAGGATCTGTTGTTGTTTTTTGTAACTCCGTTGTTGAGCAGGTGTAGCAGTAGCAGTAGTCGCAGCAGAACATGTGGTGGTGATCCGCTTTTTCAAAGGCGAGTCACCGGACCCCTCAAAAACGGAATGAATAGTCTCTTCGTCATTTTCTGTTTTCTTCTCTCCTTGGCTTCTCGTAGAGGTGTCACACATCGACCCCAAAACGTCGCAGCTGCGTTTGCAGCTCCTCCACCGTCCCACGCAGAGACGACGGCAGCGAGTCCCAAACGTCTGAGCTTTGTAGTCGCGCCGCTGCAGGAGCGAGAGCATTCGCGTATTCCGCAAGGAACACCGAAGAAACCGTCCCATACCTCTCCTCGTGGGCAAACGAAGCCGTCGTCCCCAGCGTCGATGGACGAGTTTCTGTGTCTGCTACCGCCGTTGATGCGGACTCCACGCAGGTGGATGAACGCGCCGCCGCGATGAAGCGCTGAAGTAGGAGACGCAGCACCTCCGTCAAGCAAGCAGCCTCAAGGCTCTCGTACGCCCTCGAGGGTGACATGGTGGGCGAGTGTGAAGGTTGCAGCGATAGTGCGTGCGCATGCAGTGCACAGGCGTTGTCTGTCTCGAACAGGCCGTCGCCGGGATGCAGCTGCTCCCGTTCGGCAGCGGCGTACCGGTGAAGCTGCTTCGCCACCCACGTCACGATCTCCGTATCGGTGCGATCGCACGCGGCACCGAAAAACGCCGTCTCTGTCTGGGACGTGCGGTTGTTGCTGATTAAGTTGTGTTGGTGGCGGTGATGCGGAAGCGCCGTAAACAGGAGAGGTCGCAGCCGTCGCAGGACGTGGTGCGTGACCACCCAGCGACATCCCGGAGTTGCGCTCGAACTCGCACACGCCGCTTCCGCATCGCAGTGCAGATGATGGCTGTTGTGTTGCGGGACGTCGTTGATGCGCAGTAGGCAGGAAAGCACGTGCGAGCCCTCCTGCTGGAGAACACACAGCATGGAGGGGGTGCGCGACGGTCTGCAGCAAGGCGGCGGTGTCGCGTACGGCAACGCCGCCGCCGCCAAATCCAACGTCTGCGTGATGAGGTAAAAGAGCGGTGGGAAAACGACATCAGAGAGGGCCGTCAGGGCGGCGCGACGGCCCGAGGAAGACGACGCAACGCTCTCGCCGTCGTCGAAGGCTTCCAGCAAGGTGCTGATGGTGTACAGGTTCGTGCTGAGCACTTGCGTGAGGGACTCCGCAGCGCTGATAGAGGAGGAGTGCTGTGGGCACTGAGGACTAGATGAGTCAGATCGTCTTCCGCGCTGATGAGAGGCAGCGCGGGCATAAGATAGCTCGCTGATCACCGACGCCGCCTCTGCCAACACACAGTTGGACGACGCCATCACCGCCTCTCCTTCCGCCCCCTCTTCGGTCGCGTTCACCTCCGCTGCACGACGACGAAGAAAGTGAATCGCCGTGCGATGAGCCGTCAGGACGAATTGCAGCACCTCCATAAAACGCGCTTGGACAGGGGAGTGGCGCCGTGGCAGTCCCTCCTCCTCCTCCACCGCAGCAGCTTCTGATCTCATTGCGCTCTTCATGGAGTCGTGGCGGAGGAGTAAGATACGTCGCACTTGCGCGGTCAGCTCCGCCGTGGACAACTCCGCCGCGCCGCCGCCGCCGCCGTCTGTGGGGGGCGAGGAGAAGCGCCTTCCGGGTGCCGGCGACGGCTTCTGCACCACCGCCTCCTCTTGTGCGCCGCATGTCTCACAAAATCGTTGCAGTGCGCCAAAGACATCGATACTCGCCCACGTCGGCGAAGGGGCCGTTCGGGTGGCGGTGGCGATGCTTTCCTGCCTTGAAGAAGAAGACGTGGCTTCCGCTGCGTTCTGCGCCTGCGTGACGAGTCGCCAAGAAGGCTTAAAGAGAGCAAAGAAAGGCAGGAGGGGCATTGCCCGAGGAGGGGGGGGGAGTGCAGCTGTCGGAGAGGGAAGAAACACGGCGTCTGCAGATTGCGTAGCATCAAAATTGCAAGACGAGAAACAGCAGTCCAAAAAAAAAGGAGGAGGCGAAAGGGGAGGGAGGGAGGGAGGACCGCATTGGAGAGAGGAAAGAGCCAATGGAGCAACGGCGCGACATCCGACTCCACGGCAGCTTTACACGCGCCGCACAACCGATTTTGAAGCGCTACTTCATTATCCCGCTCGCAATGTTGGCCCTTCATGCAGTGACTCACACCGCCGGTGCAAGAAGGAAGCGAAACACGGGAAAAACAAAAAAAAGGCAGCAGGAAAGCCGGTGCAGCTGTACGGCCGGCGCCTTCGTGCGAGGAACGGCGCCTTCTCCTTTCTCTTTCAAGGCCGTCTTTTTCAAAACGAGGAACCACTGCATGACAGCTGTGCCGCCACCGCATCCCACCGCTTTTTGTGTTCTTTTTTTCTTCTCTCTTCCTCTGCACCGAACACACACACACCACATGCGACGAGACAGATAAGAAGCCTATTACGCGATGGTGGCGATACTACTCACTACCAGGCATAAACAGCAAAGTGACTAACCTAGATGGAGCACACAGGAACAAAAAAAAAGGTAAAGATAAAAAGAACGCTCGCACCGCGAAGCGCACGCACGCACGCACCGGTGAAAAAGGACGCGCATCGTGACTCCTCCGCCTCCACCCACGCACACGCACACCGAGACAGACCCAAAGGAACAGCACAGGAGCTCGATTCGCACGAATCTGGAAACAAACAACAGTCGCTAAGATAAGAGACAATACAAAAAGAAAGACTGCAGCACAGCAAAAACACCGAAGAGGCGTCTCAAACAGACGAGCAGACAAGAGGTGAGCAAAGAAGAAGAAAAAAACGATGCAGCGTGCATTCTGAGTGTTCAGCAGAGAAGCAACAACGCTTATCTGCCTAGCGTAAAATACAACCGAGAAAAGCGGGGAGGAAAAAAATAAACGTGGAGAGGGATGATCGCGGCATCTTCAAACGAAATAATACAAAAGGGAAAAGAAGACTACCCGCGTACGCAGAGTTCTCCGTCAGCAGCGTCACCAACCACAGCGTTTAGAGTACGTGTGTCCGCACCTACCATCTACACTGCATCTCACAACGACTTTCTTTTGCATTTGAAGATGAACGTTTACGTTCGTTTCTCGAGTTGCCCCCTCCCCGCCCCCGCTCTTCTCGCTTGCACCTCAGCGTTCAACGCAATTTCAAACGAAGAAAACGAAAAAATAGGTTTGAAAGCTGAAACAGATACCTACACAGAAAATGAAAGGGCATAAGCAGATAAGCGTTAATCTTTATTTTTTGATGGACTACTTCGATGTAAAAAAGGGGGAAAAAAGAAGATAAAAGGAAAGAGAAGAAGAGCTGTTCGGAGTGCAGCTCTTCGGATTGCTTCGTTCCGCTCTTCCTTTGGTCGAATAAAAAAGACAAGGCAAAGGGGAGCGGCGTTACTCTAGACGGGGTCTAAGCAGCAACAAAAGGAAATGAAAACTAAGTGGATGTATCACATCCATGACACCTAAGAGAGGAGATAATTTCTTTTACAAAAATACTTCATCATTTAGAAGAAAGAAAAAAGACCTCATCGCTGCTTTTTTTATTTTTAGAGTTTGCTCGAAATACTTCTTCGCCATCACCCGTGAACACGCCACCGACTTCTGCATTTACCCTACTGTTTTTTTTTTTTGGGGGGGAGTGGGACTTTTCTCTTGTTGACAAAACAAAAGGTCTTCACTCCCTTCCTCTTTCTTTTATTCTTCGCGTTTTCGAGAGGGTCAGCAAAGAGAGTGATGAGAACAAACCAAAAGAAAAAAGAACACGGCGTGAACGGATGGTGAAAGCCGAAGGACAGGTTAAGAAGACAAAATCATTAACCGGAACGCGGCAGCACAATAGTCAAAAGAAACACGAGAACAAAAACAAATCGAAGTAGACAAGTGAGTCGGAGAGCTCCCGCTGGAACAGGAACACACACTCCAGAGAAAAAAGAAAGAGAGGTAATTGTTAGGACTATTACAAAATATATCGGAAAGGTTAGTTTTCCAGTAATGATAAAAAATACACTTAAAGAAAAAGAAAGAAGGATAAAGTAGTTACCATTACAGAGGAGACTATCTCCGAAGGTGAACCAGCCACGCCACAAGCGGAGCGTTACGGGTCAGATTCACGTACGCACGCTCATGCAGATAGCTTCGTGGTCGTGGGAGGTTACGCAGTGATGACGGTACTGCTTCGTTTTAAATAAGATCGACAGGTTTTCTTTTTTCAAGAGGAAAGAGAAGTGGAAACAGAAAGAGTACATATATATTCGGTTGCTTTTGGTGCTTTCCACTGCTCCTTCCTTTTATTATTTGTTTGGTCGCTGTCGTGGGTCCTCCTTCTCTCATGCTCTCACCAAATTAAAGAAAAAAAAAGAGACGAGAGTGGCGCAGGCGTGGAAGGCGGAAAAGGCGTAAAAGAATGACACAAAAATTTCCTTCCTGTGCTTTCGCCTTTGGAAAAAACAACCTAGAATCGATTCAATACTTGCCATATGGAGAAGAAATAATAAATGAATAAATAAGAGAGGGAAAGAAAGAAGCAGTTTGAGCAAACAGTGAAGTGTCACAGCACAGTTTTTCTTTCGAAACGGAAAATAAGAATAGAATAAGGCAATTATTACGGTGTGTTCCTGTATTTTGTTTGGTGTTGATGTGCTTGTTTTGTTTCTGCTTGAACCCGCCTGAGCGTGAAGTACCGGCGTTCACAACGGCCTGCGCGACTTCGACGGCGCGAGACGAGAAGCCGGAGGAAAATGCCTTCTAAATCGAGCACAACCCCTTCGTGCGGCTTCCCCGTTTTGTGAGCCCCAAGATGACCGGAGACCTCAGTAGAAGAAAAGAGAGCAAGACTGTGAGAAGGAAAACTCAAGCTAACATAAGAAAGAAAGCAAAAATAGAATCGCTCCACTGCGTAGTACCTCATTGTTTTCCCTATCTCCACTACCGGAGCATTTTGTCTGAAGTCTGAACAGATGAGTACAAGGCAAAAGAGAAGCACATCCACGTATTAAAACGGAAGTGACCACGGAATAAAGAGAAGGAGCGCGTAGCCTGCATCTATAATGATAATATAAATAAAATAATATTAATCTGTCCGACCAGGTGAATACGGGTAGCATCGAACACGCAAACATAAACACAAAAATAAACTTCAAAAGTAAAGAAGATGAACGCGCCGACTCCTTGTTGGTTTTTGTTTTGCAATATCACTCAACAGAAGAAAAAATATATATATAAGGAGAGCGAAAGCAATTTCCCGAGTACCACAAAGGCGGTAAACGCAAAAGCTTTCTTTTCATATCCGCCACACTCCTGCTCTTTAAAAGGAAAAAGAAGAATCTTCGTTTACATATTCGCTTATTGATGAATATGAATTAGCTGCGTCGGCTCCTGTAGTGTGCTTCTTCTTCTTCCTCCTTCACGCAATGTCAAAAAAACAAAGAAGACAAAAACGGAAGTACGTCGATGAGTCGAAGCACAACCCCAAAAAAATATATATAAAGGTGTTTTGCGCATAAACAAGAAAGACAGCGAGAGAAGAGAGAAGACGGACGCCGCAGGCAAGAAAAAAAAAAGGCAATGAAAGGCAAAGATAAAGAAGAAGAAAAGCAAATCAAAACACACCTTAAAGCAAACACACCCGCCTTAAAAATCGTTTTACAAGCCAATCGGTGTAATCGGCGCCATGGAAGATCGCGCGGCGCCGGGCACGGAGGGCGTGTGGTAGGCCGCCGCCGCCCCTCCGCCACCCATCGACGAGGACGCACCACTGCGCTGACTCGCCGCGTAGCCGCCACCCATGCCATTCCAGAAGAAATCACCCCCGTCTGCCCCGTTAAGTTGCGCCGTGTTCGCGCCCTCCTCCCGCGAGAGCATCATCTGGTTGAAGTACATCGACTGCATCGCCTGCTGCTGCTGCAGGCTCAGGGCCATCGTGGAGAGCCGCACCATCTCGTATGCCTCCTTCGCCGCCTGCGCGTTTGCGTACGCCACCTTCAGTTTCTTGCCGCCAATCTCAAAGCGGTTCAGGCACGACACCGCGTAGGTGGCGGAGAAGAAGAACTGATACTTCACAAAGCCGTAGCCGCGGCTCTCGCCGGTGATCTTGTCATAGATGATCTTGACGCTCTCGATCTTGCCAAACTGGCCAAACAGCTCGTACACCTGCGCCTCGTTCATGAGGGGCGGGAGGTAGTTCACGATGAGGTTACGCAGCGCATCGGGGTCGGTGGCGTAGCCGCCCACCGCGCCACAGCTGCTGCCCATGGCGGCCGCCGCCGGCGCTGGCGCTGCTGCTGCCTGCAGGGCCGGAGAAGAGGTGTTGCTGGCCATCTGCATGAAGGACATCGTCGCAAGTTCGGAAACTTGAAAATCAAAGGAAAAAAACCTCAAGAGAGAAGGGAGAGGAATAGGGCGTTTTCTACCCAGAAAAGAAAAAAGGGAAAGTATAAAAGCAAAACTGTGAAGAGAAATGCGTCAACAACGCTGTATTCCACGCGGGTGAACTGGTGACGTGTCTTTCGTGCCGGTTGGGTGAACTCTTGAGAAGGGAGTTTCGTCGCCTGTGTGCCTATTATTATTATCTCCAGGCTACGCTGGATGGAATACGAAGAGACGGAAAGAAGAAATAGAAATGGAGGGTGCGGCTACGCACGCACACACACACACACGACTGCCCGCAGTCACACGTGGGAGTACGACAGACACGAGGGGAGATGTGGGGTGGAAAAAGAGACAAGCCGAAAGAAGATCCTTCGACAATGCTTTCTTCTCGGTGAGGGGAGCTAAATGATAGTACTAATTTTGGCGTGGTGGCTGCACCGGGGGAGAGAAGGGAGGGACAGGGAGAAAGACCAAGGCAGTTCCGCAGACGGAGAGAAAATGGAAATCACAGAAGGTACACTAGGGAAGTACGACAGCAAATTCCTACTAGAAAAAAAAAGAGAAACAAGAGAGGAGCAAAGAAAGGCGTCGTAGCACAAGCTGATTGAGTGGGTGAACGGCAAAAAGAAGAAGGGAGCGGAGATTGAGGGCAAGAGCGAGTACGTGGTGTCGTATAACGCTTCTCCTTCAGGTTTTCACGCTGTGTTCTGTCAGGCTTACCAATAATAATAAAGAAAGAGAAAGCCTAAAAGAGCTGACGACAGTCCCAATCGCACGGAGCAGAGAGAGTGAAGTGGAAATATATAGTGATGAGCAACAAGTTGAGAATTCTGATGCAGTGTGGAAAAAAATGTTTAACCAAAAAAAAAAGAAAAGGATGAGAGAAGTGAGAAGAAAAATGGAGATGCGGATCAGAAGAAAACAAAAATTGGTCTGAACGTGAGAAACCAAAGACAGCAGGTGTTGATGTGGGCGGGATTTCGTGCCGCAACACAGACGGAGAATCACACACCACCCACCACGGGGTAGTGAGTTCATCTTGTTTGCATTTCAAGAAGAAAGAAGAAGGCCGACGCGCTACATCGCAGAGGTGTCTTGTCACTTCGCTCTTTTTCTCGGCATCTGTTCGCTCACCGCAGGTGGACAGGAACACAGAATGTGTCCCACTAAGCTTTTTCCGAGCTTCCTACCGCGTAAATCGACAGCAATGCTAAACGCTTCCCATTTTCTTTGGTTGATCTTTACCTTTCTCTTTGCAGATCAGACAACAGCTTCTGACGCGAGTGGGGTCGAGTTCAACGCAACGACACCCTTACTATGTATGTGAAATATCACCCAGTTCAACACCCTTCAGAGCTCCTTTTTTATTACTACGATAACAACTAGGACAAAAAGCAAATGCGAAGAAACACTTAAAAAAGAAAAGGAAGATAAGTCCAAGTAAAGATAAGTCCGCGATACACGTCTTCGCCGTCGCCAACGTTCTTGTCTCGCCACATCAGCATCCTTACGAGGGAAAAAAAAAGCACGAGAGCAAAGGAAGCAAACCCGCTTATGCAGATGACTTGCTGTCGGCCGCCTGCGGCAACACCGTCAGCCCCACCAAATCGCAGAACAGCTTGCTCTGTGACACCTCCTCAAAGTTGCCCTCCACCGCCACCTTGCCCTTGTCCAGCACGATGATGTGGTCCGCCTTGCGAATCATGCTTAGTTTATGCGCGAACATCAACACGGTGTGCTGCGTCTCGGACTTCTTCGCCTCTTCGATCAAGCGCGAGATGGCGTCGTGCACCACCACCTCACTCTCGCTGTCAAGGGCAGAGGTGGCCTCATCCAGAATGGTGATGTGCGGGTGGCGCATCAGCGCACGCGCGATCGCAATGCGCTGCTTCTGGCCACCCGACAAGCTGCGGCCGTTCTCCCCCACAAACGTGTCGTAGCCTTCGGGAAGAGCGGAAATAAAATCGTGAGCGTTCGCCTTTCGGGCCGCCTCCACAATCGCGGCGTACTGCCAGCGGTCAATCGAGTCGTCCCAGTTGCGGCCCGGCACGCCGTACGCGATGTTCTGTGCGATGGAGCCGCCGAACAGTACCGGCTCTTGTCCAACGTAGCCGACGCGCTCGTGCAGCCACTGGGACTGGATGTCGCGCACGTTGTAGTCGCCCAGCAACACCTCGCCGCTGGTGGGCTCGTAGAGCTTCAGCAGCAGCATCGCCAGTGAGGACTTACCAGAGCCGCTGCTGCCCACCACGCAGGTGCAGCGAGAGGGTTGGACAGTCAAGTTGATGTTGGTGTAGATGAGGGCCTCCGGACGGGTCGGGTACGCGAAGGACACGTCCTTCAGCGTCACACGCCAGTCGCACGTCGTGGGCGTAAGCTGCTTGCCAGCATCCTGCGCCTTCTTCAGCGCATCGGCCTTGTCCAGAATATCAAACAGCCGCAGCGAGGCGCCGTAGCCCTTGTTGATCTCCGTTGCCAGGTTCGTCAGCCCCATCAGGCCAATGCCGCAGTACACCGTGTACAGCATAAAAGAAAAAAGTACGCCCGGCGTGAGCTGCCCCGACGCGACGAGCATCGAGCCCGCCCACATGATGCAGTACATGGCGCCGTACCCGACCGTTTGCAGCGAGGCCACGTAGACGGAGTTCCACCGCACCATGCGCAGGCTCAAGTCAAACACCCGCTGCACATTTTTGCCGTACCACGCCACTTCCTGCACCTCCGTCCCGAAGGCGCGCACCGTCCGGATGCTCGACAAACGCTCCTCCGCGACGGTGCCCATGTCCGCCAGCGCATCCTGCATGTGGTGCTGCAGCTTCCGCACGTAGCGGCCGTAGGACCCGGCAAAGATCGCCACCGGCGGGATCATGCACACGATCACGCTCGTCAGCAGGGGGGAGTAGTAGAGCATCACGCCGACGGCGCCGACGGTCTGTAGAAAGTTCTTACTCCCGCTGGTCACCGCCTCCGTGAGAGAGCTGCCCACCACGTTGCAGTCCATCGACAGCCGCTGCACCAACGCACCGGTGCGATTCTCCGTTGAATCGAAGAACGCCGTCGGCTGCCGCAGAATGCCGTGGTAGAGGGCACGGCGCAGCTTCGCGATGATGTTCTCGCCGGCGTAGCCGATGCAGTACAGGCGGAGGTAGTTGCCCACCGCACACATGCCGAACCAACCGAGCAGCTGCATCGACGTACCAAGCGGCATCTCGCCCTTGCTCGCGTAATCGATCAGCGCGCCAAAGCCGGCTGGGATGGCGAGGGTGGCGGCGCTGTAGATGCACACACCCGCCACCGCACCAGCGATGTACGGCGCCTGATCTCGGGCGGTGTGCATGTAGCGGCCAAAGGAACCTTTGCGAGACGCGGGCTCCGTGACATAGAGCAGGCCCTTGCTTGTGGCAGGGCGCTGCGCCGGCGTGGCGCTGCCGAAGTCCGTCTGCAGGCGGATGTTAGATGTCAGACGCTTGACGCTGGTCAAGGCAGAACACGCCGCGGGCTGCCACACAAGGCGAGAGGAGCTCCGCATTTTCACTGGGTTTTCCTTTTTGTCGATGCAGTGGCTGCTGTTTGCGGTCGATCCTCTTGTTGTCTGCGAGTGAGCACGGTGATGCGGAGCAGCGACGCGTGTAGTGCAAACAGCTTCCGGTACAACACTTCCGGTTATACAGGACAGAGGCCGAGATGGATTGAAGCACGAGAGTGTGAACACGGTACCCAGAAAAAGTGAAAAAAAAAAAAGACAAGAGAGACGAAGCAGGTTGGTGCAGTACGAAGTGAAATAATCCAAGCGTGAGTGCTTAATCTTTCTTTGTTTCCGTTAGAGGGAGTTGGGAATATGTGAGCGTCCGAAGTTCGCCTGCGCAAGCGAAGAAGACGTTCGAAATGTAGCAGTAACAGCCAAACATATATATATATATATATATTTACTGTTAAATCCCAGAACGGCTCAATCGTGTTCTACAGTTGTCGTGGTTGTTGCTTCTTGTTAGAGAGAGAGAGTTAAATAAGGGTTTCCCGTGTGTGCGTGTGTGCTTTATCTACCTCTCGCCAGCTACGATGTTTTTTTCCGGAGGGGGGAAGGGATATTCAGACACACACGATGTCGGAGAGAGAGCGTAAAAGAGAGGAGAGTCGTGAAGTCGGGCAGAACAGACCTTAATGCGAGTAATTACCCACAAGGCAAAACACGGCTCCACCTTAACCGGCTGTCGGCACTGCGCCAACCAGCGCAGCCTGACAAGACGCAGCAATGGATCTCGGTGTAGCTCTTCCGCAGAAGATTAGGCTAAGGTGTCGGGAATTTGCAGAAAAGGCTGCTCCGGCAAACCGGAGAAGAAATAACTCGTCGTCACCTCAACTGCGCGGTGGTGACCGTTGGCCGCAACACACTCTCTTCCTTCGCCACAACTTGAGCAGCCCCGGGGGCCCTCACCTCATCTCCTGCATTGATAAGCTCTCCATTCATGTTTGACCATCGCAAGATGGACGTTTGGCACCTCAAGAAAACAATAAAAAGAAGAGAAATGTAATAAAGAAAACAGAATTGAAAACAAACATCTCCTGTCATTCCCTCACACACGCGCCTTCTTCCTCTGTTGTTCCAAAACAACAAATCTTAATATATATAAATTACACCGACAACACAAAACGCAGTACCGCTTTTCTCGCTGCTGTGCTTCCTTCCCGCCATCGATACGAGAAGGAAAGAGAAAAGAAAACGAAAAGAAAAGGAGAGACTCGGGGCCTCGTATGAGCACTACGCGTCATCCACGACGAGATGAAAGACGCTCCACCTTACCTCTCCGATTCCCCTATCTCACGCATCTTCTTCCTCTTGATAATGCCCTTTTTTTTTTTTGATTAAATCAATGAACGAAAAATCAGCACACAGACACACACGAGAAATACAAAAAAGAAAAAGAGAAAAGAGAAGGAAAAGCACGATGTAATTCACCGTAAGGCATCCACACACACACACACACACACACACACACACACACACACACGTAGATGTCACAGCGACAGCGAGGAGGAAAGAGAGAGACACACACATACAGCGGTGGTATTATGCACATCTTTTTTTCTCTGTCTGCTGCGCCTTGACTTTACAAAGAAGAAAAAAAGAAAATGATTCTCGAGCCAGTTTTCATTTACACACGTCAGTCAGCAGTCTTAAAAAAAAAACACAAAAGGTAACTAAAATAAAGTAGGAGGAACTATACCGCAAAAAAAAAAAAATATAAAAGGCGACTCCATGCGTCTTACGCGAACGGAAAGAAAGAGAAGAGAAAAGGAAAAGACTCACAGAGAAAGGGGCGCCCATTCTCCGCGCAATCCATCCAGTTCGTCTCGACCACGCAGAGGAAACAGAAAAGGAAAAGAAAAAATCGAAAATCAACACACACACACATCCGCAAATCCCATGAGCCACCATCAACGCCATCATCTCGAGTGATGTTCATCGACGTCGCATTGCTTTATTGCAGCTGCTTGTTGTTTTGTTTCTTTCACATGTGAAGGCTCTAGCGGGTATATATATACGAGCATGCGCGCCAACGGTGGAGTTCCACAGCATCTTTCCTTTTTTCTTCTTCTCCTTTCCCTGTTGTACGAAGCACACGGAAAAGCTCACGAAGGGAAAGTCCGACCGGCGTTGCCCACACGCGTGCTTTCGCGTAGGAAAATGCGAAGGGAATTGTGGAGGGAGCGCCAGAAGAAGAAGGGAAAAAAGAAGACGCCAACTCAAACTATCGTTGATCGACGACGCAGAGATGGAGAACGAGAGAGAACAAAAAAAGCACGACGAAGAATATTTCTTTTCCTTAGTATTGGAATTAAAAAACACTCATGCAGAAGGGGAGGAAAACAGCACAAACAAAAAAAAATGAAGCATCCAGAGAGAGCCACGCTTCCCGTGAGAGACAGAGACAGATTCAAAGAAGAAGAAACAAAAAAGATGCTCTTCATCTTTCCCCCTGTTCCTTCCCTTGACCCGCTTCCGTGCAGAAGCCGTCTCCCTTAACGGCGAAGCCTCTAACCACATTTTTTTCTTTGAACTTGTTTCCCCAGCATTCCAGGATGCTATCTTGGAAAAATTCGACTAAACAACAGTCTCGCACGACTTCCTGAGTGTATTTTTTCTTTTTCGTCTTCTTCCTTGTAATACTATCAGGACTCGTACCGCGGAGCTGCATCTTATTTGTTTTTCATTATTTTTTTAAGTCGAGTGAACCATCCAAAGATGAAGAGGGCTGAAGTAACGACAAACGAGCACGTAGAAGAAACAGAGGAAATAATGAAACGTAATATGGAAAACAAAAGCGAAAAGGAGACTGTAAGCTGACGGTAGAAAAATGAGAAGAGGGTGAGAAATCACAAGGTCGCTTCATATCCGCGAAAATAGTGTTTTTTTTTTTAGAAACAAGGTGTGTTTGTGTGTGTGCATGTTGGTGTGCCGGTGTTGAAACACTCGATGCTGATCGATACAAAGAGAACACTTTCATAAGTGTTCTCTTACCTTCTCCTTTTCGTCTTTGCCTTTCGGGGTAGCATGTGCACGTGTAGCGGCAGCGCACACGGAGAACGATCGCAAGCCCAACAATCCACCACAGAACGAATACTACATGGAGGAGAAACAATCAAAAAGAGGCAGACGAAGAGATATGTAACAAGAAAAGATCCAACCAGCCTTTTTTTTAAGGGAGTTTGGCTTTTCCTTCTCTCTTTCGCTTACGAGGTCTTCCACGTGCGTGTGTGAGAGGGACGTTGCGTAACGCCGCGCAACATCAAAGGAGAACTTTTTGCTGTGTGTGCTAAACAGCGAAACAAAAACTTGACGCAACCGCGAAGTGGGGTGAAGACGAAGGAGGGGACTCGGGACCGATCGGTCCTCGGCGCGGCGGGTCTCCTTCCACGCCCGAACACGCGAACATTTTGGTGAGGTTCCCTCCTTCCCCCCCCCCCCTCGCCAGCGCGGCCACCACCTTCATCCTCTCGTGTTTCTTCTGCCACTTCTCCCACCCTCGCCGCCCAGTGCGAACGCCCTTTTTCTTTCTTTCTTGGTTCTGCTGCACGCGTCTGTTAGTCCCTCGAGCACCGCATTAGTTGTCCGTTCACACGCGTGAAATGGTAAAGAAAGTGGCGAAGTGAGAGAGAGGAGGGGAACGAGACGCAGCACGCACAGCGAGAAAGAGGGAGCCTGTAATCAGGTACACATCAACAGCAGGGCAGCAGAAAGAGAAGAGAGGTGCAAACAGAAACGTACCACACGAAAAGAAAGGCAAGAGGCAGCCACTTCGGCGGGGGAGCAGACGCTGACACACACACACACACACACGTCATAGACGTACATACATACGAATGCACGCACCAACAGAATCACGCGTTTTTCTTTCTTTCTTTTTCTTAACACGCAGTCATCAGGAGAGAGAAGAAGAAAAACATTACAAGAAGAAGAGTCGCAAACATCGCAAAGCTCCAAATCGAAAAGAGAGTCGTCTTACGTGGCGGTACACAACCGTGAACACGTGAAACAGACATTGATGCGTGTATGAAAGAGAGGGGCGGGAAGATGATGATGGTCAAAGGAAAAGTACAGCACAAGGCAGCGTGTGGAGCAGTGCGGATACACACAGAGAGTGACGAAAAGAAAAATGGTCGCAATACGTGAAGGTGAAAAAAGAACGAGACTCTTGTGAGAGCCGTGAAACAGGAAGAAGTAAAACTAACGACCGTGAAATCCGCCGCTGCAACATCCGTCTCCCCCGCATCAGTCTGCCCTCTCCTCTTCTTCTTCTTTTTCCTTTTCCCTTTACAAGCCCCGCTACCCCATCGTGATACACCATGTCGTTGCTTCTCCATGTCCGTATTTAAACTTCTCAGTTCTTCATGGAATCAACAACAAACAGATTTTCTTAGAGTTTTTCTTTCTTCTTTATCAGAAAAGAGGAAGGGAAAAAAAGGAGGTGTAAAACACAAAAGAAAACACTTAAAATGAAAAGGAAGTTCACCGCCAAACTTCCTCAGCGCTGCTGATAACGGCCACGGCCACCGCGACCGCGGCGGAACCCGCGCATGCTGCTCACCATCTCCGAGCCGAACGTCTCCGTATCGGCCTTGCGCATCTCCGCACGGTTCATGCCCTGCGCCTTCTCCTTCTGATCGCACGACACGGTGTCAAAGAAGCTGCTCTTGTTGTACGCCTTGGCGTGGCTCTTGGCGTCTTCCTTCGCCTTCTCAAACTCGTTCTTCTTCTTCTCGAACTCCTCGCGCATCTTCGCGAAGTCGAACTCAGAGGCGAACTTCTCCTCCGAGCCGCCCGTCACCGGCAGGAAGTCCTGGCCGGTGTGCTGGTCGCGGTAGTTGCGGCGGTAGTTGCCACCGGAGCCGCCACCGCCGCGGCCGCCACCGTAGCCGCCGTGGTGAGGGCGGTTGTTATTGTTGTGGAAGCGGCCGCCACCGTAGCCACCACCGCCGCCACCACCACCACGGCGGGCGTTGTTACCGCCGCTGCCTCGGCCGTAGGTGAAGGACTCGTCGTAGAAGCCGCGTGCACCGCGGCCACCACCAGTCGTGCCGCTGCCCACCGCACCGCCCGCCCGTCCACCGCGTACGGCACGGCTCGGGGCGTGCATCTCAACAATGGCCGGGTCGCGATCCTGCGGCTGCACCTCCTCGCGGAAGACCGTCAAGTCCTTAATGTCCGACCCACGGAACACGATGAACTCGAAGACCTGATCCGTCGCCGGCACCTCTCCCACGCCGTGTTTGCGGCCTTCGGTGCCGTATATGCGGACATTGGACAGGCTCACGGTGTTATCATCGGTGCTGATGGAGTGTAGCTGGCCCTCGTAGCGGATCTCGCTCTTGCTGACCAAATTGATGAGGTCGCCTACGGAGTTCTCCATTTTCGATTTCCTTTCCGGTGTGTGTGTGCGCGGGTGTGTATGTGGGTGGAAAAGGCTTAGAGCAGCTGGAAATAATAAAAGAGAGGCAGGTTGTGAGAGGTCCAACGAAAGCCGAATCGGGCGATGTGTATGTGTATGCGGGTGTGCGACCGTGTGCGTGCGAGACGGTAGGGAGAAGAAAGAATGGAGAATGACCTAAACTGTGACACGAACGTTTGACAGCGGAGACACAAACAACAATGTTCACAACAGTAGAACAGCAACGTGTAGTACTAATCCGGGGAAAAAAAGAAAAGAGAGATAACTTAAGATGAGAGTGGGAAAAAGCTAATTGTTGAGAGAATTCTGTGTGACGAAGCAGGAAGAGATTGGTTCGTTGAGAACGGTGGTGGTGGTGGTTCGTTGGTGTGAACAGTGAAGGTGTAGGGGAGAACAGCAGACGATAAGAAGGAAAAAGAAAAAAGAAAAAGAAAGAGCGAGATAGGAAGAGGACGAACTCGCCCAAGACAAGAGCGCCGACGTACGTACATGCGTGTGGCGGCATAGAAGGGCATCTTCGCATCTCTGCAGAACACCTCATCGCGCGTCCCCACCCCCCACCCCCCGCCGCTAACAATGTGCGCAACTCGGTTAGGCGCGTACGTCCTCTCCTCTTCCACTTGCGCGGTCGTGCCCGACCGCAAACGTACGCTGAGATGACGACAAACACGCAGCTCACTACTCTCCGTATTCGTAGTACATTCGCGAGATCTCCATGACGGCACTCATAGAGGTCATTTGCGGTAGTGCCACTGAACAGAAAAAGGGGGAAAAAAAAGAGAGGAAGGTGAGCTGCGCCGCAGTTTGAGACGGCTGGTCACCTTCGAAAGGGAGCATGCTGAAAAAAGAAAGCACAAGTTGTCCCTACAGTACATCAAGAAGAAGCGAGTATTAGACAAGGAACACGAGAGAAGAGAGAGAACTACGCAAACCCTCGCGACGCAAATCGTGAAACACCGCAGATAGACAAATTCCAACAACAACAAAAAGGAGACGACAAGAAACCAAGAGGCAATCACTCCGCACGCACCACGTCAGCCGCACGCGCCGATCGCAGTACCGTCATGCAGTCCTCCTCCGACAGCTCCTGGAACAGCAGCAGCAAAAGAACGGCCTCGCCCAACGCAGACTGAATGCCCTCCGTCACGCGCAGCAGCACCGTCTCCGACGTCTTCGATCGCCCCGTTGAATTGAACGTCCCCGACACCGATTGCTTCAGCTGCGGCGACTGTTGGGGCTGCTGTTGCTGTCCTAGCCGGCGTCGCTGCAGCTCCATCGACGCACGCGCGATAAACTGCAGGGCGTGGCAGCAGTCTACCACCGCCGCTGTATCCCCGTGCTGGGTGAGGCGCAGATACTTCAGCAGCGTGAGGTGGCCGCCGCGCTGCGCGACAAGGTGCAGGAGAAGATCCCGCCGCTCACTCGTCATGGGCTGCGAGATGAAAATCAGCACTGCGGCACGTCCGCAGGAGAGTTGGCGGCGCTGCCGTCGCAGTCGGGACTGGGCGATGCCGACCTCTGCCCCGCCCCTCTCCCCCTCCGCTTCGCCTTCGCCTCCGCCATCCAAGACGTACACGTCATCATCCACCACGTCCAGGCACCGCGTGAGGATCTTCGGCGTGAGTTGGATGTTCTTGGCGGCCAGGTTCAGCAGCTCGTTGCCCTCCACCCGGTAGGCGGTGTGTTGCTCATCGAGCGCAAGCCGGAAGAGCGTATCCAAGTACCCGACAAGGGTGAAAGGACGTAGCAGTGGATCCTGCGGGTGACCCAGCGTCGCCTCCAACACGGTAGTACTCCCCACCGCAGCGAAGCTCTTCGCCGTAACGGTGGTGTCCAGACCAATGATGGGCACGTAGTCGATCTTGCCTGCTGAAGAGGCGGTGGTAGTCGTCCGCATCGACTCCGCAGCGTTGGTTGCCGCAGAAGGAAACTGGCTGTAGTGCTGCTGCTCCGCCTGCAACTGAAGCGCACGAATGGCGCGCGCGGTGCTCAGCACCACCACCGTCGAAGTGCCGTCCGCGGAAGGGGGAGAGAAGACGGCGGGGTCGGGCTGCAACAGTGGCGCCGGCAGCCCTGCTGCTCTCGTCGCGTCCTCGTTCTCCTCACTTGGCGGTAGGGCAGACGCGAGAACGCGCACGAGGCCGGTTTGCACCGCGGCAGACAATCGAGGGTGCCCTTTGCCCAGCACCGCGAGCAGCTCCGTAATGAGGTTCGCCACGGCGGCGTCCGTCTCGCGCAACAACGCGTGCAATACGCGCAGCAGGTTGTCCGCCTCACCGACCATTTCGCGGTAGACCCGGCCGGAGTTGGCGATGTGGAGCAGCAAGAGCGTGATGGCGCGCCGCTCTCGGGCGTAGTTCCCTCTCTGATCTCCCTCGTCCGCGGAGGAGGAGGGGGGAGGAGTGGGAGGGAGAGGAATGGATGACGTGACGTCGAGGCAGTCGCAGAGGGCCTCTGCCCCGCCGCCCTCCACCAGCTGCAGCAGATAGCGAGAGCCGCGCACAAAGACGGTGATGGCCTCCACCTGCGCTAACAGCTCCGACGACGACGATGTCGGTGGAAGAGGCGGAGGAAGAGGCGACGCCACCGCTTCCGAGGTGACAGCCGCAGCATCGGCAGCCGCTAGACCCTTGGTCTCGATGATTGGCGCGTCCACCGCCGATCCGTTCTGCTCCGTTGTATTTCTTTTTGTAGTGGCTGTTGCGACGGCCCTCGCCGCGTTGCACGCATCGGTCGCCCACGTACCGTAGCGCAGCTTCCACCACGAGGTGAGGCGGGCAAAGAACAGCGGCGCCGCGTCACCGAGGTCGTCCTCGAGGGCGTTGCTGTTGCTGTCGGCGTGAAGCGCTTTCAGGCTCTCGAGCAGGCTCACCCGCCGCGCGACGGAGCCTTTGTCCCAGATGGCGATCCACGCAGCGGCCCGGTGTCCGCGCATCTCCGGCGCCACCGCCTGCGCCGTCCACTCCCCGCGCAGGGGGGCCGTCGACTTTGATTTTCCCGCTGCGGAGGTGGTGGCCGTCGTGCCACGCATAGCCCCCGTATTCGGAGCACTGGGTGTGCTGTTTCGCTGAGGTGTGGCGCTTGTGGGTGTGGCGGTGCGATTCGAGGCGCGCGGCGCCGCCGTACGTGTGGGGATAGCGGTCCCGCCACGGAGAGAGGTGTAGCTGCTCACCATGAGTGGAGAGTGGTTTTCTTCCGAAGACTCTACCGCGTGGAGACAGATAGCAACCAGCGAGAAAGGGAGGGCAAGAGTTGAGAGGCGTAACACAACGAGAAGAGGCAGAGAGGAAGAAAAGGGAAGGGAGGAGACTAATAGAAAGGAGCGCATCTGTCAAGCGTTGTTTTCACATGAAGTCGGTAGATCGTCGTCTCGACGGCCCGCGAGTTGAAAACTAGAAACAGAAAAGCACTCAGATGATTCTCGATGAGTCTTTCGTTCCTCCATAATGAGTTTTTGATCTGGTGTTTGCCTGCACGAAGACCCGCCGTGCGGCTGTCCCCATCTCGGACGTCACCGAGCCACCTTCACGAAGGAAACCATCCTCCTTCCATCGGTTTGCTTTCGTCACCGTTTCGAGTAAACCTGTGGCGAGAAACGTAAACAAAGTCCCACGAAACAATACGAGGATAAAACAAGATTCAACGCTGTGGACCAACGAAAAGCAAAAAAAGAAAACATCACAAAAGAAAGCCACGCGACACAACACGGCAGCAGCAACAATTTTGTGCGGTTCAACAAGCTTGACATCCGCCGGCCCCAAAAACAAAACTGAATCAAAGAAAAGCATTCAAAGCACGGTGAAGCTTGAGTAAAAGGGGGGAATGAAGGAGGTGGCTCGTGCAGTGTAAGAACGTAAGGAATACTAAGTTTGCGTTTTGCGCTCTTCACAGGCGATCGTCATTCCGTGCAGCGCTAACGCGTTGCGGCACGAATGGACCGGTTCATCGGGCGAAGAACCAACTTGATCGTCAGCACGGCGATCGCGAAGACAATGAACATCAATATGCAAACCTGTACCTCAATAAAGCGGCGCTTTGACTTCGGGAGCAGCTGGAACTGGAGGCGTTGGCGATCTGTCTGACTGCTGTGCGCCTTCAAGTAGTACGGGGAGTCCGGATCCTTCAAGATCTCGTGCGCGCGGAACACCCGCTCAACCATCTTCGCATCGGGCGACTTGCCGTTCGGTGCGTACTTGCCCTTCATCCGCTCAAACGCAGCGTCGATGTCTTCGACGTTGCAGTCCGGCTCGAGGCCAAGCACCTCGAGAGGATCGAATTGGGTCAGAAAAGCTTCCTGCTCGCGCTTGCCGGGGTTCTGCGCGTACTGCGTGCGGCGCTGCACTCGCAACGGGGAAGCCTCGGCGACGCTGCACGGCACGGCCACGTTGGACGTCAGCAGTTGCACCTGGAAGATGGCGGAGGAGCACCGCAGAGCTGGGCGAGAGAGGGCGGGCCGCACACCAGCGCCTATAGCGGCGCGGCAACAAACAGCCGAAGTTCGCATAGTGTGTTTGGTGTTGCTTTGCTGTGTAGGAAAGGAAAGAAAACTCGGGTGTCGGTCGCTGCTAAGCAAAGAAGATAGGGAAAAGCAACAGAACAGAGACCTGATGCATCAGCGCTGTACGATGAAAGTCTGCAACGATGACACAGCTGCGATGCAACGTGGTCGATGGAGGGAAGGGGGGCATAGTTAAGGAGTGTCCACCACCACGGAATTGTGGGTTATGTACGTGAGACGCATGTTCAGGCAGAGGTGATGGAGAAAAAAAATAAGAGAGGAGAGTTGAGATACCGAAGGGAGGTCGTTGAAATACAGTTGTATTTTTCTTCCTTTCCTCTTGACAGCTCATCGTCATCACAAGAAGCAACACTAGAGAAAGAGAGAGGCAGCTCACCAACTTAGCATTTGGAAAAGGAGACGTTCGAGACGACGCCACACTACCGTTGGAGGTGCTATGCGCATCCGTATTCCCTCCTTCTTTTTCTTTCTTTCTGTCGTCTACGGCGAGCGTGACAGTCATGTTCTCTCTTCTTGTGTGTGTGTGGTGATTAAAGCTGCCGCGGCGGTGGGACCTGCGCCGCCACTGAAATGTGTAGTCTGCAACCAGGAAAAAAAAGGAAACGAAAAGCCGGCAAGAGACCAACAACGACATAAATCCCAGCAGCATCACCACCAAGAAGAGAACTTGCTTAAGCTTCCTCCTCTATTTCCTGTTCGGTTAAGGCACAATATATATATATATATATATATATGTCCTTTTTTTAAGTTCGCAGAAAGACGTGCATATAAAGCAGTACAGCGCAATTCAGCAACAACAACAATATTAGTACGGTTACGAAACGGATGGCACAAGTTACGAGCAGTCACGGAGAAAAAACAACGCAGCAGAAGAAGAGCGAAACGCCTTTGTTTTCTTCTTTATTTCCTTGAGAGAGAGAGAGAGAGCGAGGGGCGCTATCGGTATATGTGGTGTGTGACGCACGGATAGCGCATCAGCGCACTTTGTTGTTCGGTGTTCGTGCCACAGCCAGGCCTCTTCGAGAGTCTCACCGCAGCGTCACACAGGTGTTTGATTCCCGCAGCTGCCTCTTCGCTTCTCTTCCGGCGCTCCTGCAGCATTTACACCGGCCACGCTCGTCCGCGCTACACGTTATAGAGAATCGTCGGCCGTCGCCCGTCAGGCAACTCCAAGTTGACCAACTCTTCATCGAACAGCTCGATGAACTCCTCGTTGTCGGCGCGGCTCTTGTTCCCGGCAAAGCGCCGGTACTCCTCCAAGATCGACACCAAATTCCAGCCCTGCAACTTGCGGAGGCAACCACAGACAATGCCGGAGCGGTAGCGCCCCTTCGAGCACGTGATGAGCAGCGGGTAGTACTGGGGGTCTAGCAGGATGTGCAGGATGCTCACGACAACAGCCTCCGACAGCGTCATAAGCCCGTGCAGCCGGCCCTCGTACGACGGGGCAGACACGAACTGGTAGAGGCCGCCGCCACCTCCAGCGTTGCCACCACCACCACCACCGCCGTTGTTGCGCACTCCATCGGGGAAGTGCATCGGCTCCTGCACCAGCACCGGCGAGAACTTGGTGCTCACCTGCCGCTCCACCACATTTTCCTGCAGAAAGCGAACCGCGTTGGAAGTGCCAGCGATCGCCGCTCCGGTGCTGCTTCTGGTCGTCGTACGTTGGCTCCCCCACCCACCACGATTTGCGCTGACGCCCACACCACCACCACTGCCACCACTGGTCGTAGCTGCGGCATTCAGATTGAGATTGTTGTTGTTGCTGCTACTAGTATGGTTGTGGTTGGTGGTGTTCAAGGCGCCATCGCTGTTATAATTTCCGCTGCCATCGACGCCGCCCTCGCCGCCGTCTGCGCCCTCCTCGCCCTCTTTCAGCAGGTACGAGCCTTCGACCGGTCCGAGCCGGCCACCGCTGCCGCCGCTCGGGTTCAGCCCATCGCCCGCGCCGCCGTTGGGCGAAGCGAACTCCTCCAGTCCGTCATCGCGGCTGTTGTGGTGGTGGAGCGCGCCGTTGCTGCTCCCTCCTCCCCCGGCGTTTGTCGCCGCTGCGCTGCCGGACGTCGTCGCCCCTTCTCGCACGCCGCCGCCGCCGCTGCTGCGTAGCGGCTGTGGGAAGCTCATGTTCTCCGACGTGCTCACGGTGCTGTAGACGTGTGGGCCGTCACGGACGCTGCTGCGCGTCTGCGCCTCGCTCGACAGGGGGCAGAAGATCATGACGCCGGTCTCCTGCAGCCAGTGCACAAACATGCCGTCGTGGGTGTCGGTGAGGAGGATGCACGTCCGCAGTCCTAACGAGGCAAGAAAGCCGTAATGGCGCGGCTCCGGTGCACCGCAGCGGAAGATGCCCTCCTCCACATGACCAAAGTTGGGTGGAATTACTTTCATGCACGTGCAGCGTGAGAGGACGGTGACACAAAGCCGCTAGTGCTCTTTTCCTTGTTTTCCGTTCAAGAGGGATGACTGTTGTCTTAATTGCTTGCTTTCTATTCCCCGTTGTTATCTTCATACCTGCGACGATCAATGAAATGGAGAACGAAGGAAAGAGGAAGGAAGGAGGGAGGGAAGGAGGGATGTGTTCGATTGTGGCGGGCTGCAACGGTGATGGGGGAGGGGGGGTTCCAAAAGACTTGCTCACTTCATCCAGCAGCACAGCGCTCCACTAACAGCTGATACGCCGGCGTTCTTATTCTTTGAATGTGGTGCCGCTCTCTCGCTCTCTCTCTCGGCACGCCGCATGCGCCTTCTGGTACCTTTGTGCTTCGAATAGCATGGGCACGGAGATTGTAGCGAAAAGGAAGGCAGAGGGCAGAAAAACAAAAGCGAAGAAAACAGTGTTCGCTCAACGATACTCATCAACAACTGGAGGGAGGGAGAGACCTCCGAGACGCCGTTAAAGCGCGTCCACGTTGCCCGCCACGAAGACGTGTAGCAGTCAACCTACACTTGAGAGAGAGAAAAGGAAAAGAAAAAGGAGCAACTACACACGGCATCTCATGGACTAAAACTGCGGCATCTGAGAGCCGAACTCGCCCTTCTGCTTCATCTTCATCGACGCGTACGGGTCGCGGCCGCCATCGGCCGCCACCTGCGTCTCGTGGTGGTCGCGCTTCTTCCGAATGCGCTCGTAGCTGTCCTGCACCGCGCACAGCGTCAGCGAGAGCTTATCATCCGTTTTCAGCTTCTCCTTCAACTTCACCATAAACTCATCGTCGTGCTGTACGCTATCCGTCAGCATGCGCAAGTCCTTCGCCGCCCCACCGTTTTGACGAAGATAGTTGATGTACTCCGTGTCAGTTCGCAGCTCCCGCTGGATTGCGACGAGCCACTGCTGATCGCAGCAGGCCTGCAGCACTTCGTAGTACACCTGCGGGTTGAAGTCGCGCCCGCATGCGGTGTGGATAGGGCTGTGCAGCCCTACGCTGCTCTGCAGGTGATGACCGCGTCGCATCTCCCAGCCTTGGGAGGTGCCGCCAGCACCGCTGCCTTCCGTCGGCATCTGACCTGAGATGACGGTGCGCCGTGACAGGGCGAGTGCGCAGACGCGCAATGGGACACGTTGCAGCCGGCGCATAGCGAGCTCACGGTGGATGTTTTCTGACGGGGGAAGGGAGGTGATCAAGCTTCGTTAGGTTGTTGTTGATTACGATTAAAAAAAAAAATGTAAAAGGCACTAAAAGAGAAAACACAGAAGAGCAAACGAGGTGTTGAAGGAGGACCGTACTAAAGTGAGTTGCAGACGAGGGAGATCATTACCCGCTGCTCAACAACCATCAAAAAAGTGGAGGGAGGGCGAGTACTTCAGCATGCCACGTGCGCTGCTGAGGTGCATCATTCCATGTCGCATCCCGTGACTGAATAGCGCTCCTTCGAAATAAGTGAAGCGCACCCAAGTTGGCAACGTATTCGCTCACTTTCCAATCCAAAGACCGTCTGGATGACAATCAATGAACCAGCGTTGTCAGCAAAAGAACACCACCGCCACATGGAGAACGTGGGTGTTGCGGTGTCCTCCATTTTGCAGCGCGTACTGCACACCCTTCCAAAGCCGCTCCGTTATTTCCTTCATTTGCTTCTGCTGTGTAACGTTTAAATCCTACCTGGTACGCTAATCACACCCACACATACACACAAGCCCACACCCAGTGCTTTGAGTAGAGGAGTAAATACTGACCTAGTGAGTGTGCGTGTGTGTGGCTAGTGGTTGCTGTTGATTGGTAAATCCGCTATGTAGAGATCCGCCTCACCCGATCGCCTGCACGCACATGAATCTCTTCTCTCCGTCTGCTCCTCACCTCGCAAAGGCACACAGATGTGCGAAAGGGAAAGAAGAAAAAGAATAAAGGAACCGAGAGAGGAAGAGAACACAGGTTTGCGAGAGGCTCAACAACAGCTGCAACAACAACAGACAACGGCGGATTCTACTTTCTACAAAAACAAAAAAAGGGCGTCGCGCTCTGCCTACCTTACCGCTCCTTTCTTCAGGTCCTTCACGCACCCACACAGACACACACACACGCATACGCATACCCACAGCCACACACTGCTGCATAATGTCTTCCAGTCTCGAGCTTCCTTTGTAAAACGAAAAAAATTCCGTATGCGTCATTGTATGTGGAATCATTTACACAGCGAAACAGCGCGGTACAGCAGACGCAACAGCTATCCTGTGTGTGTGTGAGAGAGAGAGCACGCCCTTCTTTTCTGGCTCTACTGCATGGCCTTCTCCATATCCTTGTAGAGGTCATGCATCGCCTCCGGCACCATCGCCGGCACCGTCTTCTCCAACTCCGCATCCCGCTTCGCCTCAGCCAGGGCGTGGGTGGCCTGGTAGCGCTCCACGTTCTGCTGGCGCACTTTTTGCTGATGTACGACCCATTCGGCGTCGTTGGCGGACTTCTCACGGAATCCTTTGTTGAAGCCGAACCAGGCGACCACAATGTAGGAGAAGTTGCGGAACTGATTCAGCGTCTTCGGGGCGACCTTCGCCGCGGCGGCGGAAGCGGACATGATGCACAGCGAGGGTGATGCGTCGTAGAGCGAGAGAAAAGAGGAGTGAGGGGGAGCCAATGAAGAGGTGTGATACGTACGCTTCCAACACGTCGTAGGAGGACTTTTGGCTCCCGTTGTTGTGAAGTAGGGCAATGCACAGGAAAGCAGTGCGTGATAGAGAAATGAGAAAAGAAGAAGAGAGAAGACAAGGAGAAGAAGAATGGAGACGGTCAGGGCCAAAGGACAAGAGAAGGGAATCACGAAGACGAAGAATGAAAGAAGGGCGGCTATCGTAATGATATGCAGAAACACAAACACGAATCCGTTGTACTTGAATAGTTCAGAAGCTGCCTTTTTCCTATTACTGTAATTGAATACGTGCGTGTTTGCGTGTGTGTGTGTGTGTGTGTGTACGCGACAGCTTGTCGGTCACAAGAGGCGGTGGCTAGAGAAATGCTTGGATAGGAACAAGAGCGAGAGACAGAGCGGAAAACTTCGACATCTGTGTTTGCGTTTCGTTTGTTTGTACAGCTCGTACGAAGGAGAACCCACAGAGAGAGAAGAAACCGCGCGTAGCAGAACAACAGCTTCACCTGTGAAGAAAAAAGCCGCAAACAAAAGCATAGCGTCGCGCACCAACCACCCCACGAAAACCAAAACCCAGAAAAGCACGAGTAAATATGCTCTGTCTTCTTTTTTACTTACGCCTCTGCGGCGGCTTCGTTTGGCCCTCCGCCGACTCGGCGTCCACAAAACCGTAGGTGTCGGGCAACGGCACCTTGGTGCGAGAAAACGACATCACGATATCGCTCTCGTACTCCGCCCGCCCCATCAAGTTACCGCGCGTAAATTGGTTCACGACGCCAATGCCGAGAAGGCACAGCACGAGTGAGGTGACGGCGCCTCTCCACGTGTTGCCTGAGCGCTGCCTGCCGAACCAGTCTTCGGCCGCACCGCGCGCAAAATCGCTGCCATGGCCAAAGATGGAGGCGCGACGGGCGGTGGTTCGGCGCAGCATCAGCTGAGAAAAGAGGAGAGAAATAATTGAAAAGTGAAGCGGTGTAGAAGCTCTCTCTCTCTCTCTGGGTAAACAAAAGACAAGAGAAGAGAAGAGGGCTCGCTGTGTTTAGAAAGGCAAACACAAGGGCAAAAGATAGCGCTATTGAGAAAGAGAAAAGGGAGAATTGACGAGGGAGAAACACAATCATGATTGGTGTCAACATCGGCGCTTCTACAAGGTGTACGGTAACGGCGAGATTGTGCCTCACGGTGTGTGGGGGTGGGGTAGGTGGGTGGGTCGCCGGTCCAACGGACGATGCCTCTCACTTCAGAAGCGAAGCCAACCCCTCGCACACAACTTCGACGGCTTCCTGCGAGCCCTCACGCTCCCAAGGGTCACGTATAACAAGAAATGTGCTATCGATCCGATAAAAAAAAAGGAAACACTCGGACGGCGCTACTGGACGAATAGCTTCGTTTTTTGGAGGTCTCAACAGCCTGTTTGGGTCTTTATATATATATGTATATACGTATGGAAACTTGAAGGGGGAAAATACCAAAAACTGCAACGAAGACGGATTGAAACGCTCTTTACTCCCTTCGTTGGGTGACGTGCATTACATTTGGGCGTGCGCAGGTCAACACGCAACACACACACACACACACAGGATGGCTCACTGATACTATACATCGGGGACGACCATGGTTTTCTTTTTTCTTCTTTACCCAAAAAGGGATGAACCAACAGGCAGGCAGACAGACAGAACGAGAAATGCAATGCGCACATTTTCTTGCTTTATGCAAACCGGTAGTGGTGCGCGTTCATGCGGCTATCCTTCAGCTCCACCCCCTCACCGTACCAGTCCGCCGGCACCGGCTCCAGCGGCGCCTTTGGCTTCGTCAGCTGCGGCAAATCTTCCTCAATCACGTGAAAGGTGCGACCAAACCGATATTGGTACTCCGGCAGGTGACCACCGTAGCCGACGGTGTGACGCAGATAGCCCGAGCGCGCATCTGCCTCCCGCCGCCCGAGCATCCACTCATCACGGCGGTCCGCGTTGTCGCTGTAGTACTCAAACTTGCGCTGCGTCGTCACCCCGCTGTGCCGAATGCTGAAGAGGGTGGCGCCGTCGATGCCGGCGAAGACGCTAGTGATGCCGGCACGACGCGAAGAAGTAGCCGCTGCGTCCGCTGGTGGCGGGGCCGCCGTGAGAGACTTCGCCTGCCGCAGTCGCGCAAACGCTATGGCGGACACGTGCGGGTGCTGCTGCAGAGACAGCACCACAAACGCCACGACGTCCTCGGCTGGTACGGCACCGTCTGGGTAGACGGCCTCGATGAAGGTGGCCTCCACGCCCGCCTGCAGAGAGGTAAGCGCGGACACGCAGGCCGCGGCAGACGATGGATCCGCGGCTAGTGGAGCTGCTTCTTCGTCGGATAAGGCGGGGTCGAAGACAGCTGTGAGAGCTGCACACACACTGCCGACCGTCACGGCAGGGAAGTCCAAATCCCTTACATCGTTGTTCGCCGCCGACGCTTTGCTCTCCACCATCGGGAGGTCCAAGAAAAGGCCGTCCGCCACGGCACCGGTGCAGGCGTGAATCAGGTCCAGCGGCACGCGTCGGCAGGGGTGCAGGTCCGCGAGAAGGTCCTCGGCGAGCACGAAGCCCACGGCGTCGCGGTAAGCTATCAGAATTGATCGGTACTCCTCCGGGCTCAGGAGCACCCCCGACTGGGCCAAGACAGTCTTTAACCCTTCCGGGTTCACGCGCCGTGCCACACGCTGTCCTCCATCGCCGTTTGTGGCCGGTGTGAAAAATCCTGCTTCGGCCGGCGTCGTGCCAGTCGTGGACGTCGAGGACCGCGACCGCGCATTGGAGTTCTCGGTCGTGGCGGACATCGCCCGCTGGCACTCCACGACATACCGCCGGCGGAACTCCGCAAAACCGGCTAGGCCACCACGCAGGAGACGGTCCGTCACGCTGAGGAGCAGGGGCTCGCACGCCTCTCGGGCGAGGAGCACCTCGGTGGGTGTGAGCACCGCTCCACGAATGGGCATGACAGAGACGCTGCGAAGAAAGAAGAGAAGAGATGTGTGCACGCCGCCCACCTTGTGCGCCTAAAGTAAGCAGGGGAGGGGAGGGAAAGAAAAAAGCAGCAGCGTTAAAACGGAAACCCCAAAAATTGCGTGAGGACAGTTCGAAGCGCTCAAAGATTTTTCTTTCTTCTTTTGCTCTTGCTGGTGGCGTACGAGTTTGCGCTGCACGGTGGAATCTCACAGGCGCTCTCCTGTATCACGGGCTGAAAGAGGACGAAGGGAGCACAGCAGGAAAGTTTAAAAAAGATATATGTGAGGTTGGCCGAATAGTCCTTTGTTTGTATACGTGTGTTATTTACCAATGGAAGCGGCCACACATGTCAGCGGTAAGAGGTGATTTGTAGCGTAGCCGGCTTTCGTCGCCCGCACAAGTAGCGAGGGCTAAAGGCGCAAGCACCAGCACCCCGCGCGGTCTGGTGAGCTCTCCGGCCGCACCCAGCACATTTCTGTATACCTCGTACTTTTGCTAGCGTTGTGTCACGCGAGCCAACGAAGCCAGAACGCAGTAACACGAAAGACGTCAAAAAAGAGCAGCAGCAAGTCTCCCGTTTTATTTAGTATTCTTATTCTTATTACTACTCGTATTATGCGCTGCCACCACCCGCGTCCTTCGCTTCCTTCTTCTTGAAAGCTCGATGGTTACATCCATAAACATAAGTAAGGAAAGAGAGCAGGAGAAGAGAGATGAAAATCACTTCACCCCCGTTTAGTCACCGCACACCCGCTGCAGAAACGGAATGGGAGACGTCGCTTTATCGCGATCCCGACCACCTGCCGCACTCTTCGGCATTTGATCCGTCAGACGTGAAGCGGCGCCGCCTTGGGGCCCCTCACCACCATGGATGCCCTGCACACTCGTCCGCAATGAAGCTCCCCCCACCCCTACACCGAAGCTGTTCACGGTGGACGTGGTCATCAACAGCTGCCGGATGTCCTCCGGGCCGCCCTCACGCCAGAGCCGGCGCAGGCGCTGCAGCCACTCCCGCCACTCCGCCTCGCAGCCCACGCTGTACCAGTACAAGGCAAAGTTGCAGTATGCCCGCATCGTAACGGCATCGTTGGGGCCGTCTGTCATGAGGAAGACGTCGCAGGCGCGCTGCAGTGCGCTCTCAATTTCAGGGTCGCGGGAGTAAAGGAAGTGCGTTCCAGCAGCACCGCCCTCGTTGTTGCCATACGAGCTGGAACCGCCATGCACGCCGTCATGAACGGCTAGCACACGACGAGGACTACCATTTCGGAAAGCGACGCCCGACTCCTGCATGCGAAACAGGGCAACCGCCTGCTGCAGCGCGTCTCTCGCGCTCATGGAGTCGGGTTTGCAGTAGGTGAGGAGTTGCTTCCATATATGCTGCAAGGTGGCGTCAAGCTCCTCGCGGAGGCCGTGCTGGCGCAGGCGGACATCGTCGCTTCTGGGGGACCACCGTGCGTCTCCGCCCCGCTCCGTTTCGTGCACGCTTGGCGACACACGACTTGGGCGTGGATGCGCGGCCGCTGCTGCCATACCGGTGCTCCTGCTATTGCTGCTATTGGAGAGTGCGTTTGTTCGAGCAGCCGCGGCTGTAGTCGTCTCGGCGAAGGAGTTCATGGTGTACTCCAGGTATCCCACAAGGTCCGCGGTGTACTGGCGGTACTGCGCCCCAAAGGGGTTGCCGAAGTGGGCGAGCAGAAGATCGGCATTCAGCAACACCTCCTGCAGCGTGGACAGCACCGCCGTGTACACCGCTTCCGCCTCCACCCCTGCGGTCTGCGCCGCGCCACACTCGCGCATCCCTCCCCGTTCCTTCCCCGCCAACTCCTGCAAGGAGTTCTCCTGCCTGTCCTCCGGAAGGCTGCCCGTCATCCACATTGTCGGTGGAGCGGCAGCACGCTCGTCGCGGCCGTGCAAAGGGGCCAGGAAGCACAACAGCGCGGGGAAGGCACGGATGGCCGCGACGTAGCGGCGGAGCACCTGAATCAGAATTGCGCGATCCGACGTGCTGCGCAACGTGCGTCGCCGCAGGATAAGCGCCAGTGCTAAGGAGCAACACGGTGCGTGGAGGGCGTTGTCCGGCATCGCCGGTACCGTGGGCGTGGACGAAGAGGAGACGGTGGTGGCGGTGCTACTTGCCGAGTGCGGCTCGGACGGTCTCTCCTCGTCGTCTACGCCGTTTTCTTCGGCGTCGCCGTCATCGTCCTCATTGCTGCTACTGCCGTTGCCTCCAGCTAAACCGTGGAAGGACGGAGAGGGAGGGGAGACGGACGAGGTGGGCGACGCCGCCGACAACGGTCGCATCAAGGACAGGCGCCCATCCGCCCGCACCTCGCGCAGGAGCGTGCGCAGGTCCACCAGCTCGTAGTGCTCCAGTGCTTCCCACAGCAGGTGCGGGGTAACGGAGACGGCGCGCAGTTGTGCCAGCAAACGGGCTGCAACGTGCGGCCACGGCGGCAGCGGCGGTCGATGCGGGTCGGCCGCGAAGGCGGTGCGAGGTGCGTTGTAGAGGAGGCGTAAAAGCGGCACGAGTCCCGCCACCTGCGCGGAACCCACCTTCACCTCGACGTCACACCCATGACGAGCTGAGAAGGAAGCAGAGGAGGAAGACGCAATCGTGTGACGCATAGTTCGACGCCCATTGCCGCCGCCGTCGACGTCGACGTTGTTGCTGCGGGCGGCTGCAGGTGCGGCGCTCGAGTTGCGCCGAGGCGGAAAGTCACCTCGGCTGTCCAAGAAATTGTGCACGAGCGCCTTCGCACGCCACACAATCCAACCAGGAAGGCGGTAATGCAGCTCTCGTGCGGGGATGTGCGCCGAACCAGAGATGGGTGTGCTGTCGTGATTCGCGCAGCGAGAAGAATCGCTGACATGGGCTGCTTGGGCAGCGCGGCTACGTGTAGACAGTGAGCTCTCCTCCGGCGTACCACCGCCGTTCTTTGGTGCGCCAGAGTTGGCTGCGTGAAGGCTTCCATGAGCGCTATCCACGACATGATGTCCTGCGACTGAATTGCATTTGGCCGAGGAGGAAGCACTCATGCCGGCTCGTGACCGCGCAGATTTACCGCCGTCGTTGTTGTTGCTGCTGAGGACGGCAGTGAGTTTTCCCTCTTCTTCGCCATCATCCACACGTGATGTTGCTGCAGGTGCTCCGTTGGACGGTGATGCAGAGGCACCGTGTCGCTGTAAAGGATTTCGGGTCCTGTCATTACTCCTGTTGCTCGGTGAAGGCGAAGACGGCCGGCGCGCGTCGGAGGACGTGTGCGGATCAGGACTGCCATCGAACCCTGTTCCTGCGGCGACGGGCACCGCCACGCACACAGGTGCGAAGTCCATCACCACCGGCACCGCCCGCTGCACCTCGCCGTTCTCGATGCTCACCCCTAACGCATCCAGCAGTCGCACGTACACGCTGGCGCGGTCTTCCTCGTTCAGTGGGTCGTGCAGGACACTTACGCGACGCAGCGGCAGGCGAAACTTGCGGTAGATGAAGGGAAGGATTTGCTCCACGTACATTCGGTTCAAAATGTCAGCGCTGGACCACAGCGACGCCTCCAATGCCTTCTGCTGCGCGGCCGTTGCGCGGTGCGGCTCGTCCTTGTGGCTTGAAGCAGCCTCACCAGCGTTGGCCACACGAGTCTCCGCCTTCTCGCGCAGTTCCCACACCTCGTACAGCCGACGTGTGGAGTCGCAGAAGACGTGGGATGGGTGGGCCGTGCCGTCGTACTGCATAAACGCAGTCAACACGCGCTCCGTCGTCACGCCGAAGTCCGTCCACGTCGAAAAGAAGTTGGTCGTCGCAGCCTCGCAGGAGCGAGAAGACGACAGCGCGCTTCGCGGTGCGGGCCTGCGCGGTGCTCTGGCCCCGCCGCTCTTGCTGCTGCTGCTCGTGCTGACGTGGCTGCTGGCGTTTGCGTGGAGAGCGGCCAGGGGGTTTTGGATACCCACACCCTGCGCGGCCGAGCCTTGTTGACTGGGCGCGCGCTGCGAGCACACATGCCCAGCAGAAGTCTCAGCCGCCAGTGCATTGCCGGCATCCGGCGAAACTGCCGAGGCCTCCAATGAGTCCTCTGGAAGCCGCCTCTCCCCACCAAACCACGACGGCCGCAGGTCAGAAAGACGACTCCGCAGTCGTCCCCACAAACTCTGGCGCGTGCTTCCGGAGTTGACAGCATTACCGCCATCGCCTGACATTGCAGCGGCAGCAGTGTTGGTGGCTGGGGTTGAGTTAATGGGGTGCGATCGTCGCCACGACTCTGCGCTCTGCTGCCACCGCTGCGTAAACGAGGGTCGAAAGGGATTTCCCTGAGCGTGGTCGACGTCGTCGCGGCTTCTCAGCGACATCTCTGGGACGGGTCGCAGGGGGTTTAGCGCTGCAGGCTGGCGCGGCGGCAAATCCTCTCCCAACTCGGCCACGTTGTCTCCCAACGAGCGGGTGTTATGATTGCTGCGCTGGTGGTGGTCGTGGTCGTCCCTCTCCACCGGCTGTCGCTGCGTCCCGCTGCCGTCTCTGCCCCTCACTACCGTGGTATTGCCGCTGCTGCTGCGGTGCGTCGTCCCGCTCGCCACCGGATAACGAGTCCCGTTTGTATTCGGTGTTTCGTGGTGCGTCGGGGTGTCCGGACTGATCGGTGCCTCGACTGCTTCTTCCGCCCCTTCGTCTTCCACATCGCTGCCGCTACCGGAGGCGTCCATGAACGCGGCGATGATGTCGTCTTCGTTGACGCGCTCGTGCGGCAGCCGGCCGAGCAGCTGCTCGACGCCAAAGCGCGCTTCGTAGGAGCGGGTCCGAATAAAGGCCTTCAACCCGCGGAACAAGATTTCTCGCTTCACCTCGCGCACCATGTGCAGCGGGGCAGCGGGGTACTGCAGGAGGGCGAGGAGAAGAACGCCGAGGAGGCTCTTCGGGTAGCCGCGGGCGGAGAAGCGACGCAACACGCTCGTCGTCGTGAAGGGGAGCAGCGCGGTGGGCAGCGCGCCGCCTTGTCGTGCTACCCCGTACCGGTCACTCACCTCCACCGCATCGTTGTCGTCGTCAAGATCCTCCTCTTCCTCGTCTTCCTCGGTCCAATCGCTGTCGGAGCTGGTAGCGTGTGAGGCCCTTCCAGCGCCGCTGTTGACCAGCATCGAGGGCATTTCCTCTTCCTCCTCTTCCTCTTCCTCCGTCTCCGTCTCCGCCGTCCCCACCCGCACCCGCGTTGTGTGTTGCACCGCCACCGCCGCCTCTACCGCGTGAGCCGCACGTTGCGCCTGCAGTCGCTGCGCCGCTGCTCGCCGGCGCCTGCGCAGCATGCGTTGTACGAAGCAGCTCCGCTCCTCGTGCAGGAGCCGAGGGATGCCCACGTCAACCTCGTGTCGCATAAACTCGAGGGCGACTCGGTTCTCCGTCATGAAGGCGTCGCGCTGACAGGCCCGACAGCTCACCTGCACACCGCACACGGCCAGCAAACGAGGATTCACGTAGCACAGACGCTGCACCGCGGCGTCGCAGGACTGCCGTGAGTTCAGCCACGGCGAGAACCACTGACTGTTGCGCACGAAGTAGTAACGTCCATCCTGTGCAAAGTGAACCTGCACGCTTCGCGGCAGAAAGTGGATGTCCGGCACCACCTCGCCGTCGACGCTGGCAGCCGACAGAGAGGCAACGGACGCGTAGGAGAGCGACTCGTGACGATCCCGTGTGGGGCTGGCAAACGACGTTGCGTACGGGTGCACCGTCTCCCCCGCTGCTGACGCTGCTGCTGCTGCTGCCGCTGTGGCGCCAGTGTTGCAACTCGGCCCGGCGGATGCCGCCGCCGCCGTCGACGCATCCACCTGCCCCGGCGAGCTGCCGTAGGGCAAGAGCGAGAACACCGATGCGAGCTGCTGCGCCATCGCAGCCACCTCGGGGTTCTGCTCCGTCACCGTCGTTAGGTTGTCACCGAGTGGCGCCAGGCTCATTGCTGTTGCGCCACGGCCCTTGTAGCGAAAGTGGTAGCACAAGGGGACGTGCACGTGGGAGACGTGCGCCTCCAGCACCCACCGGCACGCACGCTGCTCCAGCTGACCAATCTTCTCCCCAGTGGAGCTGTACCAGAAGCAGAAGAAGAAGCCTTGGTGCACGAGCACGCGGCCGAGGGCGGGCATCGCGTAGTGCAGCACCGACTTCTGCGCCACCGGGCAGTCGATCGAGGCGGGTATGTTCGCCTGCCCTACCGTCATAAACGCCTGGTAGAGGGAGGTGTCCGTGGAGGCGGAGGCAGACAAGTTGATGGGCGTCGCGCCGCTCATGCTGGCGCTCATCGACACGTCCACCGGGTTCTCCTCCGTCCCCGCCATCTCGCCTGCCAGGGCCGCCAGCGCTGCATCCTCCGCATCCACGACAGCCTTCACCACCTGCAGTAAGTCGTGGTGGTACTGCTCCACCACCCGCTGCAGCGTGTCCTGGCTCTCGTCAAAGGCCTCCGCGCGCCACTGATCCACGACGAGTTGCAGAGTCTCATTCGGCGCGAAGGAGGTCGCGGCGTCGTGGGAAATAAGGCAGCGGTAGCACGCATCGGTGTAGGCGGTGGCGAAGACCTGCTGCAGCAGCTCCTGTTCCGCGCTGAGCGACGGCACACGCCAGTCCAACAGGTGCGAGCTTAACGGGCCGGTGCTGCCGAGTTGGGCGATGCCCATCGCAGAGGAAACGAAGTGGGAGGAGAAACGTGCGTAGTTGCCGGCACCAGTGCTGCCCGATCCTCCTCTTCCGCCGCCGCCGCGGTCACGGCTGCTGCGGTGACGGGCAAAGGGGGTGTACGGCAGCTCCGCGCCAAAACGACGCGACGCCGCCGTTCGAATATGCGCCTGCCGTGTCGATGACGTCGGTTGGTGCCAGCCAAAGAAGGAGCCACCGCCGTTGTCCAGGTTCGGTGGTGCGAAGTAGCGACATACGCCACTGCTGCCGTGTGATGGGCGAGGGGGGCGGTCCTTTCCGTTGTCGTCCTTGTCGATAGTGTGACGATCATCATCATGCTGCAGTGGATCGCGGTGGCGGCGGCGGTTTGCTTGGGGATCCTTGAAGCGCTGCTGATGTGAGAAGGCGGTGCCTTCGCCACCAGAACCACGCGGCAAACCAGCACCATCCCGCCCGGTCCCTTCATCCAAATTCCCGACCTCCTCGCTTGGCGACCCGTAATACAAAGGCGAGGCAGACATTCAATCGCGCGAACGTTTGCGCTCGCTTCAGCTCAGAAAAAAAAAAGAAACCACAGACGTACTCAAACGGCAGAAAGACGACGCAACGCACAAAAGTGAATCGATGGCGTCCGATTCGACACGGAGTACATGGACAACGTACAACGACACTTTCAAAAGAAGAAAAGAAGAAGAAAAAAAGATTCCAGCAGCTGTGAAACAAGAAGTTTTAAAAATCATCAAAAGCCTTCTAAAAAGAAAAGAAAGGTTCAAATAATATGGGTTCGTTAACTCTCGAAATGCCTAACTTCACGCGAGAAATGGAAGACGCAGTCTACGAGATCATCATCGACGCGACGCTACGGTGTCCGTTGCTGTGAAGGATGGGTGTTAAAAGGAGAAAAAAAGGGAGAGAGAAAGAGAGGAGAATAGATGTAAATCGACGATGCGTAGCCGTTTCGATTGACGTGGTGATGGAGTGCGCAATCATAAGCCGCCTGTTTGTGTCCCCCGCCAATACTCGTGACACTCGCAAACCATTAATAATAATAATAATAATGGCTTGTCGCTGGATGGAACCGGCTGCAAAAGAGCAACTCTCGCGGGATACAACCCAACGTTCCAGTAGCTCTAACGCACAGAGAGAGATCTGCACGAACTACTCTTCTTTACAATCGCATGGAGTCATACAAATTTTACTCTCGTTACGTCGCAGCCAGCACGATGTCCTTCCACTTAGCGCTTCTCTTTCGTTTCGTTTCTTCTTGTGCGCCGCGGCATAACAGTCAGCACACACACACGCACCGGTAGTCTCCTTCTCAGCAGGTGAAAACGACGGCAACACAGCACAGCAACCATCAAATCAGCACACACACACACACACACGCACAGAGACAGAGAGAGCAGTTCGGTTCAGCAAAAAGAACAGAAAAGACACACAAAGACCCCGAAATGTATTGTATCCGCCCCGGTTAAAGCTGCAGAAACATCAAGTCACCCCCGAATGTCATGAGCGGACGCAGCGGATGGGCGACACAGCTGCCAGGCAAGATAGGCTGCGTAGCAGACCGCGTCTGCTGCTGTTGATGCGGTGTCAGCTGCCCTTCCATACCTTCCGACACAGACAGCGGATGGTCATTCAAGATGAGTCCTTTTGTATTGAACGCAGCGTACGTGTTGTTTTGGAAGGAAAGGCCAACCAGTCCCGTGTGCACGCCAACCGAGCAGCGCGTAATGCGCGGTGCCACAGCCGGTGTTGCAGCTCCGTGCACTGGGGCTGCCGCGGAAGACGCTCGAGACGCAGAGGCAGCCCCACCAGCTCCTCCAGATCCTGCGACGGTGATCGTGTTCGCGCTGCTACTGCTGCTGTTGCCACCCCCTTGCGGGTTGTAGCCGAAGCCGTAGTACAAGTCCTGATTGCTAACGTAAAGCTGCGGCTCGCTCAACTTGCGTGCGTCGAACACGAAAAAGGTACTGCGCGTGGCGGCGACAATGGAAAAGCCTGTGTTCGTCGCGACAGGGCCCGCCCCCACCACCGCCTCCATCAGCGCCGTCAACGGAGTGCCAGGGAGGCGGCAGTTCACCATCCCAACGGCGCCCATCTGCCCCTGACGCTGCCGATCATCGTAGTAGCGCACGACGCCGTCTGAGAAGCCGGCGAGCAGCGCCCGCTGCGTCGTGTGCGTCTCCAGCGAGGTCATGGTCGGGTTGCCGGAGACGTTTAAGCGCTGCACAACCTGCTCCTCCGCGAGGGAGACGATGTGGATCGCCGTGCCGCCGTCCGGGCCGATCGGGCCGCCGTAGAACAACTGCGCTGCGCTGCTGCGGTAGGTGGATTTGAGGTCGAGCCACCGGTTCGGCGGTGGGGGCGGACAGGCGGAGAAGACGGCCGCCTCCGTCGGGACGGTGTTCGGGTCCCAGCAGCCCTTCATCAGACTGAAGCCGCCCCGCTTGTCCACCAGCAGCAGACCCGACTGCTCAGAGAGGTCGTTGATGATGTGGAGCTCGTGCAGCGGCCCCGACAGCTGCACCGGGAAGCTGTGCAGGATTTGCTGGGAGTTGTAGTTGTCGTAGGAGATGTAGGAGAGGCGTTGGTTCTTTGTGGCCACCACCATCGACGCCTCCAGCGCGCGAAACGCCATGCAGACGACGGTGTCGGGACGCAGCGCGCTGCGCAGCACTATATGACGCTCCGCCTCTGCGTTGTGGGTAGAGAGGGAGAAGGCCGCGGCGGCCCCAGCGCTGCTACTGCTGGACGGGTCCCAATGCCCACCAGAGCTCGTCAACGCGTTGCTATTACCGCCGCTGCTGCTGAAATTGGCGTTGTACGGCTGCACAGCGGTGCCGTTGCGGAGGCCGCTTGCCGAGTCGCTTTCCCGCTCCGTGGGGTGCGCCGTCGGCAGCGGACTGCCGTGGGGAGAGGCATAGCGGCGGTGCGGTTCCAGCTTGCGGTCCCGCATGTCCAGCACGAGCTGCTTCATCATATCCGCGTTCCAGGTGGCCCGGGTGCGGTCCGCCTCGGACCAGTAGTCGGCCGATTCCACCGAGGCCACGCGTGACATGGTGCGCAGCGCCTCGGAGGCGAACCGCTGCGATTGCGGCGCCGCGCCGGTGGCGAGGGCCCGCAGCGCCGTATTAACAAGCGCTCCGTCGCAGTTTGCGTAGAGGGTGCAGAGGAGCAGCGCGGCGTCGTGCAAGAGGCCCTCCATCATCGGCAGGGCCGCGGGAAGAAGTTTGTCGGCCTCCACCTCGCGCGTTGGCGGCATTGGGTCATCGGTGGTCAGGAAGGACGTGTCGAAGACGACGGTGTCGTCGAACATCGAGTTCACGGTGGGTCGGGCCGCGTTCAGCTGCGACTTTACGACCACCTCCGGCTCCTCCAGGGCCCAGCGGCCGCCGTGCTGGCCGACCGCCAAGACGTACTCGGAGATCTTCTCCCGGTGCGCCGACGAGAGGACGCCGCGGTAGGCGTACAGGACTTGGCAGCAGAAGAATATCAGCTCCTCGCGCACGTTCACGCTGGCGTCGAAGACGTACTCGCGCAGCTTGATCAAAAGCGACTTTTCCATTTGCAGGCGACGCACCTGCTGGTCCTCCGGGAGCAAATCCACACGCACACCAACGATGCTGGCGAGCAGCGTCACGCACGAGCTGCGCACCACCGGCGATCGATCTTGCAGAAGCCGGGTAAACAAGTCCACCCGCGACGCGCACTCCTTCGACGCGTAGCTCTTCGCGTGCCGCAGCCCGAGAAACAGGCGGGACAGCACCAAACACGCCCACGACCGCAGCTCCGTGTGCGGCGAGGAGAGGCACGGAAACGCGGCGTTGAGGAGGCGGTTGTTCCACGACAAGATGCACTGCCGCTCCCCGCGCTGCAGGAACTGGCAGAGGACGTAGCAGGAGATGCTCTTGCACCGCGACAGGTGCACGTCCTTCATCAGAAAGTACACCGTGTGGCCGGGGTTGATGAGGTGGCTAGCGACGCTGCTCAGCTTCGGGGCGGCAGTGACGGACACCTGGGCGGGCTGCAGCGGCTGCGACGGCTCTACGCGAGAGGAACGAAGGGGCTGCAGCGGTTGCTGCTGCTCAGCGTCGGACACGGCGTCGAGACTGGCCGAGTTGGTCATGGCGGCCGTCCGCAGACCCAGCTCCGTTCTCCTCTGCCGTGGTGCGGGGTTGGGGGCTGCACTCACAATGTTTGCGTTGCTGCTGTACGGGGAGTCAGACCGGGCGTAGCTCACGACTTGGCCGTAGTCGACGTACTCAATCGTCGTCGTCGCCTCGTCCAGCTTCAGCAGACTGGTGAAGTACTTCTCACACTGGCTCTTCTGCATCTCGGTGCAGCCCTCGGCGGGGTCGGCACGGATGACCTGCATCCACAGCACCGTCACGATCAAAAACACCTCCGGCGCCTGCGTGATCAGCTTGCTCATGTAGGGCAGAATGCCGCACAGGATGGCACGCTTGCCGGCTGTGCGGCCGGAGTCGAGATACTTCGCCAACAACGTGAAGGCACGCACTCGGTAGAGCACCTGTGTCAGGGCCAGCAGCACACAGGGCAGCTGCTCCGGCACCTCCGACATGTCCCCCGACTCCACCCACACCTCAAACGCGGTCAGCTGGTCGCCAAAGAACGTGGAGGGCTCGTAGGCGGCCGCGGCGCCGTCGCCTGCTGCCAACAACCGCGGCAGCTGGCTCACGCACTTGTCGACCGTGTACTCCCATACCTCCCACATGGAGTGCAGGTGGGTTTCCTCGGAGAGAGCCGGGTAGGTGACCGGGGTGCAGCCCGACTCCCGCAGCAGCCGGTCCGCCAGAATGCAGTTACGGAATAACCCCTTCACCGCCGTGTCCTGGCGGAACAGGTAGTGAAACTGTGCCGGCGGCAGCGTGCACCACGCGATGGTGTCGGTGACCGCGCTGAGGATCCAGTTCAGTTCCCCGCGTGGCGACTTGCGGTCGTTGTTGTCGCCGGGGATGTTGCGGAGCATCTCCGTCGTCACGTGTGGCAGCAGCAGGGCGTGGAAGGAGAACCCGATGTACCACTCCAGCGCCATCTTCAGCGGCGTCGTCAGGCAGGAGGTGAGCAGGTCTGCGGGCAGCGCCGGGCTTAGCGGGAGCGTCTCCCCCGCACTGCAGGCGCAGATAAACAGGTCATGCTGCCGTCGCTCCTGCAGCCGCTCCTTGCACCACCGCTGCAGCAGCGAGCCGGCGGAGTTGCAGTCGAAGATGTAAATCGCTGGCGTGTCCGCCAACTCCGCCATCTCGGTGATGTTCAGCGGCACGTAGTGCGTCCGCTCCTTGTCGAACATCCACACCTCACCCAGCTCCGTCGCACGGGGCATGCCGTGCCCGTTGTAGTGGATCAAAATGCGTCCATCCCGCGCCATTCGCCGGCTCTTCACGAGGGCCCCACGCGACACATCTAGGCTGGCCTCCACCACTCGCATCACATTCACGTCCTCGCGCAGCACACTGCGGTACTGCCGCTCGAGCAGCTCGGCGATGCTGTCGCTGCCGCCACCGCCGCCGCTCCCGCTGCTGCGCCCGCCCCGGTGGGCGCTCTGCGCTACGTGCGCCACCATCGGATCGACCCAGCACTCCATCTTGGCGCACGGCTCAACGCGTGGGAAGTCGGGCGGGTCGCTGCCGATGTGTAGGTACATGAGAAGGACCGCCTGGGTGATGCGCACCCGGTAGCGGGTTGTGCCCTCGACCAGAGTTACATCCTCTGCGGTGCCGACGCCGCCTCCGCTCGCCTCCTCCATCGCATCGTCGTTCACCAGCGAGGGCAGTTCGCATGCGGCGAAGGCCGCCACGCGTTCTGCGATGACCTCTTCGAGCGCGGCGGAGGCCTGCGCCTCGTAGCCCTGACTGCTACTGTTGCCGCCGCCGGCAGCGTTTGCGAGAGAGGTGGTGGTATTGGCGCCGCTGGTGGTGGTAGTGGTAGCCGGGGTGCCCGCACCAGCGCCGGTGGCGGCTGCCGGGCCGCGTCTCTGTGCTGCATTTCGCCTGCGTGCCAACATCTCTTTGGGTTGATGTCTGTGTGTTGGTGTTTCCTGAGTTCCCGCACGCTGCAACAGCTCCTCACTATTTTTCCTCCGTCAAAAAGCAGGCCACTCCTTCACGGATTCGGCCAATAAGAAAAAACCCGCCTTGACTTATTAAAAGAAAACCAAGAAGATAACGGTAAGGTTGTTGCTGATCAGTCGTGGGTAAAGAGACATCAACGGGCGATGCATGTGTTTGTGAAACACAAAGGAATGCGACGACGAGGCTGCCGGCGAAGGAGAAAGGAGCGATAAGCACAAGGCGCAATATAGCAGAACCAGCGAGGACAACACCAAAACAATAATACCAAACGAATGAACCCACGGTAATCCGCCAAGAACAACGCCAGAGAAGATGAAGCCACAAGCGGTCTCTGCTTTTGTTCTTCTCTGTGATTGAAAAGAAAAGGCTATGATTTATACACCCAACAGTGAAACGTGCTACCTGGGCAGGCTGTGCAAACTAGCCCCTTCCCGGATGCGTCAGGACAGGAACAAAAGAAAGAGAGAAAGATAAATACGGCAGCGGAGAAGCGCAGCTCTGTGCTTTGAATCTAGATCATGAGAATGACTGTTGCGGCGCGGCATACACATACATTTTGCAGTTGAATGACCTAGCTTAGCGTGTGGAGCTTTGTTTTGTTTCTTTGAGAGGAGAGAATGTGCCTGGCGGTCAAAAGCTCTCGTGTAGTGCCCTGCACTCACACTCCAAGGCGTCATACCTTCACCAGTAGTATCTCATTCACAAAAAGAAGCATGAAGCATCATCGGCTGTGGAATGTTGGTTGTTCGCAGTTTGCAAACACGCTATAAAATGTTTTGTCCTTTTTTTTTTGAGAAAGAAGTACGTTAGACGAAGAAAAACGGAAGAAAACGGCTTTTCTCGTTAGCTTAATATCAATACGTTTAAATCGTGTTAGAAGGAAAATACAGCGCGGCACATCCGGGTTGTTGTTGATTGCTTTTTATCAGGCGTACTTGCTCCATGCAATCCGCACGACCAGCGTTACTGACGAGACTTCAAACACAAATGCCATCAGCAAAAAAAAAACAGGCACATCGGCAAATCGCAAAAAGGCCGATCAAAACGGGTATTCACTATTTTAACAAAAAAAAAAAGAGAAAAAAGTGAAAAGAAAAATTCATCGCACCGGCACATCACAGCGGGTTCAAAACAACAATAAAGCTGACATCAACAAGCGAGTCCAAAAGAGAACCCCCCATCGCAGCGGCACCAGCTCCAATTCGAACACCCTTACCTCAAAATAAAATAAAATCCTGTAGAGCCATTCGTGTGGAAACGATCAACATGATCGCCGTCGGACACGTGCCACCGCAGTGCAGCTCCTACGCGAAGTCAGACAGCTCCGACGTCTTGAGGACAACGCGGACGCCGATGCTGGTCAGCTCCGCCGCCCAAAGTCGCAGCACCTGCGGAATCTCCACCATCGCGATCGTGTCTGTGCTCTCGTCAGCGCCGGCACCGCAGAAGCGGCAAGTGCGCCACGTGCCGTACTCCGTCGCATGCCGCTCATAGAGGGAGAGGAGGCTGCCGCACCTGGGGCAGATGAACGCCTTCGTCTTGTCCGACACGTGCAGGAGGCGGTCCACGACCACCTCGCTAATGCCGTGCGAGAGCAGGCCGTCCCGCTCCATCTCCCCCACCCGCACACCGCCGTGCCGCTTGCGCCCCTTCACGGGCTGGCCCGTCTTTGTCACCGCCCGGTACGTGTGCGCGTCGGTGCGGGCACGCGCCTGCCACTTGTCGTTCACCATGTGCCGCAGACGCTGGTAACCGCAGATGCCCATGAACACGTCCGCCTCCATCTCCTCACCGCTGATGCCGTCGATGAGGTGCTCGCGGCCGTAGCGGTTGTAGCCGGCTTTGCTGAGGGCGTCCCCAATCACCTCGGCCACGCGCGGCTGCTCATCCACCGTGGCCCACGCGCTGTTGTCCATGAAGCGGCCCTCCACCGCCCCCACCTTCGCCGTCATAATCTCCAGCACCATGCCGACCGTCATACGCGAGGGAAACGCGTGGGGGTTGATGATGACATCGGGGGTGATGCCGCTGGCGGTGGCAAAGGGCAGGTCGTGCGAGCGGACGTGCAGCGGCAGCGTACCCTTCTGGCCGTGTCGCGAGGAGAACTTGTCCCCCACCGTCGGCGGACGCGGAATGCGCAGCACCAGCAGCACCGACGTCGGGTCCGGCCCGCTGTAGACGAGCGGGATGACCTGCTGCACCCACCCGTCCTCGCCCTTGTCGAAGTGCCGCCACTTCGTCGCGTGGTGGCGGGTGTACTCGTAGACCGTCTTGTTCGTAAACGGGTCCGTCCTTTCGACCCGCTTCGCACAGCAGTACACGTCGCTGCTGTCGCGCAGCCCGGGGTACTTGTGATCGCGGTCGAAGGAGAAGGTGTCGTTGCGCGGGTTCGCCCGCTTCGGGGGCAGCCCGTTCGCCTCCAGCTCGCCGGTAAAGCGCTCCCCGGTTGAGAGAACGTTGTGGAAGACAAAGACGTCGTCCTTGTCGATGGCCTTGCCAGACGCGGTCACAATCTTCGCGACGGTGATGCCCGCCGTCAGCATACCGCGCTGCGCCGCCGTGCTGTTGATCACCACAGCATCGTCCATGTCGTAGCCGGTGTAGGCGAGGATGGCAATGACCGCGTTGACGCCAAGATTCACGTCGTCGAGGTTGTAGTAGTCCATTGGGAGGGTGCGGCTGATGTAGCGCTGGGGGCAGTAGGTGCGGAAGAGCTTCGCCTCCTTGCGCCACGCGAGCGCCTGCAGCTGCGTGCCGGAGGACTGCTTGCTCAGACCGCACTGGAACAGGTTACGCGGCGAGCAGTTGTACTCAAAGAAAGGGATCGTGGTAGAGGTGAGTGAGATGAGGTTGCTGCCGTTCTGCTCCATGTACGTGTACTTCTTGTTCAGCTGCACGACGGCGTCGAGCGGGTCGCTCGGCACCGCGGCGACGTCCATCCAACTCGACTCCCACGTCCCGATAAACACTAACGGAAAGGGAAGGTGCGAGTTGTCCCTGCGCACCGCCGACTCCAGCTGCTGCACGGGGCGCATGAGGCGGCCGCAGTCGTAGAAGACGTAAAGACCTGCCGGATCTTTGTTCTGCGGTGCCACGTAAATCACCTCCATCGTGTGCAACGGTGTCGCGTCCTTGCGGCGCACCACGCCGGTCACGTGCATCTGCGACCGCAGCGTCAGCGCCTTGCCCTCGCGCAACGCCGCCGCCGCCGTCGCCGCCTCGGCAGCGGTGACGTAGCCGAGCAGCTCCCCCTCCACCCACACCGGCACCGTCGCACAGAGCTGGTCCACGACGGGGCACTGCGTCGCACCGCAGCGCAGGTTCGGCACCGCCGCTACCACCGCAGCACGCAGCTGCGCGGCCGTTGCGGTGTCTGGGGAATTGGAGACGACGGCGGACACGCTTAAATGATTCAGCACGCCGCAGTCCTCGCCGTCGGGGCTGTGCACCATGCAAATAAAGCCGTAGGCCTCACACGGGTACTTGCGCACCTCGCTCGAGCGCATCCCTGCAATCGTCTTTCCACGATGTACGCACCGCAGCTGCTCGAAGAAGCGGTAGAAGTTCAAGTGCTCGGCCATGACGACCCAGCCGGAGGTCTGCGGGCAGTAGAAGTCCTCCTCGCGGTCCAGGTTCATGTTACCCGTGACGAGGAGCCGCTTCATTTGGTCGAGGGGGTCACCACCGCCATGGCGGCTGCAGTAGTCCACAAACTGCCGCACCTGCCGCAGCACGTCCTCGGCGTCGCTCGCCACCAGACTGCGCAGACGAAGAATACGCTTGAAGAGAGCGGCGGGCATGTGGCGGCCCAGGCGGTAGATGAAGGAGCGCATGTACCGGTTCAGGCACACCTCGAAGGCGCCTATCAGCACCTGTGAAACGGTGAAGAGCTCCTGGTAGGCTGGGACATCGTTACCCTGGTGCTCCACCGCGCCGTCGATGAAGCAGTAAAGCTGGCGGGTGATTGCGATCATGGCGTTGAACTTGCGGTCCAGCTCCTCGAGAAGAGCAGGGGACAGCCAGGCCATGAGCTCCGCCGCCGTCGCGTCCGGCGCGAGATCCGGCGTGGCGGCCGTAGGGCTGTTCAGGTGCGGCAGGACATGTCGACGCAGCATAAACATGCCGTACCACGCGTCGTGCTGGCAGGTTGTCCCCCTCGTGTAGAGCGGCAGGAAGTGGTACGTGGAGGAGCTCTGGTGGTACTCGCGGTACATGCGGCCCAGCACCGTCATGTAGTCGAGGAAGCTGCGCAGTTCGCCGTAGGGCTTCTGGCGGTGGTGCTGCAGGAGAGCCTCGACGCGGGCGGCGTGGGCGCCATCAGGCATGCCGATCGTCAGCAGCCGCTGCAGCTCCACGGCGGACACGTTTTGCGTACTCACGGCGCTCAGCAGGAACGATACCGGCAGGTGCCAGACCACCTTGCGGGCGAAGGAGAAGATGAGCTCGCCCGTCGTGGTGTAGTAGAAGTAGTTCTGTGCCGTTAACCCACTCGGCCGCTTGCAGCGGATTACGACCGCCTTCGGCGCAAAGTGCGGGCCCTGCGTGACGAACTTCTCGCGGAAGATGTTAATGGGCACGTTGCAGCGCTGCATGAGCAGCGCCCGCAGGATGCGCTCCCCGCCGTTCATGACGAAGTAGCCGCCCACCTCCTTCTGCTCCTCGAGGGCGCGGGAGTGGTCCAGGCGGGTGTCGACGTCGCGCAGAGCGCAGCGAGCGCCCTTCACCATCTCGGGAAACTCCGCAAAGTTCACCCAGCACTGCTCCTTGCTCGGGACGAGGCAGGCAAAAGTGCCGTAATCGGCCGGGGCGACTCGCAGCTGACGCATAAGCGCCAAAAACTCTGCCGATAGCGTGTGCAGCAGCATTGCACCCGCGGGAGAGGAGGTGGAAAGGGCGGAGGTGGGCGCAGCGGCGGCCGACGTGGCGAGCTCCGCGGCGGTGTTCGTGTCGGGCAAGAAGTGGAAGCCAATGCGGATGTGGCAAGGCTGGCTGTACGTCTCGCCGTAGCGGCGGTGGTACTGCGGGACCGCAAAGGGCAGGCAGGCGTGAATTGTCTGATCGTGCAGCCGCTGCACCCCCTCGATGATCTCCGTCTCACGCAGGTGCTTGCCCTGCACGAGCGCGGCGAGGTCGTGACTGCCGGAGGCGGCGCGGGTAAACGTCGTCTGTTCCTCCTCTTCCCAGGCCAGCTGCACCCGCTCCAACTCGCGCAAGGCGTGGGTGACACGGTCCTTCATAATCGTGTACTCTCGCCGCTGTCCCTCGCACTGCTGCTTCTCCGCGTCTGACGTGGGTTGGTGCCCCTGCAGCGCAACGTCCGCAGCGTGCAGGCGGTTCTCCACCTTGCGAATCTGGTGTCGGGTGTGTTCGATTACAATGCGGGCACTGCGGCCCGGTCGCACGCCAACCGCGACGTCCAGCAGCACCGCAGAGCACACGCCGATCGGCGCAGCGCGCTGAGACGCGTCCGTCATGACGGCCCCCGAGTAGAGGGCACCCTCGTTTTGCGTCTCGCGCACAAAGGCCTCGACACGCTGCGCCATAAATGCATCGAACTCATCAATGTGGAACGCAACGAGGTCAGCGAGGAGTTCGGTGTTCACGCGGCTGAGCAGGTCCGCCGGCTGCGACGCCAGCAGCGACGACAGCTCCTCTAGCTCGGCGAGGGCCTCCTGCATGTGGTGGTGGTGCAGACCTGCGTAGACGGCGGTGGCCGTGGCTGACGTGCTTTCCGTGTCCCTCACGACTTCCTTCGCGGTGCTCATCAGCTGGCCCACTTCCTTCGTGATGAAGCGCAGCTGCTGAGGGCCGCCCGTCTCCGGAGTGCCGATGTGACTGCGGCTGAACTCCAACCGCGACAGCTTCTTGCGGAGACGCTCGAAGAAGGCGGAGACGGACGCCTCGGCCGCCTGGTCGAGCGCGGCGGTGTGGTACTGCCTCTCGCAAATGTACTGCAGACGCGTGATGGAGTTGCGGATGAGCTGCAGCCGCTCAGGGGCCGACATCTTCACCGGCGGGGCTCGCGGCTCGTGGATGCCGAGGGCACCGGCACGGCGGTGGCGGCTGGAGGAGCCGGTGCTGTGGCTCGTCGCCACCGTCTCGCCTGCCGATGACGACAGCGACTTGCCGCTGTAGTGAGATGAGCGCGACGACATAGCTGCAGAAGAGCAGATGAGCACACACGAGAGAGGGGCCTCAATAATAATAAAACGAGGTGATATTATTCGGTGCTTTCTCCCCTCTCTCTCTTCCTCACTCTCTCTGAGAAACGAAAAGAGGAAGGAAGATTTAAGGTATTAAACGCGCAGAGTGCACAAGGCGATGGCTATCGCGTATACTTAATCGTATTAGTTATCAAATCGATGCGAACCCGGTGTGAATTGCGCACACACACGCGCGCACTAACGTATTCACAACAAGAACAAGAAACACACACACACACACACCGGCGTTTCACGATTACGGTTGTGTTGGGCCGGTGAGTGGTATGAGGGCTTTGTTGTGGAGAAGCTGGGGTTTTTGGTTGTGTGTTTGTTTTCATCAGTGAATTACAAGCGTACATGAAAAAGCCGGACGTTAAAAAAAAAAGAGAAAAGACAAGAAACGTTGAATGTTCTTCACAAGTGATCAGCATGCTTTCGCGTTGTTGTGCGAAAGAAGCGTCGTCGTGCAGGAGAGCACCTTCTTAGCTGAGCAAGAGCACTCAACACCACGGACGAGCCGAAGAGTGCGCAGGCGTGCTGGACTATTTGGTGGTGTAAGAACGCCTCGGTGTTCTTCATTTTTATTTCTCCAATAAACCTCCACGACAGCACCGAAAAAAAAAAGAGACGATTGCCCACGCAAGCGCATAACTTATAAGCTTTTTTTAAGTCCTAAGACGATAATGGAGACCGTGTGAAACAACACATAAATACGCCTGTGTGTGTGTGTGTGTGTAAGAGCAGTCAGACGCCAAACAGGAAACAAGAAACCCGCACTCCTTTGCCTTTCCCCTCCTCTCCGCTTTGGATGTAACCCAAGCTACCCAATGAGATAGAGGGGGGAGAGAGAGAGACATACCCGAGGCGATAAAAAAAGGAAAAAGAAAGAAGCGATGTCGCCCCCCGCGGCAGACGCCAAAACAGACCGCCGAACTCCCACCGACTACCACGATGCGAAGTTCATATAGCGCAAAATCACCGCCGTCGTCAGCATCGTGAAAATGACGTTGATGGGCACCCAGTTGTAGCGGATGAAGACACCAAACATGTAGAGCATTCGGGGCAGATCAATGTACAGGAACTTCGGCAGCCGACCCCCCTCCGTCTTGTACATGTACGCCAGCAGCCGCATCTGCTGCTCCGCGTCCTGACGGAGGCGAATCATGCGGAAGAGCGGGGCGTAGGTGACAAAGGTGCGCCGAACGTGCTTCCCACGCATCTCATCGATCACCTGAAGTGCCTTGTCGTACTCGTCGTGCAGGCAGTAGACTCGTACCATCTGATTCCCCAACTCGCGCTGCACCACCTTTGGCTGGGCGGCGGAGCAGTCCATGAGCTCCTCGTAGAGTTCCTCTGCTTGGAACATCGTCATCTTGCCGCGCTCCACGTCGTAGCTGACGAGGCTGAAGAGGGGGACTAGGTGGTGGGCGGCGAGGTTCGACAGCACGTGCGAGTTCTCGCGCAGCCCGTGCTCGTGGAACCACAGCGTGTGCAGCGAGGGTCGTACCTCTTTGTTCATGAGGTGCTTTTCGAGAAAGTTTTCTGCGTTGCGGATGCCAAGCGCCAGCTGCGACAGCGTCACAGAAATCTGGTTCTCCGTGCGCTGTAAGGCTAACGCGTTTTCAATGAGAATGATCTGATCCAGTCGGTTGAAGAGGGCAGGAGGTAGGGGCTTATCGAAACCGATGGCACGCACCGGACGTTGCGGGCGGATGTACTTGAAGTGGTCGTAGCCGGGGCGAACACATGGGACACCGCCGACGAGCGACGGACCGACGGGGTAGCAGCTCACACCCATCCACGGCTCAACTTCCATGCGACCACGTCGCAGCAACCTGCAGGTGCGCATTCGCTACCCGACAAGGCTCTTCTTCAACGTGTACTCGGGTGTGATCTTTCTTCTCTTTCCGCAGCGTTGGAGTTGCTGCATGCACTACTGCTATTGTCGTTGCTGCTCAGTCTGTATCCAACCGATTCCCAGCACCTCATGAAAGGTGCGGCATTTTAGTTTGCAGGCGTGGCAACAAGCGTTTATGAGAGCCATACCGAGCCGCATCGAGTAGCAAGGCAGCACGAAGATAGAAGGAGAAAGGGGGAGAGGCAGGTATCAAAGACATTTTCGTGGGAGGACGGCATAATCGGAGCGGGGGAATGCCAGCTTTGTATGACGTGCATCGTCTGCGCCATTCGCTGATGACGTGTTTTCCTGTGCGCGAATAATACCAATACAGACCGTAGAGTCACACGCTGCTGTGTCGAATTGGTCGTACTCATCGTTCTCATTGTTGTCCGGTTTAGCAGGTACTAACCACAAGAAGAAAACCGCCTGTGTGAAGGCACAACCAAACGCACCTAACAAGTCGGCCACAAAAACAAAGAGAGGGGAAAAAAACGAAGACCTCCGTGGAAGCAGAGCAGACGCCGAGTCCCACGCTGGGCCTTCTTTATTTCGCCTGTTTCTTCTAGCTGCCTACAGCGAGGGGACGGCGGTGCCCATCACCTCCGCCTCAATACGCGTTGCCACCACAGCTGCCTCGTCGTACAGCTCCACCATGCGTTTGCCAAGCGCTGCGCTCTCCGCCGCGGTAGCCGCAATCTCTCGATCCAGCGTATCGACAGGTACGTCGACCACGTTGCCGGCGGCGTCCTGGCCACCACCTAATTGCACAATCGCAGCGCAGAGGGCAGCATGTTGCGGCACGAGGCGCCGGCGCACCAAGTCGTTGATGCGATGCCTCTCGAGTTCCGTCTCTCGCTCCACACGTTGCAGCAGCGTATCCGGCATCTCCTCTTGGGCTTCGCTGCTACTGCCTCCGAAAGCGGCCGTGTCGCCTTCCCACAAGCTCTCGGGAATTGCGTCCTCCGTCGTCATTCGCAAGACATCTTGAAGTGCGGTGATGTACGCGTACAGCTCTCGCTCTGCGCGTGCCACAGCCTCAGACATGGTCTCTGGAAGAGGAGAGGCAGGATTCAGCAGCAATAAAAACAAATTATTTTCTTCTTGTTTTAGCCAGAAGTGTCTTGCGCTTGACGTCAAACGGAGGGAGCAAAAAACCTCGCGTGGTAACCAGCACGTCGTTGACGACGCTTTGACGGCGGTGCAGTCCCTACAAGAGAAGAAGAATCGAAGTGATGCAAGGTTGCGCCTGCGCCCCCTCTCCCGATGGGTCCTTTCGCTCCGATACAACGCGCAAGAAGGGCCGATGTGATCCAGCGACAAGAAGAAGAAGAACGGGCAGCGTCGCGCAAATAGAACTAAAAAATAAAACAGTAGAGGTTCAGAGAAGTTGGCAAAATATTTTTTCTTATATATAACATAAGCTGAGGTAAACTCGAAAGCTCCTCTCAAATAGCCCAAAAACAAAGAGAGTGCGAAGAGCCCACCGTGCAAACGCATAAGCCAATACACTGAGCACATCTCATGAAGGTGTACCAGCGGCTACAATGGCTCCACTGCCAACACGGTGTTGATGTGGTTGTCTCTGCTTTCGAAGTGAATTTCGCATACGAATGCGCCATAAGCAGCCTCCATGAAAAGGTGAATCGAAGAACACAGCAGCCATCGCGCTCTCGTTCTACATCACCGAGCACAACTTAATCCGATCGGCCTTCAGTGCCCGCTTGTCCTTGCCGGTCAAACTGTGCAGGCGACGCAGCTCCGCCTGTACAGCGGCCAAGGCACCAGGCGGCTCTGGAGGACACAGCACCAGCACATCCGCACTCTGCAGGGGTAGCGTCGAGGCGGGGGTCAGCGCCGCAGCCGTCTCCCACAAAAGCTCGACGACCCCCTCCCCTGCCTGCTCCAGCCGGTAGAGAGAGAACGTCTTGAGCAGCGGCGCTGCAACCGTGCGGTGCGGACTCAGCTGCTGCTCCACCACCTCCTCCTTTAACCGGTCCGCCACACGCACCATCGGCCAGTCCTTGCCCAGCGCCACACACATCGGCCGCACCGCACCCGGCAGCGCCGTGTCCGCGGTGAAGAGCGCGACAACGATGCGCGGCGCCGTCGGAGGGCGAAGAGCGCCCATCCCGCACGGGCTCATCTTCGAATTGAAAAAGTCAAAGCTGTTGAGCGGAGGCGCGTGGCGAAAGGGCCAGAAGCCTTCGCTCGTGGCGGCAGCTGCAGTGTTCGCTTCACCATGGCTTGGCACGGGCTCATCAGGAGTGCTTCCTGGAGCTTGCGGCGGGGCTGTGCCGATGGCCGCCGGTGATACTGAGGAGGGTGCCTTATTGACATACAGGCCTTCTTTACTACGAGTGTCGCCAGCGACAATGACAAGACCAGCGGTGCTTCGCCGCACAAGTTGCTGGTGCTGAAGGTAGAGGCGTGTGGCGAGTGCCTTGACGCGACTGTCCTGGTGGGCGGACGCGGCCGTATTGAACAAGTACTCTGTCAACACCGTACACAGAATTTTTGCGAGCGTCGACTCCTCCAGCGAGGCAGCCGCAGGCACCACCGCCAACACCACCGCCGCATTCACAACAGGAGCCTTGCGGAGAACAACGTCTGCGGAGAGGGAGACAACGGACAGGTGTGGGCGGCGTCGGTACGAGCTCTGTGACGACGACAGACTTTTGCTCCTCGCTTCCTCTACGGTTTCCTCGCTCGAGGCCTCTACGATTGACGCGATGGTGAACAGCGACGTGCGAGCCCCCATAAGCGCGGTGGAAGAAGGCGGCAACACGGCTTCCTGTTCGCTCATCAGTGCCGTCTCCAAGCGGTCACGCAGCTGACCCACCGACATCTCCGTCGCCACGATCAAACTGCACAGCCCCACATCGTCGGCGGTCACCGCAACCGCACCACCACCACCACCACCACCGCCGGCGATAGAGGAATTCACCAATGAAACCGACGGAGACGCACTCCCCTCCACGGGTGACTTCGCGGGCGAAGTGTTGGAAGGGCGGAGGAACAGCACCAACGCCAGCAGATCCATGCGCCGACTGCGGTAGCCCACCGGGGCCAGGCTGAGCGGGTGCGACGCGGTAAACGCAGCGCAGCGAGCGCGGATGCTGCCCGCTGACACCGCACTGGAAGTGTCTTCCTCCTCCGTCGTCGTCGTCGTCACCAGACGTGCCTGCTCTGCACGCTTGCGCAGGCGCTCCTGCAGGGCCGCGTCCTCGTGCCCGTGAAAGCGGTGCGTCGCACAGAAGGATTCGCCACACCGTGGGCAGGGCGTGAGGACGCAGGGAAATGACTGACAAACAACGCAGCGGATGAGGGCAGTGGATGCGGTGGTACCCGAGGTACCTCCCACAGAATGCACTACATCCTTCACCAGAGGATCCGCTGGTGGGACGCAAAGAGCTGCAGCGTCGCCCGTGCCACGGGAGGCGGGGACGTGGTGGCATGAAGCGTGCGCGGCGCAGAACACGCCGTGGCAGTAGGGGCACGAGTGAGGTAAAAAGTCGAACTCTCCGCACTCCACACACGACGCCCCATCGCCCTCGCACTCTAAGCTCATGCGCAGTATTCCAATCCTTCTCGTGTTGCCTTAAAGAAAACGATGAGACTTATTCCGTTGTTGGCCGTTTCCTATTTGAGGAGAGGAGGAGGAGTACAGAAGGGGGAAACGGAAAGAAGGAGGAACACGAGGACCGTCGTGCAGTATATCGAAGCCAAAGGAAAGCGCACTTGGCGGGTAGTAAAGGAGTTTCCTCGCTGTAAAGCACTACAGCAGCATCAGAATCGAGAAGATCCTTTCTACTGTGACTCGTCAGCACGTCGTACGCCATCAGCGGAAGAACTGCGAGCCGACTCTGCAAAAAAAAAATTCCCATATATGTTATCCTCTTTTTCATTTTTGAAGAAGGTACTATCTTTCTTTCGATAAAAAAGCAAATGCAGAAAACATATGTATGTATATCCCCGTTCACACGCAGGCTCAGACGGGGAAAGGTTGAAGGTGAACAAAGACGAAAAGGACGGGGAAAGCGGCATGGAAGCACCTTTGCAGCGGCTCTGGAGAGATGGTTGTCCATCACCATCGTCCCTTCTCCCCATCACCTGTTTCAGTACCAGCGCCAGCGCTCGAGACGCTTATACTTGTGAATGAACTCCTTCGTGTACACCTGAGCGGGGTAGTAGTTCTTCTCCTGGTAGTGGGAGTAGTGCGGCATGTACGCCGCGTGGTACAGGTACACGCAGATCCCCATGGGTGCGAATCCTAAGAAGAAGGCCGGCACCAGGGTGTCGCTCACCGTCCATTGGTGCGGTGGGTTGAACCAGCGACCGGTGTGGGGCGGCGCGAATAGGTTCGACGTGGCATGGCCACGCGTGAGCAGAGTGCGGCGCAGCATCTTGAAATGGGAAAGAGAGAGAGAAACAAATATATATATAGCGAGTAACTAGCTTTTACAGTTCGACGCTTCTTCTTTTCGCTGCTTCGTACCGTGGCTTCCTTTTTTCTAAAGCGCTACGAGCAGAAGCGGACTAAGGCCACCTCGCCCTCACTACTACTATTTGCTACAGCTACGCGGGAGAGTCAAAGCTGGCGGCCGAACACAGCGTTGGCCGTTGGGCGATCCGCAACACTTCTTTTCCTTTCTTGCTGTGTATTGAGCGTATTTCAACGCAAAAAAACGGGGAAGTAAAGAAGCAGAGAGGTAGAGAGAGAGATGACTGGACAGCGATACGACGGTGTAGTGGACATTCCAGAAGACATGGAAAAAGCTTCTGACCGTTGTGACAGCGAACAGGAAGAGCAAAGGGTCCAAATGAACCGGTGCACACGCGCCACAATCACAACAGAAGGTTGTCTTCTTCTTTCTGTATGTGTGCTTCTCTGCGTGCTCGAACCGTTGTCGCTGCACGCATGGACCACGTCGCTCATCCCATCGCATCGCTTTCTGCGCGCTTGTGTGTCACGGCACCAATTGGGAATTCCACGCCCGCCTTCGCATCGAAGTTGCACAAACAAAAACCGCATAGACAGCGCCACACCATTTTGTGTGCTTTCCTTTCTCTCTCATTTCCGTCTCTGTGCTCCATCGTCGATTTAGTTCATAACCGTTTTGCTTTCTGTTTTCTTTTTCCTTCTTTGATTTGATGAGTTACTACGCCTCCACCTGCATCACTCAACCTCACACAACAACGCGACACGCACAGAGAGAGAACAGAGAAAAAAACAAAGGTCACAGGAAATATACTTTTTAAAAGACAGTATTTGTCCAACGCTACGCACACACACACCACAACTGGAGAAAAGAAAAAAGAAAAAAACACTGACGCAGCATTAATGGAGACGAAAACGAACGCAATGCGAAATGATAATAATAACGATAATAGTAGCAATGAACTCTTCTCCATAAGGTGAGAGGGAAACAATACAAGAGGATGGAGCCGCCGCACTCCGTCACTTGCCTTCAGTTGCTTCACTTTTCTCCTCTCTCTCGTCGACGTGTAGTCCTTTGAGTTGCAGAGCAGAAGATAAGTCAGAAAGAACGTCGTGCACACAAGCGCCTGCTGCGTTCTCCTTCTACGATTTTCTCCTTTCTAAATATATATATATATATATATATATATATATATTGTCA